CCCCCCCACCCCAAGACATCATCATGGCAGACGAACCTAATGAGAGCACGCCTATGCGCTCCACCCCCGAAGATGAGGACGAGGTGTCTTCTGAGTCCAGCGGCGGCAGTGAGAGCGAGGAACAGGAACCGGAACAGGAACAAGAAGTTGAATGGCTGGTGACCTCACGGCAAAGACGCTCCACGGCGGGGAATCGCCTCAATTCCCTCCTCCGGCAAGAAGAGCCTGACGACGAGCTCGAGCTCCTGTTTGCTGAGGACGACGACGATGAAGTATTTGAGGATGAGGAGGCCGACCAGTCAGATGTGCAGATGGATTCCTCATCCGACGACGAAGATCAAGGACCTGCCGCCGGCGTAGACGACCTCGAAGGCGAGAACGAGTTACAAAGGCAGAGCAAGGCGGAACGTCAAGCCAAGAAGCGGAAGTTGAACGATGGGATCCCAAAGGTGTTCAAGAGGAAGTCAAGGATAGACGCAACTACTTCCGCTACGATTACCCCCGCCCCAAGACCTAAGAAGAAATCGGAGCGCCCATCCTGGATTCCGACGTCTGAAGACGCCCCAACTCGCGCTTCAGCGAGAGGGACGACAAGGCTAAGCAAACAGCAACTACACAAGCAGATGGTAGAGCGAGAGCTGAAGAGGTTGAAACAACTGGAGAACATGGAAAAGGCTTCTGCGGCCAAGAAAGCAGCTGCAAAACCGGCTATGACACAAGAGGATAGACTGAAGGAAGCTGCTAAGGTGGAGAAAAGCAATGCCAAGAGTTTGAGTAGATGGGAAGAGATGGAGCAACAACGGGAAAGGGAACAGAAGGAGAGGCTATTGGCACTACAAAACAGGACATTGGATGGGCCCGTCATTACATGGTGGAGTGGCATGGCGGAATGGGTTGGTGGCAAGTTGAAAAAGGTTGGACGGACAGTAGTTGTCCATAACGAGCCCAAAGAGAAGATCAGCAAGAAGAGGAAGGCTACAGAGCTGGATGCCGATTCAAAAGCTATGGCGTCTCCTCCAACGATTGTGGTCGCTACCCAAGATCAGTCAACAACTGTAGACTCTCAAGGGCTCGCAAAACCTACGTTGCCCACTAATGGACTGCCTTCGCCCGCGAAGGAAATCACAAATATCCACGAGAGTCCAACTATTCTTGATGCTCATCTCGAGGCTCTACCCCCATCAGACTCTGGAGCCACGACGGATGTCCAGAAAACTTCTACCCCTCCGGCGCCCCTTCAAACCTGTGGAACATTCCCCCCTCAGCCTTCTTCAGCCCAGCCCCCTTCAGACGCCCCAAACCCATCCTCTGTTCTCGCCCCTCCCCCGATGCACGGGCCTTTCCCGCCCGTTCCAGAATCAGGAGCGCCACGGCCTTCTTCAGTTCTGGCACCTCCTCCGATCAATGGCCCGTTCCCAGCACCTCAGATAGCGCCAAACCAAACCTCCTACCCCCTCTTTAAGCTAGCTCCACCAGTCCAACCTACGTTTGATGGTTCTAGTCCTCTGCCTGGATTTGGGTACAATTTCATGGCCCCCAGTCAATCTCCTTATCCCGGTCCATCACAGCCCTCATTACCTTCTCAATCCGCCCCTCCCCCTCCACCTGCAACCCCACCTCCTCCTGCCATTGAACATAGTGCCATCAACTACCTCATCCTCTCTAATTTTGACGAGACCGCCATTAAAGAGAAAGATGTCCAGACGCAGATCCTCTTCAACAGGAAGTTCCACAAACTCCCGAGTATGTCCCATTCCATCCAGTTACTGCCATCTCTTTACTAAGTCTGATACAGGGATTAAACATTCTACCGAACTTTGTGCTATTACATCATATCCAGCCAAATACCGGGATCCGTCCACAGGACTACCGTATTCTAGCTCCTATGCATACAAAGAAATACAGCGGCTGCAACGAGGGGAGTATAAATGGAGCAAGCTCGTAGGGGCCTATGTAGGGCAGGGGACTTATGCAGCGCGGGGTGTGCCGCCACGGTTTATTGATGCATTACATACACCGCAGGCCGCCCCGAAGCCGAGTTAATGATTGCGAGAAATGGGTGTGTATATATGAATTGTATGATTTGAGATGTATAGACATAATGACCTGTCGCCTAGAATTCAAGGCCTGGTGGAATGAGTGCGTCTTGTTAACCGATATAGATTGGAGAGGAGATGTGTATATATATGTATACATGGGTATGTGTATGCTAGGCATGCTAGAAATTGTAAGACTTATGCGGATCTACTGGGAGGGTGAACTCGACTGAGAGAACCAACCTTTGTGCTACGCGACATGTACTTCGTACTTATCTGCCGAGACTCGAGAAGTTAGTTGATGCGTCCAGAGCATATTACTCCGCTTTAACTACTATTATAAATCAACATCATGCTCAATGCTCCAGAAGCCTCAGTTGGCTGTAGTAAATTCGGAAATCTTCTCTGGCCGTAATGTCAGTATCTTACGTTTATCACCTATGCAGTAGGGACCCACCCCACAAGAACCATCGAAGGGGTTTTCTGACACCGTTGATTTATGATGGTCTATGGATGATAAATTTAGGCTAAAGCGGAAGAAGAGGGTGTTGATCTATTGTACTTAGGCCTCATTGAACGTCAGCTATTCCCTGCTAGCACTAACTCGACTTCTATATAAGCCGAAGCCACCTTGCTTGGCCCATCTGTAATCATTCAACGGCTTTGATGCTTCTCGGTTCCATGCAGTGATAATGGCTACACATGACCGATGTACTCACGTAGCAGAGGGAGAAACTCCTTGGTATGCACCCTATCCGGAGCCAAAAACTACAATACCCTCTGCTATCTCTCGGGCGACCCTGCTGTCATGGATGCAGAGAGGAAAAGTCGCTGGGAAGGACTTCGTTCTTGTAGATCTTAGGCGAGCGGACCATAAAGTAGGTCTCTCGGAAATCCTCCATGCTCAACTTTCTGCATGGATGATTTCCTCGTATTTCGGGGTCCTGATGTACTGACATATTTAGGGCGGAACAATTCAGGGATCGATCAACCTGCCTGTGCAGTCACTTTATCCTACAATCGCATCATTATATCTCATATTTTTCGCTGCTGGAATAAAAAGGGTCATTTGGTACTGTAGTAAGTGTTCCGATTCTATTTTATTTGGTTTCATAACTCACTGCAATATCCCTCTATTCAACCATTGTCTCTATCCCTTGCTAATCAGCATCCAATAGATTCCTCACGTGGTCGTGGTACTCGCGCGGCAGGATGGTTTGCGGATTATCTCAAGCTGCAAAATAATGTCACGATGGAAAGCTGCCTACTTGAAGGGGGGATAAAGGGTTGGGCGACCGGGGGGGACGAGTATGTCCGGATGATGGATGGCTATGATGCACCTGCATGGCAATAATCGATGAGGATATGCTGTGATGGTGCGAGCAGCGCGTGGTACCTCACAATAGAGAACTTGGTATTCTGGGCGGCCGGCAAACCCAAGATAGACAACTTCTCTTGAAGCTGTCCAAATAAATATCGAAGCCCGAGCCGGCATCCACGGGGCTATAACAGGACTGTAGTGAAAGTAACCTTTGGGTTGCCTCTGGAGTTGGGTTGGTTTTGATGTAGGGCCACAACACCTCGGTTGCCTAAAGGTATTTCGGTATCTTGCGCTAGGTGTGCTTCAGATACAAGCAAAGAGCAAAGGCAGTGCCGATTTTGCAATGCCTATCAATCCTGGGTATTCACTAATTGAAATGCGCCTTTGCCGAGAACCAACCTTGATCAGCTGGAATTATTGCCACCCCCTAGATCGGTCCTCCGCTCTCTCCAATTCCATAAAACGATACTTCGTAGCTAGATGGGAGATGTGAAAGTGGGTTTGGAGGGACTATGTATACATTGCATGCATGACTTGCACTATTTCGCCAACCGCTAAAGCGCAGGCCGAAAGGAAAACGAAAAGTCTTCCAGGTACTAGTACTAGCGATAATAGCCTTTACAGTATAGAACGTGGCCACTTGGGGGAGCTAAACTTTTAGTCTCAAAAAAGGGAGAGTTCGCGGTACCACATGGACAGTATATGAAGAAGACGAATGTCTCAGCTTGCCATTGCGAGAATAGCTGAATAGGGGGGCGCTGAGGCGCTACTACAAAGATGCAATTTTATTCTCCGCAATCTCCATGGAATCATGTAATGTAATGTAATAATGTATGTACATGTACCTTATTACTCTGCACTCTACACTCAATGTAACACGGCGCTGTTCCACGTGCGGTCCAGATTGTGATTGCAGCCGGGGTGGGGGCGAACCCTATGGAAGCTTATTTGGGCCTAGATCATAGATATTGGCCTATTAGCTCCCTCGATCGGGAGTATAAATAGCCTAGTATGGATTAGCGGCTGTTTGGGGTGCCTGGCTGGTAAGACCCTTATTCATGCAGAACCATCGCTCAACACATTTTACTGCCCTTATCATCAGATCAAATCTCAACCACTATACGTACATGTACTCCGTAATCTTGCTCCCAACTGCTACTGTACTGTACTGTATCTGCTGTAACACGGTAAAACACACAAACGGGCTGACTGCTACGCACCACACCCACGCCCACGCACTGTACGCCGTCAGCCATCGGCCACGACCCATCCGCCCAGCTGCTCGCAACTTGCAACGGCTCTGAGACGTGAGGATTAATTACTTCCTTCGCAATATCCCCCCCCCCCCAACGTGGCCAAGCCAGATTGCAGAGTGCACAGAGTGCCTTTTGCCTCCCTAGTATTGGCTAATCTGCGCCCAGGCCTCGGCAAGGCTCGTGTCGTGCTAGCGGGCGAAAATAAAAAGAACGAGAACCCTGCCCTCCGCAAAGATCGAAAAGAAAGGAGAAAGGAGAGAAGAGGGAGCAGCAAAGATCCCTACGCCCGTCCCGGAATGTAGAGTTTGCACATGTAAAAAAGTCCCGGTGCCAATAATGGTCCCTAGTAAGTGCCCAATGCCCAATCCCCCATTTTGAATAAAAGACGCCGCGTCCCCATGCCCTCCCGTTATCGTCAACTTGCTTCCTCCCAGCTACGAAGTCCCCCATTCCGCCCCAAATACACCCACCATGCCTCCTATAGTCGAGAAGACCGGCCCCAATGCCAGTGGCAATGGCCAGCATCTCGACCTCAACGGAAATGTCTTCGAGCTCCCGAGCTTCACCATGAAGGAGATCCACGATGCCATCCCGGCCCACTGCTTCAAGCCCTCCATCCTGCGCTCCATGGCCTATGTCGTTCGCGATTACTTCTATACCAGCGTCCTCATCTACCTTGCCGTCACCTATATCCCCCTCCTGCCCAATGCCTACCTGCGCTTCGCCGCCTGGGTCGCCTACACCACCGTTCAAGGCTTCGTATTCACTGGTATCTGGATTCTCGCTCACGAATGCGGCCACGGCGCCTTTTCCAAGTCCAAAAAGCTGAATTATACCATGGGCCTGATCATGCACTCCTTCCTCCTTGTGCCCTTCCACTCGTGGCGTCTCTCGCACTCGCAGCATCACAAATCGACAGGAAACATGGACAAGGACACCGCATTCGTTCCGCACACGAGAGACTCGTGGGTGAAGCGCAATTTGGGGGACAAGGCCCAGCAGAACCTGGTCGGACTCGCCGAGTTGGCGGAGGATTCGCCCATCGTTTCTCTCTGGAATGATATTATCCACCAGCTTTTCGGCTGGCCTGGGTATCTGCTGTTCAACTTGACCGGTCAGCATTATGATGGCGCGAAGGGGATGAAGATCTCTCACTTCTACTTCGGAGAAGACAGTGTTTTCTACAAGAAGAGTGAGCTGGGACTGATTTTGCTGTCTGACGTTGGAGTTGCGGTCATGATCGCAGGGTTGGTCGTCGCAGGACAGGTTTTCGGTAGCTGGAACGTCATTGTGCTCTGGGGAGTGCCATGGCTGTGGGTGAACAACTGGATTGGTGAGTCCCATCTGCGGCAACAGGGCAAGTGAGGAGAGAGAACTAACTTTTATACCCTTCTATAGTCGCTATCACCTTCCTCCAGCACACCGATGGATCCATGCCCCACTACAACAACAAGACCTGGTCGTTCGCCCGTGGTGCAACTGCAACCATCGATCGTGACCTCGGCTTCATCGACACCCATCTCTTCCACGATATTATCGGCACCCACGTCTGCCATCATCTTGTCTCCACAATCCCCTTCTACCATGCCGCTGAAGCCTCGGTTCACATCAAAAAGGTCATGGGCCAGCACTATAAGGCCGATACCAAGACCCCATTCTGGACCGCGTTTTGGCGCAACCAGCGGACCTGCAAGTTCGTGGAGGAGAGCGAGGGCCAGGAGGGTAGTGGCGTGTATATGTTCCGGAATCTGTATAACCGCCCTGGACAAACTCGGCCGCGGAATCTAATCACAGGGGAGAAGAAGCCATTCGATGTTTCGGAAGGCCTGAAGACAGCAACGGCCACAGCCACAGCCTCAGCCACCGCGATGTCGATGGCCTCGGCAAGAAATCTAGACGCTCGGAGACGACTAAGTCAGTCTGCTCAGCTACGTGCGAATCTCCCCTTGTTGGCGGAGGGTTGAGACAGCTCGTCGATAATGTTCTTCCACATACTTTGTCGGCTCGTCGCTCCTATTGGCGAACGAACGCATCCGTTCTTTAATTCCTAGCATTTCCATCCATCCATCAACTCGTTAATTCAAATCTAGCCTTTTTGTGCTTCTCCCCGGGGGAAAAAGAATTAGAGGAACATAGACACGTCTATAGAGATAGAATTGGTACTGAGATAGAAAACTTGAACGGCGTTGGGGAACATACATCGTTGTTAATTTGATTTGACGGCCAGGAAGCTAGACCACCTCCTTGGCTGGATACTGGGTTGGGCGGAAGACTTTCTTTGCTGCCAGTTTTGTTTGTTTGTTTGTGCATTAGATCATTCCCAGCTAGATAGATACCACGAAACGCTAGAACACTGGTTTTGTCATGATGTCTGCTGTTCTCTAAGTCTCTCCAACCTTGAGCGCATGATTGCGCGAGAAAGCGTATGAACAGCTAGTCACTTACTTACTGTGCCTAACCCAGAAGTATACCTCCGTAGGTAGTTGGGCTGCCCAAAACTAATCTTCGAAGTGTCGTATATAGCTTGGAGGTGCCTATTGACATACTCGAACACCGGGCTCCCGAGACTTAGTAAAAGTGATGAGTTGCATCAGGTGGATGTAGTTTGCAACATTTAGTCTCTCGCCGGGCAAGCATATACGAGCATTGTGTTAACCTAATTCCCAGGTACTGAGGAAAGAGGTTTGAGTACCTTGAGTCTCTTTGTGTGGCAATGCATCTCAGCGAACCCGGATCGGAAAAACCGAATCCGGATTCGAGTGCTGCCCCTCAAGATTCACGCGACCCTTGAGCCTCCCGGTCACGGACTCACGGTGGTTCGCGAGGTCCTTCAACGACGACTTCATAAACATATACCCATCTCCTTGATCGCCATCGCGCATCCTCTCGCGCTTCCGCCATCATGGCTGCCGCTGCACCTGGATCTACCAGCAAAGGTATTTTCGATATTTCCGGGCGTGCGCTCTGAGAAGATCTCACTAACCAAAGGTTGACAGCGCCCGTCGCGAGCGATGACGACTCGACCATCAAAGTTGCGCCCAAGAAGGAGAACAAGGACAAGTTAATAGGCACTATTAAATTAAAGAAGCCGCCGCCGAAGCACAACAAACCTGGGAACTGGCGCGATGGTAGCGTGATTGACGGTACGTTGACGCGAGAGGCTCAAGAGGCATGGCAAGACTGACGCTGATGCGATGCGATGCAGACGATAAGAAGAAGGGCACCGACACCTCCTCAGCAAACTCAGTACCAGCCTCCCCAGGCCCGGTTGTCAACCAGCTAGATGATACCGCACGAGAAACATTTGCCACTGGCCGGCCACTCGAAGATAGCCTTGATTTGCAACAGTGCAAGCACTGTAAGAAGAGCGTTCTCAAGACTACTATCAAGGCACATCTAGTAGCATGTTTGAAGGCGAAGAAGGAGAAGGCACAAAGAAAGAAGGAACAGAAAGAGGCTCGCGAAAGGGAGAGGAGGGGTCTGGGGGAGGAAAAGAAAGACGATGATGGTGATACGAGGATGGACGACGACGATGACGCCGACGATGATGTTTCTCCTGAAAAGAAAGGCCCTGAAGGCCTGAAGACTGCAAAGAAGAGTGCTGGGAAGAAGGTTGATGTGGACGATACAAAGAAAGGGAAAAAGCGTAAAGCCGACGGTGATGCTGAAAAGGGCCCCAAACCAAAGAAGAAAAAGGAGGAGCCAAAGTTAAAGGCGCCCAAGCCGAAAGGTACGCCATCCATACTCGCATTTTTCTCTCATTTCCTTTCATTTTCTTTTGAATATATATCTATATCTGGATCTAGTCTATGTGCTAACAGATGCGGGTAAAAAGGCCCAGTAGATGTTGAAAGGCAATGTGGAGTCATGAAAGATGGAGTTCCCTGCGCTCGCTCACTCACTTGCAAAAGCCATTCCATGGGTGCCAAACGTGCAGTTCCAGGCCGATCGTTACCATACGACATGCTTCTTACAGCATACCAGAAGAAGAACCAAGCCAAGCAGCAAAGTACCCTCCACCTGTCTCCCCTTTCATATGTCCACGTGTTAACAAACCCCCTTCACAGAAGCAGCAATCGATGCCAATGCTCCGCTCGAGGATGAAGAAGCTGCTAACGGCCCCGTCGATTCCGATGAAGAACTCACAGCTGTCATGCACGGCCTCTCCAATTGGAATCCGCAGCCTGTCGTCCCACCGCCTGTCCACATTCCCATCGAGAAACAATACATGCGCCAGAGACTATACGAGCAACTACATAATGCAACAAACGGGTTCACTGTCAATATCTTCAAAGTGGCCGGAGACGGCGTCAAGAAACGTCCGAAAACCGATACTATCCATTTGGATGCAGATGGTGATGCGGAGGGGGAATTAGATACTGGCTTGGGAATAGGGATGGCGGGAGTTGCGGCGCGGAGGGCAAGTGGATTCAATATGCAAATGCCGCCGCATAGAAAGACGTCGACTGCTGCTCAGCGGTAGGCATATCAAAGAATGTCTTGTTTCATCAATGGGACCTGGGTGGAGTTGGGGGTTTTTTGACAAGGAGATATATGATCATACAGTAATGTATTATGTGGAGCGGCGTTTGGGAGGATATTTACGCATTGGGAACGTCCAGCTACGGCTTGGATTTGGGAAATTGGCTGGTGGGTATTTCATGACAAATATGACTGGGCATTGGCTATAGCATTTGGATTAATTGAAGGATCCGGCTTGCTGCCATGTTGCACTTTTGCTTGCTTGATCCTCTTGTCCTCTTGACCTCTTGACCTCTTGACCTCTTGACCTCTTGACCTCTTGACCTCTTGACCTCTTGACCTCTTGACCTCTTGACCTCTTGACCTCTTGNCTCTTGACCTCTTGACCTCTTGACCTCTTGACCTCTTGACCTCTTGACCTCTTGACCTCTTGACCTCTTGACCTCTTGACCTCTTGACCTCTTGATCTCCACGAAGCATTCCTTATTCCTAATATATCTGCTAACCCTAAACTTGATACCTTGGTCGTTGACAAAATTATGAGTCTTTAAGTTTCAACACATTCTTCTACAACCAACAGGAGCAATACCACTATTATTTTATTCGTATTGTATTACTATAGCTCTAGAGGCAAGAAGCAGAGAACATGTGTTCCAAGCTATCAAGTACGCTTAGAGATATATCGTTCCCATTCCATCATCCGATGTATAACCACTTGCCGTTTGATAGACCGGGGGACCAATAGTGTGTTGCGAACCCATTTCGCCACGTGGAAAGTACGCCCCGTTCAGTAACCCACCGTTGTCAACCATCCCATTACCTTCACGACACCAATGATGCCGGCATAGTGCATCAGCCAACAATGCCCCGCATTATCTAGGACCGCCACATCAAATGGGTTTGCAGCAGGGAACAATTGTCGAGTATTAGGCAGGAATCCGGCGGTGTTCGTCCCACAGTCTACCGCTCCACCTGAATTGCAGAAGAGGGTATCATATTTTCCAGTCACCACGTACACAGGACCTGTAAAGCCGGAAGCAACAACGAGACCTTGTGTTATAGTGGCAACTTCACCCGTGGCCATTGTGCCTTGAAGGCTATAGTCGAGTTCGAAAATATCCTCACTATAATCATTGACGTGGTAGAATGTATCTCGGAAACCTTCCTTGTCGGCAAATTGTAGGTATTCGGGTGGAAGACTTCCGAACTTAGATGGATTGGTAATCTGGGCAGGGAGCAATGTGGCATTGATGCTTGTGACAAGGCTGGAGCTGTAGCCCGTGAGAACCAATACATTGACATCTGTCGGGTACTTGGTGACCAAGGCGTTGCCGAGCAGGGACCCGTAACTGTGACCTGCGTAGATGATCTTGTTGTAGCGGCGAGGGAGTGGTGAATTAGTTGAACGGATGAGGGTGAGAATCCGGTGAAGTGTCTCAACTTGAGCTTGCATTTGAACCACAAGATTGGGGTCAGGATGGGATGAATTGCCACTGCCTAGACAATCGATGGCGAGAGTTGGGTAACCGCTGACCGAGGCCCAGCTTACCCAGCTATTGCGATCCCAGCCATCAGCGGTCCAATCTATTGAAGTATTAATATCATAACGCTCCAATGCTTGATGGCTTAAATTGGTGACTTGAGGGCAATAGACTTACACTTGTTGGTGTAGGTTAGGCCGTGAACCAAAAATTGAAGAATATCACCATGATAGGGAAGGTTGACCTGCGGCTCGCAATAACGTGCAAAAATATTGAATGTTCCATCAACGGTAATGTTAAATGTGGGGGCAGTGACCACAGATAGATCCTGATTCTGGGCGTGGATAGTGACGGGGATGGTAAAATCGGTACACATGGGTTGTCGAGTTGCGAGGGGAGTTGCATTTGAGAACAAGCAAAGAGCAGAGAGTAGGAGGAGCGGAAGCCAACGTAGATTGCTTACGCGCGCCATGGTGATGACTTGTAGATGTATAGACTAGAAGTCCAGAAGGCTGGCAAATGTTTGGATCTGGATTATGTGGACGAGCGAAGAAAGGGAGGAGGTGTTATGAGGTGGGAGAGGAGAAAGGTACAAACCGGTGGAGAGGTTTATATAGATTCCTAGCACCCCTCCTTAGGAAAGAGGTGAATATAAATGTCATAATTGCTAGAGAGGATGGAAAGCGAAGTATATGTCTTGCTTAGTAGCGCTGAGAAACAGGTCGAAACGAGCCGCTACAGCAGCCACCAGATAATGCATTACTAGTAGCAAAAGCAGTGAATAATTCATTGTTACTCTCTAATCCGCCTTGGGGTCCTTCTCATCAAGCATGGGCGAATACTACCTAAACGCTAATTTGGTTTCCACGAATGCTGGAAAAGCCTATAGAAGGAGGGGATTTCCAACAGAGCGAAGTAAGGAGAGACAATTTTGCCAACAAAGCCCAACAAGCAGTTGCAGCTACAGCCCATATTGGCCAAGGGCAAGCACAGTATGATGACGGGAAGTATTGAATTCCACAGCTGCACGTGCTGGCGTGTGTGAACACAGTCAGAAAGAGCCCAAGCCAGTGGCACAGTTGCGAATAGAGCACACTGAGCGGAGACCCGTCCTCAAACTCTCGAGTGCTTTTGCTCACTTGATATATGTCTTACGCAACTAGGATAGCCATTGGATGGTGCAACGGCCAACCAACTGATTGTTGCCGTCCCTAAGAGCGTTTCAGCTCTTTAAATTGGACAAGTTTTGACGCCACTAAGCAGCAACCAGACCAAAGGAATTGCCATGACAGCGTAGGAAGTGATTAGAGCACAACGGAACAGATAGTGGCCGAGAGATTGATAACCAATGTTCCACGAGCATGGAATCGCCGAGTGAGGAATCCGTCCAGAAGCAGCACCAAGCATCACAAGATGCACCACCGACCAAGACATTATGGTTGAGGGTGGCGTTGTATTATGCCCCTGGCAGAGCTTTTCAAAGGCAAGATACATCGAGAAAGCCCAAGCAAGATCTTACTGCAGAGCAAACAACAAGACCTGAGGGGGCGGCAAGAACTCACGATCTAAGCTAGATTATCCGATATCACACGTTGTCATGCATGAGCGACGGGCAGAAATCCGAACCCCTGCTCGGGAAGTTTACCACGCCCTGGCCATGCTCAGCACCTGGCAAAGCGATAAAGGGGAAGAGATGGCTTTGAAGTTTGAACAGATCTATCCAGTCATAAACCTCCAATCAGCTTTTGCACTTTGTACATCTACCTCTGCTACCATGTTTTCCTGCCCGAGTGTAGACCCCGAAGGAACATAGTTACTAGCGCTTTGGTGTGCACTGAGGAGAATAGCGCTTTGAATGACGAGTGTGTCTTTCGCCAACTGCCATAAGGACCATGGATTTCTATCAGGTCAGTCTCCCTACCAGCAGCAGCGTGCAATCGCTGTTTAAGTGTCGCTATAGCGTGATGTTCATCATATCCTCTCCCTTAGATTGTAGCTAACTCAGACACACTCAAAACGCGCTATCATTCGCCGAACGAACCCAGGCCGACCAGTTAGTCGGATTTGGGTTTCCCGCAAAAGTTGGCGCTTTTCGGGCATATCAGATCAGAAATCTAGCCATTGACTTCGCCTTCTCGGTTTTAGGGGCCAGACACGGCAATGCTAGTTTTTCACCCTCAGTCCAATTTGGGCTCGTGTGGCTTATCTATCTATGCATATGTGTTGGAAGGGCGTCAGGGGATGCACGACGAACAGCTTTGTCAGTCGTCGCGGGAAGGGTGGACGGGCAAGCATATAGGTAGAGCACCAACCAGCCCCCGAAATCAAAGCCAGAAAGCTATCCCTCGGGAGTCTCTCTTAAACTCTTCGTATCTTCCATTTTCATCCTCAAAAGCAGTTTCCGACTCGGAAGGAAGTTAATGCTTGGCTTATGATTGCGGGATTTGAAATAATATGCTGAGAATTCGGCACTTAGCAGTTGTCCTGTCTGACATAGCGGTTGGAAGTACAAAGCAGTGGCTTTTCTTAGCGAAATTGTCATTTTCTTCATTCGCTTCATCCAATTTTCATATATTACCTCCTCTACTGTCATTCTCCCTGGCTCTCGGCGGCTATTCCGCTTTGGAAATGTTACTAACTCGAATCTCCTACGTATGTTTTATTTCGAACGCGAGTCACATCTTCATGTAAGGTTTCAATTGATTCAGCTTCCAGGATATGTTCGCTCAGGAATTAGGGTAATCTCATTACATTAAAACTACATAGTGGGTGGAATCCACGCAACCTCATTGTACAGATAATAGACAAGATCAGGCACGACGACAGGAGATGATGAAGTCCACGAGTTATGGCATTTAGCATTGTTGCATGTACCACCACGCCCATCTTTTCATCTCCCTTCCTTCTTCCCTCCGTCCTAGATGCTATTGGAATCGGACCTAAAACGAGCCATTCCGGCCCCGCGTTCACGCTTCGCAATAACAAAACAGCCGCGCGTACGAGGGGAAAAAAGGGTCCAAATACAAAACAATAAAAATAAAATAACCAAACACAAGAAGGAAGGTATTACAACACGATATCCATGCAGATAGTAAGTATCCAAGGCGCCCCAATTTTCACTACCGTCCCGCTATCCCCCGCTAGCATTTCAATTGCCGACTACCTCTTCCTCAGCCCATCCGTTCAGTCCATTCATGCCCCCCTCCTGAATGGCTAGCCCATACCCGTTGCCGCCAAATCCAGCATTCCCATTGCCAATGCCACCGGAGAATGAGCTCTGATACTGGTGCCCACGCCTTTGTTGATCGGAATTTCCAGTGCCATTCGCTCCATTGTCTTGGAAGCCGCCGTTTTGTTGCTGAGCGAACACCGGCAAGCTGACGGCACGGTTATGCTGGCTGCGGGCGGGTGCAAGCAAGCCGCCAATCGTGGTCGTTCCATTGGTTCCATTCTGCTGGAAGCCATTTGCACCGCTAATGCTTGCGCTTTGTTGGTGGCCCATCCCTTGATTATGTTGCGGGACGTCAAGTGCATCGATACTCGAAGGGGAGTTGCTGCCACCGTACAGGGCAGCCTGCTGCGCCGCGAGCACCTGTTGTTGCTGTTGCTGGAGCTGAGCTACGGAGAAGGGGTCTAGCTGTTGCTGCTGTTGAGCCTGCTGCTGTTGCGAGACTTGGTTCAGATACATTGTGAGAGGGTTGTTATTCCCTGCATTGAGGATGGTGGATGGTGTAGGAGCAGGCTGGAAGTTTTGGGCAGAGCCGTTGGTAGAACCGGGTGCTGCAGACCCAGTTGGAGAGGAACCGTTCTGGCTAGGCTGGAGGCCACTGCTGTTGGGAGGCGGAGAGTTGACGCCATCGTTGCGTGGAGATTGAGACTGCTGAGCCTGCTGGACTTGACGAGGAGGGTTACCGCATCGATCCTTGCCAAAATTGACTTTGAAACGACGATACTCCTCCTTCCCGCGAACAGCCTCAATTGCCTTGATGGCATTCGCGATGTTGGTGAAGTTAACAAACGCACAGCTCTTTTCACGGAGAGTGTTCACAAGCTCGATCTCCCCGTACTCTGCAAAGTCCTGTCTCAGCCTCTCCTCGGTCCAGGATTCATCCAAGTTCCCGATGTAAACGTTGCGAGAGGCTCCGCCACTGACGGCAAGAGCAATCGCAGCTGGAAGGGCACCGGAATGCTTTCCCCACCCAATCTTTAGCCTCCTGTTGTGGATCATTAAACCCTGTAAATTACTCAAAGCATAGAAAGATGCAGCCGAAGTAGGGTCAATAAATGTGACGAAGCAGATATGCTTGTCGGGTATATATCGAATGTGGTGTAAAAGTCCACCTCTAACAACATTACAAATCTCTTCAATAGTAGTTTCGGGATGAATGTTTCCCAGGTAAACAGTTCGGTTGCCAAGGTTGTTAATTCCTCCAGCGGTTGTTGCAACAGCAGCCGCGGCCACGGATTGTTGGGCCAGAGCATTGGAAATCAGGTCGCGATCAGCTCCATTGAGAACATGAGCATACCCAGGAGCAATACCAAGATATTGTGCAGCATTTTGTTGCTGAGTCTTGGAAACATAGGCACATCGATCCTTTCCGTAGTAGACGCGACGTGGAGCTTGCCACTTGGGTTCTTGTGGAAGTTGGGAAACAGCCTTGATAGCATTGCCTATCGAGAGGAAATGGACGAAGCCAATTGCCTTTTCACGGACAATCTTAACCGTATCGATGGGACCGAACTTGCTCAGATCCTCCCGCAGCTCGTCCTCCGTCACATTCTCATCGAGATTGCCCAAGTACACATTTCGCGAAGCACCTGACTGCTGGACAGCAAGTGCAACAGAGGTGGGAACCTGGGAAGGCTTTCCCCAGCCGACCTTGATATCCTGGCCTCGGATGGACAACTTTTTCAAGATGGCATCAGAATGGAAATGGGTGGCCGAGCTTCCATCTAGAAAGGAGATGAAAGCGCAGTTCTTATCGGGCAGAAGTCGCACAGACTCGATCTGTCCGCTCCTCACATGGCCCAAGATCTCTTCGGCAGATGTCTCTGGAGGAATGTTTCCTAGATACACAGTTCTGCTAGTGCCCGAAACTAGACCTGGCGACATGTGGACGGGCGAGGAAGGTTGAATCTGCATCTGCTGCATCTGGTTGTTCATCCCTGCGAAGGACCCTCCAGTAGGAGATTGTGGATTATAGAACTGGGGTGCACCATAGGTCGAAGGTGAGACAATATTCTGGTAGATTTGGGGGGACATCTGTTGCTGTTGCTGCTGCTGATTATTATGCTGCTGCTGCTGGAACGTGGGATAGTTCTGGAATTGCGGGCTGGCGAATGCGGCTGGCGTGCCTGGCTGGAACGGGGAGCCGAGGAGCAGTTGGGAGGGGAGCAAGGGGGTAAACTGCATGTCAAAGCCAGTTCCAGGCGTTGCCATGTCGGCCTGGCCCTGCTGACCCATCGGCTGTGTGTTTATCGAAGGAATGTTGGCTCTTCGCGGATGCCTATCGCCATATCCACCCATAGCAAACTGATTCGAGCTGTATGCCCCGTGGGAGAATCCTGTATCGGTGGTCGAAGGCTTCGAGGCATGGCCTGGGAATCGATTCGCTGTCGCGGCTGCTGGCCCATTTGGCACACTTGGTGCTTGGGTTTCCTGCATCCCGTGAAGATGAGGCGGCAGGACAAAGCTGTCCCGCACAAGTGGTGACAATACAGCCGTTTTGACGGATTCAAGGTGCCTTGGGGAGGCACGCAGGTGGAGACGTAGGGAGTGACACGCTCAACAGATGGTGAGCAATCGAGGACCGAGGGGAGGCGAAGCGTGCGATAGTAATGCGAGTTTGATGTATGGTATTAAGCTATTCTAAGTATGGCCGGCTTCGTGAAGGTGATGTTCGGTATAGACAATGTTGCTTGCATGGATTAGGTCGAGTTGTATACAAGCAGCATCCGCGTTGGGGATCTGGATTCGAGGCGGAACAAAGCCAGCAAGCACTCGACCGATGGACTCGAGTAGAGAAGGAATGCAGGACCTGGTGTTCCCGGGACCGTTTGGATTGGCGTGGTAGGAGGCGGTGAGAGGGAGTGAAGAGAGGCTCAACAATTGTGAAGACAAAGAACACGAAGGGGGGGGCCTGGACCAAGGCGGAAATGAGTGAGATACGGTAGAGGTCCGTAATAGTAATAATAAGTAAAAATGGCAGCGAGGAGCTGAATGGAAGAAGGGGATAAAGTATAAATGGCCTTCGTAAGGAGCGTGGTGTAGTGAACGAAGAACGAAGAACGAAGAAAGTGAAGCAAAAGAAAGAGAGTGAAGGTTTTCGAGTGTTGGGAACCAGGAGAGGAGCAGGAGAGCGAGGAAGACAGAGGACAGGAGGACAGGAAGTCGACCGGCCGAAAGGGGTAATCCTCATTTCGCGGGAGCAGCGGGGCTAGGCTGGAAACATCTTAGCCGCGATCAGGGAGGTGTGCGAAGAAGGGTTGGCTGCCTGACTCCTGAGGCCGACAAAGCCTAATTAGGTCCCTAGTTACGGCGGATACAAATTATAAAATTATATTGATAAATGCGTTAGCAGGTTCCTTGTGTTTTTGTTTCTAATTTGTTGGTTTATTGATTGCCTTGTTGTGAATAAATGGGGATCGGTATCCTATGCAGATTTAATTAACAACCAACACTTTCCTTCTTCTCCTAGGTATGGACTGATTCTCTGGGCGTGTACCGAGTATATTCGTGGCGTATTGGCAACTCCTTACTCCCTACCTCCTACTCCCTACTTCCTACAGCACTTGTACAACCAACCTAGACCCTGGGTATCTTGTCCGTAGAGCCCAGACCCGACGGGGGCCACAGTGCACGCTTTACTGCTACAGCAACCCCCGTACGTGCTTGTACTGTATTCTGTACCTGCAGGTAGAGCGAGCACGCACTGTAAGTACAACCTCGCCTAAACTTCGGGGCAATCGAGGCGGCCTGGACGAATATAAGTACCGTATACTCTATGCAAACCTACGAAGTACGGACCCAGAGCATATCAAAAGTTTCATTAGCCACTGAATGCAATACGGAGAGCAAGCCATTCTCGAGTTTCGTTTAATGTGTCCCGTCCATTCAGCTATGAGGATCCCACCATAACTACCGCAACGCTTTCTGGGAGATCTATGCGTTTCCACAGCAGGATGCGATCGACCAAGAGAAACATGCTCAGGGCTTGCAGCGCCCCATAAACCTGGGATACAAGCAACAGGTGCGAACAGAGTGCTGGTTGCAGATCCATGCGACGAAACGCTCCAGCCCCAATCCATATCCACCATGAGGGGACGTTCCATATCTATGCTTCATGTTAGTATAGATGATCGATATACATATTCTAGCGCTGCATCTCGGACTTACTTTCGCTGCTCGGTGTACCAGTAATAGTCCTTGGGAGAGATTCCTTCTCGCTTGTATGCCTCCATCAACTCCTCATAGCCCTCCATTCTCATTGAGCCTCCGACAATCTCACCCACGCCCGGCATCAGGACATCAACACTCTCCGTGACACGGCGGTCGGCTTCGTCCTTCTTCATATAAAAAGCTTTGATTGTAGTAGGGAATTTTTGGAGAAATATCGGCAAGTTGATGATATCAGTCATCCTCCGCTCAGCGGCCTCAGCGATATCGTCTCCAAACACGTGAGGGTTTCCCTCTTCGTTGAGAATTGGGGGATCTTGCGCGTTCAACCAGTCAATAGCCTCCGTGTATTGCATGCGCTTGAATGGCCTTGTTGGCGCCTTAAACTCGGGGTTAAGCTCTTTAATGTAAGCAGCAATCTCCTTATCGTCCATGACCGTTGTGATAACCCGGCTGATTATATCCTCTATATGATCCAGGAGATCATCGAAGTCGATAAAATCCATTTCGGCCTCAACGTGGGTATATTCAGACAAATGACGGCGGGTGAGAGACTTCTCAGCGCGGAAAGACTTCTCGACACAGTAGACGTTGCCCAGGCTTGGAAGTCCAGTCTCAAGGTAAAGTTGGGATGACTGGGTTAGGTATGTCTTCTCGCCGTAGTAATCTAGTTCGAACAGGGTAGAGCCACCTTCAACTTGAGTTTGGACAAAGGCTGGAGGGCTGATCTTGGTAAAGTGCATCTCTCTATACGCCTTTGCAAATGCCCATTCTACGGCAGACCGAACCTTCATAACTGAAGATGCCGTATCACCACGGAGTACTAGGTGGCGGTTGTCCAGCATCTGTGACTCCCATGGATCCTGTTGGGATGAGACTTTGTTGGTAATAGCATCTGCATCGGAAGGACTGCGACCAATGACCTTATAATAGTCTACATGTAGTTCCCGGTCGTCTGGGGCTTGTTGGCCAGCTAGGACCTTCCGAATCTCTCCATAGACGGTCAACGAAGTGCCCTGGGCAAATGTCAAGGCATCATACGTCTTGGTAAGGTCCCCAGCGGCTAGAACGCATTGCAGATGGCCGTATCCATCGATCAGAGTAATGAACGTAGCTTGCTTTTGTTGTCGTAGACGGTGTATACGGCCGGAAACCTTGACTCGAGTTCCCTTGATATCCCCTTCGCCTAATTGGACATCCTTATTTCCAATTGTGATCTTAACAGCTTTCGGCAAGGACGTGTCTTCGGTGATCACAATTTTCTTCGCATCTTCGAGGTTCTTGAGCCGTGCGGTTTCTAGCTCCTCCTCCTGGGCCGCCCGCTGCTGTTGCTTCAAAAGCTTTTTTTTGTGGGCATCTAATGCGCTCTGGGCCTTCTTGACTGCAGCCTTTGCAGGATCTTTCCACACAAGTCTCTCAGCCGGATCTCCGTTTTCGTTGACGGGCGCCGTAACGGAGGCACGCGATTTGTATGTTTTCCCTTCGCTACCACCTTGTTGGATATAGGCGTATGCCAGAGACTTGTATGGTTTGTTCTCCGAACCAGTCGCGGATGTTTCGTCGGCGCCCGTGTCTGTGTCGATGTAAATCGCGCCCGTATCTGTGTCCATCTTGGTCCGGTCTGCGAGTTCTTGTATTGCGGCCATGCTCAAGTTGTCATGCGCGGGTTGCGAGAAGTTGAAGGCAGAGGGAAGTTGGAGTTGGAATGGGGATTGGGATTGGAATTGGAGTTGGAATTCGCAGGTGTTTTGTGTCGTCCCTTGGTGGGCTGGTGGGGTTGTCTTGGGCATCCCTTGCGCTGTCGGATGAGTCAAAGCGGTGCGGTCACATCAAATCCGTCCCTGCGCGTTTATCAAATCCATTTACACGAACGCGACATCATTTGGAGACGCGTCGAAGTCGAGACTTTTGGGTTGAGAAGTCGAGTCCGCTTGACCGTAATTCCTCATTTGGAGCTCCACGGCAAATAACTCCCAGGCCAAGGCACACGCAATTGCAGTGCTTCTTTAGAATCCATTTCTCACATCTTAATGCTTCCTGCCGTGTAGTCCTCGGAGTACTGCGATTCTGACAATACCGTCTCATTGCGTGGGATCAGCAGTCTTCTCGTTTCTCGACAGGCAAGACAGGCTCTCGCTCTTACCATTACCAGCGTGGCTTCACGACGGGTCTCCGTGTGGGTATCCATAGCACGGAGCTCCTGCGCAAGACTCTACTACACAATGCCTCCAAAGCAAGCTACGTTGGGGTATGTCAAAAATTCCCAGACCACCTTAGGGTGCGTAACTCTGGAGCAATCGATGTGCTATCTATGCAGTTCCCCGTTGACGCGTATGTTTCTTCACAGGAAATTCTTCAAGAATCCCAATGGCAGCGACCCGGCAGCCCCGCCCAAACAATCGAAACTCGCATTATCATCTCGATCAACCGCGAGAAGTGGCACCGCAGGTGAAAGCAGCGTGGCCGATAACAAGGATCATGATTCAATACAAGGAACTTCCGATGCTGAGGTCGAGGTGATAGTGAAAGAGGAGACCGTTGATTCGAAAGAAAATATGAGCCCCCCAAGAGGTATTTTATTGGCGCCAGGGTAGCACCAAACCACCGGTTGCTGATAGTACACACGTGTAGAAACGAAGAAGCGCTCTAGGTCCCCACCTGGAAAATCTGAAGCGAAATCAAAGAAGGCCGAAGCCAAACAGGAGCCTGCTGAGGACGAGGGGGATGATGATGAGCCTATTATTAAACGACCACGGCGATCCGCGAAGACAGATACAGCAATTGCAGAATCCGTTACGCCAAAATCAAAATCAAAAAAAGCATTTGAAACTCCAGCAAAAGCCGCTAATGGTGAACTACCCCAACGGAAAAAATCCAAGGGAGAAGGGCACAATTTTGATGACGCGGAAATCATTCCTGCAAACAAGGAAGAGATGGAGAAGCGAGAGGGTAGCCCTTCATCTGCATCAGAGGTTGAAGAGGGTATAGAAGAGGACGAGGAGGACGAGAAACCAGAGGTCGCTGCAAAAGCTCGGGAGAAAGTCCAGACTACTCTAAAATCGAAAGCAAAAGATCCTTACCCGGATTGGAAGCCTGGAGAGCCGGTCCCATATGCGGCTCTATGTACAACGTTTTCGTTGATTGAGATGACCACGAAGAGGCTTATTATCCAGGCCCATTGCTCGTTGTTCCTCCGCCAGGTTCTGCGGCTTACTCCGGGCGATCTTCTTCCTACTGTTCTGCTTATGATTAATAAGCTTGCTGCGGATTATGCTGGTGTTGAGTTGGGTATCGGCGAGTCTCTCATTATGAAGGCAGTCGGTGAGACTACGGGTCGCAGTTTGCAAGTGATCAAGCAACATCAAAAAGAAATTGGAGACCTGGGCTTAGTAGCTGTTAAAAGTCGAGCGAATCAGCCTACGATGTTCAAACCAAAGCCATTGACCGTTAGAGGTGTGCATAAGGGCCTGATGGATATCGCTACAGTCACGGGCAATGGTGCTCAAGGACGGAAAGTTGATGCCATTAAGAAGTTGCTCTCAGCTGCAGATGGACATATGTCTGGAAAGGTTGATATCACCAAAGATAAAGGAGGTGCAAGCGAGGCGAAATTTGTTGTTCGGTTTCTTGAGGGAAAGTTACGTCTTGGGTTAGCGGAGAAGACTGTTCTTGTTTCCCTCGCCCAAGCTATGGTATGCCATGAAATAGAGTCAAAACAGGAATCCGGAGCGGTTCCAAGCACCGATGAACTGGCAAAGGGCGAGTCGATATTGAAGGAGGTCTATAGGTAAGCAGCTGAGGTACCATTGCGAACATTGAACTTACAATTTGTAGCGAACTTCCCAGTTATGAAGTCATCATTCCAGCAATGTTGGAACATGGAATATTTAAGCTGCATGAAAATTGCAAGCTACAACCAGGCGTGCCTCTCAAGCCTATGTTGGCGAAACCTACAAAGGCCATTACGGAAGTTCTCGATCGATTCGAAAACCAGACATTTACTTGTGAATACAAATATGACGGCGAAAGAGCGCAGATCCATTACGTGGCTAAGGATTCTAGAATGCAATACAAAGGTCCTGCTGCAGCTGCTACGAAAACGTCAACCGGCGCAATTTCCGCCATTTTCTCTCGAAATTCAGAGGACCTCTCCAAAAAATATCCGGATATCTTGGCCAAACTGAACACCTGGGTCAAGAGTGATACAAAAAGCTTTGTTCTTGACTGCGAGACGGTTGCTTGGGATCTTGTGGAGAAGAAAGTTCTGCCCTTCCAACAACTCATGACCCGGAAAAAGAAAGATGTCAAGATTGAGGATGTTAAAGTTAAGGTTTGTGTGTTTGCATTTGATTTGTTGTTCTTGAACGGCGAGGCAGTGGTCAAGAAGTCGCTTCGAGACCGACGAGAGCTGCTTTCCAATGCTTTTAATCCTATAGAAGGCGAATTTGCATTCGCTACTCACATGGATGGGCAAGAACTCGATGACATACAGCATTTTCTTGATGAAAGTGTGAAGGCATCTTGTGAAGGTCTAATGGTCAAGATGCTGGACGGGAAAGAGAGTGGCTATGAGCCTAGCAAACGAAGTCGCAACTGGCTCAAGGTACGTACAACACTATATCTTCTGACCTCTTACTAACTGTTCAAAGATCAAAAAAGATTACCTCTCTGGCATTGGCGACTCGCTTGACCTGGTCGTGCTCGGAGCCTACTATGGAAGGGGGAAACGCACCTCCGTCTATGGAGCTTTCCTTCTCGCGTGCTACAACAGTAATACCGACACCTATGAAACAGTTTGCAACATTGGCACTGGATTTTCCGAGGCTATTCTTGAAGAATTGTACACTCAGCTTAAAGATATCGTCATCGATCGCCCGAAACCCTTCTACTCTCATTCGACAGGTAACCCGCACCAGCCTGATGTCTGGTTCGAACCGAAATACGTTTGGGAGGTCAAGACTGCCGACCTGACTTTGAGCCCACGGTACAAGGCAGGGTCCAAGGAGGGTGTCGATCCTAGCGGGGAGAAGGGCATCAGTTTGCGGTTTCCGAGATTTATTAAACTGAGAGACGACAAGAAACCAGATATGGCGACTAGTTCGAGGCAGGTAGCGGAGATGTATCGAAAGCAGGAGAGTGTGACGAAGAATAAGGGACCATCGGTGGATGATGATTTCGAGTATTAATAGATACCATCATGAGGGTGATGTAGGATTAGGGTCTGGGTCGGCTGGGATTGCATGGCGGGCGGCAACTGATTTGTTTATATATTCATGAACTGCATTAGCTCTACTCAGCGAAAGCCATCTACTAAAAATACGTCTTCAAATTGCAGCATATGAAAGTCCAAACTGGGAGGAGTCCTGGGGGATTTAGTAAAGATATCTGATACTCTCAGTATCTCAACGAATCCAACCGATATCTCGTTAGTCCTAGAGACAATGTCTCTGTGGATTAAAACGCTCCGCAGACGCACTACACGTCGAAAGACCAGTCGAGACAGCTGGTTGGATCGTTCCATCTTGCCCCAGGCTAAGAGCTTTATGACCTTCAGCACCCGGGTTAGTAATTAGCCAGAGAGTTATCTACCCCACGGATGCTGCGTCCCTGTCCAACCCTTCTAATTTTGCCTGCTCCTTTAAACGATGCTTCCTCGCTCTCCCGATCTTGATCTCAACCTCCTTCATCTCTGCATCCACGCTTACAAGCTTTGGGATGATATTTTCTATCATCTTGACAGCTTCGCTCTGTGCCAACTTCAAAGCTGGCGGCACGAAGACCCCGAATATGCGAATTGGATCTCTAGATCTTGGCTTGGTCTCTGCCTGCCCGTTGTCTTTCTCTTCGTCTAGTTCCCTAGCGTTCTCCTTCTCATTCGGATCAATATCATCTTTCTTAGCCATTCCACTAGCAGCATCGTCCTCCAGGCAAGCCGTTGACACCACCGTGTATGCAGCCGCGCTTGTTCTTGTACCCGTAGGATTCTCCGAGTTTATGTGGCCAGGGACCGTCACACGACATACTCTTGTCGCCTGTATACGTTCATCGTAGAAGTCGGCGCCATATCGGACCCCGCGCTCCGCAGAAAAGTTGGCGCGGGCAATGCTTTGGTAGATCTATGAGGTATGAGGTATGAGATGCAAAGTTTAAAAAGCCAGTGAGAGAACTTAGAATTCGAGTCTAGGGGGAGAACAAAGGGAGCCTGGGAAGCGACCTACTGTTGATTGTGTTTTGCTGAGTGAGGAACGCAGGGTCGTGTATTGATCGAGCAACTGCAGATACTGCTCTAACAGCCGGTCAATTTCGTCCGACAGCCTGATCGTGGTGTTCGGGACTGCGTCTGCGGACATGCTGATCACTTTCCCTACTACTTCAAAGGGTAGTGTTTGGGTTGTTCAACTGCGATCTCCTGTAAAAGAAGCTAATATGCGCTGAGGTACGTAGTGGTAGATAGCTTGGTAGGAGCCGGCTGGCTGCTGGGGGCTGTTGAAACTTGAAAGAGCGCATACGTAGAGGGGCCGAGGAGCGGCTAGGCAGGGATGACGGCAAGTGCTTTTGATGAAGCGATACGCACCGTCACCACGCAAGAATGTAGCTCAAGTCTAAAGATATTATTTAGATATCTCTCCCTGCGTACCTACCTTAGGTACTTTGTGTTGCTACTGGAAGCGCATAGGGGCAAAGGGCGAGTACTGTCACCTTAGGGCTGCGCAAGCTGCAACGTCCCGTGGATATTATATGCGAGTACTGTATAGTATTGGGGGGGGGGGTACGTTTGTCATACGAAGTGTATGAGGAAGCGCCTAGTGTCAGGCCCGGAAGACGGATAGAGTACGTATAGAATAGATGCGATAATAAATTATAAAGGAGAAGTAGAGGATATCGCATATAAATAAGGTACGTACAAGTACTGAGGGGGGGTGCTTACTTTTAGGTAAGGTGCCTTGGGTACTTTCATGGCGGTGGGCTACAGTATAAGTCAGTTGTAATGTAATACGTGCTAGCTACACAGAGTAGCACGTATACTAGGTGTGTAGTGTAGTGGTGGTGCTACTCTCCGAAGTACTGACGGTGCCTACTTTGTACTTGGTGGCCATATCACCAACCCGCAACCCGCAATCCGCAATCCGCAGCTAACAGTTCATCCTCAAAGCCAACACGACATCTCCCTCGACTTCCCATTATCACTTCCATCCTCATCCTCATTCCCTTTCCCCTCCCCCTTTCTCATCCCTCAAGCATCCCAACCCACCGCTGCTCCCTCCAGCTCCTTTATCTCCCCTCCCCGATCCACTCCCCAGGCGCACAGGGCAGAGGAGCCCGGCGCATATCACCACCAAGTCCTCCGCGCCTCCACTCCTCTCACCGTTGATCCCCCCAGATTCGAAATTCGATACCCTCGACTCCTTGAACGGCATTTATTGGGCATTGGCCTGTTTCACCACGCTGGTCTCCTACAACTCCCAGCTGGTCGCCGCGTCAAGACCACCGACGCCCTGTGCCCATCTCACTTCCTCCTGGAAAGCAATTCCCTCATAATAACTGCCTCTAATCGACGACGTTTGCGGTCTCTCCTCCGTTGGAGTAGTACGGTACGGTGCCAGTCAGTAGGTTACCTCCCTTCACCAGTTCACCTTCAGCCCTCCTCCGATCCCTGTCACCGATCCCCATCCTCGATTCCCTCAACGCGTCTAGGAGTTCGACCCACGTTTTCAATTGCACCAGCAACTTGAACCGCGGCTCCTTCTCCCTCCCTCTCCCCCCCTTCTCCCACCGATCTCTCTCTCGTGCGGTCGTGTGCAATAAATATCGTACTGTGCCGTGCTGAACTGCAGTGCGCGCAGGGCCTTGATCTCGCTTTAGCCGCAACATAATCAATCGAGCCAATTCCGAATAGGGTCGCCCAGCGTCAGTCACCGTGCTAGCTACTCCCTCAGCTTTGTCGGCGCACACCCCGACTTCTTGAGATTCAGAGCGCTTGTCCGCACGTTTGTGCCTCGGAATCGTCGATCTGCATACGGATCCAAGTCTCACTTCCAGCCTCTATTTGCGAACTTAGACCACGCGTCGAGCTCCGAGATCGAGTGTCGCGACAACTCCCCCCCTGTCACACGAGAGAAAAGGAGGTACCATCGTGCTATCAAGCTGGAGAGCGTATAAGTCGGAACAATGGTCGTCGCAACTATAAAGTAAGAGCTTCCTCCGGCGGACCGCCGCCAGATGTCTTCCTAGCGACAAGCATAGATAGAGAGTCGGTGGGCTGTGAGCGTACAGGGTTTCAGTTCACACAGCTAACTGGCGGTCATTGTCTAGGTGCGTGGTCGTCGGCGATGGTGCAGTTGGCAAGACTTGTCTGCTCATTAGTTATACGACAAACAAGTTCCCTTCCGAATATGTTCCTACCGTCTTTGATAATTATGCTGTTACTGTTATGTGAGTCGGCGCTATTCTATCTCTCTGCTTGCATACCTATGCATATACCGGTTTACATAGCACAACCCCCTATACCCTTAATACGCACATTTCGGTGATGTGATGCGTTGATTCTAATATTGGGACCTAGGATCGGTGACGAACCATATACCCTAGGACTTTTCGATACAGCTGGACAGGAGGATTACGATCGTCTACGCCCTCTCTCTTACCCTCAGACCGACGTTTTCCTTGTCTGCTTCTCCGTCACCTCCCCCGCTTCTTTCGAAAACGTCCGCGAGAAATGGTTCCCCGAAGTCCACCATCACTGCCCTGGCGTACCCTGCCTAATTGTTGGAACCCAGACCGATTTAAGAGATGACCCCAGCGTGCGGGAGAAGTTGGGCAAACAGAAGATGCAGCCGGTCCGGAAGGAGGATGGTGAACGAATGGCAAAGGAGTTAGGAGCAGTCAAGTACGTGGAGTGCAGTGCTTTGACTCAGTACAAGTTGAAGGACGTTTTTGATGAGGTGAGCTCCTTCTCCAGGCTGGCAATAGTGGTTTGAGGCTGACAACAATACCTCTAGGCAATTGTGGCTGCTCTGGAACCCCCACCACCAAAGAAGAGGTCCCGACACTGCTTGATTCTCTGATCTTGCCAGACCATCCTGTCTCCCCTTACATAGAGTGCACACCCCATTACCCCTGCCATCCCACTTCATCTTTCTTCAGTTCACCCTCATGATTCAGATCCAAAGCCGTTCTGAAAGGGGAGCCGTACTTTATTTGCTACTCTGGGAAGATCAAGGGAGGGGATCTTTGAAATGTTACTACCTTCTGACAGACAATTCGGCGTTTTAGTGAGATGGATATGTATTTTCCGCCGAATTCTTCTCCTGGAAATGTTGCTCTTCCCTAGGAGCTTCTACTTTTTAGTCAGGAAATTCTCAATCAGATCAACTAAATTCGGTTTTTTTTGCTTCGTCTTTCGAGCAACTATCTTTGTTGCGACCAAGGTAAGCTTGTAGGATTGTCGGAGCGGTAGGTTGTGATTGATTATTCTAGCAAATAGGCACATAGAGGCAAATTGGTAGGAATTTATTTATTTTGAAAGCTCGGGGTCCGTTGTTCGGCGTCTCCTAGGATATATCGATGTTATGCATATCGAGTCGTGGAATAAAGTTGGGTTAGGGTGGATGAATGGTTCCGCGTGGGGTTATTAAGTTAGTTATGTCGAGTCCCCGCCTGGATCAATCCCGTCGGCTTCCCCGTTTCCTTCACTAGGCTTGTCTTCCATGTTGGCTAAATCTAATGGCTCTTTAACATCTGGTCAAATTGAGCAAGTATCGAGAAAGCTCCAGGAGCTCTACTACGGCAGACAGGTTAGGTCACAAAGACCAAGATAAACAGGCGAGATAAGGACTTGACTAATAATAAGCTCTTGGCTTCCATGGATATACTACGTAGTCGCTTGATAGCCAAATCTTTCGGATTATGTTTCAACCTGCCTCGTGCTATGTTGAGACGGCTGGGAACCTGCACCTAGAAGGTGGTAAGAATTTGCAATATTAGACTGCGTGGCATTGGTAATATTGAAGTTGGCCGAACCACTAATGCGTTGTTGACATGACATTTAGTTTCCTTGACACTAGACCCTCGAGATATAGCGTGCCTCGTCATAACCAACCAAAAAAAATCGCCACTACCATCATTCATCATAAAGCTCCTCGGGGGCAGATGTCCGACTTTGGATCAAAGGGTATCTGGGATCGTTCTCGTTTTAAAGCCATGAGACCTGCAGCGGCTTTGAGGTCCAGTGAGGTACTGATGGAGCCGTGTTTCCGAGTCGTGTTCTGGTTCTATGCTAAGATTATTTTTGGCCATTCTCCTCCAAACCCATCCTTGGTGGGCCAGCCTAGCGGTTGATTATTCTCTACAAAAGATTAGCTATCCTCTACAAATGAATATGACCCATAACGAATACAGAAAGAAAGTTCTTCCAGAATATCTCGTTACCTATATCGCTAGTCTAATTCTTTTTAGACAACATGATGTGCGGCCCCACCCCCTTTTTAAACTTCGAAGGAGTCAGTGCAGTTCCAGTATATCTGAGAATTTTCATGCAGATCTCTTGTGTAACTGTTAATAACCCCATACCCATCTTCCTACGCCCCACATTGCAACTTACAAGCACACACGTCTGCGAGGGGCATATGCACAATATACAGTAGTCGTTATTGGATAGGTGCTTTGCAATTGCTACCATGCTACATAGCTTACCCTGTACGGAGACATTTAATTAGACGTCGCCGACCTATGGGCCCCGGCAAGTTCGTAAGCTCAATTAGTCCCGGTCATCACATTTTCTGAATTCGTCTTCTTGGATGCGGGGCAAGCAGTTTGTCAGTCTGCTGGTTGTCGGATATTCTCAATTTCTCGCTATGCCTATATCTGCTTATGCCGGTAAATATAGCTGCTTAGTAGGGATCTCTCTCATGTACAAACCTTTCGGATACGCCCCAGACTATATAGTTGGGAAGTTAGCCATGCTTAGAACTCCGCTAGAGATTCGAAGTTGGTCTTCACAGTGAGCTTCTACTGAAACCACATTCAGCTGGTTGTTTCTTGTATTGTAATCCCATCATGAAGTTTCTATACGTCATTAATATACTATTACGGTGCCTTGTCTCTGTTCATTGCGTCAATTTTCCGTGGGAGAGCGTACACTTGACAGACAATGAGGTCCAAGGACATCCCGAAATTGCCTTTGGAAACCGGCCAACTCCTCTAATGATCTTCTCAAATGGTACAAACACAACGACCTGCAAAACATATCCTGGGGATATCAACTGGCCAAGTCTCAGCATATGGAATGAGTTCAACAAGACGCTCGGGGGAGCACTTATCAAATCAATCTCCCCAGTCTCGGTGTGCTACCGTGGAGTGGATTATAACGCTGCAAAATGCGCCTATGTGAGGGAAAACTACGCAAATTCTACCTTCGAGACGGACGACCCAGCTGCCCCAGTAGCTCCGTGGGTCGAAGGCAATACGTGTCCACTCCCGCCAGCATCTGGAAATGCATCCTACACCAATTCGAGTTGCACTTCCGCTGGTTATCCGGCTTACGTAGTCAATGCTACAACTGTTAAACATATACAGCTAGCAGTCAACTTTGCCCGTAATACCGATATTCGCTTGATCATCAAGTAAGTAGATCCCCGACGGATTTTCTCTCCATTATGTATCTCCCCTCTCTCCTTGCCAGTCAATCTAACGTTGTCAACAGAAACACTGGGCATGATTTCCTGGGCAAGTCGGTTGGCGCTGGGTCCCTTAGCATATGGTCTCACAACCTCAAAGGCTTCAAGTATCTTCCTTCTTTCAGCATTGGCGACTACCAAGGAAGAGCTGCAAGGGTAGGATCAGGTATGCAGTCCTATGAAATCCAGAGATCGCTTATTGGACTTGATGCCACCATCGTGGTTCCTGGAGGAACCACTGTGGGGGCTATTGGGGGCTTTTTCCAAGGAGGTGGACACTCAACACTTACTTCATTGTATGGCTTGGGTTCTGATCAAGTGCTGGCAATAAATGTTGTAACCGCTGATGGACGTTTTATTACGGTTGATCCTGATAACAACGACGACCTCCTCTACGCAATGCGTGGGGGCGGCCCAGGTAAGCGTCAATTCCAACTTGAAGACCCCTTCTAACTTTTTGGAGGGACATGGGGTGTTGTAACCTCTGTGATCTACAAGGCGCACGAATTAACTCCAATCTCAACCTCGCCAATTCGATTCGCAGGCGCCGCACCCGGTAAAAATAATACAGCATTTCCTCTAGAAGCTTTTTGGGCCGGTATCCGGGCCTACTTCAAATTTTCACCTCAAATCTGTGATAGGGGTGGTATCGGATACAACTTTATCAAGCATGAAGGTACCAACAACGACACCCTCACATTTACCGCCGATCTCAGAATGCCATTTATGAGCGTTAAAGAGGTTAGAGCGTTCGCAGCACCCCTCATCAAAGAACTCAACAAAGTTGGCCTAAATATCACGAATCCAGTCCCCACGCATGACACTGGAATTGCCTTTACCCTGGGCTCCATAGGTGACAAGGTTGGAAATTCTCGGTTCGCCACTCGTCTCTTCCCTCGCAAAAACTTCGAGGACGAAGACAAGCTTGATAGCACTACACGTGCCATCCACTCGTTCGTAGACGGCGGTTACAATTTCCACGGCATCAACTATTGCCCGACAGAGGAAGTCGCTGGATACCCAGACAACGCCGTCAACCCAGCCTTCCGCAAGACTGCTATGCATGCTGAGGCCTTCGACACTTCGCCAGCTATTGGTCCAGCCGCGGAACAAATTGCCCGCTACCAGCGGTTCCGGAAATACTTTCAAGGATTTATTGATGTAAGTCCCGGCGCAGGATGCTATCTCAATGAGGCGGACGTTGCGGAACCGAACTGGCAGCAGGCTTTCTATGGAGATAACTATAAGCGCCTGTTACGCATTAAGAAGGATAGGGATCCGTGGGGTTTGTTTTGGATGCCTACTGGGGTTGGGAGTGAGGACTGGGAAGTGAAAGCCCCGGGGGGGCTGCCGACGCAGAATGGAAGGCTGTGTAAGATCTTCGGCTAAGTGACAAGCTTAATGTTAGGAAGCGGGATGAAAAGCCAACAATTTGTGAGTTTGATATTGGACTTACATAAAAGGCAAATCTAAAGTGGTCCTTGGAAAGTCATAGGGGTTAAATTATAGGTTTGACAACCCATCGACCACAGCGAATACCTAGCATTTCGAGTTCAATGAATCCCGGGACGGCACATGAAAGAAAGGTGCATCTATTTAGAGAAAAGTATTTAGTCTATTTCTATACTGGAAAATATATCGACGCTCGAAATCAACAACAGCACTTGGCCAAAAATCTAGGGTATAAGGAGAGCAGGCAGTTCTGCTCTCGAGCCCTATGTCTGCCATTCCTAAGTGGGGGATGAACTCGGAACATTTTAGGGATATCCTATGCAGAGTCATTCGTGGTGATTAAGAAGCTCTGTCAAAAGCTCTGTAATTCAACTTGTGCAACCACTAAGCTTCTCGGGATGTTGTACCAGTCTCAATTGCCACTTTCAAGCAGATACTTGAAAAACAACCCGAATATTACTGTATGCTAAGTTATACTTACTACTGTATATATAACGAGTTATTCCCGGAATGGCCGATCTGCCACTGGACCAACCTCAAGCCGGTGGGAGGAAGTACTTTTGTTTGTGAGAGGGCGAGAATGGGTAATGGGTGGGGTTTTATACTAGGGCATTTATTTCTGCGTCCAGGAGACTTGGGATGAGGTGGAGGGTTCACATGTATGAGCAATGTTCCTGTTACATTGCACAAACTTGACAGGTTGGTTACCTTGAATCGACCGCTGTATTTCCCGTGGAAGGCCCTATTGGCAGTGTCGGGTGTATGTATACATACCATCACTCCACCCATATTCCTAAAAGTTTCACCATCATATGTCAAACTAACTAGGAATATATCTCCACAGACGTCACAATTGGAGCATGAGACTTTGAAAACTGGGATGGTTAATATATGAGTCCTCTAGCCAGAACGGTCCAAGCAATGCATTATTTCACAATGATTCACAACCTACAACCCCCATTTTGCACATCTCATAATCTTTGAGGAATTTTAGTTCAACACGTTGCTAGATGGAGTTATGGATTCATACACCTTGTCCATTTGCAAAATACATAATTTTAGATACATGGCAGGTACTTGTGTCACCCTTTCCGAGTTTCACGTGCCTTTATCTAGAAGTTAAATTACTACTGTGAGATTACTCGAACATTTTTAATATTCATTAAGGGGGTAACTGAACATTGGAAGAGTATCCAAGTGGTTAAGGGTTGAAGAGTATCCAAATCCTGAGGTTGAAAAATAGGAAAAGAGGATTAGTTGGACAAACTGTAGCGTTGCAAGTCAAATTTTCATTCGACGATAAAGACTACTAGTATGTAGCTTTAAGCATCAATCTCTCCGCTTTCCCTTTTTATATTGTTTTCGATATCCCACCTTTGGATTCGTAGGCTAGGCAGAGGGAGATATTATGGGGGTTCATGAATAACAGCACCAGGTGTAGATAAAGCTTACCCAGACAGGTATAAGGGGTGTGAGGTTAAGGCCTATGGAAAGGCCTTGATGCATTAATCCACAACCGAGGATAATCTGGCTTCTGAAGCGGCTAGAATTTCCTACTTAACTTGAATATGCAGTCTACAACGACAATAAACTGAAAGTGGAACAGAGCGTATGTTATTTCCATTAGCAACAGCGAAGTTATAGGCTGGCCATATTGAATAGTTGTGCAGTATATCATTGTGCTCAAATATTTCTTAGAGGAGTGTACGTAGTAGTTTTGGATTTGAAAGTCGGTCCACCTAATATACCTAGGTAAGTGTGTAGCTATAATTATGAGCAGACCCTCTTTAAAAGTCGCTCAATATTACTCGGTACTTCTACTATAATTCGATTAGAGAAACATCCATCCTAAAGAACGCTAGAAACTTGAAAGGCGAACTATGAAGGCTTGAGATGGGGTGGAACGGTAGTAATGCTAAAGGGGGCGGGCGGAAAAAGTGCTTAATAAATAAAAGTCCAAAGGAGGAGCACTTATTGACATTTTTTTATTGAATATGTGTAAACTCCTGAGAAGATGGGACGTAGTGTAAAGCAAAGGCATCCCAAAGGAAAAACGAATTGTCTAGAAATTGTGCCCTTACACCCGAAGTCATGAACATATTGATAAAAGTAATATTTGATTCTAATTTTGAACTGTTACCGTTACATTAATTTTGATACAAGTAGAGTCTGATTTAAATCCCATATACAAAAGGCTTCATTAAGTTATATCAATAGCTAGAACAAGGTTTAAGCCAAAACCATTGCACTAAGGACGGCAGCTCCGAGGACGGCCATGCTGGCTGTCACGCTTCCAGCACCAGAGTTTTGGCCAGTGGGTGTGCTGCCGGCGGCACTTCCTGTAGAGGTGACAACGGAGGCAGTAGCAACAGTGGTGCCATAAGCAGTGGTGAAGGTTGATTCGTAGGAGGTGGTATATGCAACACCACCGCTTGTATATACCGAGGCGACCTCACTGGTCAGGACCGCTGTAGTAGAGTAGCTTGTGGTATAGCTGGACGTGTGGACGGATAAGCTTGCGGTTGAGTTGGAGCCATTACCCGAGCCAGATGAATTAGATCCAACATTCAGCACTCCGCCAACTGGGCCAGAAGGGGGAGACGTGGAAGTGGTGGCATTTTTCGCAAGTTGTGTGAACGCTGCAAGGGTGTTGCCAGTTGCAGGGCTGTATACATGGTCAGCAAGGAGGCTAGATCGATGTTGTGAACGATGACTTACGCGTTGATGGCACCAAGCATGCCAGACTGACAGTGGTTTCCCTTAGTCTGGCCACAGTAAAACCAAATCGGTTTCGAATTTTCAACAGTGATTGTGAACGTCGTTCCAGATGGAGAAATCTTGGTTGGCACGAAGCCAGAGAAGAAACCGCCAGCCAACGGGTGGCAAGGATCGCTGAACGAGGACTGAGTCACGGTGTGATTCTGGATTGTGTTAGTAGTGGTTACGGGAGACGGAAGCCTATGAAATAGAAGGTACATACTGCTGGGAAGAAGGAAAATTCAACAGAATCGCCAACATTGGCCTTGATGTCATTAGGACTGTAGGTGAGACCATTCTCTCCCACGGCAACCTTGAAAGTTGCTGCAGTGGCCGAGGCCGCGAGGGCGAGGACGTTCAGTGTGGTGAATTGCATGCTTGCTGAAAATATTATAGTGCCTGGAAGGATTCGGAAGATGTATAATGTAGGTACAATTATGAAATGGCAAAGAAATTCTGTAGATAAATATCAGATTGCGAGAGACGCTGATGCTGATGCAGATGAGGATGAGGACGAGGATAGGGATGAAAGAAGACTGTGGAGGAGCCCGTAGACCTGGCTTATATACATATACATCTCACGCCGGAACGGGCGACGGGATTGGAAGACAAAGGATCCTCGAGCAATCAGTCTACGCTGCCCATCAACCGCTAGCAAAGCCATGGCGGCCGACACATGGTGCATCGCCAACTGCGCCGTGCATCAGCTTACTGAGGCCCTCAGCACCCCGGCCAACTTCACTGTCACCGATTGAACGGGCCAGAAGCTCGAAGCCCAGCCTCTAACCGGCCATCGCCCCGTGAGATTTGGACAACGCATCGAGGAGATGCCTACGATGTGGGCTTGGCCTCCGATGGCAGGGCAAAACAATCAGTCGGAAACATCTGGATCCTGGAATACCCGCGCGACATCCGGGGGCTGAGTGACGGCCGCGCTGGCCTGTGGCGTCGAAAATAGATCGCTGGGCGAACTCTAAGTTGGGCTTTGTGTTCCAAAATAACCTCCCGCGCTTAAGGACAAAGACGCCGCCGGAAACACAGCGAGCCGAGGGCGCTGGGATATTTTCGTGTCCAATGAGTGCGAAATGCTGGCGGAGGCTTTGTGGACATGTTTCTGGCGGAATGGACACGGCCGTGTTGATAGGGTTGGTTTATCGTCCGAATATCCTCAAGAAATGCGAAATGACACGAGGGAAGGGATTTTAAAGTAAGTAACAAGGTTAACTTGCAAGAGGCTGTTCGAGCCCGAACAACTGTCCGAGTTGTTACCATAACATGGAAACGCCAACAAGTATGCTGCAAAGTGGAATAATCTACCAATAGAGACTCGTAGTCTGTGCGACCAATCTCCTGTGTTTGTTTCGAATCCAGAGGCAGCTTTCCGAAGTGGATCGCTCCTCGGAGGCACCTCAACGCTGAAGACGCCAGCAGATGACAGTTGGACCTGGCGGATCTTGCGACTTACCTACCTCTTACATCTCAATTCTCGACGTTTATCTCCTGTTTCTTGCTATTGAGCTTCCCGGGTCTTGCTTCGTGGATGTAGTCCCAAGGACCGAGGGATCTGGAATGTCAGGCGTGCAGCCTTGCACAAGACCCTCGTCAGTGGTAATTCTCAAGATAGATTCCCCGCAGGTCGCCCTGGGCTACAAGAAAAAGAAACCAATTCCCAAGCTCCCTTGGAACTCGGCAATCAGAAGTAACAATATGTCAGCAGGATCCCGCCCAGTGAAATTGGAGAGTCAGCAACGGCCCCGGCAACATCTGACCTAGGAAACTTCCGTGTGGTTTTTGGAGCCAATGGGCGCTCGAGGGATGTAGCTGGATCATGTGGATCTCTCTTAGTCTAATAATTAACCAAAGCTTGGTACTTCGTAGACAAGTGGCGGCCGCGTTGTCGGAAATTGAGCGGATGGCACCATTGATTCTCTGGCAAACCGGCGAGCAGGGTGACGTGGACTGGCTTCCCTACGCCATCTTATGCTGGGTGTGGCCCAAGCCACGATTTTTATGTTGAGTTGTATCTAAAATTCCAAATCCCAAGAAGTTCTTGGAATTTTTTTTAAATGTAAAAGAGACTGATGTTGAGGGGGAGGGGGACAGAAGACATACTTACTATACTTGGAATTTTCGAGTATCCTCCAGGTCCATCATATCTTAACAAGTAGAGACATTCGCTTCAGTTCATCATCCACTGATGAAGATTATTGTACTTGCTTTAGAAAAACCCCCCATTGTCAAGGTCGACTCCTTTAGTCGTTGTTTAGCTCTTGGGGGCTAAAATCCCGGCCCCATAATAGCCCTGAGATGGTATGCAACAACCTCCTAGGGGGTATGAAGACGTGCTAAGCTAATGAATTATATACAGCCTAACTTATATAACTTATATAGAAAGGATTTCAAGCCGAAGCGTATTTCAAGTATAGTCCTCTATATCCCCCTATCCTTCTACCTTCTCGTATCGCCCTTATTAACTTCGCTCTCTTACTCGTAGGATTGTCGGTGGTCGAAAAAGGGGGTTTTATTCGAAAGGTGTTCGTCGTTAGTTCGTAAAGCCCGAGTTATATATACAAGGAGGTGTTGAAAACTCTATTTTATATCGTAACTATACCTATAGGAGTTGAGGTACGGCCTTAGCTCAACTGACTTAAATTAGTAGATAAGGCCTATAGCTAGCTACCTTAGTAACTACGTTTTCTGTTCAGCTCAGACGAATACTTATTGGAAATATCGCTAGTTCGTAGCTAGCGCCCCGTACAGGCACAGCGATCCGTCTTCGCCAGCTAGGAGAGGCCACGGGATCTTCAAGAGGTACAATTTTCTAGCGTATTACGGGCATTTCCAGGTTTCAGAAACTAACTTAGCTGACTTGCGAGGCTGTTGCCTATCAGCGTTGCCTAAAAGAGATAGTGCGATTGCTCGATACCCTTGGTGCTATTAGCGCTGACACGGATAAGTTTTGTGCTAATCGACAGTGACTTCTCTGATAAAATGCTACCCGGGAAGTCGTCGGGGATGAACTAGATAAAATCGACCATGATATTCAATCGCAATATTGCCAGGCAGGATCATTGCCACCAAGCCACCAGGAGAGATGTACAGTACCCGCGATTTTGGACCAAAAGGAATCGAACATCCTGATGCTGGAAATGCCGTGGGTAAGAGGAGAGCTGAGAGGCTTTTCAATACAGCTAGGTCGGCACCATATCTCAAGTTGTTCTAAACATATTTATACATATAGCTTTTGACAAGCCATTCTAAAGCCTCAATCTGCACAGCGATCTTCGATTCAGCTCTCGGATATTGTCTTTTCAAACTTGAATCCTGCAGTTTCGAGTCGATCAACAAATTTCTGTCCTAGACATGCAGGTGTATAGATGCCTCCTGTAAGTTTATGCTCGTCACGAAGGATCGAAATTGCAGCTGAAGAAATGCAGGCAGCAGTGACTATCTTTTTGTCAGCCGGTCCCATGATTCAGAATAGCCAGCTTACATTGATACGCAGAGCCCTTGTATGCTGCTTTGCAGATTGCTTTTGGTGAATCGGAGCTTTGCACATCAGGATTCCCAATTGCCTTATACTCCAGCCTATCATTTCTCGACTGCTCTTCTGAAGCTCCTTCTCCCGGTTGAGTGACGATGCCTTTCATAAACTTCCTGAATAGCGGGATAGATAACAAGATTGATCCGAAAACCAATCCAAAATGCACCATCACCGCGGCGAAGTGGTTCCCCACCTTCATATATTCGCTGAAGTGAAAATTGGGCCCATAGAAATCAGGGCCGCCCAATAATCCCCAGCTTCTGCCAACAAGGGGTTTGTCGGCCGCGACAAAGAAGTAGGTTGTAAGGATGCCAAGTCCGGGGACGGTTCGAACCCCAAACATTCTGGTTGCCCATGGAGCTGGATCCTGTATCTTCGGTCTTGGAATGGGGGATAGTGCATAAGGCTTATGGGCCGCCACGATATCCTTAAGGCTATAGACATCCATGAGTGAGAAGACGGTATTGAGAGTGCCGCCGGAGGGCATCCCGCTAGCCAGAATGTTAGCTTAATACAACGAACCACGAAATGATATTATCTAATGTACCTGATTTTAACAGACAGTATGACCTCTTTCGTCGGCGCTGAGAACTCCTTACGGATCATGTCCACCAGTGCCCACGTGACCATATCCGCTGGAGCTGAATCCAGACCGATTTGTGGAATCATGATACTGCCGCTTGCTTGGGCTATACTTTCATATTTCTTGATCATATGAGTAACCCAGACGACCTCACCGGTTATATCGAGATAATGGGTACCATTTTCAGCACAAGCTTTGAAGGTATGTTCTCCGTGAAGAGAATACGGGCCAACTGCCGCAATGAGAAGCGTTGTCTTCTTCGCTAATACACTTGATTCTTCATCATTCAAATTGCAGATCTCGATAGCTGCAAGCCAATATTAGCTCCATTCGATGCATGTCAATGGCAAAACTCGGACGACGAAAGATGCATTGCTTACCGGGCTGGATCCTATCGGGGTTTAGGGTCTTGCAACCCGCTGCGATAGCCTGGAGCTTACTACTGGAACGGCCTGCAATAGCCCATTTGAGGTCAATTGGGAGATTGGTTGCGATGAATTCCGCCGTAAGTTTTCCTGTGTATCCAGTGGCACCTAGAACAACCAGATCATATAACCGGGGTGCTGACATGCTGGAGACTGTGTCTAGGGCTTGGGACGATATATAAAAATTTAAACAAAAGGATATTAAGGAACCCACATAAAATTCCACGTCAATTACAGTTTCTCTGCTTGTGACGTCAAAAGGGTGAATCTACGAAGGTAATCACAGACGATTTCCCAAAACGGTCATTAGCTAATCCAAAACACATACGCGAGTATTGCCTCAGGCATTAACAATTCTTATCGCGAAAACTCAACAACATCAAGTGAACTCAAAACGTAGTAAACCATCACTTCTAAGTGCTGTACGTCAGATCAACCTCAGCCAAGATGACGAAGAGAACCAAGAAGGTCGGTGTTACCGGCAAGTACGGCACAAGGTACGTGGTCAAAGAACTTCAGCATACAAACTCTCGCTGGCGGACTCGATGCAATTTCCAACACACCCCTCATTTTGAGATCTTCGCCATTGTGGGCTTGTGGACGTCGCTTTTGAGCCCTCAAACCTCCACATCTGGCTAACAGTATACCCGCCGTAATTTAGATACGGCGCTTCTCTCCGAAAGCAAGTCAAGAAGATGGAAATCACACAACACGCGAAATACGTTTGCACTTTTTGCGGAAAGACCAGCGTTAGGAGACACTCGGTGGGAATCTGGGACTGCAAGGCATGCAAAAAGACAGTTGCTGGAGGAGCATATACCGTGTCGTACGTAACTGCCGGCGTGTTGTTGGAATCCTTGTTATGACCTAATCTAGGTTGATCGATTACCAGCCGCAGAAGCTGACGATGGAATAGAACACCCGCCGCTGCGGCCACACGATCGACTCTTCGACGGTTGAGGGAAATTGCAGAGGTTTAGATGGTTTAGATGGTTTAGATGGTTGTACTTGCGGGTTGCATTTGCTGGTGTATGGGGTCCGAATCGTGCGCGGTTACGAGCTCCGAACGTCGCTCTCCGATGATAACTGAATGAGACAATTCAAAAATTACGGCCTTCCCACAGCACGTTGTGCTAGATCCCCGGTCGTCATCTGGACTACTATTGCGTGAAAAATCGCAGAGGACGGTGTTGTGCAATGGGTCCAACAGCTTCTTAGTAAAAAGGAAATTATACGCAACCGCAGGTTCGACCACCGACATTGCACTACAGGAGTTGGCTTCATTAACTCGAAGGCTTTGGCACATAATTGGTATCTGATTTGCATTGTTGAGGGTTGAGGGTATGCTGCGGTATCCTGACCCGTGTGGGCTCTGGATATATTACCAAAACGCCGCTGGATCGGCGGATACTTCTCGAGGCGGGCCCATCAACCAACCACTCGAATACATTCCAATTGTGATATCGGAGGCAACATTGTTTGTGGCTGGCAACCATTTCCACAAACAGAGCACATACTAACCCTAGTGCTCTCGATGCCCTCGATGCCTTATTTCCTTACATTTATTTCACAGCCTGGTCTCATTGCTGAGCATCCAATTTCTACGCTTTACTTTATGACTCACGTTGCCTATCAAGCCTAAGCCCTATTTGAACGCCCGCACCTCTACTTTCCATATGCCCTCTTGGAGTACCAGATCTGATTCCCATCTGACTGACCCAGCCTGGAAACGGCTGATATCTGAGTCACATGACTTCACCCCTGACTTCTTCTCTATAAAAAGCCGCCACCCCCTCGTCCCTCGACACCTTGTTGTTGACATCGTCACATGTGGAAAGACGCAATTTATCTTTCGCTTTCCTGAAGCACGAGGCGCGAGGTGCGTGGGCACTCTACGAGAAACCGGGGTAACGTGGCCTTCGCATGTAACCTGATTGCCCTGTACCGACCTAGGTAAGGTAGGTAAAGGTACCGGTGCTCTACCAGTGGACATCTGGGCCAAGCACTCACTGTTTCCGAGAAAGAGAAAGCGAAAGCGAAAGCACAAGTCCACGTCACAGTTCAGGCTCTTCGGAAGGATCCCGATCTCCCACTATAGCTAGGTTATATCGCTATATCGCTATATCGCTCCATCACCATATCGTCGTACCTATCCATAGGTACCTACCTGTATCCAAGGTACATCTGGCTCTGGCATTTGAGCAGCGCTCTCTCGTCCTCGTCCTCGTGGTTGACCGCCTCGTCCAACGGGAGCAAAACAACCCCCCTTCCCTGGCCTCCTACTGGCTCGCTTCCCCCCGACGCTAAGCTGGTCCCCTTTGCCCAGTCCAGGTGCTTCTGGATCGGCAGCCCGGTTCCTTCTTCCTTCCTATCAACTATCGACTATCGCGACCTCACTCCTCTCAACCCGCAACTCGCAACTTCACTCCTCTCGACGACCCTCAACACCCAGCTGCCATTTTACAAACACCGATCCTCCCCCAATCTGCTATACACTCCGCCCAACCCCCCTAAACCCCCCCCGCGCCCTCAAACCTTTTTCATGACTTCCTCTGCGCGAAACCACCAATACCGCAAATATGCACCCCAGCGTGGCTGATCAGTGCATTGTTCCCGAGGACGCGGTGGGCTCAGCCGTGCTCCTCGATGCTAAGGTCCACACCCCTTCACATACGCCCGCCAGCGAAACCACGAATGCAATCGCAGACACGTCCGCCATCTACTCCGACATGCCCCCAAATTCATCGCTCGAAATGGTAGATCAGTGCATCGTCTGTTTAGAGGACTTGACCACCAATGTCGACGAGGATATCCACGAGCTTCAACATGGGAATGAGTCGGCGGGCTCGATCACCAAGCCACCTACTCGAACCAACCAACAACTCATTGCCTTGATCAAACCTTGCGGCCATATTTTGCACGACGACTGCCTCAGAGAATGGTCCCAAAAAGCAAATAGCTGTCCTTTTTGTCGGCACACATTCAACTTGGTGGAGGTACTGGATACCGTTGGTGGTAAGTCATCGCCCTTTACATCAGTGCCCGCATTCATTGGGCTCCATTCATTGCAAAATATATCGGTCGCATTGGAGTAGTCTTCCAATGTGGCAACCGCCGCCTCCACGACTGAGCTTGTCAAGGGGGGATGTTACCCCGACTAGTCGCATAAAGAGGGGCCTTGCTTAGAATACCTTGAAACAATCCCCATGCTAATTATTTTCGCCAGGTACCGTCCTGTCCGAATATGCAGTTGAAGATAAAAAGCAGGTCGCGTCCACCGAATTCGACCCTGCATGGATTGAAGATACCGTGGAGGAGGAAGAAATCAGGCCTTGCCCAGTCTGCGGAATGGCCCACGACGAAGATGTCCTCCTTCTGTGTGATCTATGCGATGCTCCATATCATACATATTGCATTGGCCTCTCTTCAGTTCCAGCTGGACAATGGTTCTGTATGGAATGTATGCACGAGGGAGCCGCAGCAAGAAACGCTGTGCTCAGGGAAGCACTGCATGATTCACGCTTCTCCCAAGTTCGTCGTTTCCCCAGGACACAGGGTAGCATTCGACGTACCCGGGAGCGCGTGCGAGCGGATCATTGGTATGGCACTTGGAGTCTGTTCAGCAACCGTGTTCATGATGCTGTGGGCTTGGATCTAGACTTCTCAGATGACGATCAAGCTGTTATGACTACCTTTCGACGAGCCCAACGCCGCCCGTCGAGTGAAAGCAGGGAATTCCGCCGATGGCAGCAGAGGCTGAATATCGCCAGTCGCCAAGGTGCTCGGGATGCTTTCCGCGTGACAGTTCCTCGTGTTCGGTCCCCAACGCCATCGATGTCTGCTGAGACGAGACAAGAATCCAGAGCTTGGGGGGCGTTTGAAAGGGCGAAAGAAATGGATACAGGGGTAGTAAAGAATAGGAAGCGGAAGTCCAGATCGTCAGCGACCTCAGCAGCATCATCGCCATCTGAAAGTTCATCCGAGTTACCCAGGGAACCAGAACGGAAGCTGAAGCGACCACGGACAAGGCGGGTATTGACTCACCCCGAATCATCGTCCTCGACGTCAATGGCACAGCCAACTGTGCAGCCAAACCGCCAAATGTCTCCACCTCCACACCCGGCCCCGGAGTCGAACTCGGAACCCTCATTCCTCTCGTCTCTTCTGAAGGAAGTTGAGAGGGGGGCCACGTCTGACGACGACACATCTAGGACCACCTTCGGCGCGACGGCGGTGTCAGGTGGCTATCGCGTTACCAGCCCATCCATTGAATACTGTTCAACCGGTGCATCACCATCGCGGTCATCATCGCACACGCCCCGAGCCACATCCATCACACCACCTCCCCACATATCCAAACGACACGCCTCGCCTCCCCCACTCAGCTCACGGGTGGAACCTATATATCCCCGCTCTGATTATTCACCCAATCGATCTCCGGGGGGAAGCTCCAAGAAAACCGAACAAGATCCATCTAGTCCTACAACTGAACTTCGACAACCACGACCAAGAAGACAAAATCCAAGACCACTAGCCCTTTCGCGCTCACCAGATTCCTCACCAGTCCGTACAACCATGTCTGCTGAAGCTAAAGAGGGGATCAATAAGATTGTCAAATCTGCTCTTGCACCTTACTGGAGATCTGCCGAGATCAGCAAAGAGCAGTACGCCGACATTAATCGTGACGTATCAAGAAAGCTGTATGAGGTTGTTGCAGATCGTGACACCTCTAACGACAAGGAGAAATGGGAGAAGATCGCATCGGTCGAAGTTGCAACGGCTGTGCAAGGAGTGAAGATTTAAATGATACTGCATTGGCGTAAAATGACACTTGGTGGATAAAAGGATGGCGTCTCTGGAATTTCAAGGCGCAATCAAGATACCCGGTAAATGCATTGGGAGACCACCAGATGTGGAACATCGACTATAGGATACTGGTCTGGGGGCTGCATGCGAAAGATACTTCCGGCGTTATTATTGTGCGATGTGGATGGGACTATTTTCACGGCGCTCCAGCGAAATCTTTGCTTTTTCTTGCGTTGTACTCCGTAGACATAAACAGAATTCACAAACTATAATTTTCAGTGAACCGTTGTCCAAAGTCAATTACCCAATTCTAGGAGGTAGTAAACATGTAAGACTAAGTAAATCTATATAACAGATGTGCCTGTCGCGCAATCAAACCCCACACATCAGATTTCACTGCCCATCTTCAAATTCTATTTTATCCACGTCCAGAGACGTAGGAATGTCAACAGTCGCTATCTAACAGTTCCCGTAGGTAAAGACGTAGGTACCGCTAGCGAAAAAAGCCTGTGATAAGTTTTCTCTCGACACTATATAATGATCACGACGTTCTGGAGGAAACAGGTCTTGATGATAAGGATTAAGTGTCTTGGTTGTTTCTCAAGAGGAGGAGAAAAAGTTTGGCAGATGTAGCCGTGGGTTTTGGCGCTAACCCTGTTTGGGATTTCGCGCCTTGGGGCCTTAGCTAAGCGGAAATTATTTTGTAGGCCTGTTGCTGGAGAGCTTAGGGGACGAAGCACGACCGCGAAACTTCAAACTTTGAAGGAGTCAAGAAGCGTAAAGATGACAGCAAGTAGTCGAGGGAGTCGAGCTGCGGCTTCTTTGATCCGTAAGTATATCGCATCCTCACAATACGAGTGAGGCATTGGCTGATCCCAACCCCTCAGGAGGACATCCACGAGTCTGCTCGGACTGCATCAACTACATCACGAAAGCCTCAACAAGAAGAAGCTATGCTGTAGCAGCAAGTACCTTCAAACCTGCCGATGGACCAACAATCCACCACCCCAACATTGATGCTCTCCCACCCGTCACCTCATCCGCGGCCCCCGAATACAAAACCAAGGCCGGCATCTTGCTCTCGCGGCCACCTCTGCTAACACGCACACTTACCCCCTTTGAAAAAGCCTTCTTCTTCTACCAAAAACGACTCAATGAACGTCTGGCCGTGCCTTTCTCCCGCTACTTCTACTTCAAAAAGGACACGCCCGCCGACGCGGACTGGAAACTCAAGGCCAAGGAGCGTGGCGGTGTTCCCGCGAGGGAGTTGGGCGGGTACCAGGCGTATGGGAAGCTTGGGTGGAATGATGAGATTCTGATGGGTGATACGACGAGTGAGACTGAACATGCAATTGAGGCGCTGGTCAAGGACTCGCAGCTCAGGGCTGTGGAGGGGAAGGATGGCGCGTCCGTAGAGGTTAAGCCTGGGGAGGAAGCAGAGGATAATAAAATTGAGAAGCCGCTCAAGAGATATACGAGAGCCGATGTGCGGAAGGACTTTAGGAGACTAGATAGGAAGTTGGAACGGACGTTGTATTTGCTTGTTCAGAGGAAGAATGGGGGATGGGGATTTCCGGCTGGAGAGCTAGCTGGGAGGGAGAACTTGCATCAGGTTTGTTTTTTTCATTTCAGCTCTTTCATACTTCCATTGGACATTTAACTGACAAGAGTATAATGATAGGCAGCAGAACGCGTCATCGTCCAAACCGCAGGCGTCAACATGAACACCTGGGTGGTCGGCCATGTTCCCATCGGCCACTACGTTATGAAACCTCGGACCGACAAGACTGTTGAAATAGCGGGAGAGAAAACGTTCTTCATGAAAGGGCGCATAATGGCAGGGCAGGCAAATCTGGAGGGAAATCAATTCGGCTTAAGTGATTTCAGGTGGGCGACAAGGGAAGAAGTCGAGAGACTTGTCTCTCCTAAATACTACAGCTACGTGAGGAATATGCTGGCTGATCGATAGATGGGGATGTGATTTGGATTGTATAAACAGGATGTACGGCATGAAACGTGGAATTGTATTGTATTATTTTGTGGTAGAATGTGATGCCCCGCAGCTTTCACTCGATCATAACGGGTCCTTTCAAGTTCCGACTTCGGACTTGATCGAAAGATCAGCGTTCCGACCGTCAATTAGTTCCTTATGTGACTTCCTAACTTGGTTATATAAATCCATCTTTCAAACCAACCGTTCTCCGCTTGCAATCTATTTCTCCTATTCCGGAGTTTAATAGTTATTGCTCTCTCTATAAACGAGTCGAACGTCTGTTGTATAATCCTATAACCCGTCCCGCCTATTCCATCCCAACCATTTCATCCACTACTGCTATATTTTCTCATTGAATTCCAAAATGGCTACGCCCAAAGATGGAAAGAAACACATCACCCTCCTCGGCGCGGGGATAATATCCCTCCAGACTGCCCTTTCACTCCTCACCTCTACAACATCCCAGAACTGCACTATAACCATCATCGCATCCCACCTTCCAGGTGACCTCTCGCTCGATTACACATCCCCCCGCGCCGGCGGGATCTGGCGCACCTTCGCCACATCTCGGCCGGAAGATGCTGAACTCAGACAATTCGACAGGCGGACATACAACGCCTGGATGGAATTACTCGAGCAGGGCGACGGCACGGTAGGAACTGAGAACGAAAGTAAAGACGAGAGAGTGAAGAGGGTCGGGCTTGGTATCAAGGAGTGTGTAAATTTTTGGGGCCACGAGACCGAGGAGACGCAAGGAGGAGGAAAGAGGCTTTGGTGGGCGGGGGAAAATGGCGTGGTGAGAGACTTTGAAGTTCTTGATATTAGTGACGATGAGAAAGCACGTGGGATACATTTTGGTGTCAGATATAAGACTATCAGCATCAATGTCCCGCGCTATCTATATTACGTTTTCGAGCGTGTGAGAGCTTTGGGAGTCAGGATAATCAAGGCTGATGTCGACATGAGCTATGGTCTTGAGGGTGTGGTGAAGGGTGTCGGGCGTATCCTCGAGCAACACAACCTCCCTGAGCCATTTGCTCTTATCAACTGCACGGCACTCTCTGCTCGCCACTTCCTCCCTTCTCCCGAGAAGGATAATATTTTCCCCGTCCGTGGACAGACGATCCTTGTTCGAGGAGAATCTCATCAGGGACGTACGTTCACAGATTTTGGTATTGACGATGAACTTGCATATGTCATCCCACGTCCGGGCTCTGGGAGTACGATCTTAGGGGGCTGCAAGCAGATTGGAAATTGGAGCCCTGATATGGATGAGGTGTTAAATGAGAGGATTCTGGAGAGGATCAAGAAGGGGAAGCTGGCAGAAGAGTTGAGGACTGGTCCGAATGGCGAGTTTGAGGTTTTGAGTAAGCAGGTTGGGTTTAGGCCTGGGAGGAAGGGTGGTCCCCGTGTTGAGGTTGAGGATGTGAAGAAGGAGGGTGTTTGGGTAGTGCATAGCTATGGTCACTCTGGGGGTGGTTACCAGAATAGTATAGGGTGTGCGGAGCAGGTGGTGAAACTTGTAAATGGGTTGCCTGGTATCGATAGCTAAATTAAGAGAAATAATGTATTTGTTGTCCTGTGATGCCTTCAAGTTATATAGAGTCTGTGATTTTAGTATAATGTCTTACGCCGCTCCGATAGGGTGCTACTATTCTAACTTCTCAAGAACAACACGTTATTAATCCCTAATTTAGGCACCGTCTGGTGTTAGGGGAATAAATATTCTTCTTCTGTCTTTTGCAAACCGCAGCAGTTTATTGTTGATCTATGCACAGCTCTATAAAGACAAAGTCATCTCCAATCAACCTATTGGGGGTTATCGTGGGCGCCAGTTTTTAAGTCCGCCAATTCCTAGTATTATGCATACTCACTGCTCCCGTGGCTATCCGTATTGCAATGTGTCCATCATCACTGCTGTCTGCCAAATGATTGCCATAATTCCCATAAGCCGCTCAGTAATCGCCTTTGTTCAAATCGCAAACCCCACCTTCCACAGCAGTGACTCTGAGCTTGTTGATGTAAGCCCTCCAGAACTTGTTTGACATTGATGGAATGAATAATGCCGGAGTTGGCTCATGGTTCTTATCGCTGCCTTGGTCAGGTCCTTCAACTACTATGGACGAGCGGTTCAGCCTTTGGGCATACCACTCGGGAGGAATATCAGAGTCACTGCGACCGTCAGTGTCGGGGTAGTTCAATGGGACGCCGCCGCCTTCATTGTCCGAGGTCGGCTTGTCGTTCAAACTGGAATCATCGGATTCGGGGTCAGCGACTAGACCTTGCTGCTCAGCATGGAGTTTTGCAGCAAGCTTCACAAAGAGTTCTGCAGTCATCCAGCCTATTGCTTTCATTAGCAAACGCAAACCTGTAAGCACCAGGTGTGACATACTATCAAAACCAGCCTCGTGCTCTTTTCCGAAGGCCGTACCATAAGCAGTGTGCTTTTCATGAAGACAAATGAGGGGAATATGGACCTTTTTGAAGGGCTCCAAGGTATCTTTCAGGCCTGTTCTCGGGTTCATGGAATCGTTCCCATGGGTCGCCAGGTACTTAGTATCGATGACAACCGGGAACAGGCCATGGATACATTCTTGGAAGTGGCAGACTTTTGCAGGTAAGCTGCTAATGAAGGTGTTGTAGATAAAGCCAAGATCGGTAAACATATTGTGGCCGACAATGATGTGGGTTTTGTTTCGCAGTGTTTCGGTCACCTGCCTAAGTTCGCGGGTGATTGAACTAAGCTGGTGCTCTGGCTTCTCATTGCCCTCGGCGTAGAACCATCTCGGATCAATTCCCGACAGGTCACCACCAGTCAAGGCCTCGAAGACCCAACGTAAGCCTATAAATATGTAAGCAATGGTAGGGCCGACCCAATATTATGGCGATGTACCTGTTTGTTTGGCGATTGCCGAATCAAAAGATACCATTTTTCTCTTCTGATGCTAATTGAAGTTAGTTAGAATAGGATAATATATATTAATGTAGGGCCGCATGGCGGAAGAGGCCCGAACTCTTAAACATACCTCGGACTCTCTTAACATGTCCACTTTGACAACTTGCATGAAAGATTGTTCATTTCTAGCAAAGGTACGCAGGTCGGGGAAATCGTTGCGGACCAATTGGTGAATTAGCCTACGCTGATATGCGTTCAATGGTCCATCTTCGCTGCTAATATTGACAAAGTCATTCTCAGCCTTTAAGAAAATCAGCTCCATATCCCACTAATACCATATTAAGAGATCTAGAATACCTTTGGGTTGTCTGCCCATGTCTTGATTGTATTTCTGGCATCGCGGTAGAAAGCAGCAGCAGCCATATCATACGGTGAAATCGAAATATCTGGAATAGTAGAATTGCGCTCTTGACGATCCATGTACTCTTCTCTGACCATTGCCTCCTCTCTCTGAGATAGATACGGAACACCAGATGTAAACACCTTCCCAAAATCAAACCGGTTCTTGAGGAGAAAGTCACATGAACTGCTAGAGAACGTGAGTTTGCGGTCAAGCTTAAGGTCGACGCCGGCCGCAGAGAGGGGGCTCAAGTTGAAGTTATAAGGACGAGCTAGGTAGTACTCTAGAAAGGGCATATTAGCATAATATATAGCCGGGACCTCGTTAGATGCGCATAATCGCAGGTAAACACCAAAACCCAGTTACCTCGTTCATGATCTTCCTCGACGCAAGTGATGCCTATTTGGAGGACCTGGAACGTTTCGGCAGCGCTTCTCATCTCATCGTACTGTTGTTGGAGGGTGGGTTTGTTGATATCATGAGATCGGTCGCCCATGCTATACTTGGGTCTAGTAGTAATGCCGCTCATCTCAAGGTCGAAGGTGATGAAGTTGGCACTGGCGATGTGTTTCAAGATAGATAGCAAGTGCCTCCTGAAGTTGGCTTGATCAATGTCCATGTTGGCAAACTAATGAAGTTCTTGGCAGGTCAAAGTCTCTTTGTCCGGGTTTACCTAGTTGGTGGTGGTGCCGTTGTTGGTGTTTAGTGTTAAGGCGGGAAAGACACCGCTTCAAAGGGAACGACGTGCTGGCAATAAATAATTAGGAGCAACTTGAGGCAGGGATTAATAACAGAGCCAGCGTGCGTTCACAACATTTGCCGGGTTTGGTGCTATTGACGATATTCATGTTAGTGTTGATGATGAGGCTATGATGAAGAGAAGGGGCCGAGACACGGGTGACAAACGAACGTTGTCACTTCTATCCTAGGAGAAAAGTAACGATATACTAACAATAACGTTAAAGGAAGGGTCTTTACAATATTTGCCTAGGTTGGTATTGCTGACCTTCTTTGATGTTGATGGGGTTGGAGTTGAAGGGGTTTTAAAGAAGGGAAGGAACAAAAGGCGAGACATTGACGACAAAAGAGCGACTGAGACCACAACCTAGGAGAGAAGCAAACAGGGGTCGACTGATAGACTTATTTGCCCCAAACCTCGATTATCCGGATTGCATTGTAGCAGACAATTACAGAAGAGACAGAACAAACTAACAAGAACCAACAACGCATATGACACTTGGATTTTCGCTACCCGTCTTTCTGTGAACAGCACACTGACGACGTTGATTCTCTGGGGCATATGAGAGCGATGCCAGCTTACATCCCGTATCTTCAAGATAGCATGGTATTGAGGTTGATGATTGATGGTGTGTATATCTGTAAACCCAAGTACTTGTATGTCCCCGACTTGTTTGTGTACCTGCAAGGAGGTATTCTGGTGGCAAACAAGTACTTTGTAAACATTCATGCAAAGGGTGGACTCAAGGCGGTACCTGCATAAATCGGGGCATAAGGCAGTAGTTTACCCTGGATGAAAATGCATAATAAATTTACTTACTAATAAGAACACCTAGTCTGTGGACTTGCACCACCAGTTGGGCAACTGCACCGTGGGCCGAGGCTGTCATCGCTTTTCACATTCTCAATCTCGTTCACCCGCAGTTAGATCTCCATTCCATTCATCTCCATGTGTTCACCCTTATCCGCCCTTCCCCCTTCCTCTCCACTCCTCTCCTCTCTCCTCTCCTCAATTCCGCGTCAACAGTAAATATTGTGTCACCAGAAGCCGATTGATCCGCCATGGCTGCCAACGGCTCCATCACAACAACCCTCTCTCCTACCCAAGAGACATTATCGTCGTCGCAGCTACTATCGGCATCTATGTCCTCGCTGTCAAACTCCACATCCACATCCGCATCTTCCTCCCGGCAAGCCTCTTCTCAAATCTCCAAGATCTACCGACAGGCCTCAACACTCTTCCTGACGCGTCGACTGCCCGAGGCTCTCTCCACCATCGTTCCTGTCATAACCCCGCCTAACCTCCAAGACGCACACCTAAATGGCGAGACAGGATCGGGGCCCGCGCCCATATCAAAAGCCAGCCGCACTACGAGAATCAAGGTATGGAGTTTATACCTGACGATCTTGAATGCAGTGGCAGAGTTGGATCCGGATGAGGGAAAGCAATCATTTGGGAGCTCGGATTGGAGAGCATTGGTCACCAAGGTGCGGGATGGACAGGTGTGGGAAGAGGTGGTGCAGCATGGATATAGTGGGGTGGAAGGAGATGTTGACTCTGATGTCGTGATAAATCTGTATGCATTTCTCTCTCTTTTCTCTTCGACTTGCGCAACACAGCCGCTGACTTAATCCCAACCCAGAGCTACCCTCCTTTTAGCCCATGCTCATTCCCAAAAAGTCAACCAGGAACGCCTGGAAAACTATCTCGCCGCCTCCACAAGCCCTAATCTGGATATATCATCCCGCTTGCAGCATCCCTCTTCCCGGCGACACTCTCGCAACCTAAGTCCCCATAAGGGCGCCGGCACTGATACCCCTCGAGATCTGAACGCCCGCGTCAAAATCCTTGAGCTATATACGTTACACGTCCTCCTCCGGAACAATGAGTGGGACTATGCGCGTGAATTCATTAGTATGAGCCCAGTTCTGGACGAGGAGCGGCGGGAGGCGTTTCTACAAGCACTGCAAAGCCTGCAGGATGAGCAGTACGAGGCTGAAAGGCGGGAGAAGGAAGAGAGACGCTACCAGGAGGAGCAGCTGAAGAAGGATATCGAGGAAGCCAGGCGGAGGAGAGTCGAGTATGAGGAGCGGGAACGCGAGAGAGAAGAGGAGGAAGAGAGACTGAGGAGGGGAGGGAGCGAGGTAGATTATGGCGTGGAAGAATCTAGGCCGGGAACCGCGCATTCGAGGAAAGCTAGTTCAGCTAAAGGAGGCTCGATGAAGGGCGCGAATAGCCATGGTCGGAAATCCCCCGCCCGGGGCTTGCCGCCTACAGCGCGATCCTCAGTCTCTCCTTCTATGCCCTGGAAGCTTCCTCCTACATTGATAAACCGCGCAACGACCGTGTTTAGCAATTTGAGGAAACTGGTCATGGAAAGCATGCTGGGGAATTTCAAGACGAGTCCGTTGTTCTTGCTGCAGATGCTGGTATTCATCGTCGGCCTCTTAGCAGTGCTTAGTAGGAAGGAGATGAAGGAGAGGCTTAAGAGGATGATGGGAAATGCGTGGATGAAGGTTAGACAGACAGCCGGAATGGGTGTCAAGGTCAGTTATATCTAACAATCGTGAACCGGCCGTGGCGGTTCTCTCGTGTATAACATGTTTTTCTGTATATAGGGGGGTTTTAGGGGGAAGGTAGGGCGTTCATAAGGATGGTATAGGCCGTCTCGCTTGGAGAGCTGGAATGAAGATGACAGTTGAATTGAAATAATAAGATTCTGGAGAGCATATAGCTGACCCTGCCTTCTTGCATTTTTTAACATTGAAGTTTCTTTTATTCGATAATCATTCCCATGTGACTATAATTACAAGCCGTCCCCGCTCTGCCAATCCCTACAAATACTTTTTCGGCATATTCGTCCTCCTCCGCTTATACAGCACATAAACACCCAGAAGCAACCCCTGGCTCCCTACCACAACTAGCACTAACTTCCCTAGGCCGGTCCCCGTCTTAGCTAACGTGCCTAGCACACTGTGATGCGTATCCCTAACCGCAACCTTCAAGCCTGCCACGTGCTGATTAAGTGCTTCGTGCAGATCCGCCTTCGTCTGCCGCACATCACTCCGGATATCCTTTAGTATATTTGGCGTTCCCTCTTGGACCTTGACCGCAGCCTCGATGCTATGTAATTTTGCCATAATGGTGTCGTGGCGCCGATTTTCTTCGAGCTGGTAGTCCTTGACCTCGCGGCTTATCGCGCTGATATGCTTCATCATAACTTGGAGGCGGTTGTGTAGATCGGCGAATTGCTCTGCGCCGCTGGTATACTTCTCCGCAGCCGTGTCAGGCATGTCACTAAATGCGGGAATCGTACCATCGCCTTGCTGCTGCTGTTGCTGCTGCTGCTGCTGTCCAGCGTTCTCAGCTGATCCATATTGGTGCTGTTGCTCCACCAGACGTTGGCCGGCTATATCGGGTGAGGGAGTATCGGTCGTGGTGACGAATTTGAAAACCTCGAAGGAGTCTGGGGTTTCAGCGGAGGCGGCAGAGATGCCAAAGAAGTTTGCTAGGGGAAGCTTGATCTTTGACGACTCGAAGCACAGGTTGCCGTCGATTTCGACGATGAAGTTGTCGGCAGTTTGGCGGATTGATACATGGGAGGGACGGCCTAGGTTGCGGTAGGCATATTTGCAGTGGCCGAAGGCGAGGCTATCGACGTTGTGGTGGGATTTGTAGTCTGTGGTTCCGTCGTTGAGAAAGCCTCTTATGGATCCGCCCTACAATATGTTTAGTTTTGGAGTTTAGGTTTGGCAATGATCGGGGGAATACGTACGGATCCGGCATATTGATCAATAACTAGAGCCAATCCATCGAAGCGTCCAGCTGTGTATATACTTGCTGTGCTCACCTCATCCCGGCCGTTCTTCGCATACCATATATTCAAATTCCCTCCGCCTCGCTCAGGACCCGTTGCACGGAAATCGACAGCCGCTGTCCATAATGAATGGACCAGCGGTCTCTCAGCCCAGACTGCCCCTCGTTGATTGCCCGGCACCGGCGGGGTCAAGACTAATTTGTTCGATAGGATCTCTGGGGGATCTGGGTGTCCCACGAGGTACCAGTTCGGCACTGCTCGATTATTGGGTGATATCCTTAATTGTGTTAACTGAGGGAAGCAGAGCAATTGACGATCGTAGGCTATGGCATAAACTTACCTCTCATTATTGTGGCCAAAGCTTAAATCGTTGTTAAGATATGAAGCCCGCGCAGATGCAAGGAGCGCCGAGGCGAGAGAAAGCAACGATAATAACGGCGCTGAAGGGTGATGCATCTTTCGTAGGGCGGGTCACAAATCAGAGCTTCAACCTAAAGGATTGAATCGAAGAGTTGGAGAGATTGCATACAAGTGCTGTCCATGTATGTGCAGCTTCGGGGGAGGAGCCACGCTGGCTGTTTACCCAGCACGTTTTGGGTATATGTATTCTATTCCTCTGCGGTTCTGCTGTTCCCCCGGCTGTGCTCGTGCTTTGGATAGAGGACAGCTTGCACGGCGGAGCGCACAATATCCGTGACACAGTAGATAACAACCACACCAAGCAGACAATTGCGGATTGGCCGTCCCAGGTTGATGATGGAGGGGCCGAGGTCCAAGGTGAATTTATGGTGGACAAAGTGCTTGACTACGAGCTCGGTGGGCATAAATGCTGAATCCATAGGAAATGTATATGTGTTCTGGAGGTTGCTGCAGTGTTGACGCTGGAGCTGTGACCAATGAAATGGGGGAATGCAGGCTTCGGTCTAGAGCTCGTTACCTTATTATTACAGAACTCCGTGCTCGTACTAGCTAGAGAGCGACGTATTTATTTTATTTGAGCTGGTGGAATAGCACTCAACAAACCCTCTGGGAGATGTCTCAGTCTCAATGGCAGATTTATATCCCTCGATAGCACAATGCGCTGTCGTAGCGACTGCATTCAAGGTGCTGCTCTTCCCAGCATAGTATGTGCTCTTGCGTCTTCCAATTCCATAGCGACTGGACTGACAAACGGATAGTAAATCCACCGATTTCGAGGTCCATAGGAATTGGCTGGCCATTACGAACAGCTTGCCCGTGCAAGAATGGTATTACGAGAAGACGTCAGAATGGACACTCGATTATCCTCCCTTCTTTGCGGCCTTCGAATGGATCCTGTCGCAGTTCGCGAAGCTGGTGGACCCGGAGATGTTGAAGGTCTACAATCTAGAATATGATAGTTGGCAGACGGTCTATTTCCAGCGCGCAAGTGTTATCGTCACCGAGCTGGTGCTGGTATACGCGCTGCATCTGTGCGTGACTCTGCGGAGTATATTCTCGAGGAGGGGCCTGGCTGATGTGTATTCTTTAGTTTCGTTCAATCTGCGCCGCTCGCATTCAGACGCCCATCGCATGCCGCTGCTCTCTCCATATTGTTATCGCCTGGTCTGTTGATCATCGACCATATCCATTTCCAATATAACGGCTTCTTGTATGGGCTGTTGATCTTGTCCCTCGTGTTGGCAAGGAAGAAGTCCACCCTCCTCGCCAGCGGCCTCCTGTTTGCGGTGTTGCTCTGTCTGAAGCACATCTACCTCTATCTGGCACCCGCATATTTTGTCTACTTGTTGCGCGCATATTGTCTAGGTTCAAAGTCGATTTTCCACATCAGATTCGGGAATGCTTTCAAGCTTGGAACAGGGATTATTGCCGTGTTTGGCGTGGCGTTTGGACCTTTTGTCTACTGGGGCCAGATTCCTCAGCTGCTGAGCAGATTGTTCCCTTTCTCGAGAGGGCTCTGCCATGCGTATTGGGCGCCAAATATATGGGCCATGTATTCATTTACTGATCGGGTCTTGATATATGGTAAGTGCATACCCACACACGCTTTCACACCGTCACCAGACTGACCCAATTACAGTCGCGCCTCGACTTGGCCTTGCCGTGAACCAAGATGCTGTTAACAGTGTCACCCGTGGCCTAGTTGGGGATACCTCGTTTGCGGTCTTGCCCGAGATCACAGCAAGGACTACCTTTATCCTGACGCTTTTCTTCCAAGCCGTTCCCTTGATTAAGCTCTTTTTCGACCCGACGTGGGATACATTCATGGGCGCGGTTACACTGTGTGGCTACGCGTCATTCCTATTTGGCTGGCACGTCCATGAGAAAGCCATCCTGCTCGTCATCATCCCCTTCAGCCTCATCGCGCTTAAGGACCGCCGGTACCTGGGGGCGTTCCGGCCACTCGCCGTGGCAGGCCATGTCTCCCTCTTCCCGCTCCTATTCACGGCCGCCGAATTCCCTATCAAGACGGTGTACACCATTTTCTGGCTTGTCCTTTTCCTACTCGCATTCGACCGACTCGCGCCGGCTAGTCGACGATTGCGGATTTTCCTTTTCGATAGATTCAGCCTGGTGTATATTGCGGTTAGCATTCCGCTGATCCTGTATTGCAGTCTGTTGCATCAGATGGTATGGGGGAAGACATTCGAGTTCCTACCGCTAATGTTCACGAGTTCTTACTCGGCGGTTGGGGTGGTGGGTAGCTGGGTGGGGTTTCTGGTGGTGTTTTTCACCAGCTAGGAGAGACGAGGAAAGTCGGTTCAGTCAGATGGATGGAGCTGCAAATGACACAGTACTCATATCATGCCTGGGGCCTATTCTAACTTGTGCATGAGAGCGATAAGTCTAATCCACCAAGTAATCCGAGATAAATACCTACCTACCTAGGTAGGTACCTACACTGGTGCTTGATACTTTCTCCAGTTATTGGCACTGGGGGAATGGGATAGCTACCTCGGTACGCTAAGCATTGATAAACTTTTACATAGTTATGTACACTAGGAGGATTTGGATACCTGAGTTCAAGTTATTACTGATATACTTTGTCTACGTAGCTATTTGAACTGGGAGGATTGTGATACCTACCTACTTTATACCTACCTACGAACTCCATCTAACTCTCTCCTTCTTACCATTTACCATAAAGATATTCGGAAATAGGTACCGGGAGACTTCCGAGATCCGCTCCTGTTGTATCCGAGCGCACGTGATGCAGCTATGCGGCTACTAGCGGAAGCGGACGCCACTGAATTGATTAGTCAGCTTCATGCGCGGCTGCGTGGCAGAATCTGGGTGAGGGACGGGCAAATAAACATTAGGGCTTTGAATCAAAATTGGAAAAGAAAACGAACATGGTCGGCACAGCACGGTAATCAATCGAGATGAAGAAACAAAAACAGAAGCAACTGCAACCGCAACTACAACTAGAAGTGACTTGTATACGGCGAGACTCAGCCTGGGATGCTCGTCACCGACAACCATTCGCGTTCCTGGGCTTTTTTTCGCCTAGACTCTGGACCCCTGGATCGTGCACGCCCCTGGCAGCATCAACAAAGAGCACAGAATTGCGGGTTGGCACAGGACAAAAGAGAACAGAACAGAAGAAAAGAAGAGGAGGGCGATTATGCCCCAGGTATTTGATCATGGACAGGGAGTTTGCAGAGGGGAGACCGGTTATGCTAGTAATAGCTAAATTAATGGGTGAACCTGTCAGTGTATAAGATGCCTCCTGATGTATTATAGTTGAGTGCCGACGCGAGATCCCATTGTTGATTATCTACGACTAGAGCATAGCATAGATCTCTTCCGCGATGAGCTATCACTAGGGAGGCTAATAAATGGCGATATCTGATTTGCTTTGCTTTGCTTTGATTTTACCCTGCTCTGCTGCCTCACGCCTTGCACCCTACGCCGGTCATCCCAACCCAAAACAAACCCTTTTCTCGAGGCGGACGCTCCCAAGGCCCCCCTTCCCCAGGCTCGTCCAGCTGGCAAGCCGATATCCGCCCACGATTGCCATCAATCGTGATCAACCCCATGCAATTAGGTACTTGATGGAGAGAGCGCACCGGGGGCTTTCCAACGAGCCCAAGAATGTAGGGTGAAGGGCGAGTGGTTGCTGATCTGTCGCGCCGAGAAACCAGAGAGGAGTGGTCGAGAGGACGACGAGGTCGACGTCGACGCTCCCCCCCGTCCCGCCTCTTTTTGGCCCCGTCCGCCCGTCTCGGCTGGGTGTACGTAGTAGGCACCGGAGCCAGTCAGCCTGGACTATCTGTTGCTGCTAGCAGCCCATCAGCCACCAGCAACCACCAGCACCACCATGAAAAACCTCCCCGTTGCTTCTCCCCGTTATTCGTGGCCTTCCTCTTCTTTCAACCTTCTTCCGCCCTGTCCACGCCCCCAATCTCAACGCGCCCGCCGTCAACAATCCCCCCATTCAAATCCTCACCAGCTCGTCCGTCTGCTATCACAACCCTATGCGCCCCCCTGAAACACGTCTCCCCGTCTCCCGACGCGTCGAGAGCTTATATCACTGAGTCCGGCGTTGAGCGTCACTTTCACTTTCACTTTCAGCTTCACTTCCAACCTCCACCTGCACCCCAACTCCAGGCTCTGTATCCTGTAATCTGGCCCCGACAACTCGCGCCCATCTAGACGCTCTCAAAATAATCCAACTTCACAATACCAGGATCTAAACCACCCTCCGCCCTCCGCCGTCTCCGATTCTGTGCTCTATATCTGCTCGTCTGGTGGAGGGGGCATATTGAAACTCGCCGGCCCCTTCTCTAGGTGCAACACGACGGTCCGCCGACCACCCGCACACTTCTTGACCTGTCTCTTATACACATCTAGATGTGTATAAGAGACAGCCCCCGGATGCTGATTTCCCCAGGTTTTGTTCAAGAGGAAGCCGGTGCAATATGTCTGCAACCCCGTGCTGGAAAATGATGGACAAGAGGTAAGGCGCCTCCCGTGGGCATGGTGGGGCGCGACTTGATGGCTGATTCTTGCGTTAGGTATGGTTGATCCGCCAAACGGGCGAGTTCTTCGTGGACTATGAGCAGTATTTGAATCGGTATGCGCCTAGCGATCTGCTTGCTGGTACGATGCTAACACATATGCCAGGATGGACTTTTATAAGCAGGTTAGTGGTGCACATGGCTACGGAACCAATGGCGCTCTGTTAACATCCTGTAGCGTCGATTCATCTGCCAGATTACCGGCCACTCCGGCCTCTCATTTTTCGAGGCGCTCAAGAGCGAGGTATGCCATTGACCCAAGGAGAAATCGCACAAGCCAAGTACTGACTGCCCTCTTTTTCAGCGAGCGGGTGCCCAGGAAGTGGAGCAGGCGTTTCCGGAAGCTCTCAAAGGCCCCATCCTGCGCCGGGTGCAGTTCCAAACCATCTCCCGGATCGACACGCTGGTGGATCTTATTTACGACGAATTTCGCGCCGATTATTATCCTGGGGAGGCGGTGACGGTACATGTGGTGACGGGCGAGCGCCTGACAGGAATTGTGCGAGATAAGACGCGCTTTGGATCAAAGGTGCTCCCCGACGGCAAGGTCGCCCCGCCATTCTCGCGATATTTTGTTAGCCTGGATAATCGACCCACGGAGGAGGCGGTGGTTGACGACGCGCATATCACCAGAGACCGGAAGATCTTTACCAAGCAAGTCCTGCGGTCATTTATCAAGAAGACGGTAACAAGAGAGGCGTGGACGGGAGCCCCATGGCTGGTGAACCACGATGTCGCAAACCTCTACCATATCGACACCCGCGTACCGCCGCATCTGCGGTATGAGAGCAAGGCAGCCGAGAGAAAGCAAGTTCAAGCACAAAAGAAGCATGGCCCGGACTATGATGGGATGGTTGGGAGCTTTCAAGGCCAGGCTGCCCGACTTCCGGAGCTGAAGCCCGCCCCAAAGAGCCATAAGAGCAAGGCGCATCAGTCTCAAACAACAAAGGTCAAGCAGCAGCCATTCTTGAATCCGGCTCCTGCACATCCAAACCATCCGCAATTCCACCCCCCACCTCCTTTCGTTTCTCACACCTTCCAAACAACCGGACCCCCTCCGCCACCTGGGCCTCACTTCGCCAACTTCCACAATTCCACGTTCGCGTTTGCCCCGATTGCCTCTGTTCCACCGCCTCCACCTCCACCTCCACCACCTCCGCCAGTCAAGTACCCGATCGAGGATCTACAAGTTCCTCCCCGCCATAATGGCTCCACGCGGCCCGCCCTCAAGTTCTTTTCTCAGGACACACCATTAGATGCTGGGAAAACCAAGATGGAAGGGGGAAATGGTATTAAGATGGAATCGGTGGGGCCCCTTCTCGAGTCCTGGGATACTTTAAACGTCTATTGCGAGATTTTCAAGCTGGATTCTTTTACTTTTGACGATTTCGTTGAAGCAGTGCAGTTTACCCCAGAGGATGTCGACTGTCAACTCTTCGTTGAGATGCACTGCGCCGCTTTGAAGCTCCTGGTCAGCTCGGAGGCGGAAGATGGGAAAATTAATGTTCAGCTACCGGAGATGGATGAGGAGAGTGACGAGGAAACCGATGACGAGGAGAGTGCTGCGCCCTCCCCGACTCCAGAACCAGAGCCTAAACCAAAGGGCCGTGCGACAAGAAGCAGTCTGGCAAAAGCAGAGGCAGCAGCAGCAGCGGAGGCCGCAAGGTTAGAAGCGGAGGCGGAATTATCAGAGGCCGCCGAGGGCAAGGTCCTTCACCGCGCCGCAGACATGCAAGACGAGATGGGCTGGATCGATCGTTTGAGAAAGAGGGATTTTAAAAATGGCGGGTGGCAAATCATCATCATTGGGCTGCTATATCAGCTCTCAAAGGGTCCCCGAGCCCAGGGCAAGTACGATACCTTGTTAGAACACCTTGCGCCTGTTGACATGGATCCCACTCCGGACACTGCACGACGACAGTACGCCAAACTTGATGTCAACCTCCGCATCTCGATCCTCCAGATTATATGTATACTCACGGCAGAAACCAAAGCTATTCGTGGCTACATGGAGGAATGTAGCGAGCAAATGACAGCCTTTCGAAAAGAGAAGATCCGGTGGCAGCGAGACCGGAAAACTCTGTAAGTACTTCACGCCTGCGTTTAACAGTATTTTTGCTAACCGCTCAACTAGTCTCGAAGAGCTCCGCCTGCTCAACGAAGAGAAAAAGATCCTTCTTCCAGATAATATGCCGCCGGAGCCAGCTCCAGCAGATAAACCCGTCAATGGAGATACGAAAATGACTGACGTTGAAGAGGTTCAAGATTCCGTCGAAGAGGAGAACGTAGATACCGATGAGGATCCGCATCAAGGTCGGTCGCTGCGTCGAGGCCTGGATCGAGCGGCGGAGAGGAAGCGAAAGCGTGAGGCTGAGCAGGAGAAGAGGGAGAAAGCTGAAGCCGAGGCCAAACTTCCGAAGCAATCGAAGCAATTTGTGAAATTGCTGAAGACTATCCAAAAGAAAGAAGATGCAATAAAAGAGTGCGAGGAAGAAATCGCCATTTTGGACAACGACCTTCGAGAAGCCGACTGCCCGCGAACACGTGTTTTGGGCAAGGACCGATTTTGGAACCGGTATTACTGGTTCGAACGTAATGGTATGCCATATGGCGGGCTACCCAACAGTTCCACAGCCGAAGCAGGCTATGCCAATGGGTGCATTTGGGTTCAAGGTCCTGACGAAATGGAGCGTGTCGGCTACATTGACATGAAACCCGAATGGCAAAACGAGTACAAATCCAAGTTCAAGATGACCGTTCCCGAGCGGAAGAAGCTTGAAGAGGGACCCACCAGTGTCTTCAATGCACATCAATGGGGCTACTATGACGATCCGGAATCAGTTGCTAAATTGATCGCATGGCTCGATATTCGAGGGTTCAACGAAGTGAAGCTCAGCAAGGAACTCAAACTCTACCGCGACAGAATCGTGAAGAATATGGAGAAGCGCAAAGAATATCTCCAGCCCACTGAAGAAAAGCTAGATGATTCAAGCAGCAAGCGGATATCGACGCGGAGAAAGGAACAACATGTCGATCACCCCCCTCTTCGCTGCTCATCGTGGCATAACAACATGGCCCTCGAGGAGCTAGGACATCTCCACTCTGAACAACCACGAGCCAGGAAGCCAGCGAGAAAGGCACAACCCCCTCCTCCTCCCGTTGAAGAGGAGCGTCAAACGAGGGGTACCGATACTAAGGGCAAAAAGGAAAAGGGCCTCGGGAGGCAAGGCACGAGATATAATTTCTAAAGTATCGATCTCCAAATCTTACACCCTTTACAAAACAAAAATTTGGAAAGCATGACTTTCACCTTGCTCTCGGGCGGACCTTCTGGTTGCTGTTGAATTTTACAGCATCGCATCAATGAAGCATGGCGTACGGTATGGCACGGAGTGGTACGGGGTTAGCGTTGCGGTGGGCTTCTGAGCATCCTCATGTCCACATACGCATTCAAGTTATCAATCTGAAAAAGATGCGAAGTAGCTGTCTAGCCTGTGTGATTATGAATTGGGTGGGTAATGGCGCTTTTAGAATGAGCGGGAGACGTGTTGCGAGTTTTAGACTAAAAGAAAGGCAAGACAAAAAATTACAATTTATAACCATGATAAATGACGAATCTGCTGTATGAGTGAGAGCCGGTGATGTCGAAGGTGCCTTTTTAGGGCGTAATGGGCTCTTTTAAAGTATTCTCTGTACTCTCCTGCTATATTAGGTCATCGTTTTCAGGCCTCGTCCCTATACTTAACTAGGTGTTTCACCCATAGAACCACTGGAGGATGACGAAACTCGGGTGGTACTAATAAGAATGCGCTATCACTTGCCAGGCACTTAGTTCGATCCATGCTAGTTAGAGCACAATGTCACTGAAGTGTTGTCTTGCGTGGAGTAGGTGATCCAATTTAGTGCAGTAAAGACAGTAAACCATGAATACCCTACTACTTGTCTATGTCCAAGATATTTCAAGCTTCAAGGAGCGTCATATCAAGAGGCTGAGCTAACCAACCCCTTCAGATAGCTCCTCCAGACCACAGGGAATGGATTAGCTCAAATCCCCAGGCACAGCGCCCGCGAGTCTTCCCTCGGTAACTTCCCACAGAACCTCGTAGTTCTCATACTTGGATGGTGTTGCTGCCTGCAGAAAATGCGTCGCGTGGCCGACTGCGACAGAGACCTTGAGATTGGCCACGCTTTCTTTAGGGACGATGACGCTGTTTTGCTGTGAGGGGTGTCAGCTAGGTTACTTTTTCTGTTGTGCTGCCCTTCATCATAGCATCCACACGTTCGAGAATAGCCCACGGCAGAAGAAACACAGAAACAAAACTCACATCCGTGATTCTCCAATGCAAATTAGCCTTCAAATAATTTACCACCTCGTCCTTCTCCAAAGATTTCAACTGAATCCCGCGGCCCACAACGTCCTTTTGGATATGCTCTACCAGATAATCGGTCAAGATGCACTGGCCGGTACTCAGCTCGCCATTATCCTGTTGTCGTATGCAGTTAGCGCATCCTGACGGATCCACGCCGCGGAATTCGGATGGCGCGCTGAAGTTGTACACAAGGCCGACTTGGGTTGGTGTGTCCGCGAACGGGAGAGGTGTTGGTTGGTTGGAAGCTGGAGCATCGGCTGAGGGAGGAGGGACTGGGACCTCGCCTAGGAAGAAGCGGATTGCATATGGGTAGCCTCCAAGGGCGAATCTGTATGGGGATTGCTGTGAGTCAAGCTGCAGTTATCTGGAAAGGGGGACATGACTTGGAAATGGAAGCACAGAGAATAAATGGACTGACCTGTCATAAAGAACATTTATCACATAATCATACGCTTCCCAGTTCCCTTCGGCCGGTGTAGGCGGTGCCGCCTCTACTGGAGGAGCGGGGGCACTCTCTTGAATCTCACGTGCCTGCTTCGCGAGCACGGGAGGGAAGTTCTCCACAAGTAAGTTCTGCGGTGGCAGCGATGCCAACAGAGTGGTGGCGAGCTTGTTATTTTGACGGAGAAGCAGGGTCGATTTTCCAGTGGTGCTATACTTGAGCTCAAGGGTGGTGCGGATTGATTTCTGGTACTTGGCGGCATCGAAGGCACCGTTGGTTTTGTAGATGTCAAGCCATTTTTGAAGTTCTGGGTACGTGTAGCCTAGCTTTTGTTGGTAGCGACAGGCGGCTGCCGTCCACTGGGTGCAGTGATATATGGTTAGCATTTAGTATACTTAGAACGGTTGAGAGATTCCGGGGGATAGGAAAGAACCAGAAGTTAGTTGAGGTTGTTAGAGATGAGGTATAGCAGATTTTCTAAAACATAAAACAAGATATATATAGAAATGAATTGCCTTACAGGTGTGCCATTCGCATCCATGTGGAAAGGGGCGAGGCTTGAGTTAGCATCGGCGGGCTTACTACCGCGGCCGGGGATCGTGAACTTTTCGACGTATTTGCTAGGGTATAGGTCTTGATAAATGGCAAAGAGGCGGTCGACATTACTAGAAACCGTTTTAGCTCTGCAAAATGCAGTTGCACGGATAATTCTGCTGCCATGGCTCACCAGTGATGCAACCTACGCAATGTCAGCAGACGATTGAGAATCGTAGAATGTACGGAACTGACCAAAAGATAGGATCGAATGCTGCAACGGGGACACTGCCCATTTGGCCATTACCACCAGTAAACACGTGGAGGTTGCCATGAATGTCCTCAAGAGAAGAATACGATTGGGCTGGCTGTCCGCGGCGGAACCCATCGGTTGAAAACTCATTCCATGTGAGGAGGTATTCCTCAAGAAAGAGGCGGTACACAGCCTCAGGGAGTGTGTTGCTATCTACAGCTTGGGCACCTCGAAGTTCACCAGTGATTGTATCCCAGTTCTGCTTCTCGCCGTCAACCCATGCTGAGATAAAATTTGGGTCCCTTGGATCCAGGGTTGATGGATGTCTGCTGGTGGCTTTGGCAAGTTGGAACTAGAAGCTTCAGTCAAGATAGAATATGACAACCTGCAAAACTTACTGGGCGGCTTGAATACTCGGTAATCCCATAATTGCCAAAAGTTTTCTTGTTCGGATCTGAGGCCGGAACCGAGAATTTCCACATGGGATTATCAACAGTGGCGACACCCGTCTTGGTCATGACCTCGACGGTCTCCACGGTCAGGAGATACGGGACATTAGGACCGAGCTTAAACTTATCCGTTGGTGCGTGCCAATCCGGCTTTTTCATTGCCCAGTCCCAGTATGGGAGTCTCCAGGTCTCTGCAGCATGAGTTGCAGCAGCAATATCTTGTTGAGCAAAAGTGCGGGGAATCAATTCCAACATGATCTCGTAGAGTCTTTGCTCGTAGAGCAACAGGTATGGCCTGTGCCATGGCGGGAAAAGGGGAGTCCCATGAGTGCAGTACCAGGCCGATTTGGCCTGCGTTGTGTCCCATGGGTCTAGGGGCTGGCCATGAATGCCTGGAGAATGTGAGATACGAATACTTGATACAGGTTGGATAAGGAGCTCGGCGAACCTGCAACGGCGAAATAAGACTTTTGATCTTTAGGGTCCATCTTCTTGAATTCATGCAACGCATAAATGTACAAAGACTTCTGAAAAAGATCATTCTTATCCTTTGAGTCCCACCACTCGTCGATCTCCCGGCGAAGAGGTACTTGTTCGCCAGGCCCAAGGCCTTTCTTGATACCAGTGATGGCGAATGTCATGATGACCAAGTCTCTTGAAGCTCTTGAATGCTTAAGATCTGAAACAATGGAGGATAGGGAGAAAGCCAAATGCTTGTGAACTATAAGAAACCCGGGGCAACTTCTCCATAATATATAGATATTTGGTTGTTACTCGGTATCCGAGAGGATGTAGGGCTCAGAAGACTTCTTCTGCCCAGACCGTTTGATAGCCACTGATTACCACATGAGGCTGGCTTTACATGTCGGTACTCGTCAGCAGTTTGGAGATATGCAGCGCGCCATATTGCCAGGTCGCTTCTGATCATCGGTTCAGAATATTACCTACAACCGATGTTCCAGGCAGCCGCTAATGGCCGAGACGATTCTTTAGAGCCAAGGTCGCAACGGCTTGGAACTGAAATGGGCGCTTTCAGCCAGCCGTATCTTGCCAATGGATACGAGGTAAATTGGCATCATCTGGCATTATTGGTCGGATAGCGATAAAATGGTCGACTCGCGGGGAAGGCTGGGAGGGCTGCTCTGCAGTGAGAGTAAGCTGAGAAACCTCGCGAGTGGCAGCTAGGTATAGCCTTGAAGTTGTTGTTTTGCGAATTCAGCGTACGGACGACTCAGTCAGTGGCTTATATGTGCAGAGTAGTATGGTGATGCGGGCGTCATGCAAGCAGCCTAAGGTGTACGAAATCGTGGCATAAGATCCCGTGAAACCCCACCAAAGTTTTCAGCTTGCCCCGTGGGCAAGTAGCACAGTGTATCCCCCGCAGGGCGGAAGGGCCAGAACAGAAGGCTCAATTATGTGGCCAAAATAAACGGAATAGTGCAGATGATGTCTCGGGAGTTGCCAGAGCATGATCCATAGATACCTAGGTAGGTAAGGTAGGTGGAATGGGATAATAGACTGGACCCGGATAGGCGCTGCGCAAAAGCAATACAATCCCTCAAGGGCAACATATATAACGGTTGAATTGCAACGCCAGCCCTCGTTTGAGCTTGCAACTAGTTTGTGGCACTCCAAGCAACTGCATCCCATAACTTGCAGATTGCAGTGCCAATTCAAGTCTGTAACCAATACCTCAAGATCTTAGTAAGATTGACTATTGATTGTGAGTTGTATACCTATACGACCCATTCAGCTCTACGCAGCCGCGAAACGCCACGAAAGGGTATCATGCCGGAGATCAAAGGTACCTAACTGCCTTGCTGGATTTTCTGTATAATTAACCACGACGAGACATCTTACAGTATTGAAACCCAATGAACGGGAATGGCCCATACTTCCAAGCGGTTCCCCAGAAGGTACCGGTTAACGGGGTTCGAGGCCACACATGCATCTCCCAAAGCCACCCCGGATTCCTCGCAGATTCAGTAGATCCCGGATGCAACACAGCATGGAACACTATCAAATTGCTGGGCTCGCCAGTCGGAACGCTCTACCGGCTGGTCCGCTATCCACCACAGCAGCAGGAATTTCTGCATCTATTGCTCCAGGTTATATGTAGGCCCAGTCTTGCCGCTGGGAGCCCGGGATGTGGTGGAGCTGCAGAGCCACGGACTCACAACTCTCCAAATACAGTTATCTGATCTCAACGGACGGCGGAGACGGGTGGGAGTTTTGGGTAGGGCAACTGAATTTACGCAAATTTCTCAACCGCAATGCCCTATTCCACGCCGGGTACAAGGCTGGTCGTCGGTCGTCCCAGTCGCGGTTCTGCTCTCGTGGTCCTGAAAATGCATTCAAACCAAGATGAAGTTGAGTCGGCTATCCATATATCCCGGCGAAGGGATATTTCTAGTTCCATGGTTTTACCGTTATGCGCTGATCCGTATTCGTCGGTCTCTACAACAGAGGGTTGCCTTCTCGTCAACTGGAAGAGATGGTTGTGGAGTAGGAATGTCAGAAACACAACCTGCTTCGCACTCCTTCAACCCGTTGAGACTTCAAAGACGCAGGCCTCGACCGCGCTTCAGACCGACCATTCTCGACTCTGACGCCCCGAGCAGCTGGCCAAGCCAACGGAAGAGGCGTGAAAGTCGGCAATGCCGTGGTGATCTTGGCGGCCTAATTTTGGAAGCAGGCCGTCGCAACTCTAATCCTCCTCGCCTTATTCATATTGCGGAGAATTTCCACCAAAGCAGAGATTAGCTCGTGCGTCAGAAATCCTACAAGCACGCAAGGGGTTCCGCTGCTCTGGAGTCGACAGGTTTTGGATGGAGGTTAGCGAGCTCATAGAGTGTCGTGGTTCTGCCTAGCTTCCATATGTGTACGATACCATGGTGATTTCTCGATAGCGTCCAACCATAGAGGTACAATAGTATGGTAGTACTTCGATCGTAGGGCTCCATTATTATATTTCAACGTCTCAAAACGAGTGGAGAGATGACTTGGGCAACCATGTGGAGCACGTGGTTCGGATGACTAAGCTGACATCTAGCCAAGCCCGTTCGCCTTCTCGGCTGAATTTTCATTCCAATCAACGGTTTCTTATTTATTCCTCTCTTGCGCTACCAACACGACCTGCCTAATTCGACCTTTCTCTAGGCACCTACGAAATAAGGTAGTTAATTAAGTGCTTAGATACCTAGGTACTTAATAATCTTGTCACTTTGTACCTGGAACGTCAACAAAAGCTAGAAGATATATGCCAATAATGCGGGAGTTTCCAAACAAACATGGGGGTCTCTTCCCAAGCAAGTACCTCTCGGGCATAGCGACGTGGAACCGTTACCATGGTTGGTGGTGGACCTCATGTTAGCTCCCAACCCGGTCAATCCCCATTCCCCAAGTGGCAAGTAGTTGACAATTTTCCTTAGATCCTTGCTGGAAACTCAAGCACGCAATACGCATCGCGTAAGAGCCTTTCCCAAGACAACAGCTAAAGTTAAGTCCTTCGAAGGCAATTGGGGAATGAGATGTTTTCATTTCAACCTTTTCTTGCCTGCAAGTTGTATAGGTATCGAGCCTTTTGTTTTGCGCCGTGCAACTTATAGTTTTAGTTCCTAGCTCACCGACACTTGTTGGAAAGCTGCAATATTTGCCTCTCCCCCCCCCCCTCCTCGATGAGGCACAACATTGAATTCCTCCATGATCAACAACAACGGTGATATCTCCTCAGCGGTGTCGTTAAATACTCTCATCATCCAATCTGGTTTCTTCCCAAACCATTAATCGCCAGGATGAGCCGCTCCCACGATAGCCATAGCCCTGTCCCCGTGGTGGATAACAACTTCGATGCCAGCCACAAGGACCTCGAAAAACATTCCTCATCTGAACCGGCCTTTGATATCAATGTCAGCCACCCTATTGTGGCCGATAAGCTCGCCCGTAAGCTGTCGGCCCGTCAAGTTCAGATGATCGCGATCGGTGGTACTATCGGAACGGGTCTCTTCCTCGGAACGGGGAAATCTCTTGCGACAGGCGGCCCGGCGTCAATGCTTATCGCATATTTCATTGTTGGCTCAATCGTGATGCTTACCATGCTTGCTCTGGGTGAGATGGCGGCATTTGTTCCCATTGCGGGCTCCTTCTGTACTTTCGCTGGGAGATACGTTGACGACGCCCTTGGATTTGCATTGACCTGGAACTACTGGTTTAACGATGCTGTCTCCACAGCCGCAGACCTGGTTGCTTTGCAATTGGTCTTTGCCTATTGGGATACGGGAATGCCGGGGTGGGCGCTGAGTCTCATCTTCTGGGTAGTGTTGATCTTGGCCAATATCGTTACCGTGAGGGCATATGGCGAAGTACGTTTTCCTAGCCCAGAGTCTTTGATATCGCAGCACGTCTAACAATTCTTATAGATTGAATACTGGCTGAGTCTTCTGAAAGTGGTTACTATTACAGTTGGTTTTACCCACCCTTTCCTATATGGCCACGTGACTCACTCATATAGATCTTCATTGTTCTGGGTATTGCCGTTAATTGCGGAGGCAATACCTCTCATACATACATCGGCGCGCATAATTGGTATATTGGCGACGCCCCGTTCGTAGGAGGCATCGGAGGCTTTGCATCAGTGTTTGTCACGGCTAGCTTCGCCTGTATGTTTCTCACCCTTCCCTCTCTGCTTCCCCTCCCCTGACACATCATTCAGACGGTGGCACCGAATCTATCGCCATCACAGCTGGTGAGACTGCCAACCCAACCAAAAACCTCCCCCGCGTCGTCAAAAATGTATTTTGGCGCATCCTCATCTTTTACATCCTCTCGGTCCTCCTCATAGGCCTCAACGTCCCATACACCACCCCCAATCTGTCGTCGAAGACCGCCGCCGTCTCACCCTTCACGATAGTCTTCCAACAGGCAGGCGCTAAAGCCGCAGGATCATTCATCAATGCCATGATCCTGACCAGTGTTATCAGCGCTGGAAACCATGCCCTTTTTGCGGGCACCCGACTTCTATACTCCCTATCCGTTGATAATCACGCTCCGAAAGTCTTTGGTAGGCTGAACCGGAACAAAGTCCCGTATATAGCCGTCATAGCTACCAGTTTGATCAGTGGTCTCTGTTTCGGCGCATCTTTCATCGGGGCCGGCCAACTGTGGACGTGGCTGCAAAATTTGGTCGGTGTTTCCAACCAACTAGCCTGGACTGCCATCGGCGTGACCTCGCTGCGTTTCCGTGCTGCGGTGAAAGCGCAGGGTAAAGAGCATCTCCTCCCTTTTAAAAACTGGACATACCCCTGGGGACCTCGGATTTCTATCGTCATGAATATCGTCATCATTCTCGTGCAGGGGTGGAGTTCATTCTCTCCAAAATTCAGCGCGATCGATTTTGTCAGTTACTATATAGAGCTAGTGGCCATGTTTGTGATGTATGTGGCATGGAAGGTGTTTAAGAAGACCAAGATTGTAGGGTTGGCTGAGATGGACCTGGAGACTGATGTTTACACAGTTGGAGAGGAGGATCTCAAGGAAATGGAGAAGGAGAAGGGGTGGAAAGGAAAGGCGAGGTCTGTTTTGAGGTGGATTTTCTAGACTTGATTGAGTTGATAGGATAATGGTTCTGGGGCGCGAGTAAAATGTCCTTGGTTCGGGTTTTAATGTTCATGGTTTTCGGTTGGCTATCCGGAGTAATATGGGAATATCTGCTCCATTAGCAAGCTTTGTACGGTATACCCAATAGCAAATTTGTATTGCCTGGTCGTAAAATCCTTTTATGAATGTACCTAGGTACCTAGTGCCATCCACCAATCTCAAAAATGTCGACCAACAGAGTGGTTCTAATCGAGTACTCGCGTGTGTAGATAGCAGAACAGGGGTGTTCGGCTACTTACTCCTCCGCCCCGAGTCCGATCCTCCATCGGTCGATCGCCAATACCAAGGATACCAAATATACGATCCACAACAACAACAACAATCTCATTCCCCTACTCTCTATTCACCCTTATTCCTCTTGCTGTATTCATCATTCTCTCGTATCCTCCCTCCTACAATCGCATCACCAACCATCCATCATGGCCCCCAAAACTAGAACCTCCACATCCCCGACGCTCCGCATTTCCCCAATATATCGAATCTACTTCCTCTACCTTGAACCGCTCATGGCGCTCGGGGGCGCTCCTAAGTTTCTTCCAACCCCAGCGGCTCCTCACGGCGATAGTGCCCGTCCCCGCCCTGGCTCTGACCGCAGAGGTCTCGCCCCTGACCCTATTGCTAATTACAAATATCGGGTCTATGTATGCGCTTTTCGCGGTAGTTGAGGGTATTATATTGCGAGTGACCAAGGAGAGGGCGGTGTGGCTGGCGGCTATTTTTGGAATGGTTTTGGGGGATTTGGGGCATTGTAAGTTTATTATTTCCTTTGGTTTTCAGGTAAACTTTTGTAGTATGTGGGAATTGTGTTTGTTGTTTTTACTTTACCTAGTGGGACCCTGGAGGGGTATGTGCTGCGGTCAAATTATGATCATTTGCTATTTCCAATGATACTACGTGGTAATACCCACTGATATTATTTCCCTCCATAGTATATGCCGTCTATGCCATCGCCCCATCACGTGCCACGGCCTTCTCTTCCTGGAACAGTGATGAGTGGGTCAACTATGGAACGTTGACGCTTGGTCTTGCACTCAGAATTGGCTTTCTGATGGGTGTTGGAAGGAAGTGAATTGTCGAGATGGGAAAGGGGAGAGGGACAACAGGAAAACGGCTATGAGAAAAAGGGATAGGAGGGTGCGAGAAGGGGGTGAATCGATGACTAGTCCAATGAGGTTATGGAATGCGGGTTGTTTAATGTGTCGTTTCAACGATCAGTTTAATTTTGTAGTAAATGCCGTTCTCTATAACCGAGCCGAGCCATGAGTCGGATAGCCCCCTAAATTCTCATCTATGCCCGTAAAACTCAAACCCTTTAAACCTTATTATAGAATCTCACAATGGATAGTAAGCAAATTTGAGGAGTCGATCAATTCCATTCGTGATAAATCCCTATAATTTCAGCACAACAAAAGGGAAAATTATCTGCCTAGAGATCCTGTTGAGCAAAGCTTTAAATCCCAAATATCCCCAGAGCCCAACTTACACCCCTACCCTCAAATACTCCAACGCAACCCTGCCGTGGATCCTTCAAACCTAGAATGTTAAATAGTCCAAGGAAAGCAAGACAAGATGTCAATACATCTAAGGGATGCGGATAAACCCCACTGCCAATACCCCCCCAAAAGTAAATTAAAAATGATAACCTCAAAAAAAGAGAACAATTTCTAAATCCATTGGGAAGTGTGCAGCTTATGCACGCCTAAGCCCGGAATCTGGCTGCTTGTATGTGGTGGTGCCATACCATTCATCCCAGGCCTTGCAATTCTCGCTCACTTTAGCTAGGGACTCGGCGGGAATTTCCGAGACACGTTCTAGAAACTGCACGCCGAAACCTTGGCTTACGTGCCATGCGATCTGTTAGGAGGTATGTTAGCTTGCAAGGGACATCGAAACGAGGGATAGGAGTTTGAAGTGCCAAAGGGAATGGGAAAACCAACATGACAGTGCATCAGCCAGACTCCTGGGTTGTTCGCCTGGAACGCGATGACCATCCACCCGTTGCCCGGTAAGGTCGCAACGTCGCGTCTAGGTGGCTTCTCAAAATTTAACTTTGACTTGTCGCCCGAGAAGGTTTGACCAGTGGTGCCGTTCGTCTGGCCGAGAATGTAGAATTCGTGGCCATGGAGATGGATTGGATGGGGAATATTCAGTCCGTTCTGGATTACCCAATAGTAGAACTATTAAGCACGGGAATTAGTTTGGACATTTTAAACAAAACCAGGTAAGATGGCATAGACGGGACTGGGTTTGCATAAGGAGGGGAAATTTTACCTTGTCAGGTACTGATAGCTCGTACAGGTTGAGACCGGGGATTTCAGAGAGGCTGGCGGCCTGGCCGTCGGCAAGATACCGCAGAGTCGGTTGCTTCCAATCGACTGAAATAGAGTTGCTAATGGCCAATGTTAGAGTGCTGCAGGAGATATTGGATTGGCAAGACTTACTCGTTGATCTTCCACGTATTAACGGGCGACCCGGTGAATCCCACATTTAGCTTATCCGTGTTGTCATTTACATAAGTAAAATCGGGAACGGATTTAGGAATACGAGGCTCTAAGCCAGTCGGATCGGCACAGGTCACAGCGCTGGAATCCGATGCTGTCGATGTTGGGTCGGCGGCGGTCACAGTACTGTAGCTAAAGATAGCGAAAATCTTTTTGTTCATGAGATTGGAGCCGCAACCACTAGGGACCTCTGCACGGAACCAGTAATTCGCCGGCGCTTGGTTCGTCGTAAAAACGACATCGTACCGCTGCCCAATGGCAACGAACAACCAGGTGGTGTTGTATGGTTTTAAGGGTACAAAGTCTGCCTGGATCACAGTGAATGGATGCCCATCAAGAGACACCTTAAAGCCGTTATCGATTCCGGTGTTGATGATGCGGAGGCGGTAGGTTGTGTTCGGTTTCACAGTGTATGAAGCGTAAGACCCGTCTTCATTTTCAGAGTTCTTCATCACGCCATTGATAAGAGCTCCATGAGCTTGAGGGGGCCCTCCATGCATAGAGTCCTCGCCCATTTGCCACATAGACTTGGTGTAGTAGTCCGTTATTGTCAGAGGTCCGAGATCTTCCTCATAGTTTTGCGTAGCAGGGCCGTTGATCACTATACTACCAAGAACACCATCGCCGTATTGCCCGGAGTAATGGGAATGGTACCAAGCGGTCCCGTGCTGGGTAGCAATGAAGGAGTAAGTTCTTGTCTGTCCTGGAGGGATAGGACATTCAGTAACTCCATTGGCGCTGTTGGCTTGAGTTAGTACTAGCTGTAACTAGGGAGATAGTTACATACCCATCTTCCGTGTTTGAGCCGACTTGGCTAATTCCATGCCAATGGATACTGGTCCTGAGAGCCTAAGTGTCAGCAGTATTCTGAAATTGGAATAACACTTGGTCGGCCTACCCGTTATCGGTCATGGAGTTCGTCACATGAATGATCAGCCTATCTCCCCAGTCTGTCCAAGTTAGTCTAATTGACAACGGCGGAGGGCTTGAATGAGGACGAGACTTACCGGCGGTAATTGTAGGCCCTGGATATGTGCCATTGATGACCAGCATGTTTTTAGTACGGCCATCCGGTGCTAGTTGCTTTTCCTTAATGTCTAGGAAGTATTCTATAGGCGGACCACCTGTTTCCGGGTACGAAACCTCGGAATCTGTGTCGACACTAAAGCCGTTGGTCAACCAACACTGCCTATTTGCAGGCGTATTGCAGCTTTGTGAGGATTGTCTGATTTGAACTGGCTTCAATCTGGCTTCTGGCAAGGCAGATGTTCTGACAAGCCCGAGAGCGAGAGAAAAAGCTAAGAATTTTAACCCCCACATTTTGTAGAGTGAATGAAAAGATGAATGAATGACCGAATACGGTGTTTGCAGCTGATGCTGTAGCAGACTGGTGCCGTTGAGTTGACTTGATAATATTTTGAGGGAGAGAGCTGGAGACATATATAGATATATACTCAGACAATCAAAGTATGCCCTGCGAAAACCGTATTTCCGATTAGCATCAAAAAGCACCATAGCCCCGTCCTGGATTTTAGAAACAGCCAGCCATTCGTCTCAACGTCTGGAAACGGAAATACGATCCTCGCGAGGATGTATTCCGAAGGTAAGGTAACCATTCGATGAATTCAAGTCCCAACCAACGTTCGTCTGCCATCTTCGTACAGATGACCCCAAATCCTTGTGAGAATTTCATCCAAGAAACATGGTACCTTACTAGGGGGGCATTTTCGCGCCGCTCAAGAAGGGTCACAGGAACTAAAGGAAGATGTGAATAAAATGCTCTCCCACGCATATGGAAGAGTAATAACGTATGGTAAGAGGCACTTGGACAAATTAATGGATGCGGGCGGCCAGAAAGGGCTGAATTAAGAAGACGAGACATCGCCTCAGGGGAGCACGCGGAAAATGCATATGCTCTTAGACCATCCTTGGGTCCCGGCAAACCTTGGCCTACATCAACATTCCCAGAAGTTGGGTGGTGTAAGTACGTATGTAGTTTAAGACAAAACTCTGCATTGCTCGATATTGTACTTGAGCGAACCAGACGGCCGAAGGGTATTTCCATAGCGAAGGCTTGCCATTTGAGTGTGGCGAGCGAAACCAGTGTCGGTAGGGCTAGTAAGTGTTCAAGTTAAGTGTACTGAAAACATCTCCGGCCTCTCAAGAATCGATTAGCCCAATGAATATGTACATTTCAACCGCTGGCAAGTAAGAAGGCTGAACTTGGCCCCGTTTCGATGCAGCTCTGTAAATAAGCAGTCTGAGGCAGTTAGCCACCAGTCTCCTAAGTAAATAGTTGGCACTAGGACTCGCCACTTACGCCAATCTCATATTTCTTCGGCCGACCCCTTTCGGCAGTCAGACGGATCGTCTAATACGATGGATGCAAACTTACGTCCCACTCTCCCGTTTGCAGTTCCAGCTTGCTGGCCTTTGGAGGCTGTGTTCCTCTGGAACAGCTGCAGCCACAGCGTAACAATCGTGACATCCCACACGCTTGGGACCGAGCCCTTTTCAGCACGAGAGGAACCTTGCGAGGAACGTGGGCGCCAGGAAAAGAGCACAGGGTCCGGTGCCAGCATGGCAAGCTGGGATGTCGTGCGCAATGCCCACCTTTACGAGAGTCAGCACTATGAAGCACATCGGCATTCTATTCTGGGAACAAGATGGTTGAGCACGGTACGGAGTAAGTACTTCGTACTTTGTAAGTTTGTAGTACTTGGGATAAGGTTCCCAGATTCCCAGGCTAACAGGGGTTTGCCGGGGGACCTCGGGAGCTACGGGAGCATGCTAGCCTGCGGCGGGCACTAGGCCACTTTGGAAGATATGTACGTACTGGTAATATAAGTAAATTACGAAGTCTCCTTACCAACTTAAATTCCTCCTCATTAAGGTACGCGCCATATTAGGGCATAAACCTCAACTTATGCGTCGGCACGTGGTACAGTCATCAAGGAGCCACCCACAGCAGGCCTCCATAGAATTTGAGGTTCTCAACCCTAGCGAGGATCATGGGTAATCGTCCGAACGTCGGGTAGACCCGAATGGAGATACTCGTGGCGTTCGTAGAGCCATCCCAGCTACCGTTTGGACCAAGGAATAAGTTGATACGAGCTTCAAAGTTTGCCTCATTGGCTTATGTATAGGCATGTCAACTGCTCAACCACTGCTCGGTACGGCCGGAAAGCTGGGATGAATCATCGGGGAATTAATTCATAGAGCTATTACTTCGTAGGCTTCTCAAGGTACGTAGTACGCAACCAAGAAGCTTAGATGTCCACGCCGCTTACATGTAGCATAAGCTCTGCGCAATACGAACTCACCACCTCTAGTGGGTAGCGAACACTCAAACGCAGCCTTCCCCCCTACCACACGTACAACGGAAGAGCGGAAAAGGTGCACACTCTGTGGAACTGCATGGAACTTCTACGGTAACCTGCAAGCCGCAAGCCATGAACTGGTACTGCGTAACTTTACTTTCGGCTGGACCCAAATTCGGTAGCACGCGATGTTGCCCGGGACTGTGCCGCTCCCATTCTCTGCTCTCTCGTCCATCATTCGCCTAGACTTTGAGAGATAGATATGGAGGCTTTCCAACATATCCGCATCTGGCATCTGTTATTGGGGGCATCATGAGTCAAGATTCAAAATACGTCGTGGCTGCGGCGATACTCCCTACAAGAGCGCTTTTGCTTTCCCGCCCGGATTCTCTGTGTCCTGCGTCCTTTTAGTTGAGTTGACTGTTGCCGGTCACTTTTAAAAGTGGGATTGTGATCAAGAAGTGGGCGGAGCAGCTCGTAACTCTGAGATTGGAAGGTATTCTGATGTAAGATATCACCGTGGGATTGCTTCACCCGTCTGATTCCTGACTAGCGCCAACAGGTTTTCTCCAATGCTCTATCGCCCCGGGAAATAATCATAGTGTTTCCACATTTGACAATGTGCTACCATTCTGTTTGCTATACAAACACCGTACATTATACTGCTCTAGATATGTGCTAGGCGTTGGAATTCCTTCGCGGTTATCCTGCCTTCATCCGTTGCTTCTTTTGGCAGATCGCTAAAGTTTCTCTCGCGCTCCCTTCCACCCATTTATCTTATTTTGATTGTAACCTTATTAGGTTTCCTTGGGGACTGGAGGATAAGCTGAGTACTATCGATATTGGTCGTACTCTTTCCCGGAATGTGAGTGGAAAGGAACGGTGTTAGCAGCAACGACAGACCTCTCTAGATTTGAAGCCCCTCAGTTATACGAGATATGCATCATGATAGTTTCTTCACAAGCTGGGACATGGCTGAAATTTTCTTTTGCAACAGTCCATGGGGCGGTGAGTGCTTCCAGGTGTCCTTGCGGCTATCACCAGCATTAGAAAGAAATTCTGCCGTTAATCTGCTTGAGTGGGATTCTATGCTATTAACAAACATCAATACGCAAATTTCATCGACTGGATAACACTCCCAGCAGTGGGAGGATTGCTTGCTGCTAAATCTAGACCGAAGGTATGACCGGTTTTATTGAGATTTACCTTACCTCATTATCATATCCTACTGTCAATCTTGATAGAAAAACTAGTTCTATCATTAACCATGGGCTAAGCATAGCGTGTTGCCTGTGTTAAACGAGGGCTAGGTATGAATTTTATCAAGGAGCACATATATCCTCTGGAATACCTACAAGTACCGCTTATTTATGCTACATTTGCAGCCAAAATGATTACAAGTTTTCTTGCCAGGGCCGTTTCTAAATCCATTCGCTCCTACCACTATAGCTAGTGAGAGTACTGGTTTGCTTAAGAGCCGGTCTTACAAAGCGCTATGATTTCGAACTTTAATAGACACAAGTTGTCTTTCAGGGATGCTTCGTTTTTCTGCAGGAGCATAAACTACTAGCAGATGAGCAGCAATGGGAGCTAGGATAAACGTACGACACAGTTGAAACCCAACCTCATTCGACGGCAATTGATTTGGTTGCCTCCAGCTTTGATCCTTGGCTCAGATTCTTCAGCATCTTTTCAGGCCGTTCCCCGAGGTCACCCCAGTGATATTTGGTTCTTTCAACCCTTGTCATCATAATGCGGCGTGACGGCTGTGGATTTGCGCTTTGAACTACAACACGTCACCCCATGCTTAGCTCGGTGTACATTTGCCCCGTATGATTATCAGTCAACCCCCTTGATAGACTTGTAGAAATGCATGCACCCGCCTACCCGCTTTCTTGACGATAATCGCAAATGGTTGAGTGCTCTTGGCTGCCTCGATCGGCAGACTAAGGTCAGAAATGAGGCATCTCCTGGAGATAAAACGGACATGCCGCGGCTTCAGGCAGTTATATATGGCAAACGCAGACTCGAAATGTTCTACCATTCTGGAAGTTTGCCAAGGGTCGAAGCTAAAGACGGAGGAAATCCATAGGCAGAGCTGGTAGACTACCTACTTCCTAGATTAGAATGCTTTTTGACTTTTCGAGAGGGACCAATAGACGTAATAGCAATTTCCCCTCTCGCTTTTATCCTCGCGGCCCAACCGAATTGAAACAAAGCAATCCGGAGGTTTATTATTCAAGTGGTTCAAGTTAATGGGTGACACGCATGACTTGGTAAATAATGATAATATCATAGTTTGGATGAAGAATTTGAATATTTACTCGAGTATCCAATAAATCACGTTGATTGATCTCTGATCTACTAGCAGGTTTATGAAGGCCTTGATAATATGTGAAGGGGAAGTTCTAACGGGCTAGAGTAGTTAGAAATAGCCTCCTTGCCAGCCGTATAGCTCTGACACGATAGCATTTATACTATTATTATTCCTCGAGTATAAATGGACGGGAATAGCATTACCATTCCCCGGATGGCCGCTCTTGGGACTAACTAAGCCCTTGCATATAGATCAGTTCCATATGGGACAGTTTTTGTTACCATCTTATAATATATCAATACTTCGGAAAACGTAGTCAAATTCCCTTTCTTAACGGGTGGTCAGTTCAATAAATAGTCGTACAGGGTATGAAGCTCTATGTGACAGGGGTTTTCAGTTGTTTTTGCATTAATGGTTCAACAAGAAATAACAATCTATTGAGGTGCCTATGGCACTAAGCGAAAATGCTAAAGATATAACACTTGTTGATTGTGCAACTAAACCTGTCAAAAGATGTTTCCTCGAACAGGTGTCATGCTTGTGAATTATCAGATAAGATGGGGACTTACCCTCCTGGCATCTGGGGCCAAGGAGCCAGGACATGGAAACTTTTTGTCTATGAATTAGTGGACTGGTCTAGATGGCTCAGATGTAAATAAAACGAGGGGTTTATCATAAGAGATGGAAAAGCTTGTAACAAGAAGCGACGTATTCTCGGATGGCAATATGAAGCCTAAATCATGCTGGGAATTAAATAGGTGATAAATCATGTTAGATCTAGAAGGCTCGACTCCACGGGAAAAGTACACCACGTTTTAATGAGCTCCTCGTAAGTAATTAGATGGGGGTAACCAACTCATTGTTTCTTCAAATCTAATGAGCGATTTTATTCGTCAGCTAGCTGCTGCTATTTGGGTCATAAATATACATACCGAGGCCCTTATACGGATGCCATCCGATGTTTGCAACTTTGCAGTGGTATGCGCCGAGTAAGCAAGTAAAGACAGCTTAGTTCCTAAACTTAATCTGGCATTAGACATGTGTAGCGAATACGTTGAGATATTTCATACTAAGGATAGTTCACTCGACTCTGTACAGCGTGCGTAACTGCCGATTGACAGAGTTATCGTAGAATTGCACATTCCCTGTATAAAAGGGGGAGAATTATTTGAAAACGAATAATAACTAACAGGATTTAAAATACAAAACGCTTTCTCAGGTAAGCAAGACTTAGTTAACTGTGAAGTTATGTCCTATTCATCGGGACAGTGCGCTGGAATAAGTTGAGATAATACCGGGACTATTAATGTGTATATCACGGGTCAATTGCTTCTACCCGTTTCATTAACAATTAAATAGTTCCGAATATTCCAATAATAATCTATAGAAATAAGCTGTAACATCCGTCACTGGATGTGGCGCTTATACGCTTTTATAAAGGAGTACATAGGTCTGTTTGGCACTAACTTCGCACAAAGGTATAATAATAAGCTCTTGGTCAAGAAAGCTTGAATTACTACTAGGTATATTGGCCAAGGAGTAGTAGATCCTTGAGTGTTTGGGGTATTAGCTCTAAACCGGGTACACAGTATCATAGTTTGTTTCACAGTACAGTATGCTTACGCGATTTTGTTTCTGTGCGATCGCGGGGATCCCTGACCAGAACAATGGAGGAGTTATGGAACTGGCGGTTTCATTGGTAATTGATCACAACTATCCAGCTATCCATAATAATCCAAACCCTGGCATAAAGCAATACAAATCACACCATCCTTCTACTCAGCATCATCCTAACTCAGATCCCGCTCGTTCTGGACTACTGCTCGCTTCCCAGGCTTGGCAGGAGCGGCAGTTCCAGGAGGCCTGACGATAATACCAACACCAGATCCGCCCTCGCCAGTTCCAAGTTGCACCTCAGGGCCCGATTTCAGTGCGCCTGTTGCAAAGTTGAGCGCTGCGTTGAAACCAGCGAGGTCTCTTTTCTCGACGGCCGCACTTTCTTCATCTTCGTCTACTTCTTCTTCCCGCGGTTGTATGTCCCTGCCGATGCCAGCGCCGGGTAGTATAGTTGGAACGGCCGAAACAGATGGGGCGACGACGGCTGGCCCTGTCTCTGCAACTGGACTGCCTAACCCGGCTTCTTGAGCTCGTGTGAGGCCTGTGGCGGCTCCTTGACCGGTTGCGGTTGCACCGCTCAGCGTCTCCACAAGGCTCTTTGCCTCTTCAGCACCGCCGAATGAGATCTCACCATCACCGACTACCAAGGCGGGGGAGAAGGCACCGAGGTTGATGTTCAATGGGAGGGCGATGACTGATGACGCGGATAGGAGAGCAGTGAGCGCGTATGAGTAGAGCATCTTGGCGACAGAGCGTGGATGATGTGCGATGATCGAACAGGTCGAGAGCTTGTGACTTGGTAATGGGTGAATACCGGCTTGGGAGGAAGGCCAGGGATTAAGATGCAATTGGAGATTAAGATAGGGTCAGGGATTAAATGAAGGGCTAAAAGAAGACTTGCTTCTGGAATAGTTGAAATGAATGTGAGCGCAGCTGAAGAGAGAAAAAAAGACTAGAAGTTTGACTGAGTGGGCAGCGATCTCTTATACATAAAATGGGGGGATACCAATAAACGGAATAAGATGCTACCTGGTATGCACTTAACATTCTCCGTACCTAGGTATGCTAGGGAGCCCCCGCCTACGAACGGATCTAGACTACATGATGTGCATTGAGTTAAGTGCGAAACGCGAACCTTATCAAGAGCTTCCACTCAAGGCCGGCACTTGCACTGAGCATGGACACAGCATCCCTCAATAGACCAAGTTGAACATCAGCCAAGACCAAGTTGAACATCAGCCAAGACCAAGTTGAACACCAGCCAAGACCTAGGAGAAAGCGAGCAAAGGTTTGATACAAGGTGAAGGGGTCTCGAGACACCACGGCGCCGATGTTTTCTTAGACCGAGTCGGATTGTGACACGGTGCGAGGTCTGAGAGTGCCCAGACAAAACGCGTCGCATCACCACTCGATACCGCTTGGCAAGCCGTCAGCGCTTGGCGGGCAAAAGAAGCCTTCTCTTGGAGTCTTGGACACTGGGGAATTTGCGGATATTCTATGCGGAACTGCGTAATACGGAAGCTTGTACTTTTCAAGTTGATGAGTGGTGGTTGGGGTGGTGGTTATAAAAAGAGTGTTGTTTTGGGGGGAGAAGTAGCCCCTTATTGCGGATTATAGATATCCCGACCCCGCGAGACTATTTTTAGCATCACGTGCATTTCTGTCAACACAATTTCCGGACTTGTGCCGACCAGTCTCAACTGCAGAGCAAAACACACGATCACCAGGAGGTGGTACATTGGCTGCATCAACACCACAATAATACCCCTTTACACCATGGTCAACTGGGGCTATGCTATTGCTCTTTTGCCGATTTACGTTTTTATCTGGCTTCCTATCTCGCATATACTGTTTGGCGCTGCAAAGAACCCCGCCGATGCTCGCTATAGAACTCTCAACAGCTCGTTAATCGCTTCCAACGACCCTCTTCCATGTATTTCCCATAGTTACTATACCTTTATTCTTTCGCAGGAGCCTTTGATTATATATATTGAGAACTTCCTTAGTTCCCAAGAATCGGATCACCTGCTTCAAATAAGGTTAGCCATTTGAAATCCAATACAAGAATATAGAACACGTGATTAAGCTGGCCCCAGTGAAGATAAATTCGCCCCCTCCACTGTCTCGACCGGTCCAGAGACCTCTATTAAAAGGGACATACGCCTCTCCGAAGTCGCTCTCATTGACCGAGACGAAATTGTCCGCTGTATCGAGCACCGTGCTCGCGCCTTTCAAGGATGGCGTCCAGAGCTACACATCGAGAGACTGAGAACGCAGAGGTATGGCGTGGGAGGCCATTATGGGGATCACTATGATTGGAGCGGCGCTAGCAGAGAGGCTGACCGTGTAAGTACCTTTATGGTATATGTCAAAGCCGACTGTGATGGCGGTGGGACAAAATTTCCGAGGATAAAGATGCCATTTGTTGGAAATAATACCAGGTGGTGCGAATTTTTAGAATGTGGAAAGCAAGAAGGGGGTATTGGAACAGGAGAAGATTGGGGAGTTACCTTCAAGCCAATTGGAGGAAACGCGATCTTTTGGGAGAATTTGCGGTCGGATGGGAGTGGCTATGAGGAGACCATTCATGCTGCCTTGCCTGTGGTATCTGGGACGAAAGTTGGGTTGAATATTTGGAGTTGGGGGCCGGCTCGAAGAAAGTAGACTTGCTTTGAAAATCAATCAAGGATTCCGTGGGAAGGTCTCGTCGGCTTTCAAAGTATAGGCCTGTCCTTTGCAGCGTTTGCTTCCCAGTTGTCAGCCTGCTGTTATCTGTCTCACTGTCAGATTCACTAAACAAAGCCAAAAAGACTCGGAAGATAGGTTACCAATCTCTATAATTTCAATGTAAGGTATTCTCTCTAGATATTAACAAACGCTAACCACCAAGCAGGATATCAAACTAACTGCAAATTCCCCTCACCGCTTGGTCGTATCGACACGTCGAGCTGTTCACCATTACACTTGATAATACCACGTCCTAGCAACCACCACGCCTATTCAACTCACTATATGTCGCCGATGCGACGGAGCAACTACCATACCTATTCAACTCACTACATATCGCCGATCTGCCGTCGCATCTAGGTCACCTTGTCCCTTTAATTCACGTTCAACAATGGAATCAAAGATGCTGTGTCGAAGTGACTCCGAGTCGTTTTCACTTTCCATATCCCAAAGATCGCCATCCCCACCTCCCCCAGACTACAAATCACATTACCATTGCCCTCCACTACAGTCTAATCCTCCGATGATGTTCTTACCACCGTCAACATCCGGTGGTCCTCCCCGGCCTATCAATGTCTCCAAACCAACTGGCAGTTTGCGAGATTTGAAGCTCATACCCCCCAGATTCGAATTGTCAGACTCCGAGTCCGTTACCGGGAATAGCTCACGATCAAAAGACGCCCTCGAGCTAATCTACAACATTCGTACCTCAACTTTCCGTCGTGCATTGCGCTCTGAGCTACTCCGAGAGAGAACACCACCAGCACCTCCCTCACAGCAAGAAAACCGCGGCATGTCAGGGCTTAAGAAGCGGAAGGCAACGATTGCAGATGGACAAGGACACGGGGATTTCTTCTACTTGGATAACTTCAACCCACCGCTACTTGTTGATGGTAGGAAGACTGTCATGCCTTTACCAAGATTCAAAAGAACTGTCAAAGTCTATTACCGGAGATCGGCGAGGGCAACCGACCGGGAGAAAGATGCGCCTCCTGTTAGGGGGGAGACGGAGGTGATTATTAGGAGGTTAAAGTTGCCAATCAGTGTCTGGTTTCAGAGGAATGTGCTGGGACAGTGGGAGGAGTTGTGGGTTGAGATGTGTTGATGCGCCAAGGAGAAGCGACCTGGTTAGGTTGATATCCTGGATGGAGGAGATTCACTGTTTAGGTTCGAATATGTGGAGGCTTGAAAGGGGGAAGCGGGGACTGGGATGATGACCAAAGCAACCACATGTGGATGGGATCTTATCTACTGGATACATAAGCTCGAGGCACCTTGTGACGCTGGATATCTAGAGAGTGGTACACATCATTCTCGGATTCTAGCAAGCAAGGTCACTAGAAAATGCATCAAGTAGGCCTAGATCTGTTAGGTTCGAGTAATGTAATAAGCTAATACAAACAACCATCAAACTTGCGCATCACGAAAATGCCAAAGGGCTCAACTAAGCGTAGGCTTTAGATGGGCGTCGATTACATAGGACAGTAATGCCAATGGTAATCTCCCAATAATTCCCGCCAGCTACACGCCCGTATATCCCAAACACAGACGCAAAAGGCCGCGAGACCCAATCCCAAGAGCTGATCTAAACCATCGCCAGGGCCATTTTACTATACCCCGCGCCCACAAGCCCTCGCTAACAAACGGTCAATCTATATTTCAACCTTAATTGGTCAGCCATCGTTCGCTCTTCCTGCCATCTTAGCCTGATACTGCCAAAATTTGCACACGGTCAAACTCTGCAAAACTTTACCGGAGACAAAGAATAGACAGGTTACTATGTAGAGTATCTTGGCTTTAGGGACAGTATATCATAGACACTTTCTCTTGAGGTTGCTGAAGAGGAGTGTGAGGAAACGAGACATAGGAATAGAAAATACGTTTGGAAGATTATGAATTACAAGGACTTGATGAGATGGAAGCGATATCGTAAAATTGAGCTTAGGCTTGATGTTCTGTAGTTTGATACTCATATCTATTCACGGAGCGAAATTCGAAAACTCTCTGATATTGGACTCGCTCATATATCACCACTCCGTGAAAATGGGGTAGTCTGCAGCGACAATTATTAGTACTTCTATGAAGCGTGATATTTAAGTATTGAGGCAGACTGATAGGGGCAGTGGCTGAGCATACCAAGGCCAAACTTTGGAAGACGATATAAATATTTTTGGGTATCTTGATATTAAAAACTGCGCTACGCAACCATCCTGATAGCCTTGAACTTATTTCGGCTGACATCCTAGGACAAGGAAATATCCATGGGCCTGTAGCTGTATTCTGGAGTCGCAAACCCCCTTTCTGTCATAGACAACCCCAGCATTGAGGGAATCAATTACAAGGATTATAGGGCTTTTGACTTGTGCGATGACCCCATTTTCCGTTGTGCGTGCTTCCATGGCGAGGTTAGGAGCCATTTTTATCATTCAAGTCCAACATCCCGCCCGCAAAAGCGACCTGGGCGCATCATCGGTGGCCGCATGGCCACTGTTGCTGGAATGCCCGATGAGTTGCGCTTGGCATGGTATATCCTGAGTTATACGGCGAAGTAGCCTGGTGCGGAGGAGGGTACTAGTGGTTCCGAAAATTCTTTTTCCTAGTCCAGTGTTAGCACTAGATATAGAACATGCTTCTGCAGCAATAACTTACTGGTAGAACAAATCAGTTCTCGAAGAACCAAGATTTATAATCTTCGGACAGCCATCTCTATCTTTTTCTAGTCGCGTGCATTCAAAACAGTAGAACGCGTCTGAGATCCCTTCGCCACCGCAAACAACACATTTGTTCTGATAGTTGCCGAAACTGCATTCATCGCAGATCCGAACTAGAGTCGTGGGTCGAACGTAGGAATCGCAGACAGGGCATTTACCGTCGCATTTGTCGCAGAGGCGGCCGATAGCAATGCCTGCCTGCTTGCGGCACATTACTAGATCGCTAGAAGAATGTCAGCATATGTTGCTTAAAGGCCCTGCCCCTTGGAACTGGATTGGGGAGGGGGAGCGAGAAGATAATGAGAACTTACGGATGATGGCGAGACATGTCGATCTGTGAGTGTACAAAGCGGTCGGATGCTCTACTTGTACTGGGTTCCTGAATGTAATGAAGCTGTAGTTGAAGACAAATTGAAGACGACTGTGAAGATGGCGACTAAATTGTAGGTTTAGAGAGTAGAAGGGCGTGGCACGAAGTTCGACTTGTTCTGGTTCTTCTCAAGCTGTCGTTGGAATTTGTAATAAAGTGGCGTTTGGCACAGGCTGTGGCTTAGTAATGGGCATTTGGTTTGGTAGCCTCGCGGCCACTAGGTCCTAATCGGGCGCCGTAGTCATTATCGTGCCGTAGTATTTCTCAGCCGAAGCCTCACCAGTCAATTCGCGATAGCTCAGTACCTATCGTACATTTCATATATCCCGAGGTTGTGGGGAGTTCACGATGCCAGATAGTATTAGGTATAATTCCCACTGCCTCAGCATTGTTATTGTTATGGCAACGGATTGCTAATACTCCTATAGACCTATCGCTTCGGTTGTCGTCCTCCCCGACCTAGACCTTGAGCTAGAAGTTCCCAAGTCCCCCGGCATAAAACGACGACTATCATCCGAACCAGAGTCATTATCTAAACGGCCAAGGGTTTCAGAAGGGCCGGATGGAAACGAAACCTCTCCGACCACCTTAGAACCATCCTCGAAGCCTGTCGAATCCCAAACAGACACTGCCGAAGAGAAACCAAAAGAGTCCGGCAAGGACAGACCAAAAAGCAGCGCCCAAGAAGAGAGAAAACGAGGCCAACGTTTATTCGGTGGGCTCCTGAGTACTTTGAGTCAGACCACACCAAATGGCCCACAGCGACGGCGGCAGGAGATTGAAAAGCGGCAGCAAGAGAAGGCTAAGCACCAGAAGGCCGAGGATGAAGGACGCAGGGCTGAGAAGCTAGCGAGTTTGAAGGCTGCGCGACAGGCTGGACAGATCAAATTTAATGAAAGATCGGTAATGCAAGCTCTGATTGGCAGCCATGACGCTTTACTTACTTTAATCAAGATGCGGATACGACATTCTAATATGCTGGCAATGGCACACTTCTTATGCACCAAGACTGAACCCAAACTGGTACGTCCGCGAACCCCATATATTTCTGGCCCAAGTCTAATAGCCAGCCCAGTATTTCAAGCCGTGGGAATTATTACCTGAAGAGGAAGATCGTATCAAAACACAAATTGCCGAGGTAGAAACTCTTATCAAACGAGAAGTAGAAGAGTCCAACCAGGAAAATCCCCACGATTCAAAGCAAGAATCGTACGCAAATGAAGAGACTAACATCGCGTCCAAGGAGACGGTGGGTGAGCCTGGCAGCGAGTATCCATCCGTTTCTAAGCCTGTTGGTGCTACTAATGATACTCCTGTACAAGTGACTCAGTTTGGCCAGGTTTCCCCTAAGAAGCATGCTCTAGAAGAGCATAATGGTGAGGTAGTTGTTGAAAACGAGGAGGACACGGTCATCTACTAGGCGACAAAACATACCTTCCATTGTATGATTGGTTTTCCCACGGCGCCCGGACGGTTCCCTGGGTTTCACGGCATTAGGCTCTGGTTCGAGCGATTTATAACCATTGTTCACCGGCGTCTTGCATGTATATAACGGCCGAAAAGCTTCCATATACTTTGTCCTATTATGGGCGTACCATAATCTATATGTGTCTACAGCAATTAGTCTAACGCCAGTGATAATTTTCTAATCTCATTTTGGGTTTCGGGGACCATTGCATACTTAGTCACTCAAACCCAACCTCAACCCTTTTTCATGGCAGCCGTTTCATAATGAAGACCAATAGAGATTGTAGTCTACATGTTTGAAATACAGGGATATTGGAAACTGGAAGATGATATAAGATTGTCGGTGGTCCCGAAGGATTACCCAAGGTTTCTCGGAGGTCACTGACCTCCTAGCGAGGGGTACCAACCAAGCCGAGGCTCGCGAGACTCTTGCTGTTTGGTCCGCCCTCTGGTATATCGTAGACCCACGCTCCTAGATCTATGCAGATGCAAGTGCCATGGCTGTATTATAAATACAAATACCCTTTGCATTCCCCTCACAAGATCTAATAACTTGCCTTTTCTCTAGTCCCCGTGTGCTCTACTATGGCTTCCAAAATCACTCCCAACGACCCTCGGGTCACCTACAAAACCGCCAATCTCAACGGGGTGACTTATAGTTATATACTCGCCGAGCCTGAAGGGCAGCCCATTAACACCATCTTCCTTATCCATGGTTGGCCAGACCTGTCGTTCGGATGGCGATATCAAATCCCGTTTCTCACCTCACTTGGTCTCCGTGTCGTAGTACCAGACATGCTGGGGTATGGCGGCACTGACGCTCCTGAGTCGCCTGCCCGATATACCTTCAAGAATGTCGCTGATGACATGGCTGCTCTTGCCGAGCTGCTCGGCCTCTCCAGCATCATTCTTGGGGGTCACGACTGGGGAGGAATGGTGGTTTACCGTATCGCCCTCCACTACCCCAGCCTTGTTTCCGCCCTTTTCAACGTATGCACCCCGTTTGTGCCTCTTCGCAAGACATACCGCTCCATGACAGTGGCGCCAAACTTCAAATATCAAATCCAGCTGGCAGGACCCGACGTCGAAAGCAACATTGTTGGGGAGGAGAAGATCCGTCAGCTTTTGGCATCTGTCTATGGTGGCAGAACTCCAGCGGGGGAGCCGGGTTTTGACACTGGGCATGGCGCTTATTTTGAAAGGTTGGGGGATATTGGTTCCTCACCTCTTTTGAGCAAGGAGGAGCTCGACTTCTATGCGAAGCGGTATGCTATTCATGGCATGCATGGACCGCTGAATGTAAGAGTTTCATTTCTGGCATTTCCTAGCCTCTGGAGAAGGGCTGCTACCTGCCCACGCAATACATATGCCCATCACACTCCTCTCATTATTTATTCACCAGCATGATTTGATCAAGAAAGACGCTGACTTCTTAAATTATATAGTGGTATCGTACAGCAGAGTTGAACTTCGAGGATGAGAAGGGCCTAGCTGAGACCATGGAAACCTTCAAGTTCGACATGCCTGTATTGTTCATTTCAGCCACAAGGGACGCAGCGTTGCCACCGGCGCTGAGCACTGGCATGGACAAGTTTTTCAGGAGTTTAACTAGAGGAGAAGTCGATGCCGACCATTGGGCACTCTGGGAGAAGCCGAACGAGGTGAATCAGTACATTCAAGAATTTCTGTTCGGTAACGCCAGGACGGCTAAAGCCAACCTTTGAGAGGCTGTCAACGACGCGAAATGAATTCAAAATGAAAACATCAACTTGTCCTCAGCTCTCGTTTCATTCCACTCCAGCCGCGGAATTTTCAAATTATGAAAAGGCCTTCTTATTTGGAGTACTAAGCAGATATTAGCAACCCTCCAGGATAAGTCTCCTGCCCCTTTCTGCTTGCCTAGCGATGCGCCTGTGGGTAATATGACGAGAGAGCCAAACTCTTACCTCCAGTTGGCATCCCAGCAGGTAGTTGAATAGCTGCTGATCAGTAAATTCGTTCAATCCCGAAACGCCGTCTTTGCCCGCATTTATAGAGCACGCGATGCTCTTCCGATTGCTATCCAGTGGATACATCAACAACCCTTCTTGTTCAGAGTTGCATAGAAAGTCTGGGCAGAAGGCTATCAAGTCTGCATTGCCCCCTTGGCTGGCTTCACCCGTAAAACAGCATTGGTGTTTGAAGCCCGCCAAATTACTGACTTGAAGTGTCGCCAAAAGCGTCAGGAAGGAATTTAACCAAAAGAATAATACGAGGGTAGAAGGGACTAAGTTGCGCTTAAGGGCTTGTTCCCAGAACTGCCATCGTTTCCACTTCATAGAAATGGGTTACAAAGCACAATGTAAGGAAGAGCTCCCAATACCTAATACGAGTACAGTAATACCATGGCGCAACAAGACGAACCTGGCCCGATCGCGGGCTGCAACCAGCTGCAATCCGAGTGGGCGGAATGCGTGCAACAGCTTCGTACTTCTTACTCCGTAAAGTGGATTGCTCGGACTCGGACGTTGTTCTTTGTCCATTGCCCCTGGCATTTATTTGACGGTTTGCCACCCCGCAACATTTCTCAACTAGCAATGCCATTATTGCGCGGCCTTTTATGATAGCGAAGGCCGCAGCATCCTTTTCCCTTCATTGGTATTTCGACTCGGCCGTAAGCAGGAAGATTGCACCGTTTGGAAATGTCCCCACACGTCTACCGCGGCGTAGCGTAGAATACCTGTACGAAGTATACATTGCCGCATATGAAACGTCTGGTAAATCCCGATGCAAAGTTCGATTGGCGAAAGGCTGACTACGGTGGAACAAGATGGGTCGCCTCCTGCAGCAGGCTCAAAGGACAGTAAGATATGACGACTTCGGCGTGTGCAGCACGGTGAACCCCCGTGGTCGAGCTTAATAGCTTGAAACCGTCGTGACGTACCGTATGGCGCATTATAGGAACAGATCGGTGTTTGGCGGGAATAACACCGCTATATCCTCTACATCTGACCCTGAGGGCGAGGTTATTCGAGTCGCGCTGGCCATATTGGTCTGTACGCTCCGGCCCCAAGCCTGCTATACCTGACCTTACTTTCTCTATAGGACGGAGTATATAATAGTACTCGGTATATAATAGTACTCGGTATATAATAGTACTCGGTATATAATAGTACTCGGTATATAATAGTACTCGGTATATATATTAAGTCTACGGTTAGCACCAAGTAACTACTAAATAAGTAGTTAGGGAGCTAATAGATCCCGATGAAGGTAGCTAGCGTCGCGAATACCTCAATTTCAGTCAAATGTGGATTATGTGGAGGATATGACCCGCGGCGGGAAGCAATTCCTATACAAAATACGGTAGCAGAGGGCGAAGGCTACTACGGATCGCCGAATAACCTCACTTTGCGACGGCTGAATATTTGAATGTTGCACGAATGTTGACACTCTCTGGGAAGTATGGCCTTCGTAGGGCGTAGGGCGTTATCCCCGAAATCACCGATTTGTTCCTATCATAAGCCGTCGTACCGGACAATTCGGTTTTCCGTCGAAGGAGCTAAGAGAACTAATGACGCGAGCCAAGCCGGTCTTAGTCTGACAAAGTCCATTTTCACCTGCCTTTCGCTCTTTATGTTTACACCGAAGACATCCAATTTAATTTATAGTCATTGCTTGTTATTTTCATTCCTTTCGTTTTATAACCTCTTCCACTCCTTCATGTTCTGTTCTTCCCATACCCTTCTTCTCCCGCTGTGATAACTGAGAAGCAAACACAGCCATGGCAACTAATGAGCCAGAGGGCTTCGAACCCATTACGCACCAGCGAACTGGAAGCAAACTTACCCGTATATTCACCGACTCGTCCATATTTTCATCTCGACGAGTTAGCCGGAGTTACGATGAGTCCACGGACGAAGAAGATCGCGAGCCAATCAGCTTGGCCGCAGATTGGAAATTGATGCCAGAGATTAGAGACTTTCAGCAGCAGGGCGAAAAGGACGAGGTTAAAAAACGCAGACTCGGAGTCACCTGGAGCGACCTAACGGTCAAGGGCGTTGGGGCTGATGCCGCCATTAGCGAGAATGTGGGATCTCAATTCAATATCCCACGAGCGATTCAAGAAGGAAGGCGTGGGGCGCCCTTAAAAACGATCATCGACCGGAGCCACGGATGTGTCAAACCAGGGGAGATGTTGTTGGTCCTCGGCCGACCTGGCGCAGGATGTACTACACTTCTCAAGACACTTGCAAACAAAAGGGGGGGTTATGCCGAGGTTACTGGAGATGTATCTTGGGGGTCCCTCAACCACGAGGAGGCCGCCCAATATCGGGGGCAGATTGTGATGAATACAGAGGACGAATTGTTCTTTCCAACACTCACTGTTGGGCAGACCATCGACTTTGCCACAAAGTTGAAAGTTCCCTTCGACCTCCCGTCCGATAAAGAAAGCCCAGCCGAGTTTCAGCGAGCAAGTCGAGATTTCCTGTTGAAATCTATGGGTATCTCTCACACATACGATACCAAAGTCGGTAACGAATTCGTACGTGGCGTTTCTGGAGGTGAACGGAAACGAGTCAGCATCATCGAGACGCTGGCTACCAGAGGAAGTGTCTACTGTTGGGATAACAGTACCCGCGGTCTAGATGCCAGTACTGCTCTTGAATACACCAAAGCTGTTCGAGCATTGACGGATGTGTTTGGCCTCGCTTCGGTTCTTACACTATATCAGGCCGGGAATGGAATATACAATCTGTTCGACAAGGTCTTAGTCCTCGACGAAGGGAAAGAAATCTACTATGGCCCAATGAAAGAAGCCCGGCCGTTTATGGAAGGCCTTGGCTTCTTTTGCAATGACGCAGCCAACGTCGCTGACTTCCTCACTGGAGTGACCGTTCCGTCAGAAAGGAAGATTCGCGAAGGGTATGAAGATTCGTTTCCCCGAACCTCAGATGATATTCGCGCGGCATACGAAAAATCAACGATCAAGGCAGAGATGGAGGCTGAGTACTCGTACCCCACGAGCGACATTGCGAAATCCAACACCGAGGATTTCCGGGAAGGTGTTCAAAATCAGAAGCATAGGAGCCTGGCTAAGAAGTCTCCATTCACCGTCAGCTTCGTAACTCAGGTCAGGGCTTGCGTTACACGCCAATACCAAATTCTTTGGGGAGATAAAGCGAGCTTCCTCATCAAACAATTTTCCACGCTTGCTCAAGCACTGATTGCGGGGTCGATGTTCTATAATGCACCGGCTAATTCAGGCGGTCTCTTCCTCAAATCAGGAGCAGTGTTTTTGGCATTACTGTTCAACTGTCTTCTCGCCATGTCTGAGGGTATGTATATCGAATTATCGAATATCTTATGTTTAATCATTTGAACATCTCGCTCTAAACCCCCTTAGTACTCTCGTCTTCGTTTTAAATCAGACGAAAATTTACTTTTACTAACCTTTTGTGTAGTTACCGACTCTTTCTCAGGCCGGCCTGTTCTCGCAAAGCATAAGGCCTTTGCTCTTTATCATCCAGCTGCCTTCTGTTTAGCACAAATCGCCGCAGATATACCCGTCCTACTAATACAGATCGCACATTTCTCCCTCGTGTTATACTTCATGGTGGGACTGAAACAATCGGCTGGCGCATTCTTTACCTTCTACATATTTCTCTTCGTAACTACAATGACAATGACGGCATTGTTTAGAGCAATTGGTGCTGGTTCCTCGACATTCGACGGTGCTAGTAAGGTTTCTGGGTTCATGATCATGGCATTAATTATGTATACCGGATACATGATTCGAAAGCCACAAATGCATCCAGTAAGTGGAAAACATATCCGGAGCCTTTTATATGCGAGATTTACTGACTTCTTATGTAGTGGTTCGTTTGGATTTATTGTAAGTTGTCCTTTAGTAACTTACACCTGTGGTTTTTTTTATTTCGTCTCGAAATCCGAGCTCCTCGGCTATTCCAGCTTTAATCGCATATGGTCTTCGGCAGGAGCTAACAATTATAGGGATCAATCCTCTGGCATACGGGTTCTCGGCACTTCTCTCAAACGAGTTTCACCAAACAACTATCCCGTGCGTCGCGGTAAATCTAGTTCCCAATGGGCCTGGCTATGCCAACTCCCTTTATCAAGCTTGCAGTGGGGTTGGAGGAGCTAGGCCCGGGGCGACTATCGTTTATGGCGATGATTACCTTGCATCACTCTCTTATTCACATTCAAATATGTGGCGGAATTTCGGTATTCTTTGGTAAGACACTGCACTCTATCAACTTTATCAGCAACTAATTATTTTTAGGGCATGGTGGGTTCTGTTTGTTGTGATTACAATTATTGCTACATCCAAGTGGAAGGACCAAGGGGGGAAGGGCGGGAATCTCCTCGTTCCCCGCGAGAAGGCGAAGAAGGCCGGCCACCTAATTGCTGACGAGGAATCTCAAGCAAAGGAAGAGAAGCCAGCCGTAAACTCTGGCAACAATTCGTCCCAAAATGATGCCACTGGCAGCCAACTTGTTCGCAATACCTCCGTCTTCACCTGGAAAAACCTTTCATACATAGTTAAAACACCTTCTGGTGACCGGACACTGCTTGACAACGTGTATGGATGCGTCAAACCAGGCCAACTCGGAGCACTTATGGGTTCCTCCGGCGCTGGCAAGACGACTCTGCTAGATGTCTTAGCCCAACGAAAGACGGAAGGAACTATAAAAGGGTCTATTCTAGTGGATGGACGGCCTCTGTCGCTCAGTTTCCAAAGATCGGCAGGCTACTGTGAGCAACTCGATGTCCATGAACCTCTTGCAACTGTTCGGGAAGCCCTCGAATTTTCAGCCCTTCTTCGCCAGTCGAGAACCACACCGAAGGAAGAAAAACTCAGATATGTGGATACAATTATTGATTTACTGGAGATGCACGACATCGAGAATACCCTGATCGGCACGACCGGTGCTGGCCTCTCTGTTGAGCAGAGGAAGCGGTTAACCATTGGTGTTGAACTTGTTTCCAAGCCGAGCATTCTTATTTTCTTGGATGAGCCCACTTCGGGTCTTGATGGCCAGGCGGCTTTCAATACCGTGCGGTTCCTTAGGAAGCTTGCTGATGTTGGCCAAGCTGTCTTGGTCACCATTCATCAGCCAAGCGCACAGTTATTCCTGCAGTTCGATCGTCTGCTCCTTCTGGCCAAAGCAGGCAAGACCGTCTATTTTGGCGATATCGGGGAGAATGCGTCGACTATTAAAGAGTATTTTGCACGATATGATGCACCTTGTCCGAAGGATGCTAATCCCGCTGAGCATATGATCGATGTTGTATCTGGCTCGCTCTCCCAGGGGAAGGATTGGGATCAAGTCTGGCTTCAATCGCCAGAACACACCCGCGCCCTCGCAGAACTAGACCAAATAATCGAAGAGGCGGCGTCAAAGCCACCTGGTTCTAGCGACGACGGGTATGAGTTCGCCATGCCACTTTGGCAACAGATAAAGCTCGTAACTCAGAGGATGAACGTTTCAGTCTGGCGCAACACAGACTACATCAACAACAAGATGGCCTTACATATCGGTTCCGCCCTTTTCAACGGCTTTTCCTTCTGGAAGATTGGCAACAGCGTAGGAGACCTACAACTCCGGCTTTTCACAGTCTTCCAATTCATCTTCGTCGCACCGGGAGTCATAGCTCAACTCCAGCCCCTCTTCATCGACCGCCGGGATATTTACGAAACGCGCGAAAAGAAGTCAAAAATGTACTCCTGGGTTGCCTTTGTCACAGGTCTCATCGTCTCCGAACTTCCCTACCTCTGTATTTGCGCAGTGCTCTACTTCGTCTGCTGGTACTACACAGTAGGCTTCCCATCCGATTCGAACAAAGCTGGCGCCACCCTCTTCGTTATGTTGTGTTACGAGTTCATCTACACTGGCATGGGTCAATTCATCGCAGCTTATGCACCCAACGCAGTTTTCGCATCTCTTGCCAACCCCTTAGTCCTCGGTATCCTAATTTCATTCTGTGGCGTTCTCGTCCCATACCTGCAGATAACACCTTTCTGGAGATATTGGATCTACTGGATGAACCCATACAATTACCTCATGGGCTCCCTCCTCACATTCACAAGCTTCGACGCTCCTGTACGTTGCAGGGAGGAAGAATTCGCCGTGTTCAGCCCCCCTGGAAGCCAAACATGTGGGGAATACCTCGCGGGCTACATGCAAGGCATGGGAGCGCGGACCAACTTGACAAATCCAGATGCCACCGCCTCCTGCAAAGTTTGCCAGTATCGAACTGGTTCTGATTGGCTGGTCGGGTTGAATCTGAATGACTACTACTATGGGTGGAGAGACGCTGCGATCGTGGTGATCTTTGTGTTCAGCGGCTACGCAATGGTGTACCTCTTGATGAAGCTGCGGACGAAGAGGAGTAAGACTGCAGGCTAGACACGAGGTGTTTAGGGGGATTGGATAAGTTCAAGGACAAAACTAATTTTCTTTAGAAAAGTAGACTTTCTTTTTCAGGGATTTTCATTTGTTTTCTATAGATGGATGGGGGGGGGGGGGGGGGGGCATAATGCGGAGCAGAGTTTAACCTCTGCTGCAAACCAACTGATTAATAGTAATGCAAAGACGACAGCTATGCTTTGCTATGGCGATGATACGTTAGATGTTTTAGATACCATGTTGTATTAAAAATAAAATAAAAAAATTGTCCAACTTGGACTTTATCTCCTACTTTGCTTGTCGGCATGTTGTATACAGTCCGGCTTTTGAAGTGTGACTTCTAAGCACAGCCTTGTTTCAGAGGGAGATAACACTTAGTATTTAGAGGTGGGCGCGTACATCTCAAGATCATAGTCTAGCGCTTGAAGAATAGACGTTGAATTTGGCTGGGGAGATCTTATTTGATAAGTTGAAGGGGGAGGACTATGAATTGGATATAGAGGCCGAATGGCTCTGAGTCCTCACCTGCAAGTGAAGGGACACTTGTAGCATCTGATATACACTCTGAGAAGCAACTGGTCTAAGTGATCTAGGAATCTCATAATGGCCCAAATTTTGCTGTTACAAACACTCTTATAGTGTGTTAAACCCCAAAGTTCTGGAAATCTGGCGCCGAAAGAAAATATATTCTCATTCCATAAGCCAGCCATGAATGGCCGACACACTCAAGCCAAGCCTCCTATCATACTCCGTCCCAACACCGTCATATCCCATGTACTGTATATTACAAATAGTATGTTAACCAACTCGCTTCTCCATTTTAACTGGCCGAAGCCGCCCTCGCATTTACTCGCTCTCTGTGCTGCTTATTCTTCAAGTGGATCTCAAAATTGCCCACTGTAGTCTCTGGACCCGGGGTATATAACTTTCCTGGGCAATCATGACATCGTATGCGCGGTAAGTACATCCATTTTACTCCTTCTGGCGTCGGTTGCCCTGCTGGCGGTGCTTGACAGGGCGTTTCGGTGGCGGAGTTCACAGCGGAATACCGCATGACGCCTTCGAACCGGTCAGTGGGATATTGTGAGAGGAGGGCTGCGAGGCCGGCCGTGAGCCACTCCGGTGGTGGTGGCTAGAAGGTGTTAGCAAAATCGTAATCTTAGGATCTATTGTAACTTACAGGAGCATGAGCTGGCTGGCCAGGAGCAGGTGGAGGAGGAGCATCAACACGACCAATTTGACCCTGGGGTTGTGGGGTAGCTGAGGCCTGCAACTGTTGGGCCGAGGTGCTGGGAGTAGATGGGGGTCCCATTGAACCTGGAACAGGAGTACCAAGAGTTGCTGATTGTGACCGACTGAATGATGGTGTTTGCTGGATGTTCGGAGGGCGATTTCCAGCTTTCTGATCTCGAAGGTATTTTCGGAATCGCTCTCTCCCAATTTTCAGTTTCACGATCATTGTCGACATGTCTAAGCTCTCTTCGCGGGCATCACGTCCGAGCCTCCTAGCAGAAGTCCTCGTTTCATGATGGTGGAGTATCGCTGCAGCTTCTGGTGTTTCTGACCTTCCGAGGTTTGCCATTCTTTGTTGCGCTGCCGTGGCGGCGCCGCGTATTCCCCTCGTTCTCGCAGTTCCAGACTGTAGATTTGACATAGCAGGAGATTCCGGCGATGAGTCTTCACTATCTGAGGATTCAGAAAGATCTCCGCCCTGGGCTGCTCGTTTGCCCTTGGCGGTTGGTCCCCCGACCCTCTTGTATAACCGGCTTTCTTCTATGTTTTCGGCGGCTCCAGGGAGCACCGACGACACGACAAGCGTGCGCACCGTCCGTTGCCTATCCTTGAGGTCAGGTAGCGTGGGCCCTCCTCGTCTATTTACAGACCGCTTTTGCCTTCTCTGCTCTCTCGAATATATAACTTCGCTGCGCTCCAAATCAGCCTCACTCAGCTCGTAGAGGTATGGAGCATATTCCCGGGCTTGTTGTTGGGTTCGGAGGACTGCTGGTAATGGGGATGGTAAGAATGCAGATATCAAGTCCGCATCCTCCAGAGGTCGCCCATCGAATGGATGCCCAACTATAAATAAACTTCTGGTAAACAGCTGGCTCTGCTCACGAATGCAATGAGCAATTGCAGTGGTAAATTCCCCGGACAATGACAATTCCCGGGCCATACTCTGAGCAAACTCTTCTGGCGAGTTTAGAGGGTTGTTGATCTCCCATTCAAACTTATCCTCCAACGTGTGGGGACCTATGGTAATGTTCAACTTGATGAGTATCCGCATTTCCTCATTCTTGTAGGCCGAATATGGCAACTCCGGGTCGAGGGCATCCTCCTCTATATAGACCTGGGGATAGAAATCGTTCAGCTGATCGCGGAGTTGCTGCTGGACTTGCTCTAGGACTGCGTTCGCGGCGGGAGTCGTCAAGCCTAAATCTTCCACCAACTGGGTGGCGAACAGCTCGGGAGGGACGATGCGATCGTGAAGGTTCCATGTAAAAGTGTCTCGCATCTTGATCTTGTCCCAGTCCACGTCCAGCCGGACGGGCACTAGCTCCTCCACCTGTTCGGATTGCTGGGCGAGCTCCTTGCGCTTGATGCGCAGCCTCGCCGTCTTCCTGTGACCTAGCCGGGGCTTTGCATTGGGGTAGATGAGCTTGGTCTGGCCATCTGTATGTCCATTCCCATATCCGCTGTAGCCCTGGCCGTACAGACGGCTGGGAGGGAACCATTGACGATACTCCGTGCGGACCTTCCTGTAATCATCTGCCTCGTTTCTCATGCGCGCATACTGCTGTTTGCGGGTTTCGAGGTCGGACAGGATCGCCGCCGTATGGAGCAAGTCCCGATTGACATACTGATCGAGCGCATACTTATTGAAGTCGGCCTTGGTTCGTTGGCGATGGGGTAGGGCCGAAGGCGAAGAGGCAGAAGGCGAGCCGTCAGCGGGGAGGCGGGTGTCTGACGGTTCCTGGGGTTCCGGGGCCATTGCAAAGGTGGACGCATCCGTGGTACTGATGCGAAAGCGGTGAAGGATAACCGCACAGCGCCGGGGCGAGGGGCGAGTGGAAGCTGGTGGGCGGGAATGGGGTCGTTGTACGAGGTGATATATATATTTTGGCGTGGTGTTGAGTTGAAGGCGGCGCGCGCCTCTTTCGCGACGGCGAGCGGTCACGGGATGCCACAGGATAGGGGGCCTGAGGCGTCAATGGATTCCCGATGAGGCTGCTGGTTTTCTTGTGCCACGTGACTGTTTATTCTGCCATGGTGTAGCACGTGATATATCTAGACTGCCACGGAATACTTCACTTCTGTACCCGGAAAGGGTCGAGACAAGTCATCACTGATGTATGGAGTGTGTAGAATGTACTACGCCCCGAGGTACCTTTACACCGGTGTATGCATGTGTAGGTACCTATGTCGATGTAACCCCCACGTACGACTACACACAAAGTACTTGGTACTTCGCACGCGGACACCGCGACTGCTCCTGAAAGCGTAACCACCGCAGCCAAGTGCAGACTCCCCGTCCAGAGCCTGTGTACTTTTACTACGTAGCGGTGGTGACAACATTGCGGGCCGCCTTCGCTTGTCAACCCACCCACACAATCCACAATCCACACTTACACCTGCACTCACACTCACAACAACCACATTCACCCTTCCCTTAAACTCTCCCACGATCCACTCCTTTATTTCTCTTCTCACTCTCACTCCAGCTCCCGCTCCACTATCACCAGCATCATGGCCGACAAGAAGGAATCCGAGGAGGTTGGTACGTTACTTTGCGTTCTCCCAGTGCTAGCACCGGCGGTTGCGTGGTGGGCTGCTGCTATTCTACCCCGCTATCTCGAGGACAACGCGATGAGGGGTCATGGCATCAGCATTCAGCATCCAGCACCGCGCAAAACACCACAACAACGCCACATAACACAAAGATACGCTGGCTAATGCTCATATTTCTACCATCTAGATTATACCCTGAATAATCCCGATACTCTTACCAAGTACAAGAGCGCCGCTCAGATCTCCCAGAAGGTTTTGGAGGCCGTTAAGGACCTCTGCAAGGCCGGCGAGAAGATCGTGACTATCTGCGAACAGGGCGACAAGCTCCTGGATGAAGAGATCGCAAAGGTCTATCGCGGCAAGAAGATTACCAAGGGTGCGCTCCCACGTTCTGCGGTCGTTGCCATATCATCGCAGAGTATTCTTCGCACCGAATCATCCGACTGACTGGGCTGCATCTAGGTATCTCCCACCCAACGACCGTTTCACCATCCTCGTTCGTCACTCCTTACACCCCACTCACATCCGATGAGGCCGAAGCTGCCGTTACCCTGAAAGAGGGCGAGGCCGTCAAGATCCAACTGGGTGCACAAATCGATGGCTTTGGAACAATCGTTTGCGACACCATCATCATCGGCGAGGCCGAAGGCCGAAATGCCGATTTGCTGTTGGCCACATACTATGCAAATGAGCTGCTATTGCGTCTGATGACCCCACCAGGACTCCTTGCCACGGGTACTGACGAGGAGAAGGCGAAAGCGGCCAAGGTCAAGGCGCCTACTCAGAGCAAGATCACTAGTCTGTTAGAGAAGGTTGTGAAAAGCTACGACTGCAACTTGGTCGAGCACACCACCAGCTGGCTGTTTGAGCGGAACGAGATTGAGGGGGCCAAGAAGATTATTCTAGCTCCCGGTGACGGCACCAAGGGCGACGGTGTGCCTGAGGTGGGTGAGGTGTGGGGTGTTGAGATGGGCGTAAGCTTGGGGTCTGGGAAGATCAAGAACTTCGAGAACCGACCAACGCTTCATCGCCGGACCAATCTCACCTACGCCCTCAAGCGGCCAAGTTCGAAGAAGATCTTGAACGAAGTGGTCAAGAGATTTGGCACCTTCCCCTTTTCCCTACGGCAATTAGAGGATGAGAGGGACGCTAAGGTTGGTGTCGTCGAGTGCGTCCGTGGTAACGTATTCAGACAATACGAGGTCGTGGGTGATAAAGACGGCGAGCCAGTTGGCAGACTGCTAACGACCATTGGTAAGTTCGAATTCCAAGTATTCTGCTCCACATGCATCATCAACTGATTCACCTTTCAAGCCATCACGAAGAATGGCCTTCAAAAACTCGCCGCGCCCCCTGCCCCTGATTTGTCCAAGTTGAAGACGGACAAGAAGATCACGGACGAGGAAGTCCTCAAGATCTTGGAGCAGCCTCTGGCCAAGGAGTCGAAGCCCAAGAATAAGAAGAAGAAGAAGTCCGCCAAGAAGTCCACAGCTGCCGCAGATGACGAGGAGAGCAGCGACGATGACGAGTAAGGCACGTGATCGATATAATCGTATCGTGGGCGGCCCTGTGGTCAGGACATCTGGGATGACATTGGAAGATTCCCAATATATTATGATACTCTCTATTCTCGGAATATCGGTTGCGGACTCTGCCATGGGACTTGTCAAGCCAAGACTGCGCTCCAGCCGGATTTCTCGTTAGCTGGGAGGACGTCGGACCAACTACGCATCAATTGCTTGGTAAGACTCGGGAAGTATCTGGAGATAGAGCAATACAGTTCCTCGAAATAAAAATAATGTCCTGAAATCCGTGCCGTTGATCGCGATCGTAATAGAGTGCGGCTCCGATGGTGCAACCTGCCGTTTCCCCTCCCTTCCCCGGCCCCGTGGGAATAGGGGGCTCCGTCACCGTATGAATGCGTAAACAGAGTCCTGGCTCCTGGGCTGACTCGTGTGACGCCACTAGGACAACCCGCGGAGGGAGGGAAATATAAGAAAGAAAGAACGGACGGAATGGCCGGGCAGGAATGAAAAATGGCAAGAAATTGCCGTGGTCGCACTCACCGGGGTGTATGTCTATCTAATATATGGGCGATGGTAGGGCTTTTGCCGCCCTCGCCGGAAGTTCTGAACCACAATACATTCCCTCCCACCTGATATGATGGTGGCCAAGACCCAACGCCGTACTTTGACCAGAGCCAAAGCAACAACATAGTAACACAAAGATTAATATTTCCCTCTCCAAGATACACTGGTTGCATACCTCTAAGCTGAAGCCTCCTACCATCGTTGTTTATTCGCGTGGGCGGTGTTCTCGAAGCCCCTTTGTTGGGTCTCCTGTCTCCCTGAGCAGGCTCTCCTGAGGCAGCTATTTCTTCGCTAACGAACCTCGACTTTCTCCTTTAAATCTGCACCCAAGCCGAACCTATTAACTCCCACGCGTCCCTCGCCCCCCAACCGCGATAAATATTTGCCGTATATGCTCTCAAACGATAGAGAAGTATTTGGTTCCATTTCCTAATGCAGAGCTCCTGGACTAACCGCGTCATAGTCGTGCTGTCCTCGCGTGTCGCAACACTGAAGGGAGGAGGCGATCCCAGGGAGCCCGACACGACGAGCGGCGGCAATGCAGACCCCCAGCTACTCCGGAAGGCCGACTCGAAGCCGATATTCGAGCCCATTTGTTACTGCAGTTAATAATGCTGGGGCCGAAGCTGCGAATACAGTGGCCGACGCGGTTGAGAAGCCCAAAACCTTCATGGACAAATGGATCGAGCCTGCCCTACCGCCCCCGCGCCCCAGCTTCGAGGAGGCAGGGTTTGAAAGAGTTGGGACAGTTGCAAATATGGCTCCGTTGGGGACGCGCCCGAGCTGGAAGATCCTGAAGGCTGCTACGAGGGGGGAGGTGCGGGAGGGTCTAGGCCGGGCGAAGAGATCAGAGGCATCCACCCCTGAGGCGTCAGAAGCTCCATCGCAGATAATAACTCGGCGTTCGCTGTCAGTCAAACCTGAAGACGTTGAGCTTTCTCCTAGGACGCCGCAGCAGCAGACCAGCCCGCGGAAAATCAGTCACAAGCAAAACAACAGTCAATCTTCTGGCCAAGGGGTTTTTGCTATATCACAGTCTCCTCTGGCTGCGGCTCCAAGCATGACTGCCCCGGTTGTGCCCCTTGCTACGCCCTCACCATTACTTCCTGCCTTTTCTTCCCAGGTTCCGCTCGCACTTGATCCGGATGGCGAGCCAGCCGTTGACCTGGAGAAAACCGACAAGGTTGTGGAGGACGCTGTTCAGCACGCGGTTGATCTGAGGCGGTACCCTACGGCTTATGCCCTTCGGATGCTGTATGATGAGCAACATTCAGACATTAGGATAGTTCGGATCTTTGAGGCTATCTACAATAGGCGCGCTGTTTCAGCCCAGGTTGAGGAGTTTATGAGGATGATGAAAGACAAGAAAAAGGAAGGCAAAAAGGACCGGACTGCAGAATACTACTTCAACGGCGATGGAAGCGATCCTCCACCCCGCCCTATCTTCTCAGCCGTCAACACTGCTCTGACATACGACACTCCTCCCGGAAGACTTGGGACGAGCGGCAGATCATTGAGCGACTCTCATGCCAGGGCGTCCTCGTTGCATTTATCTTCGCTCTCTGCATCACCCCATAAAGATCTCGACTACGGGCATATCAGCAAGAAGCAAAAGCAGAATCACTTTGTGTCCCCATATCCACCCCTAAATGGGATGGGGTTTCCGGCGCCATCGACAGCTACTATGAATGGGAATATGAATGCGAAACCCGAGACGCCGCTGGCAAACGGCACCTCGGCGGAGCCTTCCCTAGAAAAGCCCCAGCGATCAAGGTCGGTTTCCAGCTCCTCATCACTGTCATCGCTCGACGAGCAGGTCCTGAAGAGCGGCTCTGCCTCTGCCAGTGGTGCCCAGCATGGTTCTGCATTATCAGAGGCTACATCGAATCACGGGAATGAGGCTGGGCGTGGGCGCGGAAAGAAACGTGGAGGGCGGAGTAGCGCTCCAGTCGACGGTCGCCTCACCTTAGACCACAACAACAATAATATCAATAATACCCCCCACAATACGAGAGACAATAGCAACTCTCGCTATTCTACGCCGGCCGACAATATTACTCAACAACAATCAATACCATCTGCTGCAGCACCACCTAGACCGAGAATAGGGCCCAAGACTTATACTTTCTCTACCATTACATCCACGTCTACATCTACTTCCTCTTCAACACCAACCTCCGCACAGATACCTTCATCCGCTCCACACAAATCGCCTCCAGATATCACTCCCCCTAGTCCTAGTCCTAGTCCCAGTCCACGTGCATCCACAGTCATGGCTCGGGCCCGTGGTGCCAAAAAGGCGAAGGCCAAATCAAAGGCTGCCTCTCCCGCTGAGCCTGCTCCCATTCAACCTTCCGCCGAAGAGGATGCGGATAATGATGAGGCTAGTCGAACGCTTCGAATTGAGACTCATAATCGGCTGAAGCGAGAGGCGAAAGAGTTGGCCAACAACGCACCGGCCCCTCTAGAGAGCTTCGAACGCACCCAAATCCCACTACCGGCGCAAGACGTCGAAACAGCCTCAGAAGGTGGTGACTTCGTCTCTGTGGCGCCGTCAAAGCGTCCAACCAAGAAGCGCATGCTCAACCTCAGAGAGACTCGAAGCAAAGATAATGAGGGCTCTGAATATCTCAGCTCTCCAAATGCGCTCTCATTCCAACTTGATCTCGCACCAGGCTCAGCGCCCGCTTCCCGTGCTGGCACACCGAGTGCTACCAATCGACCAACCAGAAGGGCAAAGACAGGCTCTGGCCTACGTGTCAAGACATCGTAAGTTGTGAAGGGGTTTCCCTTTCTTATAGGATCCTTTCATTCCATGGGGAGCACCTTGTACTTATCAAGCATCATCATACCTTTTTGTATTGTTTGACGGGGCCTGATTTGCTCCCCGGGCGCCTAGAATGTTCTCTGCCGCGTCGCACAATGCGACTGACGGAGTTATCATGACCTCTGGCGCCTCCTTCCCCCCTACAACCCTGAGAACGAGAGACTCCGAACACTGCTAATGCGCTTCTGTCCCTACAGGCCGGTGAAGAAGAAGGGCGGCATCGTGGCCGGTATTCCTCGCCCGAGCGGTGAACGCAACAGCCCCGTGGGCAACGGTGTGTCTTCTGAAAACAAAGTAAGTGTCTCGATCTGCATCCTCTGCTGTACGAAATCGGATTGTGAGCTGCAGCCGCAGCCGCAGCGGACTTCTACGCCTACTCCTGCCATCATCGCCGCATTATTGCGCTGGGAGCTGGTCGCTGGGAAGTGGAGCGAGAGTCAATAGTTTGACCCTATCTACCGGTGCTAGGCTGCGAAATCGCCAACGTTTTACGCGGCCAAGCCGCCTGACCTGACAAACCATGCCTGTTGCACATCACTGGTCGCTCATAAACTCCCCGCATTTTTTCTTATCCTCCATCCCAATTCATATACCGCATGGTGCGTTTCTATTTTGAGCCAACAACCACTGACTCCCATGCTTCAGGACGACAATGACGATTACTGTTCAGCCTGTGGTGGGAATGGCGACTTGGTCTGCTGCGACGGCTGCTGTCGCTCATTCCATTTTAAATGCGTTGACCCGCCCATGGTTGAAGGCGCATTGCCCGATGCATGGTTCTGCAATTCGTGCGAGTTCACCCACAACCCCCGTCCCATTAAACCTTCCAGTGGCGGCTTTGGTGAGCTCCTGGGCAACCTCGAGAAAAAGAATCCTAGTGCTTTCCATCTGCCCAAGGACGTCCGTGAGCGCTTCGAAGGTGTCAAGACTGGCACTGAGGGAGAGTACGAGGATGAGCGCCGGCCAAATAAACCAAAGTAAGTGCATCTAGATCCCTTACGCCTAAGGGTAAATCCTCTGACATCGAAATAGGACTCGCGGAGGCTACGATGAGCCCCCAGATGTTTTCCGCCAGAAAGACAACAAAGGCAAGGCAATTCTTTGCCACCGTTGCAACGGCGCTGCTATTCTCCCCAGCCGGATGGTCATTTCCTGCAGCTTCTGTAGCCTCCACTGGCACATGGACTGTCTCGATCCACCTATGAGCAAAGAACCAGCGCCCGACAGGAAGTGGAGATGTCCTGCTCATGTGGACGACCTTATGGAACTTTTGCCCGCAAAACTTGGCCCAGCCCACCGCTACCGCAAGATCAAGGGTGCTCCTACCATTTCCCCTTCTTTTGCGCGCGGTACAAGAAACAGTGGACATATCGAGATTGAGAATTCGCCAAGCGATGACGAAGACGATGGTTTCTACGACTCGACGCAGTTTGGTTCTGTGTACAAACTTCCAGAAAAGGGTCTAAAGCTCGACTTTATTTCAAAGTAAGTCCTCTATACCTAACCCGAGCTACATATTGATATTGACCTCTCCAAAGGATTAAGCAACAAGGTGGTGGTTTCCCACCCACTCCCCTTCTTCAGCACCTGAAGTCGCCACACCATCCAACTGGATGGACCTCACGAACTGTCAGCGAACAGCAAGCAGCGCTCAACCTCGCCTCGCTCGCTGCCCAGAACCCTGAGATTGGCGATGTTGGCGTGCTTTCCAGCACCTTACTGGTGAGTTGGAACTCTAGCTTCACGTCCTATGACGTAATTATGCCCGTACTGACAATAATAATAGGCCGAAGCTCCACCTTCTGTGATCGAAATGATTGCTCAAGCTGATGCGACTTCACTCTCGAATAAGAAACTATCCAAGAGAGACAGATCGAGCTTAGCTGCCCTTAAAGCCATAATCGAACAAACGCTTGCCGACACCACTAGTGATGATGACGAGCCTAAAGCCGAGGAAGAAGTTGTCGCAGGAGACGCTCTTGGCTGAGACGAAGTTATGAACGAGGCATTGACATCGATATTTTCATTACGGGTTTGGGACTCAGCTCTGATGATGAGCGCTTTCCCACACCCTTTAGGGCACGAGCGTGAAATCCCACGTGATTCTCGACTCCCAGCCACCAGATTATGATGCGGGATGTGTTCGGGTTCCGGCATACGAGCTGACAACGCCCCTACATCACCGTTCTTCAAGGCTCGCTCTCCTCAGCTGCGCCGCCAATGCAACACTTATGTTTCTCTTTTCCTTTTTAAATCCGCATCAAGCATTCGCATTGTATCATACGGAGTCTCGGGCCAAACATCATGGGTACTTTCTTTTTATCTGGATACCACGAGATCACTTGTATCACATCAGAAGGGAACACAGTCGGGAGAGAGGAGGGGAAATGCTGCTGCCGCTGCTACGGCAGCTACTACCACACCGCTACTTTAGAACGGAGAAAGGCTGGGAAACTGGAGGAAGGGATATGGACCTATTATATGAGGTGATTGGTAGCTAGTAGTGGAGATAATGCAGCATATCTTGAAATAAATTTATATCCTCGCAGCGGTGATAATCTTCCAAGGTGTACCTACCAGACCGCTTGCTGTTGTTGGGTTGTTCGCTTCCCCCATCCCCATCACAAACAGCAACTTAGTCACGTATAATTCAGACTGCAAACTTAGTATCGAATTCATTTTCATTCCCCCCAACGCTTTACACAAGAGTCAAATAAATCCATCCTTCCACCCACCCATCCATCCATAATTCCTAGCACGCATCATGACAACCGCACCCACAGTTATCTACACCACCTAAACCACCTAAACCAAAGTATACTATCCATTTCATCAGAAGCGCGCGGGTATTGTTAAGTAATCTCAGGAAGTAAAAACTAGCAAAAGCAAAAGCAATCAATCCTGTACTTCAAATCTGGTAGAAACGCAGGAATAAAAATAGTTGCTCGAATGGTTACGAGTGAGAAGTATACCGGAACCGGATTTTATGTACCTATGTGCAGACGACGCAGGCGCTTGCTCCTCCCCCGTTCTCTCCCGTTGGGTTACGTGTATATTCAAACATCAATCGTAATTAGAAACCCATCACTCCGATCCTTCCACGGCGGAATCCTCCTTCGCGGCCGCACCCCTTCTTCTAGTAGTGCGCCGGGAGACTGGTGCCTCGGCCTTGGCCTTAGCTTTCGCTGGCGATGGCTTTGCTTTGGATTTAGTAACCCTCGATGAGGCGGCCCGAGACGGTGTCTTTTTGGAGCTTGGTTTTGCGGGTTGGACTTTCTTCCCGTTGGACCGAGGAGGGGTAGGCTCGGGCTCTTCCTCCTCCGCTTCTTCCTCTTCCGCTTCGTCCGGCTTCGACTCAGGCTCGGGCTCGGGTTCAGACTCTGGTGTTTGCTCGGGCTCCACATCGGACATTTCTACATCTTCTTTCTCCTCCGCTGCTTCCTCTTCTTCTGGGGCAGACGACAAATCACCATCATCTTCTTCATCTTCAGACTCTGTCTCGCGAGGTCGTTTCTGGTTTGGGGCTGCACCCTCTTGATCTCCACTGAGGTACTCCCACTGTGCCACACCTTCCCACATCTCTTCATCGTCTTCGCTGTCATCGCGGTCGGCGTAGCTTTTTCTTGCGCTTGCGCTTCGGCCACTTTTCCTTCGTTCGGCTGGACTGGTTGCTGGAGTGCTTAAGGTACCGCTTGCCCTAGGTTTCTTTGGCTTGGCTGGCGTTTTCTTGACTTTGGGAGTCCTTTCTTTCCTCACTGTTGGAGCTTTAGGAGTCCGGTGTTTTGGTTCGGATTTATGCTTCTTTGCTGGATGGGAACCATCGTCTCTGTCATCGAATCTCCGCTTCTGTTTCACAGACTGTTATTAGTATGCATAAGCCTTGAGTAGGTGATGTAGCACAAACCTTTTTCTTGTCAGCATTCCTGACCAAGTCGTCGAGTAACCCATCCATCTCCACAGGCTCTGGCAAGTACACCTTCTCCGCGATCTCCTGAGCTACCTCGTGGCTTGGGAGCCCAGCAAAAAGCCCTATTGGCAAGCCTACTTTCACGGGCCATGTTTGCATGATCCAACCCCTTTTCTCCTGCCACTTTTTAATCAAAGCCGTGGCAAGATCGCTCAGCACGTATATGTTTTCCGGATGTTGGCTCGGAATTGCATCGCGTGCCTGTTTGACTCGCTCGGCGTACTTGTACACTAGAGGGAGATTTTCCTCTGAGACAACAGCGGTGATATAATAGAGAAGGTATCTGGCGTGGTCCACTAATTCATCTGGCTGTAGACTAAAATCCGGATGATGGGCTAGAAGGGAAATAAGTCGCGCAAACACTGATTCTAACGCTCGAGATTTCTGGTCATGGAAAACCTTTGCGCGAGAACGTATCCAGGTAACGATGGAATTGCGGAGACTCTGATCAGGCTCGAAAGCTGTCAGGAATATAATGGTGTAAAAGCGGTTGGAGAGCTTGTTTTTGACAAGATATTTTTGGAGCTTTTGCACAAAGCCCTTACGAACATCCATCAGAGAATCCTGGGTGACAAATGCAAGTCGATTGAACTCCACTGGCGATAGAAATTCGTCGAACAACTTATTCGTGCACAGCTTCAACATCGACTGGGCCGCAAGGAGGCGTAATCGGGACTTGTGGTACTTGGGTGTATCGTTCTTTTTCGAGAGTTCTCCTTCTTTCACAATCAGCCCATTTAGGAGCTTATATACGGGAACGGCGAGCTTCTGCGCGGTCTCGCGGTCCTCGGCCACACGAAGACGGTTCACCAATATCCTCAGAGCCCAACATTTTGCCTGGCATTCGTCGTCGAGGTCTGCATCAGATTTCCAACTCGGATCATCGTTAGCAGCAGGCGTTCGGACCTGCAGGAGAAGTTGTTGAGTAGTGATGTCAAGAATCTCATCATTAGCTTCGTCGGTTATTTTGTGATCCAGCAGTGTCAGCTGGCTGATTGCTGCAAGTTTGGTGAGAAAATGATCCCCCCCGAATTCCCAATCGCGCATTGACTTTTCCAGTAAATCCTTCGCGTGCATTTCCTTCTTGTCGGATGCAGCCATCAAAATGCTCACGGCATACTTGGCAGCTTTCGGCGGTGTTCCATATTGAGCAAAGTTTATCAGGGTCGAGATAAACTTGCGGTCTCTGGGTATCTCTTTGGAGCTGTTGGGGTTCTTTGCAAACGCTGCCAAAGCTTTTAAAGTCTCTACACTTCCGAGATCGTTTGCTTTGGTTGAGGAAGGCGACTGATCCGCCAGTATTTTGCAGAGTTCTTTAACATTGTCTTTGAATATCTTGGGATGCCGCTCTGAAATTTCATGCATAACCTCGTGTGCTGTGGCCCCCAGCCCATTTTCATCGCTTCTCGTGTATTGCATGATGACTGGCAGGTGGCTGCGATTATAGACGAGGGATGCGGAACGGTAAACAATGGGAATGAGAGTTTCAAGAAGCCCAGCTGGAGCGCCCGGTGCCGATTCGATGCGCTTGGAAAATTCCTTGATAGCATTGTAAACCGTTTTAAAATCGTTTTCGGGGCCCATTGCGAAACGTAGAAGTTGATAGCTTCGCCGATCATGCAACTTGGCGTATTTGTACAATTCATGGGTGGTCCGCAAAGGATCCGGAAGCAGATCTGCGAGCCATTTGACCACACCATCGAGCTTTGCCTTGATCTCTTTGGCGTGTTCATCCATAACACCGCCGTTGAATTCCTCGCAACGCTTGAGGAAGGCATGCAGTACGTTGGAGTATACTGGTTGGCGAGCCTGCATTGCAAAGAATGCTTTCTTTGACTTTGCATCGAGGGATTTTACCACTAGTAGAACACGCTCGGTTCGGATCTTGTCAGCATTGAAGGGTGCGTCCCCATTTGTCTGACTCTGACTCTGCGAATCTCCATTGGCTGCTTTAGATCCCTTGGTTTTTCCAGGTGGGTAGTTGAGTGGAATAAGTTGTTCAAACATGACATGGTCCAATAGCACGTTGAGTTCGAGATCATTAGCATAATACGCATCGATAACCTTCGATGGGATGGCGCCCAGAGCCTCAATCACAGTCTCATTTCCTGCGGCGATCTCGCCCGCGGCAACACCCCATATCCTGCTCAGAGTTGTCATTCCTTCCACTCGTACTGGATGTCGTCGATCACGGGCACGGTCTGCCAGACTACACAGGACCGACCCAGATTTGCTAACGCCCCCATTTGGACCAAGCTTCGTCATAACATCGCGAAAGCTAAAGTGCCCTATAGCCTTGACAGCAGAGAGGCGGACTCTCTCGTCTGCGTCGTTCAACTTCTCGCCCAGTCCTTTGACTAACGCAGCTTCGTCCTCCCGACTTAGCCCAATCCCCCCAGCTGAAGTGACAAGGACCCGGCCTATGGCTGTTGTCCAACCCGATCGAATAACTGCTGATTTATCGTTCTTCCTTCCCAGGAAACTGTGATAAACGTTGGGATGAGTCTGAGAGAATGACTGTGGTGAAATGGGCTTTGTGAGGATGCTGTCAGAGATGTGCGAAGTGGGATAATCTTCAAGTCTTGCTGGTGGGTATGCAGCAGGATCCATGGGTGGAGGGGGGGGAGGCCCAGCTGCTCCAATGCCAGATATTATGTCCCCAAGTGTTTCGGTAGCTAGCAATCGAAGTTGAACGTTTTCAGCAGACAATTCTGCCTCTAATTGGGGAATGACGTTTTGGAGAACTGATGGCGATGCGCGCCAAAGCTCACGCAAGAGTAAATGCGCTTTGTGAAGCTCATTAAGATCGGATTCAGTGGGACCAGCCGGCGCCTCATCTTCCTCTAGATCTGCTGCATCGCTCATCCTTCTATGGCCGTTGGGTTTCGACGTAGTTGCGGACACATCCATAATAACCTCATTAAAATATTGACTGACATAGCGAGCCATCTTTTCCGGGCAGGAATTGCAGATCGTCTTGGCCATATTATATGCTGCTGGGAGCTCTTTGGAGAGTAGAGTAGACTGTTTGTCCCCGGCGCGAGCTTCTCCATGCTTGCCCTTTCCGCTGTTTGGACTCGTCGCTCGCAGAAATTGGGCAACGATAACATCTACAACTTGCGGAGGCAGACTTGCAGCTTCGTCTACTAAGATGACCAACATCTGTGTCATGTTATACTCGACTTCCTTGGCTATCTGCTCGCCCGTCGAGGACTTTGAGGAACCGGATATAATGTCGAAGAAAGAGCTAAAGAGATGGAGAGTGAGCGCCTCAGAATTAGGAATGTCCGTGAGCAGAACAATGCTCTTGATTTCTGTCAATGATACGAGGACATATTTGTGTTGGTTATTGTAGGCATGAGAGGGGTCAGAGAGGGCTGGTAATATGGAGGTAATGAAGAGGGTAAAGATGTCCTGGGCGCAGTGTTAGCAGTGTATATGTATATCCCCATCCACAGCTCCAGCTCGCAACACACCTTCAATTGCGATCCAGTAAATGGCGCATCGGGCGCGCAAAGCTTCAGCACATCCACTAAGCAGCACGCTGCGAAGGCGCGCACACCCTTATCTTTATGGGTCAAGAGGTTCTGGCCGGCCAACTCCTTAGCAACCTTGGTGAATGACTCCTTGTCGATCTCCTCCTGGTCCATTTCGCGCAATTCATTTGATAGTGCATCGAGCCGTCGAAGGAGCTCTCCCGTGGGAATGGGCTTTCCGGCGCGCCATGAGAGCGGTTCATTGAAGGTCAAGCTGGCGCCATGGGATTCCTGGTCCAGCTCCTGCTCCTGCTCTTCGGCCTCCACCTCATCCTCGACTTCACCACGGCGGCGCCGCGCCATTGAGGATCAAGAGCGCGCTGCTCTCCAATTCCAGTCTCAGCGGGGCAAAGGGGGTTTATAACAGGTCTTGGATTCGAGAAGAGACGCGTGAGGAGTGTCTCCAGAACAGGCTGCACGCGGGGTGCGAAAGACCTCTGTTGTTCTCTGGGCGGTTAGAGTGGTTGAGTGCAGAGCTGTTGAGCTGTTCGCTGGCGGGAGGTCTGGTTCTGGATAGGATACGATACGAGAGCTGTACTTCGTACCTGTTGTACTTCCTGCGATTGTACGTAAGCAATCGCGTGTAACGCGTCGAAGGAGACGAGATATTTTGTACGGAGCAGCACTGCCGAATGAGGTTACTCTACCCGAACGTGTCAGCTCCAACACTTCACTACTTCACCACCGAGATACTTCACCATTTTGATATTAACTCTGCTTCGTACTCCCCTCCTCTTGCCATTCGCACTTTCTATGTCCGCCTTCCCCCTAGCGGTGCAAGTCCCTGTGTAAGCAATTCACATGTGTCGTGGGTCGTACAGTGTTCTATCGCCATGTTTGCATTCAAGTGGGGATTTAACATGTGTCAAATCAAGCTGTATGTCTGTCTATCACTGTCACTAACACTCTCAATATGTCCAAATCACGCCATTGGTATCAACGAACATATCGAAAGAGAGCTATTCGGGGATGCTGCGGCAGCCCTCCTGTCGCTATCTGTTCGTTCTGTGCCTCGCGCTTGTCTGGGCAAATCACCTGTTATGGTTTCTGTGAGCCCAAGCTAAATTACAATCGGCATTTTCAGAACTGAAGCGTTCAATCCGGCATCTTTCATTCCGAGTGAGACATTGATGGAATTGTTTTATTATGTAGGCACAACGATCGACATCGTCACCACCTGCAGCTGAGGAGCCAAAGCCCTAGAGGCGGCCCTCCTCATAGCTGAAAAGAATGGTTAGACACTCACATCATTACTCTATTTTCTGTTCTACTCGTACCTCTCCTACTAGTAATACTCCATATCCTCCAAGTTGTGTGGTTCCAGTAAAGCCATCACCTCCCCCTCTACATATCTTTCTCATCTCAAAATTTCGAAAGACATCCCACATTGAGACACTCCGTATGTACTAGAGTTTTGTCATCTGTTCCTATACATGGGAACCTCTCCACTCCTCCAAAGTAGTTGATAGTCGTTAAGTACTGGCGCCGGCCCTATATCCATAGGATGAAAAATCCAAGACCTATAGGGCTAGGAATTGATATGCTTAAGCACTCATTAATAGCTGATTGCTATTTTGAGTGCTCTTGTAACTCTCTAGCATATGATTAATTAGTTCCTATTCTACTAAGTTAACAATTACTCACAAGTAGTTGTTAGCTCAAACCTCCGAGTCATTTTCAGCTTGTGTCTATCTATTCCCTATTGTTAAGCGCTTTACATATGTTGTAAAGCTGGGCTGGAATAATATTTGATGGCGGTGTCTTGTAGTTATATCACAGGGATCACCGTCTAAGATAGACCTGTCTTTACTTAAGCTCTAATATATTCACCGCTCTTGGTCGTTTATTCTAGATCGGGGGAGCGCGTTGTCACCAGTAAACAAAGCTATAAGTTTGTTCCCCCCCTCGCCTCAATCTTCTCTCCACAGCTACAATCGTTTTCCTCACCACAGCACTGCTCTCTAGAACAACGCGTTACTTCTTCAAGGATACTACCACTCTATTGTAATTGAGTTTCCCAGGCCTTGCCCAAGAGATATTGGTTAGTACTCCCACTGCCTACGTGCAAGCGCTCTCTATACTTACCACGATCTGTGCTGCTACATTGTCGCTGTATCGCCGCCAGGACGCGTCGTCAAATCCTTACTAATATAGTTAGATCGTTTATTAATCTCAAGACGCTCTAAGCTATAAGCCTACCGTCGTTATGAAGGCCCTTATTCTCGCTGCCTTCTTAGGTGCAATCCTGAGCGTTGTAGCCCAGGATAGCTCCGGATATGGCAAAGTGACTAATGGCGGCGACCTCGAAGGTATATCTTTCACCTGTTAAAAGATCGGAGTATTCAGCTGACAGTATTTTAAGATGCTATTCTGGCTACTTTCGATCTTGTTAGTACTGCCCAGGACGAGAAATCTGGCACTACTACTCGTACCGTCACCGTTGTCAACACCCTGACTGTTACTCCTGCAATCATCTTACCGACCTTCACAATCCAAGGTAACCTGTCGAGCAGCACTAGCTCTATACATGCCAGCACTATCAGTCCTCCATACCCGTATCGTAACTCAACTACTGCGACCTCGGCAAAGAAGCCGTCTCCTACATTGGACCCCTCGACTATTGCGATCTCGGCAAAGAAGCCATCTCCTACATTGGACCTGCCAGGAGACAACACCGCCTCAGCTGTCATCCCTACTGGTGCGAAGGGTGTTCCGACTGACTACACGACTGAAGTTTCAACTGTATATACTCATGTTTGCACTACGCTCGTGTCCGACATTCCATCTTCAATTCCATCGTCAATCGCATCTAGTGCTAGCACAACCATCATCTGTACTAGCACTCGTACCAACACCCATACCCTCACAGTCTCTACGCTGCACACTATTACCCTGGCGACAGAGTCTAAGGCTAGCTGTGGTTGCCCACCAGTCACTGTGACCGTCACCGCACCTTACACTCCTGTCCCCGTTCAGCCTTCCACCCAGACTACATCGGTACCTGTGGATTCCATCACCAAGACTGGCTATGACGGCTCCTCCGTCTCTCTGCCAGGCTTCATTGGTGTCACCGTCTCTCACTCTTCGGTACCTCATGGTACCCCATGCGCACCCTTGCCCGCAGCCAGCAGCACCGTCGACACTTCTTTGACTACCTCCCAGAGCTTGGTAGTCATCCCCCTCAGCAAGACCACTGGTGGGGCTGCAACCTCGACATCTATCCAGACCTCTACTGGCGGGGCAGTTGTATATGATGTTAAGCTCCTTTTGCTGGCTGGATTGCTGGCACTTGTTCCTTTCATCTAAAAGATGGGCCTCAGGAATACTGATGACTGGATAAGAAACGTGGCGCATTACGTGTTTATACATTGCTAGTTTATCGAGACGTTTGCTATTGTGCTCTGCACAAAGGCTCAACTTCTTCTCCCGATTGCACGAATGGAAGGCTTTGCTATGAATGGTTACTCGGACGGAATACATGGATCATGAAATGGGAGGTTGATTGAAAAAAAAAGAAAACAAAAAAAAAATAGCTGGTCATAGAATCAAAGGAATTCAAATGAAATTCGTAACGTTTTAAAGCTGAAGTGACATTTGAGATGTTTGTTTCGCTGAGCACTGTGAGACGCGTTAGATGCCTTGTCACTTTAACCCCTATCGTCCTTATATTCTAAAGGTGAACAGGTAATACATTAGAAACGCGTATAAATCATAATTTGCTTTTATAAATAGTAAAACACTACTACAGAATTGCAAGAAACATTACAATTGCAACTGCTCTATATTTCATATTAGAGTATTGTGCGCCGCCCGCCGATGCCTGACCGTGCCTTTCCTTCTAAGATAAAACTAGCATCCACTTTGATAACCATCCGAGGAAAGAGAGAGATGCCCTCCAGACCAGTACGCCCGCCTTGACCACCTGTGCCAGGTAAGTAGCTACCGGAAACCCTGATACAAAGCCCTAATCGATCAAACGCCTCGCGAGAGTGAACTGCAACCGTCTGCATTACAGACCATAAACTGCCCTACGCGTGTGGGGATTTTGTCTCCAAGCCTACAACTCTTTCTTCATAGGAGGCCCCGGGCTGGGTCGCCCGTTGCCCTGTCCATCAGCCTTCCGCTTCACTCCCGCATTTAGAGGCCCGCTGCTCGCGGACGCGGCCCGTCTTTTCTCTGCCTCCTTTCGCTCTCGAGCCTGCTCATCAGCTGCTCTCCTCTTCCATTCATCTCGGATAACTTTCTGAGCATTTGTAAGATCTTGTTTGGTCACCCTGTCTGTGATGCTTTCAATAACACTCTGGACTGTACTCGTATGGTTGGCGTTTTCTTTGTCATCGCGGAATCGCATGTACCGCCACCTTTTCTGGGAATCCATATAGCATTCCACGATTCTATCATTCAGTCGCTCCTTCAAAGCCTTTAGACCTTCCCATTCCTTGGGTTCGAGGTGCATGGTACTAAACCACGGGTCTTCTCGTCCATCACCTGCAAAAGCGTGCAAATTACATATTGGCATAGCATCATAATCGGGGTATGGTTCGGTAACCCCTTCCGCAATATCCTGCTCATCGGGCTGTGCGAGAGGGAAGTCGAGTATTAAGCGGAAGTCGATGCTGTTCTCATCCTCTGGCTTCCACTTTAGGATGTGTGGGTCGGTGCCATGCTTATATTCGCTCGTCCGACATGTGAAAATCAAGCCATCATTGCCATGCGGCAAGTCAGGGAGGATCTTGGCAAACATAAGCTCTATTGCATAGCTGAACTGCATTGATTTCATCTCGACAATAAAGTGCATGAAGGGTATTTCCTAAGATTCGTTAGCATTTGCGTTTCTCCACCGTGCATAACTGAAATTACCTGGGGGTAACTCTGAAGAAGTTGTTTATACGGATCATAAATCCGCTCTTGAAAGTAGGCCAACCGTTTGTCAAGGGTTCGACTCATTAAGCTATTTCCATCCAGTATCATACAATCAAAGACCAGGTACTTGGGCTGCAGTTTCCCATCGGGAAGTTTGTCAAGTACAAGTTCGCCATCGATCAAGGTACTGACATGAAAGCCTTGAACGTCTCTGGGAACTGGAAAGTGGAGGCTATTCTTGGGAACGATCCAGAAATCATTCCTCCTATCAATGAGATAGTGGGCCTCTTCGTCGTTATAGGTTGTTAGGTAGAGGAGGTAACGCAAGCCGTCGGATTTCTCGCAGACGTAATAGCTACAAGACAAGTCAGCAAATGCACAGGCCCAGGGGCTCAGATAAGAATAAACTAGAATATCGACTTACTCCTGCTTCGTCAACTCCTCAAGATGCCGTCTTGCAAAACTAACAGGCTGTGCGCCTGGGAAACCGAGATTCTTCCGATCTAGCAACTGTGCGACTTCTCTCCGTAGGGCATATAGGGCATCCCCCTCTATCTTCATCCCTGGCTCGTTTATAGGCAAGACATCATTGGGGTCTGCCATGTTGGGAGATGGATTTTGCTGTCAAAGCAGCTGCTGGGAGAAAGATGATGGTCTCGGTGCCGGTGTTGAAGTAAAGTGAAAATGTTGGTTTGCAGAGTGATATCGACTCTTTTTGGGATAGAACAGATATATATAACTTATACTAGTGATAAGGTCAATCACAGCAACAAGTGCTTGGGTATAGGATCCGTTTGTAGGGGAGTGGGACGCGGGTAAGGTAGTGCCTTGCGACAGGGCGATCGGGGTCGGGTTTGGAGCAATCTTGGATCTCGAAATGCGCGGACATCTATCCAGTCCAGGCTGCTAGTTGCGCAGCTCCAGGACTAAGTCATGTCGTATGGCAGGCTGCGGCGCAAAGTGCTTTCGTGATGTTGAATGCAGGAAGCCTTTGAACTCGATGCTGGCCAAAGACTCGAATACGGGCAACGACAGATATCCTCGGGACAGAATTCTTGGTTTTCGCGTATCGTACGGTAAAACTTCGTCGGTTCTGCGGAAACCGAATTATGCCCCAAGGATGCTTACAGGTTTCCGGACTGCGCAACATGTAATCACGTGCGTGCCAAGCGAATATCCCATTGGTTAAACTTTTAACGAAGGCATGTTCGTCTCGGGCAATCAAAGTAGGTACATGCTTGACTACTCATACTTCTGGATGTGCTCATATGAATCCAGTTGATCGATGAGGACGCTATTCATTGCACCTGTGTACTTTATACACCCTATAGTCTGTCCTTGTGGTATCGGCGAAATGAGATGATTGGGATATTTGTGATTTTTGCTTCAGCCATTTAGCGTTATTTCCCACACCTTACTTGCAATGGAAATTCCTTTCCATGGAGCTTCCCTATACCGGGTGGTCCACCAGGTTAAAAGGAGCATCTATCCTATCCTATGTACGGACCTGTCCTACCTATCCGGAAGGCATCGACTAGCTGATGAGGTCCGCTCCAGGTCTCCTATTCTTGAAGATACCAAACTTGCCTCCAAATTCTTCTGGCTAGTATCAGACAACGACTCTCTTCTTTATAAAGCTATGGGTCTTGAGCTGTTCTAGTGGTCTAAAAGCGTCGGTCTCTGTTATTATGTCTAGTCTTATTTCAGATCATAATGTATCCTTAATAAATTCAAATGTGATCAGCGGCGGACCAATACGAGCATCAGCGAGTACAGCGTCATCATCAGTACTTTGAGACCATGCTATTTTGGGTGAGGTACTCGGGTGTCCCGATGTGCGATTTCATAGCGCGGGGAGTTGTACATGTTGTGGTTTTTGTGATCCCTTGCTCTAGCATCTGAAGTCTATAATCGGTAAGGGGCGTCCTCTGAATGTTGCTTGCAAATTCATAGGAGCACCTATGTATATCATTTTTGGAGTAATCTTGCCCTTCCAATATTTTGTTTTAGAACTTTGGCGGAAAGCGTGGCTATTCATCAACCCGGACTTTCCCGCTCTGTCACTGTCAACGCACTCCTCGTCCCTCGCGGCTAGCTCGAGAGCAATATACCAAACCAACTAGCATAATCTCGCACGCCCTTGCCCTTCATTTTTGGATATGGGCTATGGATATTAGAAAATTACACGGGCAACAATGCAGACGACTGCATTCTTAGCACCGGAATAATGCCCGTCCAATGAGCGGTTGTCTCTATTAGAAAGGCGCTATCACATCTAATCAGCCTTTGCCAACGATCAACATGGCCGGAAATGTTATGTTTGTTATTCGCTAGAAGTGTGGGTTGAAGTTGGAAGATTGTCATACGGAACGTCACAGCCCAATGGGGGGCTATTAAACGTTTTCTATGCCAACACATGAGCCCACATGACCAATCTACGTACGCCGTACTTGAGTGTGTTATTCTGAGGTTAACCAATGCCCCTTGGAGGCACCACATTTGCGCTTCTAGGCCCTGAATCTCCAAGCCAAAGGATGGCTGGTCTTCCTGTTCTGCAGCTGTCACATCTCTGCTTGTCCAATCCCCAAGTTGGCAAATTGCAAATGGGCCAATAACAATCAGCACCTCCGATCAACAAACATCTGTACGGAGGTATGTCCGGAAAAAGGAAACATAACCCAGGACGCGCATCAGACACGGCGCTTCAACAGGTAATCCCTGGCGCTTCAACATACACGTCCGTGCTAACGGCGCTTCAATAAATCACACCCTGAGTCTCAGACTTCGCCCAAACTGCCTGGCACCAACAACTCAAGTTGGATTGGACGCCACACTATAAGTGGAATGGAAGGCTGAATGTCGCACGCCTATCGCAGCCCACGGTCCGCGCCATACCAACAGCATCAGCCATCCTCCAGCCTGCCGTTTCCTTTAGCCGTACTGTGCAAGCAACAACACACTACGTTCAAATATTTAAAAGCAACCCCCGTATCCGTCCCCTCGGTACTCCATACAATTCCAATCCCAAAACAACAACCAGGCCATGCTCTACTTGGAAGGCGACAGGCTCGTCACGGACAGGTTCAGGAAGCCCAGCAACGTTGTAGGTTAGCTGGGCGAAGATCAAGGCTTTCTCCATCCCATGTTCATTAAGGGATTATGGTAGGCGGTAATCAATAGGTGAATCAATTGCTTAACCGCGCGACATGCACCAGCTACCCAACTCAACAGCTCGGCTTTCCCCTTCTGAGGCCCTTTGCAAGGTCTCCAGAGCCGACCTTTCGATCTCCAGCAGAAGCAACAATACTTCCGGGTGGAGATGCTCGAAATGCGAGTTTCGGAGCTAGGATTTTTGGAAGAAGTGCGATGCGAGTGCTGACTTGCACCTGGCATGGAAACCTCTGCCTCGAGGGCAAGCAAATCGATTACGGCCACGAGTTCACAGGCCGGTTCAACGGCTTCTTGTCCCAACAGCTAGGCAGTGTTGGCGCATCTTACGAGGGCCATACAACTATTGTCTGAGAGCAGGCAAGCAACTAAGCCACTGCACATTTTATCTCACTCAGCCTTGAACATGTCTTTTCCTGAAATCGGGGGCTGAGCAGAAGGTAGGATTGAAGGCCACGTCTTATCTTTCCACGGAGACGGTACTCCACCAAGCACGAAGACCATAATCTGTCACAAAGTGGGACGGGCATCAGGCCGGCAGATTTATTCCTAGTTGCGAGAAAACAAAAGTATGGATTGGCCCTTGCCCGTGTGACTATCTGTTTCCGACGGTTTGGGAATACGAGAGTTGGTGGCCCAAGGAACGACTGGCTTCGACCTACGGGCTGCAGAATAGAATATACGCAATGCGGAATCTATATTATGCAAACTTGGGGATGAAACATAGTCGAATACAGAACCAATGCTTCTTGCCAAAATAAAATACTTTGCATCCGTAGGAGGCGGCGACTGACGGCGTGATAGAGACGTAAAGGTTTGATCGCCGTTGCAGGAAAACGTGGAAAACATTGTGTCACAGCCGATTGGCGAACCAAGCCTGCCTCTCCCTTACTCTCTCCAACATGTCGAACAAGCAACACCTAGGGATGTGAGCAGTGGTGTGGCGAGAGTAAACCTTATTTGCAACTCCGGCGTAAACCCGCTTTTAGCAGTCGTTGGCGACTTTCCACAAGCTTCAGCCGCCTCGAGCTGGCGTACTTTCTGCAGAGCAAATCTTAAACCGAAAGGGAATGCTGCCCGCCCGCTTCGAACCACGCAGCCACTGCTATTGACTAACCCCCTGTGGGCAAAGAGTAGCAGACTTGCCGCTGCTAATATTTCTCTCCGGCCTCCACGTGGGGCTACGGAGGCTGGCGTCGATGCTGCGGTTCGATTGTAAGGATGTGGGGCGAGCAAGTCTAAATATCCTTATAATCAAGTATATAATTACACGTGGAAGAAGATGTACATGTACCTGGTGACTTGGCATCCCCGTGAGCCCAGGTGCTCTATCCAAGCACGTTGCTAATGGAACGTTACCTAGAGCTCGCAATTCCTTCTACCATTCCTCCAATATCAAGGGTATTTACGTATCTCCACCAAGACCAAGATACCATTAGTAGGCAAAGTCCCCCACACTGATAAACAGGTGCCGGGGAGTGGAGATTTGCAATATACCGCAGAACCGGTATACTGTAACTCCAATGGGGTTGCGTACTGTATTACATACGCCGTAGCACAGCGGGTTGAACCTCTAGCGGCCGTCTCCTTGCTGCAGACAGAACCAGGGACCCACCGATCTAGATCCCGATCCAGACACAATGTGACATAATGCTTGCAGCCGGAGGATTCGTCAGAGCTGACGATTGCGGCCGCTTGGGCACATTGAACCATGCCGCCGCCACCAACGGTTGGTTCGTCCAGGTTTCTGATTTCCGGCGCCGGGCGCGGGATAAAGTTCGGTGGATCGGGGCCGTGGTGGGCCGTGAAGGAGGCACGGCAAGCCGAAACAAAGAGAGTGGGGTGAATTTGATGGCAGTGTTTCTTTTAATAGGTACAGTAGTCATCTTCTACTCTATCGTAAGGTAGGTAAGGTATGCTATTGTATGTGCTTCAAACCGTACGCGATGCCCCCCCGGGGGTGGCCTTGGAATAATATGGCCTCCTTTTCGCCAGCGACTTCGATTCTCCTTTCCTCCCAGCGTCTGCTCTCCATGGGCATCGGCGATGGTCCCTCTATTCTACCCGGAGAATATAACCACCCCACCTGATCGTGGAGGGCGAGGGCGAGGGCCTGGTGGGAGATTTCCGGAATTTGTTGCGTCCACTCTCAGCGAATCCCTAGAGACCACGCATGTAGGGTCGGCGTTGGCTTGTTGGCGGCGTTGAACGTGTTGGATGCAGCGTGCGCCGACTGGTGGCTATGGAAGAGGGGATTTCTGCATTTGTCGTCGTACACAAAGCACTCCAGACTGTCGGGATTGCAAGACCTGAATGCCCAGTCCCGGGTTATCCCTCTCATCATCACGCTCTCTCAGTCTGCCTCCCCCCGATTTCCTCTCCCCGTTGCCTCGTTCCTTTTCGTCCGGCAAGACCAGTGGACCTACTCGTAGAGCAGGAAGCTGGATATGAGCAGAGAACTTTACTGGCCAGGAACGTGGGGTATCGAATCAGGTGATTACCAGAAGCTGCGGACTCCCCATGTTGCAGTCACACTTGGGGGCAGTCACCCCGTACATGTCCACGTACGCACAGCACTTATATGGAAGTAGTCAGTACCATAGTCCCTTCGTAATCGCCGTCCACGGGGCGCACAGTGCACTTCCCGTCGTAGCCGGTCCCGACAGTCTGGTTTCCAATCATCATGGAGGGCTGGCGTCTGCGCTCCCCGCGGCCATATCCGGAACCAGAGCACGAACGAGACGAATGTTGCATTCCCACCCCCGATGGCTGTAGCGGCCGGGGATGCAGCATGGGTATCCTTTGCAGAGATGACTTGTAGAGGACTTAGAGCAGCCCTACCAGATCCTCCCTCCCGCCCTTGAGCAGACGAGTGGAGGAACAGGGCGGGAAGAGAGGGAGCGGATGATGTCAAGCCTGGCAGCCGTGAGATCAGTACCAGACAGTGGATGAGGTGCGGGGAAACAACCATATCGAGTATCTGCCGTTGAAGAGGTATGAGGGCCGCCTCCAGCAAGCAGGTTCCTGCTGGATGATGGGATGGAGTGCCAGCAAGGACTGCGCTATTCCCACTCACACTCTAATCCGCGATCTCAGTGTCGGTCGTTGCGCCACCTCCGGTGCCTTTAGCTGAAGGATGCCGCGGGTTGCTGCGTAAAGCCCAGCGCGGCATATCACCGACAACCCATGCCTGTTCCGGCTAACAGGCAAGACGAAACACGCCGGCCGAGACACATGAAGTGATATTGCTGAAGATTCATATTTAACCAAGCTGCCGGAACCTTCACATGAACCTAGCAACTGCGGCAAAGCTTCATTGGATGTTGGTGATCTCCCAAAGCGTACGGCGGCACTCCTGATTGATGGCTCGTTTCGGGGCGCTAGAACCAGCTCTACATCCTCGATCCCTATTCCACATTCCCGTTGGCTGATCGCTTGGTTCTCTTCCATGCAGCCTCTGCATTGTAGCACAAGAAGCGACGAACTCAGAACAGAACAAGTCTAGGAGTTCCAACGGGCCTCACAGATAAAACTGTTGGTCACAGCCCCCCGGATTTCGAGTCTTAGACTCTCGATCTGCCTCATCATCAACTCCACAACCTTCACAACCTTCACAACCTTACATGACCACATAACGGTCCGTTAATTTCACCTTAAACCTACACTCAAATAGTTTATCATCTCTGTCGATGTATTTACCGAGCGACATTGGGAGCTCACCAGTGACCATGGAGTTCAATGTCGAAGGCAATCCCCGAGCCCCGTCCATAGCCAACCAGGACCCGATGGCCCTCAAAAGTATTCTGAACCCAGTCATCAAAGACGAGGCGAATCCCAGCGAGGCGAATTCCAGCGAGGCGGGGTCTTTTGATGAGTCCATCAACCGCCTGGCAATCTCGATCAATTTCCAGACAACTCAAGACAACAGCCGCGCCCGAGATGGACAGAGCTACCAGCTATCGAGATATGTCAGCCTAAATGATCACATGCCTCGTCGCGTCCATTCTCAAATCGGCCATCGTCATCCGCGCTGCCTGCACGATGCTCGCTCACTAAGCCGTCGTTGTCAGATCCGACGAGAGCGTTCGCCTACAGATCGTAGACCGAGAGGGCCCAACGCCAACAAGGAGTACACCCGTGAGCAAACTGATTGGATCCGCTACATGAAAGAAGACTGTAACGTGGGGTGGAAATTCCACGCGTCGAAATTTGCTCAGCAGTTCCCAGACGTGCGGGAAACTAACCAGGGCTTCTCGTCTCGGTACTACCGAGATAACACTGTGCCACGACCTGATGAGAATTGGAATACAATCATCGGAAAGGATGGCAAAGCGGAACTTATTATTGCCTCTGTCCGGAGCAGGTCGACACCAGAAGGCAGGGCCCTTGACATTCCTTACACTCTTATTGAAAAACATCCGGAGCGTGCCCTCCAGTATAGCTGGGTGAGCGAGGAGCATAAGGCGGAGGCTAGGAGAATCGAGCTGGGGCTCGCAAGCAAGGGTAGTAAGTCAACAATTCCCCTTTACCGCAAAGGATATCGTAATCTAATGGGTTCCACAGACAAGGCGAAGTGGCGCGCCCTCATCCGTCGGGTTGAGGCTGAGGGTCTCTGAGATGGGGCTTTTGTTGAGCAGTGTGTACTGAGTCTCGTATTTCGGAGGTCATGGATAGGCAATAGGGAAAGTAAAGCACCCAGAACTGTGCGACAAACTGGCGTTGGAGGTCTGCTGTGTACCTGACATGTATTGCAGGAAAATGCTTTAATTGGTGGGTTGGGCAGTTGGTTGGGTTTAGAATGAATGGGCCGTGCCCGATGTTTAACGGCGCAAGGAAATGTTATTGAACAAGTCACCTTAACTCAGTTTGCAAAGATTAGATCTATACTGCAAGGTCAATCAACTATGTCTTCTTAACTTACATTCTAAAGTTCCCATATGCTAGACAAAAGATGCGCTTACCTCAAATGCTAGAAAACCCGACCTTCACAACCAACGTCCTAAGATAACTCTTCAGCCATCGGGGCATTTCAAGATGGTTGTTTCGCCCAAGGATATTTTGTACCATCCGCCTCGTCGTCGCTGAATGTTGCATCGTCCTCATCAAATTCTTCAAGGTCAGATGCATTCTGAGTCCGGTACGAGTACGGATTTCTTCCAAACTCATCATCTGAATCCACTTCATCGTCAGGATAATCAGCGGTGTAGTGGTCCTCGGCTGTAACAATTAGTATGTGATGCTAGGGAAGTTGCCCAAAAACCTACCATTCTCATCTTCATCTTCGTCGTCGACTTCTTCATCGCTATCCCATTCGTCCAAGTAGAAGTCGTCTATGTCAGGTTGAGAGTCGAGAACGAGAAGTCCGATGTTCTTCGGGCTATTTGATGATTCCAGGGTATGTGCGGGCATACGAACATACGTATCAATGATATATTCCGAGTCATCATCCATCTCGTCGCCGCTCAAAGGCTGGTCCAACTCCATGTTTGTTCCGTCATCAATTTCCATAGCCGTATCTGGATGTCGTTCCATGTACCTTAATAGTGGTTTCTTTGGCTTGAACCGAGATGGCGAGCCTTTAGATTTTACTGTTGGGGTTGTGGGCGTAGGTTTAGACTGGAAGGTGTCGGCTTCGGAAATATTCCTACCGATCTCTTGCAAAGTATATGCCTGCATCTCTGCCGCGAGCTGCTCAGAATTGACATCCCAAGGCATCATGATACCAGATGGCAAGCGCACGGGAGTTGTAGCCTGAGCTGGGGCCGGCGGTTGAGTGGGCTTGTGTTCATCCTTTTTGGACACCGCTGATCCTTTAACTGCTAAGCCTGGCTTTTTCTGGCGCCGAGGTTCGGGCGGATTGATGTTCTGCTCCAGGGCGGATTGAGTAGCCTGCACCTCTGACGATAGTTTCTGTGTTCTGGAATCTTTTGTACGGGACTTGCGCTCCATAAAAACGGCAGGATGACTCTGGGCTGTGCGCTTTCGAATTTGTCCTCCCGGAAGGGGTGCTAGTGGATCCGTGGGAATCGAAATTCTTGACATATGGAAGTGTCGGACCTTGGCGGCCTGTAGAGACAATCTAGGAGTCTCCCTACTTACTCCATCGGCTCCAACGGGATCATTGCCTTGCAATGCAGAACTGGCCTGGCCTGTTTGAAACACAGGTAACACCAATTGTGCGGCATTTTGCGGTTGTGAGGATCCAGGCTGGAGGGTTTGTTGTTTACGATTCGCAGACAGTGATCTGGAGCTGGCAGCTCTGTGTATCTGTTTAATTGGTCGAGAGGTTTGGGCTGGAGACTGGGGCGTGGTCAAACTCCCCGTTTCTGGAATCGGTTGACGAGAGAAAACGAAGTCGGTTGCCCTGCGCTGACGCTTGCCATGGGGCTCATGGACACCTGCAGGAAGAGATTAGCTGTGTGATGTAACATTTGGCACCACTTGCCCCTTACGCAGAAAGTCTACCGGCTCATCCGTAGCCTTTCTCTTGATATGTACCGTGACTGGCGGCAAAGACATGGCAGCTGGTGCGAGACTGTCTAATACCAACTAAGCGTTCGTGGAGAGTTCAATAGGATGCCTGCATGATCAAAAGATATTAACGAGTGTGTCTTGTACAGTGTCACTGTAACTGTCGTGTGGATTACCTGTCGGAGGCTGTATAACTTGGGTCGAAATAAAGTTGATTTGGGAATGACGAGTTATGTTGATACGCCAGATAAGGTTAGCTGGTCGTAGCTACGGAGCACCCTTGCCTTCGTAGCTTAGTAACGACTTGCCCATCGGCGCACGGTGGACGGTGGCATGGGTTGTACCCCGAACCCCAACGTATACTCGTCCATACTCGAGTAAACCTATCTCACCGTTTCGGCCACATTGACATCAACATCAACATCGACGGCCCCTTTGTACGTAACACAGAAACAATTCTCGCGTTCGCAACTCACAATGGCAGTCCTACAAGATGTGCCATTCGAAATCCTCACTAAAATCCTAACATTTGTTGTGGACCGACCATATCAGCGGTTGTCTTTTGTGTGTTCTCTATCGAATTTGTCCCGTCAGTTCTACCACGTTCTACGACCGCTTATCTTCAAAAAGGTCTGGATTCTATTCGGCCCCGGACGCGCAGAATTTGCTCTATTCTTCCGCAGTCTGAAAGAGGACCCAGCCCTAATCGAGATGGTTCAAGATATAGCAGTTGATTGGATAGAACCCTTCGGAGACGAACCTACCAGCTATGCCGACGACCTCCTTAAAGTCTTATTAAGCTTGAGAACACTGTCGATCAATGCTAAATGGAGTGCCGATTGTTTTCCGTCGCAATTCCTCGATATTAATCCGATGAGGAACTTAAGAACTGTTAAGTTGCATGGCCGTCAACTCAAAAGGCAGAGGACATACGGAGGTATCTGGTTCTCGATCATGTAGAGCATATGACCATCCGTTGTCCATTTACTGGAACCTTCTCGCAGTTGGCAGATACCACAGGGAAGACCTCGCAACTATTGAGTTTACATCTAGATGGCAGTTGTCACATCCCCTCAAAGTTATTACTTGATATTCTCAGAATATGCCCAAAGATTGAAAACCTTCGTTGTGCGCTTCCTGGACAAGGCATCCAACACGAATTGGATAACTGCGCTAGAGGAGTTAGTACACCTCTATCCCCAGGCCTTCTATCAAAGGCATTAGCTTCCGCACAGTGTACTTTGCAGAGGCTTGAGCTTACGGAATGCCCATGCGAGTGGCCCGGTCATGACAACTCGAGAATGGATTTAAGCATGATGAAGACACTCAAATATATCGATTGTCCGGCAACGTGCTTTTTCAGGTCCGGTACGGCTTATAGTACTAGGGGCGGCTTATACAAATTGCTTCCATCAAGTTTGGAGGAATTAACAGTAAGTAAAGAATCTGTTGAATCGTTCTCTACTGATCCGCATTTTCAACAACTTAGATCCGGTTTGAGTACTGGTATGGTTTAGAGTGTTGGGGTGATGCAGTTAGTAATTATGGGGATGATGACAGTGCGGAATTCCTCTGGCTGGTCGAACTTGCGAGCAACAAGACCGAGTATAACCCTCAACTAAAGGTGCTTCGCCTCGAAGACTGCGATATGACGGAAATGGATAATGAAGAGCCAAGGGTGGGGCCATGGGACCCTCCACTCATAGTAGCCGAAACACTTGGTAAGGCGGAGATACATTTCACGGCAAGTGTTGCCTTGAGGCCGTCAGCCTAAGTGTAATCTGAAACTAAACATATATAATTTTACCATCGTTAATCTCTGAGCACTTATCTAAGCAACATCTAATTGAGATAGTTAATGATTTGGGTCGAGGAATATCAAGGGGGCTTAAAATAACTTCGAACTTCAAACGATTATATTTGTTGAAGTATTCTTGCAGAATACCAAAGAATGAGGATTAAGTTGAAATTCAAACACAACTTGGGGAATGGCAAAGGAACACTATGGCTTTTATCGTTATTTAACTGGGTGTTAGGCTTATCCTCCTCTTGTACGCATCCCAGCTGGGTCGAGTTGCCTGCCAGCCTCTAAGTTCTCCCCAATGTAGTTACTTATCATCCGTTAAGTCACCAATATACTTCACCTCCTGTATGTATCTTCTAAAGTAATTAGGGGCCTCAAATTGCTATCAGCCAAGGTTTATATAAAGAGGGTGATGTCACTGCCAGTGCTTAAACAGTTGGAAGACAATAGGAAATAAACGCTTCAAACCAAGTTGCTATTAAGCAGTAAGTCTCCGGTAAGACTCTCATTTCTATTAAAACCTCGAGCCATAGAAGTATTATTAACATTCTAACAGCAGTTAATGTCGTCATTACACGTCTTAAATGCAACTCTGACGCAGTAAATGCATATCAATTGGCCCAGCCTCAACGGTTTAGCCCGGAACAAGCTCTTATCAATGTTAATTCATGCATAGACTATGCATTCTCAACTATGTTTGCCGATAGAGGAATTTACTTGAATCAAATCGGAGAGGCTTTCAGACAACAACTCTAGGTATATCCTAATACATATGAAACTAGGAAGTGCTCCAACCACAAAGCGGCCGGGGAGAAAAACGGTACATGTACGGGGGAATAAAATGGGAAACGATGTACAGAGTCTATGGCATAGTCCTTAATAGCCTTTTTAGGATAAAACAACTATGAGGATGATGAGGATGATTAGATGGTCCTAGACGAAATTTTTGAATTCGAGCAACTAAAGAAGAACGTGCATCTCGAGGGATAGGACGAGAGTGGAGGGGATGTGAATGGATAAAGCAAGGCGTTAATTTGAAGCCGAGAGTAATTGCCAGCTGAGCAAAATGGCGAGCTATATATTAACCCCGATCATGCAAAACACGAAAGAGAATTAATGACCTGTCGGTTGATACTGCTAAATTCAATGTTAGCTTTTCCTTTTAGTGGTTCCGTATTAGACTCCGGACGTGAGTATTTGGAGCTTTTCCCTAATCCGCAACTCTGCATCCTGAGCACTCCTCCGTAGCTACTTTTGCCGAGGAAGTTGTCCCTCCTTTCTTGAGTTCTTCCCCTATTTTAGTTTTATCATCACGTGATTTATACCCAGGTTCCCCTATTCACAGCACTGGCCTATCAGGTTTGTTAAAATTATGTTTATGTAATCACGGTTCAACCACCCACCACTCCTGGTACAAACAACGGATGTAGAGGTTGAACACTTCAAGATACTCCTTGAATACCACAATCATCCGCGGTTCAACGAGTTCACTATGTAGAGCCCCAACGCCTATAGTGATCCTGCCCTGGAGAGATCGGGCTAGTCCTCGGTACATATGTATCGCGCAAACCTCACAAATCATTTGGCATTGAAGAGCGGATATCTCGCCTGTAGGCTTGGAAATAAGCAGTATGACATCTTTCGACCAAGGCGCATACCGGGACAGACGGATTCTTTCTGAAGCCGCTTTTCTTTTCTTCCAGGTGCTGAGCCGGATAATGCAGCCCAGCCCAGCCCGTACCTTATGATTGTGCAGCAATTCCTTGAATACGAGGCCAAATACATCTGGGACGATGAATAGTGTGCTGACTAGTCGAAAGTCATTTGAGATCACATTTGGGCTCAACGGTTAATGCTGGTTGCAAAAAGGAGGCCTTTCAACCCACCGCCATGATACAGTTTTGAACTTTTGATCCCCTCCTGGATTGGGCAACGATATGTCGACGATCCCTTCTAAATTCAATAGGAGAACAAAACCTGGGAAAAGATGATGCAAGTTGGCCAACGTTACTTTGGAATTGGGGTAGGCTTGGTAGAACAAAACTACTGGGGTTAAATCAAATACCCGCCCTAGCGACTGATACTACTATACGACCCGGGCCCTAACCAGCCCACGTTCCTGGTTAACAGTTCTTTATTACTTTGATGTGTGGTCCTCCCATTATCTTGTTTTCTTTACAACAACAGCAGTCAAGTAAATACATCCCAATAACCACCATAACGCATGATAGGCCAAACACTACGACATGGAATTTGAATATTCAGCAGCATCCAGGGAACTTCTTAGATGATTATCGATTTAACCTTTCCAGACCGGTGGCCCGGGAGTAATATAATCCTATTTCGGTCAGTGTTCCACATCTCGAATCTGCTAGGCTATCGGTAAACATACCGTGCGGTTATAGTCCCGTGTCCACAATTGGATATCCAGTCCCGGATCTGATTTACAGTCAGTTGAATATGACACTGGGGATGCTAGGATCATCTATCAAATCCTACATGAGAACGTACCTGACGCATTGTACGCTCCCGGAAATGACACCAGATACTCGGGCCCAGGGAGATTGCTGCCAGACCCAGTAACTTTCAGCTGGGCGCACTCCATATAATACTGGATCGGCAAGGTATGAATGACAATGAGTTCATGTCGGATCAAATAGTTCCCGGGCTCCAACGTGGCGGGGATCGTCAACCTCCAAGGCTCGCCGTTGTACAAGGCAGTCATGCCCCAGACACCATCAACAAAAGTCCCATTGTAGAGGCCTCGCTCCTCAATCTTGAACCAGAGCGCCTCGGTGGCGTTGACTTGATCGCAAGGCCCGTTGCAGGGTGTCATATATGCGAGCATCGGGCCCCATTCGTGCGGCCAGTTCTCCTGCTGTAGCTCAGCCTTCTCGCCAGGTATACTGAAATTCTTTTCGTAATGGGCACTGATCAATGACCCTGCCTCGATTGGCGCATGGTAGCTGGGAATGGTGGCAGTTCCATTGTTGTTACACGCTGACCATTGATCCGTAGGCGTAAATAACGGGTTTCGCGACGGCCACTTACGCTGGATTGTGACCTGTCCAGCATCGGCATCCCACCACCTGTACCTGTGGCATCTATTAGCGTTGCTCATAATAGCGTGGCGACATATGAGCTTACCCTGGGTATTGCTCGCCGTCAACTGTGTAACTGTTGGTTTACATTAGCGTGGCCGTCGAGATATGGGCTGAGTTTCTGTTACTTCCAGACCCCGCTATGGGAATATGCCCCAGTTATAAATATCCCCATCAAGGCAATGACTGAAGCCTTCATCCTGACAAGTGCTAATTAAATATGGCGTTTTGTCAAGGAATTTAAATGGTTCGCTTTTGACTAAGACATACCTACCGCAGTAGACTCGGGGAATTGTCCGATACTTATAATCTACTCTTCGGGTCGTCTTCCGAGGATCCAAAGAGCCTATCCACCGTTATTTCTGGATCCGTTAATATACACGCGGATCTATCATGCTGTAAGCATTCTGGCTTTAGGCGTCTTCCGGTTCATATCCGCTGCTTAGATAGTTGAGCATATGATCTGCTCTTCTTTGACATTGTTGAACAAGTGTCCACACGGAGACCAACAAACCCCCACAAAAGCTTAACGCTTTCCAAACTTGGGGAAGCGGGGAGTACCTATAGGTATGTATTGTGACGACTCAATTAGCCGACATCCTTTCCCCTGCCGAACCACTGACGACATTCTTCCGCATGTCGGACCTCACCAATACTGAAGCTGGATCAGCTATACTGCCTCCAGGCTCAGAAAAAGCGTCTCAAATAGAGCTCGGTTGGCTCTGTCTCCTGCTACTTCAGATGACAACAATACCGGTGCTTCATTCACGGCCGGTGAGCGAAGGCTTCCCGCTTGACACGCCAATCTTGATAGCCGATGGCCAACCATTGGTATGCAGGGCCACAGAGACCCCATCCAGCTTCAGTGGCCTTCATCGGCCTTATTCCTTCATGGCCTTGCAAAGGTTGAATATAGTCGCCAGCTGTCTTAAAAGTTCAAGTGGTGGTAGAAGAAATATCAGCTATTGACTTATTCTACGTGGATAATCTGATCTACCGTAGATTTACCCAAGCTTATTTACGAGAAACAAATGCTTACGCGCTGTAGGTTCTTTACGTACACGCTGTCGGATACTTTCATTCCGAGACCGCGCCTTGTGTAACGTTAACGCACAGTGGATATTCTCACCTATCTCGTGATGCGGGGAATCGAGCATGTATTTTCTGGAGGATTAGTTTATGATCTCTATTCGAACCACAATCCTGGAGAGCAAGAAGTTGGAGGCTGCTGAACACGCAGAAGCAAAGGCATTTCACAGCTGTCAATTCACGGAAGTTCAAGGTATTGGGGACGAACACAATTTTCAAAAATGAGCTTTGCTATTCTAGATAGGACAGACACCCCTCTTCTACAAACAGCTATGTTGGATAGCTTATCTCCTCCAGCAGAAAAGGTAACGAAACATCCTATGCCGCCCACACCCCATATCCTCCCACTACCTCCTCCATCGAATCTGCTTAGACGCAAACAGCGCTAATGGATCCAATAGGGGCCGCTCCAGGGTCCTGGCATACACCGATGTTGTTCTTGGGGGTGCTGACTTCGATAAAGTTGTTGACGCTCGTGCAGGTGCTGTCGGTCCATAGGGTGACTATGTGGGTGTATCATGTCAGCGATATTCTTAACTTGGGCTGTAATGTTTGAGGAATTTATTACCTGTGCAGCCTGCGGCAAGTCCAGTGACGATGCCGGCGTTGGAGCACCCAGCTGGGACGGCAGTACAGCCAGTACGCTCGATGGGGAAATCATGGTTGCAGAAAGAGCCGGATGGGGCGCATCCTTGGGCGGACCAGAAGTCCAATTGTCCAACTTGATCACGAGCCTCGAGGGCCGGAGCTGCGTTGATGCTGGTGGCAGCAATGATGAGGCTGGAGATGATGGTGGAGAACTGCATTTTGATGGATGTAGGACTAAGTGGTCTCGATTTTGTGTGAGGGGAGTGGTTGTTGGTTGAGATGCTTTTCAGTTGAATGTGCTTTGAGATGTTGTTGATGTTGTTAGAAACGTCGGGGCAAGTGCTCCTCTTTATACCTGGAGACTCGATCCGTTGTAGGGGAGTAGCTGAGATATCTTTAAGGCATGATACTTGGATAGTTTGACTGGTTTCCTCGTGTCAGAAGTCTTCCTATCCAACTACCTAGATGCGGTACGGCGGCGTGGAAACATGGCTATGTCAATCCGGAAGCAGTGGAAGACTGTAACCTAGCTCATGGTATGTAAAAAGAGATTTCAATGCCATCCTCAGGTCTGACCAACATGGTTCTAATCCAATTATAGGTCCTATTTGGAAGTTTCGAAGGATATCACCGAGTATCGGCAGGCTATGTTGATGTCGAAACAAAACGAACCATGGTAACTCTAATGAAGCTGGTCAGAACCCTGAACTACAACGCAGCTTCAAAAGATTTGACACTGCGGCTCGGATGCCTCTTTTTGAGCTACAAGTCACGGCGATCTATCTAGCAAGGACCTATTTCCCTGGTAGTTAGTAGTACATGGCAATATTACATGAGCCAAAAGTTCGCTACCACAAAGGAAAACCAAATCACAGGTAAGAACGAGTGCACTACTCAATTAGATCTTACGAAAATAGTTGCGTACCAATCATTTGACCAAAAGCCAACCCCAGAAGGCGAACGTGGGCTCAGCTCTTTGACCGTTTGGAGTTTACGCTGCTGTGAGGCGCATCATTGGGGGAATCTAGGAGGGTAGTACCCGAGAAACGGGTTCCACGACGTGGAGAGATGCTACTTCTAGGATATTTTCGTCCAATAGGAATTCCCCCGGTTTTCGGGAGGCACATCTACGCATGCATAGAACGAGATAGGACGAGATTTTGGGTAATCGTAGTTTAGGTTGGGGATGAGTGGCGCCAGAAGCCATGAGGAATCCCAGGGAAACAAATTCCAGCCCACTGGATGGGGTTGCATCGATTTACACCCCCCTATTCCGGCATCCGAGGACTGTATGGCTTACGGTTTGTTGCTCAATAGGCGTCATTAGTCATTCTAATATCGCTCTTGATGTAGCTATGTATGTCGATCTTGGGAATCTTCAACCATACCACGCCGCATTTTGGCACCGAGCCTCCACAAAGGCCGTAAAGCTAGAGGCCATTACCTGCTAAAGACCACGTTTTGAAGAAGCTACGCCTCCTCGCTAGCTACTTGACGTGTACATGTACGTTTTTGAACAGCAATAAATGTGGCTTGCTTACACGAGGCCAGGACAGCCGTTTATGCAGTTGATTGTTACACACGAGTAATACGCCGCAGTTGCTGGTATGCCACCACTGATTCGCTTCCACAACGCCAATGCCTTACCCCGTAAACATCAGCATGGATATCTCCGCGTATGCCGGAACCAATTCCTTACGATTAAGAGCCTTGGAGAACTAGAAACGTCGGCATGCCAGGGGCCATGGGGCGCTCAGTGTCATGCACAAAAGGGGAGAAGGACGTTGGCCCCTGTCATTGCGGCTGCGGCCCGGCCGCCACCCCTTGCGCTGCTCCAAATAGTGCCAGCTTACCTTGACAACAACACCTTATTACCTTTAATTAAGCCCGCAAACACAACAATATCCCGGTTTGATTAGATAGCTGCAGATCTGTGGTTCTGTGGTTCTGTGGTTCTGTGGCTGAAACCTGCGATAATATTTTAACTTGATCGTTTACCACGCTGAGTGATATGTTTTTTTTTGGCATGGCTTGTGAATCCTACGAGCCCCTTAATGATTTGTATTAAAACAAACAGATACCCTACATTGCGAAGTATATAAGGCTGAAACAGGAAACTGCTGGACCAAATTGACATAAAATTCCCTCAAATTACTTGCAGATTCTGGGGTGCAGGAGTGATATTACTCGACTTCTATAGCAGTGAAGCCGTTGCAATTGAGACCATAGAATATTTTTAGCTCAATTATGGCCCTCACAATGAAGGTTTTGAATTTGGTTCTTTTATTTAACTCTTGGTATTTCTACTACGTACAACTGTTTTTTCCCGTTTACACGGTGTGGTTGCCTGGTAAGATTAGTTTGGCCTCTAGCGTGGCACGTTTGTTCGCTCGCCGCCGCAGGAAGCATTAATTCTAAACTGAACGTAATACTACCTCTGTTTGGACTTCAAAAATATGAACTGTGAGGATCCAGGATTCGGCTACCTCCCATTAAATTTGGTAGTAAGCTGACAGATTTTGAGGAACCCTGGAAAACTATCCATCAACTGTCTCACAAATGTCGGCGAATAATGCGTAGGCTTCGATACTGTCTCCGAAAGTCCGAGAATGGATAAGTAAGTCTGAACTCGAGAAGTAGTTCTTCAAAATTTATCAACATTAAGATCCTAAGAAGCCTCTTGTGTTCAACGTGAGTAGGTAGCTCTATCAGCAGAATGAATATATCTGCTATGAAAAATAAGGAAGAGGTATTCTGCCATGCGTGGATGGCTGGTCGTTAGTACTCGCGCCGCTCAACCTTCCTTATGTATTTTCACAATTTCCATGTACTCCGCAAGTATGAATATTAGGCCCTCTATTACATTTGTTTTGGGAAGTATTAATGAGAGGAAGGCTGTGAAGAATATTTGGGAAATGCGGGGGAATTGAGATCTGCATAAGCCTTGAACTGCGACGCTGACATCAATGTGGCTGTGGTAAAGTATTTCTAGTAGCCGTGAATGCCTGGAGTCTTGGATATGGGCTCACTATCATTTCTTGAAACATTATAATGCGGTATACACGTAATTAGTGACATAACTGTACGTCTTTGGCCCTGCGCTACTATTTGCTAATGGAAATGGTCTGTAGAGTCGGTGAATACCTATCCTAGGGGCGTCAGCCAATGCTATCCGATGATCCGAGTATTTGGACAATAGAGATCCTTGACATGACATGACACGTTCTTCTTCTAAATGCATTACGACGCCGCCTCGTATGTACATGTACGCACACCGGTCAGCTTTACGATACAGTGCCAACGTCGGTACTGCACGCCGCCCCCTTTGCTGCATGCGCCTGGTCGGTTACCAGTACTATCATTGTCCCCAGAACAAGAACAACAAAGAACAAAAGAAACAATTACTACTGAGATATTCAAGTGGCAAAGGGCCCAAAGAGTCCAAATCTCCAAATTCAAATTTCAAGTAGGATTCTGAAATCCTTTTGTTCCTCTTGCCACTATTCAATACGAACTACGTACTAATGGTAGAACATCTTGTATGATATGGTTAATGAGCGCTTCAACCATGATCGAAGTCCTGGTAAACAAAAGCTCGGCGTATTGTTTGTAAAACAGTCAATAGATGCCACATTGGCAGCGAGGCCCTTGAGGCTATATTTTCTTCCGATAACTCGAAAGAGGGATTACAATACTCGAGCACATCTAGGATTTGGTATGGCAATGAGTTTTTGCCATTAGCAAAGTGGTACGTTGAATTATTTGGTTTAAACTGCGAGACCCAGTCATCAGATTTGATATATGTAAGGCGGAAATGCGCAGTGAGAGTGCCAGTTTTGCTAATAATATGAAATCCAGTGCCCTGCTTCAGATTATATCATGTCGCATGATTAGCACCCTTTCCTAGATGTACTATTTTTATCCTTTTTTCCGCTGCGACCTGATTTCTGCGGACACATAAACATCAACCGGAAGCTGGGTTTGAGGTACCAAATCCATTGCACAACGGCGAACCGTGTGCTGACTTCTTGTTCTAGTCAATCATTGTCAAAATTTTGAAGGGAGGTTAACAATTAGGTCAAGATCATAAGTTTCAGGGCTTATACTTCGTATTTGCCTAGGTAAGGAATCAAAAAATTCAGATGAAGAAATTGGTTTAAGCAAGTCAATGGATGTTGTTAATACCTGGTAAGTACTTCTCGACTGACGTGGGGCTTTCTCAGGGGTGGTAGTTGGGTTTTGCACCCCACTTGATCTACCGACCCCTGAGTTTTTCCCCGGGTCACCGGCAGATCACCATATATTAGACATAATATGTACCCTTTCTATATTAAAGAAGATTTTCCAGAACTACGGATTCGTTGACCCCTTGGTTTACTCTTAACCGTACTTCCACATTGGTGGGATTAGAATAAGGTTTTGCAAGCCCACGAGACGCCGAGACGGAACGAACCTTTATCCGTCCTTTGCTACCCTTACATTCATTTATCTAGGGGTGTTTATGAGGTGGACAAATGGTCATAAAGTCGCAGTTTGGATTCTGTTCCCCGCATTTGCGGGCGCGGATTGCTGATTGTGGTCCAGATAATTGTAACTCAAGGCGTTAGCCTAATCAATATCAACCCTAGACCTTCACAGGTTGCTGTATTTAAATAGTGCGCCATCCATCTGCAAGCGCGATGTCGAACATCTCATTTCCACTTGTGCATGTTGAAGGAATAAACTCAATATCAAGATGTGGTTTACAAGCCTTATACCGCTTCTGCTGCTTCTCTCTGACAATGCGCGAGCCGCCATGGTCAAGACTGGCTCAGCATGTGTTGTCACACCTCTTTCAACCTCTGGTAGCGGAGCCAATGTGGACGACACTCCTCAGATCCTCGAAGCTTTCAAGCAGTGTGGCAAAGATGGCAGTGTGGAACTGACCGAAGGCACTTTCTACATGGGCAAGGTCATGGATACTCTCAACTTCCAGAATTGCGACATCTCCATTTACGGAAAATTGGTCTGGAGCACGGATATTCAGTATTGGCTGAGAAACAGTCTTTCTGTCACATATGCGGGACGCTCCACGGCCTGGAGACTCGGAGGCACCAATATTACCTTGCGAGGATACGGCAAGGCCCTCTTTGACGGCAACGGTCAGACATGGTACGACCAGAACCGTAACCAGGGGAACCAGAACGGCCGCCCCATATCGCTGACTCTCTGGCATGCAACAAACATCCTGGTTGATGGTATTACATGGAGACAGCCGCAATTTTGGTAGGCTATAGGGAACATAATCAAGACAATGGCTGACTGGAAAAAAAGGCATACGTTCGTTGCTTACTCGCAGAACGTGACCATGACCAACCTCGATATGAATGCTACATCCAATTCGCAGTGGACAACGGTGAACACAGATGGCGTAGATACATGGAATTCTAAGGACGTGGTTATTTCAAACTGGACGGTAACATGTGGTGATGTAGGCAGCCCCTTTCACCCTATCCTAAGCGAGGATGAAATTTGTCGCAGCTAACAAGTGGGTATTTTCCTTTTGCTATAGGACTGTATCTCTGTCAAAGGAAATAGCACAAACATCCATGCTAGCAATATCGTATGCCACGAATCCGGCGGGGCGGTGATCGGCAGCATCGGGTCCCAAGCCTCGCAGCCAGATTATGTTGAGAATATAGTATTTGAAAATTTTACCCTTACGCACAGCAGTAATGCGGCATGGATCAAGACATACCCAGGGACGGGTTATGTAAAGAATGTTCTATTCAAGGACATCAAATTCACGGACGTCAACCAGCCGATTTATATATCGCCTTGCATCTACAACGCCCAGAACTGCGACAACTCGAGGCTGAAGATCTCTGATGTGCGCTGGGAGAATATTAGCGGTACCTCGCGCTATAATGTTGGAGCTGGCATGCATTGTAGTGGTTCCGCCCCATGCCAGAATCTTACCTTTTCGGGAATCGATATCAAACAGAAGAACGGCGGTGGTGCTGTCAAGTACCTATGTTCCAATATCGCCAACCAGAAAGACATGGGACTAGCCTGTACAGGAAGTTGTCCGGCAAATTGGGCCCAGCAGCTTAATGGAAACGCGTAACCAATAGCAATACACTACTCTTGATGTATACGATCCTGCCCTGGTGTGGCTTGTCTGGGTGTGGCCTACATATTTTCTCTATTGCGTTTCTTAGAATTATATACGCCTAAGTCTTTAGAATTTTACCCTTCGTTTCGTCGGGTGATGAAATGTCGATTCGGGATGGGAAATTTTGTCTCGTAGTCGTTTAGAACTCAATCTTGGCGTTGCCCTGTGCTTGATAGATGCTCGATGAACCTCCTGTACAATCACCAAAGCGAGTTCTTTTGCAGCGAAAATGTCGCTGATAGAGAGCCCAAGACTCGTTCCTACAAGTCACCATTTAATGTAGAGAACCTACTCTCAGGGCTTTTAGGGGTCCGATGTTGACTTTCACTATATCGCATAATGTAAATAATGTACTGTTTAAAATCCAGGGTCCTAAATGCAGCCATCCTACCATCTCGAAGCTGAGCTAATGTAGAGGTGGTTATTTCTGGGGTACCGCTTTGGTTCATACCATGAAATGATGTAGCATACCCGCTGAAAGCCGCTATCCACGATTGGTACCACATTGCTGATAATAGTGTTTCCCGATTCGGAATGCCAACTTCCCTGCTCGTACATGCAGCTAAATTTCTAATCAGCCGTTGATAATCTGTACTACCTAAAGGATGGCTTTGAACACGACGATGGTTTTCTTTCCCCAAGTAGGCCATCAATACTAGGGCGTAGAACTGACGTCATTTTGTAATGGTGCGGATGTTTCAAACTTCAAGTTCCACAAGAGCTACTATGAGTGAACATATAAGAACTCATTTCGCCTTTGGTAGTACACCTAGACTGTACAGCTTCCTTCATAGTTCTGGTTTTAAAATTTACCATCAGAAGGCAGTTTCAACACATTCCCATCAACGACATGAAAGCTATCTTGCTCTCGAATCCAGGAGGGCCGTCGACGTTCCTCTTCAACGACCTCCCTATACCCACGCCACTACTTGGACATGTCGTTATAGAGATCAAAGCCTTTGGAATCAACCATGCTGAAATGCACATGCGAAAAGGCGAATGGGCCGAAATCGCGGAAGTAAGCGGGATTGAATGCGTGGGCATCGTCCACTCGTGTCCTAGTGGTGAATTTTCTGTCGGCTCCAAAGTAGCTGCAATCATGGGCGGGATGGGGCGTACGATTAATGGCAGTTATGCTGAGTACACACGAGTTTCCGCCAACAACGTCGCGGCTGTTGAGACTGATCTCAAATGGGAGGAATTGGCGGCTATTCCCGAATCATATGCAACGGCTTGGACAACTCTCTTCCGGAACTTAGAACTATCAAGTAGCCAGACGCTTTTGGTTAGAGGTGGAACCTCGTCCTTGGGACAGGCAGCTATAAACCTCGCGGTCAACTGCGGGGCAAGGGTGATTGCCACGACTCGAAATATGGACAAGTCGCCGATGTTGTTTGAGTTGGGTGTGCAGCAAGTCGTGCAGGAAGGACCTCAACTATCAGAGAGGCTCTCGGACGCAGGGACCATTGACGCGGTGCTGAATTTAGTTGGGAACAGCGTTCTCCTCGATTCTTTGGCTATTGTCCACAGGGGTGGACGTGTATGCTTGGCCGGCTTCCTGGGGGGCCTCGATCCTATATTGGATTTCAATCCTTTGTTGCAAATGCCCAGCGGCGTGCATTTCAGTTTCTTTGGCAGTTTCCACTTCGGAACACCAGGCTTCCCGCTATCAGATGTGCCGTTGCAAACGATCGCCAATGAGGTGTCGACGGGCCGCTACAAAGCTAAACCGTCGATGGTATTTCGATTTGACGAAATTGCGGAGGCCCACAAGATGATGGAAGAGAATCGCGCTGGTGGAAAGTTGGTAGTTAAGATTGGGGATTGATTAACCAACGCACCCCACTCATAGCCCTCGGTGAAAGACAAAATAGAGTGATGTGACATTTTTCAGACACTGGACTCCCGGTGATAATTTACAAGCTTCGATCCTCGGTGATCGCTCGCTAGGTAAGTATGTAGCCATACGAACTTAATAATTCAGTGGAGACTTCTCCACGAAGGCTTTCGGATTCCATGTGTGCGAGACCCTCAATCCACAAGACTTCTCGGACGTAATTTAATACCGCACCCCAGGACTGGCAGCCAACACGAACAATAGATTGTACCAAGTTAGATACAAACCATTGATGGTCCTGGGTAACTATAGATTCTACGCTGCCAAGTAGGAGCAGCCATAACAATGTTCGATCATCAAATATCTGACCGCTGGCTTCCAGGGAAGTAATTGTGTCTTTGAGGGTGCGAACATGAGAATGTCCATCAGGAGATATATATGTCTTCATACCAAACCTGCGCCGGATAATACCAAGGTAAAGTATGGCACCGACTTGGTACGCGTCTTGTCGTATTAAGACGGGATCACGAGTAGGACAGTTAAGTGGTATCGAGAGAAATTCATGGAGCACCGGGACGATATGCAGACCTGCAAAAACACCACCGCGCCATATATCTCCAGCCATGGCTTTTTCTGCGATCAACTCGTTTAAACAATACAAGTTATTCATAGCCATGACAATGTCAACTGCGACGGAGGCTTCCATGAGCGGCATGGAAGCATTCAACGAAAGTTGCTTGTTGATTCTGGGCAATAGATTGTGTGGGGCGGGGAATCGCGGCGGAACAAATTGACAAAATGCAATACTGGTATCGGTCCTGTAACAAAGTCAGTCGAAGCCAATGATGGAGCCACAGATAGCGAGAATGTTTAGTGATCGTACCAAAATAGGACCATTCGTAGTATAGGATTCAATGTAGACAAACCGCCCCTCAGCCGAAGTATTTGCTCTAGGCCATTTAAATGCAGCACCGAGCCTTGCAAATCATTGAACATGACCTTTGTTCTTGTTAGCGATATATTTTGTCTGCAACGGTCCTGGTCGTTCCAGGGTTACTCACACCATGACAACAAAACGCCAAAATAGTAGCAATGACGCCATCACTAATGCTCGCAAGTGGGTCGGTAAGTCTACTATTCAAAGACCGCAAAGCTCGAGTTGAGAGCGCAATCGCCTCTGGGGATTTCGCCCCAGTTCCGCGCAATTGCTCCATGTGAGAGGCCGAAGTAGAGAGAATTTGGCAAAAACCCGCAGGGTCTTTCATGCTCGCAAAAAACCCAATTCGGGTCATCGATCGGAACATGGGGCAGAAGTCTCCACGTACTGTAGCATTGTTAACATCTTGCAAAGGGCGACTCGAGAGGGTATTGAAGCTATACTTACAATGATCGACTAGTTCCCGGATCTTCATGCTCATAGGAATAGGGTGAGCAGCGAATGGGTCTAGGCGGCCTGCTCCAAGCCTGCTGGGGCTTGGTAGCTTTGCGGGAGGCTTCTCGGGGTCTCCATCCTGCTGTGCTGGTGAACGTTCGCCAATCAGCGGCGCTGGGTCAAGAACGATCACTCCACGCTTTGATATGCATTCTCCCCTCGTATCATGGTGCGCTCGACGCCTTGCATGGCTACGAACTATTTTTTTTGTTTCTGCGTTTGTGGTTTGCTTGAAATCTGTGAACGTGATGAATTGCAGCTCTTTTAACAGGCCAGGCTGCGCCTCCCCATCCATCTCATTGGATCTCTGGTCAAAATTGTGTGAATAAAACCTAGCGTCTTTTCAATTGTAGGAGTCTCTCTCGGAAGTTTGTACTTTAAGCCTGCGTACCTTGATTTGTCCATGCGTCGGGGACTCGGGGAGCAAAAGGAAGACGTCGAGATGAGATATCCGTGCTTTCGCCTACGGCCGCTTACGGTGTATGATCTCGGGAAAGGCCCGGGCCGCTAACCGTGGGGATTAGCAACGACCAATCCTCCGGACCATTTTATGATGGGACGTTTGAACTTTTAGCTACGAAATGTATCGCGGCTCGGAATCATGGTGGTCATAGTAGAGCTTAATCTGTCTCCCAGGCAACCCTGCTGTTAGTATATTAGACCCTAGAGTAGCATTTGTTTATTATGAAGTAGATTCGGGCAAACCAAGATCAATTATGACTAATTGTTTACATAGCTAGCTATGCAAAGGTTCTTCAATGCCCATCCCGATACTCTCGCCGTGGATTCCAATCAATAAACCGTGATCAGATGCACGCCGTCCCGCCGAATGAAAAGATCTGCAAGCGCAAGCCCATCAATGTCTAAAATCTCCAATACCGTTAACCCAGAAGCAAAAGCTCAAAGTTATGTGTCCATTAGCGAATTATTAACCGGTGATTTGATTAACAGTCAGCAGCCCTAACGATAACATTATAGCCGTCAGTATCGAACTCCTGTCCGCAGGTTTGTCGTGCGTTGAAAGGCCCAGAAGTCAGACAGTTCTTGCTAATGTCCGAGGCGTAGCTTGCAATGTATGGGCAACGTGGGTAAATGGTGTCAGGGTTCTAAGTGAACTGTTAGAATGGCAAATTGCAAAGGAACGAAACAGTGGTGAAAAACCTACATCATTGCAGAGAAAGATTGCTCCGCGGTACGAGCAGCTGATGCGAACACATGACTGACCACCGACGTTGCAGATATTCATCTTTCTGAGATAGTTGATGCCATCAGCGATCACGTTAGTATTTGCCCGCTCCCAAGTCTGTCCTTTAACTGGCCAGCAGAAATAATGGTGCTAAATTAGAAACCCTTTGTTAGAAAGCTGGCATTGCTTCATTTGAGTTTCAGTTGAGCAGGTACTAACCTTGCTGGCAACATCACGAGAATCCAAAGCAATATCATTGGCGTTGTTTCCGACGGATGAATCAGGCAGTGTATCGACGTCGAAGTCAGGGTGAAGCTCCTTCATCTGAGCAAAGATATCCTACTCGGTGTTAGCAGAAGTGAGCAGCAATTACACCTGGGACTCGGTGACACCAGTGAATAACCTTACCTGGACAGTGCCGTTAAGCTGAACCTCATGGCCACCAAGAGCGCCGGTGTACTCGAAGGGTACAAGCGGGTACGGAAGGTCATTCTGAACAGCAGCTCCAAGAGCCAAGGTCAAAAGGCCAACAAGGCTCAAGACGATGGTAAAGAACTGCATGATTTCGGCTTTGTTTAGGACGATCGTTAAAGGGGGAAGATATGAGAAATGGTTCACTGTATTTCACGGATGTGAAAGGGAAGTGCAAGTTGCAAAGTGGTTGTCTGCAGGAGTGGAAGTTGGTTTTGTTGTTTGTAGTTAAGAGAATCGGTTCGTACGAGAAATCGACAGCCTTTTATACCCAAAGGTTTACTGGGAGCCGATATTCTCCCGGATTTGTTAGCCGCTTTCTATGGGAATACGGTAGTGAATCCAAGCAAACACCAGAGCCTCGTCCAGATGTTTGCATCCGTGACAAACATTACGTAGATAGGCGCTGGTGAATAATAACATTGCGTACAAGGCTTTCAAATCTGGATGGGGGTAATGACTTCTCACTCATCTATCATGTTCCAGCCAGTTCAGCTAATTAATTCACTCCTCACACTGGCAATGTCGAGATCTTCAAGAGACACATGATCGTCCTGCCTACAAGGCTACAACACTCTCTACTGCTAATATCGACTTCATCGGCTACTCGCATAATGCTCTAGCATTGATGTAGACGGAGATATGCCACGTGTTTAGATGGTTTTCACTGAAAAACAACAGAATTTCAAAACAGCCGGAGGTAAACAATTTCGTAAGGTTAATTCTCATAATTTATTCGCTAATGAAGAAAGAGAACAAAACTAATCTATGTAACAGAGTCAAATGCGAAAACACTCAACAAAGAAAAACAAATTTCTAGAGTTTAAGTTGAAGGCAAGAGCCTCAAGGCTGCCTAGTTTATAGCATCAAAAGCGCCCCGATCGACTCGATGGGGAGGTGGGCATAGAATAGGACAAATAAACCATTCGCCTGTACCTACCTCAATCCTATAGTCTACTTGATTTTAGTTCTATACCTGACGACTCCTTCAAAAGCAGTCAATGCAAAAATCAAGGTAACTTAAGCTGTCACAGAAGGCAGTCATAAAAATGCAAGGGACAAACTACTCCCCTCTATTATGCGAGTAAATAACATCTCTACAGGACTCACCTATTAGTCGGGCTGTGAATACAGGAATAAAGCGAAGAAGTCAAGTGAAGAACGGCATTTCAAATTGTCAACGGCTAAAAAGATAATGCAAAGGAACGGGTGCTTGTATTCTGAATGTGGCGTTTGAACTGCAGAATATAGTAAGTATAATTACTAACATTAATAGGAGATGTTGACACCCAATTGAAGGTTGGACTAAGCTTGTGGCTTTGCAACCCACCCATTTGTAATAATGCCCGTTATTTTTGCCTCCAGCTTTGATATGAACCCTGGAGGGCAGGCCCACGATGGAGAGATTCGAGATTCGAGGAAGGTAACAATCCTATTTAATGAACAACCACGGAGGTTATATGTAGATGTGGCAGTCAAGGTGTGTCTCTGATCGTGAACAATCAGTGTCAATCGCCTCACATAACAGAGTAGCTCTGTCCGAGCCTGCGAGGTGGCGATGATTCTCTTCAATTTGTAGCGATGTATAGGGTACCTCCGTAGGCGGCTGCATTATACGAAAATGCAGTGGGAAGGTATGGGGTGTTTCGTTGCTTTTGCTTTTGTTGGTGAAGGAGTACGCATGATGAAGAGCAATTAAGGTTCTGGAGAAGTTGAGGAACCCAAGCGTCCTCGCCTGTGATTGATTGGCTCCTCCGTCTTCCATACCTTGGCTAGCGACGATCTTCACGGTTCGATTTCTCGGCGCGGATGGGATTTCAAGGCGCATACCTCGTCGACGGTTAGGAGCGCTGCAAGCTATGCACCCGTGCTCTTAGGCCCTTCAACCTTAGTAGCACGATGGCATTTGCGCGAATTTGAGGGTGTGATAGCAAGGCGCAATGGCGGAGCCGGCAGATGGCGCTGTAAGGTTAGTTATTATACTTGGACATTATATTATGAATTTATGTAGGTGGTCACATGAGTTAATAGTACGGCGTCACGGCGAGCATAGAGAGGAGTGATATGCAATTGCCCGTCAATTGCTATGGAGATGTGATAGGAAGAATTGCAAGGCCCATGGCGCCAAAGAAGGGTTGAGGCCTTAATTTTTGCCAGGTCTACCCAGATCACCCTTTCCTTCACGACTCATATCCCATTTTTTTGTTATTTTCCTGTTTTTGTTATTCCTTGTCTTAACCCAGCATTGCGTAAAGGCAGAATAATGTAAGAAAAGCGTGCTCGGTAAGTTGAATGTTGTTGGCTTCGTCGCGCTTAGCAGCTGGTGCTACGGACGATGACATTGTACCGATCGGTATCAAACTTCTGTCCGCAGGTGTAGAAACCGTTGAAAACAGGAAAGACACTACATTTGCCGATCAAGTCCTGGGCATAGCTGGCAATGTAGTTGCACTTGGGGAAGATGGCGTGGTCGTTCTAAAGTTGAAGCGGTTAGCGTTACTCGTAAAGTAGTCGAGCTCTTATGGTTAAGTAACCAAAAGATGAAAAGGAAAGAAAACTTACATCATTGCAAAGGAAAATACCGGCGCTCCAAGAACAGCTGATGCGGACGCATGTCTGGGGGCCAACGTCACAGATATCAATTCCCTTAAGGTATCTGATGCCCTCAGCGATTCGATCACCGTTGGCATAATCCCAGTCTTTGTGGCCGGGAACAGGCTTGCAGATATAGTTGCTCTATAATTAAAATGTTTGTCAGTAAGCGAATATCATATTGTTGAGATTGTAAAGGGAAACAGATAAAACTAACCTTGGAATTAACGTTTTGGGGGGTGATGGCCGAAGCATTAGTACCATTCTGGATGGCATGCTCAGCATCGAACTCCGGGTGCAGAACTTTCATCTGGGCGTAGATCTCCTCGACGGTGCCATTAAGCTGGACGTCATGGCCACCCAGAGTACCCTTGTACTGGAAAGGGACGAGAGGGTGGGGAAGGTCAGCAGCCTCCTGGACGACTGCTGCAAGAGCAACTGCCATGAAGCCAGCGAAGGCAAGGGCGGCGGTGGTGAACTGCATGATTGCAAGTCAGGTTGTTTAGAAGAGGAGGTGATTGGATATTATTGAGGCTGTGAAGGATCAAAGTGGTGTTGTGAAAAGTGGGATGGGTTGAGGGAAGATTGTAGAGAAGAAGAAGAAGAACATGGCTAATGGCAGAATAGATCTAGCTTTTATACTCGTGGATTTCGCGTGCAAACAGTGCAAAGTATCCTGCGGTCAAAAGAGGCAGAACTCAGCCTTGTAGTGAAGTCCAGGCTTGACGGTGAGCATTATTTCTGCCAGCATGTGATCTGGTAGGCAAGCTATGCCCAGTTTCTTTATGTAGGACTCTTGAAATTGGTAGAGTACTCTCACCTAATTAGGGAGCCAAGTTCCTGCAATAACAATAACAACCACAAAAACAAGTAAGCCAGACAACGATAACAGCCTTCCGCCTTAATAAACGTTGCACTTTCTTTGACTCTGTAGTTCTGACGGTTGCTAAGGGATATTTCCTGCGGCTCTATTTCATCCCCAAATCTTTGCAGACTATTATAAGGTTCTATTCACTGCGACAGAGACTATGACAGCTGTTCTGTGAGGTCTGTTTTCCTTCCCAATAATCACACGTTTACACTGTCAAAGCCACCCCATTCCTCTTATTTGGTCATATATCATGCTGTTCTGATTATATAAACCTCTGCTGTTATTCAAGATAAAAATTCTCCTGGTCCTCGACGATATCTGTAATTTAGAATTCTGCCACATTAAATTTAGTAATAATCCTTTGAAGTGTTTTTAAAAAGTTAACTTGCGCCAATAACCTCTAAAACGCCCGAGGAACAATGAAAATGACAAGCTTGGGTAAGTTTTGAGTATACTGTATTGAATCAATAAATAGACATATTATGAAAAGGCTAGTAAACTACATTACATCAAAGAACAACCTAAGCAATATAACAAGTATTCACAACACTGATAACATTTACAATTTTACACCTGTATTTTATTTTACACCCAATAAAACAAATCCATTAGCTCTACAGACTTATGAACAAATCTACGGCCAGATGGCTTTATAAATCCCAGTCTAAAACGTGATTCGAGGAGTTGCTTATGCCAAGCCCCAAACTTAGGAAAAGGGGAAGTCGCCCTATTTTGGCTTTGGGGTTTAGCCGAGTACTCACAAAAGTTGTGCAGTCGCCCAAGAATAAAAAACAATAAATGCAATTAAAACATGCGAAAGTAACATATTCTCTATTTGTTACTGGCATTTCGCTTATGAAACATTATATAGATGGGTCTATTAACGTAGGTGGTGGCCATCAGTTTAGCTGGTGAAATATAGCTGTCTTGTATATAGATAAACGCAACGCGGCTCTGGTCTAAGCCACTATGAGGGAATAGCAAGTTGATTGGGGGTGTCAATATCTTATTTGTGGCGCGGCCGAACGAGATTTCTCTGTGCTTGTAGCTTAGTCGCGCCTGGGTGATGGCGTACTTGGTATGGTGCGATATGATAGACTAACGCAGGGGTGCATATATCTGAGCCATCCAAGGTCTTAGACACAGACCAAGAAATGCCACGGATATCCAAGGCAAGCAACAATAGGCAAAAGCTGAGTATACGCTTTGTACTCGAGTCTTTGTGCTCGAGTACACACACCACACACTCCTACAGGTACGAGTGGACAAACATACCCTTCGCAGCTGGTGTTCCGGTTTGCTGTTGCAATCCATCTGCTGCGGGCTCAATCTGTTGCTACTAGCCGGCGCCATAGGTACTACCGCACGGAGTGGCAACGGCAACGGCAACGGCAAACAGTATTGCTTGGCCTTCTTGTGTGCCTTTTAAAGTTTAAGGCTCATCCATTGGTAGTGATTCATCAGCGGTCCTGTATTCGTAGCCTTATCAACGCGTCTTCCATTCCGTCACAGCTAAAAGCCAAAGCCTCCCCCTTGCATTGCCACTGAGGTCATAGCCCCATAGTTTATAACGCTGAATGGCAAAGCCACGGTCAGAAGGCTCTGGATTGCTCATAGCGTTTTCGATCCCGAATATTGTGTACGTCGCCGCATACCTGCGGGAGCTATAGCGTGTTGTTGCACTGGATATCTCTGGATCGATTGGCAGATGGGTATGACATGCTTTGCGGGGTTCGAGTTGATCAACACCTCGCTCGAGTAGTTTACTACTCCCGGTTCCCCTCAGCCCCCGTATTTCCTACATCTCCATTTATCGACCACCTTCGTGTTAAGTACCTGCTCTAATCGACACTGTTTAACTGGGTAGTTGGTTCTTAGTTCCTTACGAGTAGTTAGCGGGTGGCTATTTCCCGTCCGTTCCTTCCGCCAACGCCGCCGCGCATGGTGTGGTCGACGCCCCGGTGGTGACTCCGGACCACATTGGGACTTTACAATCCGTAATTCTACATCTCCATTCTCCATTTATAAGACGAAGCTGATGCCCAAAACCCAGAATTCTCGAAAAGTAGCACTTGCACTGCTAACCTTCTGCCCATCCTGAAGCCACAATGGCACCTCTCTCCCATCCCGGCATGGTAACGATCAAGTTTGCGAAGCCTGATGTACAACCCCCAGTGTATGTAGCAGGCTCCTTTTCCGACCCAGCATGGCTGCCCCAGGAAATGGAATACACCATCAAAGGGGACGGCCAGCGCGAATATGTCAAGGACATTCCTGCAGAAGAAGGAAAGGAATATCAATACAAATTCCGCCTGGGGCCGGGAGACTGGTGGATCTTGGATGAAGCTTCCCCAACAGGTGAGGCCAAAGAATTCCTATCCGCTTCTACCTTGTGGATAGCACAATTTACCTGCAGGCGTCAAACCTAACGGCAATACTAACTGGCTTATGTGGCTAGTCACCGACGACATTGGCAATCGAAACAATCTCCTCTCTGTACCTGTACGGCAGCAGGACACCACACGCTCCGTGGCTATTGAAATGCCAAGCTCTAGAATACGAGAGGTCAAAGAGCTTGGTGAATCTGTCCCCGGGAAAATAGGTGGGTTGGTCGATCTCCAACCTCGCGCCGGCCGGCAAGACAATGACGACATTCAACAATGGACCACGAGACGCGAACTCGTAGACGTTGTAGCAGCTGCGGTCCTCCTTGATGATGCCCAACACACGCCCCCAATGTCTGATGGAGATGTAGGCGAGATTGGTGGCAGGCGCATGTCTGATACCCCTATCTCCCAAGCGGAAAGAATAGCGGCCGAGGCGGCAGAAGTTGCGGCTCTCCCCGAAGAAAAGAGTGTGGTACGTGACTTTGTTTCTGTTCGCCGCGTTCGTGACGTCCTATCTCAGTTATTAATACGATATTAGCAGGATTTCGAATTGCCCCCATCTCCATTGAACTTTGAAGATGGGCGTGACTTGGACTCATATCCTGTCACGCCGGGGGATGACCAAGTACCGCTCTTTCCACATGAATGTCCTGGTCCTACAGACAAGGTAGTAGAAAGCCCCCATGAGTATATACGGGCGATGTCGTGGTCCAAGCCAGTTGAAGAAGTACTGGACTTGAAAGATCCTTCACTCGTTCCTTTCCCAACAGATCGAGACGGAATCATGGCTCAACTTCGGGATGTGGAGAGGCGTAACTCCTCAGTAGGACCAGAAACTCCTCCATTTCCCCCCTTTGAATCCAATCACTATCCGGACAGACTGGAGATCCCATCTCCTTCAATCCGGTCACTTACTCGAGATCAGTCTCCCTCGCTCCATTCGATTGTCGAAGAACAAGAAGTAGGTGACGCGCCCCTTACATCCATACCAAACCTATCCGACCTCCTTGCTACACCCGAGAAAAACAAGTTCTTGGATCCTGCATATTCTGACGATATTAAAGGTGAGGTTTCGGCCATATTTCTAGATCACCCTCAACCGATCATCCATGTTGCAAAAGCCAACCTAGAGTCGGGTGTCAAGAGCCAATTCCTGGATAGCCAGTCGGATGAGACTCCACAAGAACACCCGGCACCCAGGGTTGGAGACGAAGTAGTAGGCTTTGAAGCGCCTGTCGAGGAAGAACGATCCCACGGAGAGACACTCAAGGTTCTAGAATCTCCGCCAATAGCCACTGTTGTGGTCCAAGCGACAAGTCCTCATATCAATGACTCCAAACATCTTTCGGAGTATAAGATCAAGGCTAGCGAAGTGGACTTCAAACGCAGTGAAGTGCAACTTGATCCAACAACCCAAATCGAAGGTGCTTCTGTATCTAGCAGTAACGTTGAAATACCCGCCGATGTAGCATCACCGAAGTTTAACAATGATTTGGCACAACGTATCAGGCTACCCCCTTTAGGCGAAGTACATCCAAGTTACGACAGCGAGCCTTCCACCACCGATGCAACACCAAGTGCTACAATACAGCCAGCCACACAGTGGTCGAATACAATGGCCACACTTAATGGTTCGTCTGGTGCAGCACTCGACACTGGCGAGAGTACGTCGATTGCGCATCGCCCTGAGCTGAAGCCGCGAAAGCAACCACCACAAGTCTCTCCCTTAGAACGACCTCTGACGCCAAGTTCTATCCGATCTTCGAATAAGGATGCTAAGTCCAGAAGTTTCTTGAAAGCATTCTGGCGGGTCGTTTTTGTTGATTGGATTGGCGGCTTCATTTTGAGGCTGTGCGGTGGAGGACGTCACACGTAAGGAACACACCATCTATCTTTTGTGTCTCCACACTCTTCATCTTCTCTGTATCATATTTGAGCTTTCAAAATGCTGATAGCTGGACACCGGGCAGGCTGTTGGCCGTATTTGCGCTTGTAATAGTTGCTGTCGCTCTAGCGTTGTATTCGTCCTCATGAGCGTGACGACCAATTCAAGTTGCACTTCATCGGTTCAAACAATACCCTCAGACTGTACTTCGTGCAGCACGTCCGGAGTACATCATGAATAATGCTCACCATCGCATATTCTTATTTTTTCTTATTAAATGTTATTTGGGAGGACACCACGACGGGGGACGTTGTATGATTTTGAGCATTAACATTAGTTAGCCCTTTACGGAGTAGAAATTACTGAGCTTATTAAATGAAAATTCGAGCAGCTTTGTATGAATACGAGTAATGGACAGATAAACGGACGGAAGAGATATTGGGTGCAAAGTGTGGCGTTGTGTAATAGGATTGTAGTATTTTGTACCCGGTAGTAACACACGAGTGGAATGCCGAAGAGCAGAGGAGAATACTTCGTAGCAAGAAGAGAAATAGGAAGTTGGAGCCCATAATGTGATCGAGGTGGAACATGAGCTGCTGTAGCCCCATACAGGGGATCAATACTACGAAGTACGTACTTTTATCATGGCGCGCACGCGACCCTGCACGGAACTCAGCAGCCCAAGAAATCATTCCGAGTTTCAACGTTGCAACTTGTAAGCGGCCAAGCATCTCAATGCGATCCTACTCACTGTCAACTACTTATCCTCTATACGTATAGATGGATCAAAGCAGTACTTTACCAACGCACAAGTCCAATTGGATCCGTATCCAAATGACCAGCGAAGCATCACCCGTTTGACGAATGCAATGCCGGACCACAACGGTCAATACGAACTCCTCCCACGCTCCTCGCGCGACCTCGACTCTGTGCCTGATGAATTCAAGGACAAGCCTCTGCCGCGATCTCGACGATCTATATTTTCAGTTGCGCGGAAAATAAGGCGGGTATGCAGAGTTTGCAGACCGTTGTATATCGTTGTGGCGTTGGTGCTCTTTCTACTATGGCAGATCACGTTCAATACTTCGTACATGAGCCCACCCCCGTTTGAGATTCCTACGGACGAGAAGGTCTTTATCGCGGCGAATATCATCGATGGAGAGCTGATAGATGGCGCGTGGGGCAAGTCGCTGCTGGATTTGGTGGAGCTTATAGGGAAGGACCGTGTCTATGTGTCTATCTATGGGGGTCCTACATCTGCGTTGAGGAACTTAGATGGGAAATTGCCATGTGGGCATAGTCTGGTATCTGAGAAAGAGCACCCGTTGGATATGGATGCTATACCAAGGACGAAACTACCTACTGGAGAGACCAGAGTCAAGCGCATTGCGTATTTGGCGGAGGTGCGGAATAAAGCGCTGGAGCCACTGGATACGCTGAAGACGAGCTTCGATAAAGTGTTGTTTATCAACGATGTGTTTTTTGACGCTCGGGATGCTGCGAGGCTACTTTGGGGCACAAATGTTAATGACAATGGGAAGAGTGTATATAAAGCTGCGTGTGGGACGGATTTCGTGCAGTGGTGGAAGTTCTATGATACTTTTGCTACGAGGGATGCTGAGGGTTATAGCATTGGTGTTCCTATATTCCCCTGGTTTGCGGGTGAAGATGCGGCGATAAGCAGGAGAGATGTGCTGGAAGGGAGAGGTGCAGTGCGAGTCAAGAGTTGCTGGGGCGGTATGACGGCTTTTGATGCCAGATATTTGCAGTCGAACCCGGAGAACTCGAGTTCCCGAAGGTATCACGGAGGTCTGGATGGGGATATAGGGGTGGATATTAAGAGTACCCGCCAAGTCGAGCCCCCAACGCTGCCTCTGCGCTTTCGCTCTGAACCGGAACCATTCTGGGACTCGAGCGAGTGTTGTCTGATATACACCGATATAATGGCGTTGCCGGACTTCTCACCTGCCTCTTCCCCGTCTACTTCGGATCCAGGAGCAACAAAAGATCCCTGGGATACGGGAATCTACATGAATCCCTACGTTCGCGTTTCCTACGATGCGAAGACGCAATCCATGCTCAATTTAGGGAAACGCTTCGAACGCCTCTTCGCTCTCCCACAAGCCATCGTCAATCACTTTGCCCATATGCCCGTGTTTAACGCCCGGCGTGCTGAGGTTGAGGGGCAGATCATCAAAGACAAATTGTGGATCCCATTCGAGAATGCAACTGGGCATACAGAGAGAGATGATGACCACGCGGAAATATATCCATCGCGGATGATGGGGAAGAGAGAAATAATAGGAGAGCCATTGGACAGGGACTATTGGGCCACCAAAGGACATTACGTTGATTTCAATAGGACCGCGACAAGGGGTGCGTATTGTGGCGTTAGACAGCTGCTCGTGATGAAGGAGGGAAAGCTCAAAGAGGGCGAGGGCAATTGGGATAATCTGCTCAACGAGGTGCCGCCAGTTGACCTTTAGCTGAGATCAGACAGCAGCAGCTATATATACATGGGAAGGAGTTGGTGGGATTTTGGGTTATCTTTGATCAAAGAAGATCTATGACTGCAGATATGCTTCCAGCTTTGGTATATAATAGGGTCGGTCTTTGCTAGCAGATGTAAAGATCTGTCTGTAGACCGAATTCGGATTGGTCGAGTTTATGTAGGACTACTTGGAGGGTAATTTATGATGATAAGATAGTATGATAGAGAATAATGATGGGTATTGAGATAAGAGGCTGGGGATATCTCAATATGTAATATTCACAGTGCTTATGCTTTTTTTAAGAATTTCGGAGCAACAAAGATTCACATAGTGGTAAGAAGTCTTTGCAGCACCGTGTATGTTGGAGCAACCCTTCACATATTGTGCTTAGTTTAGGAATTAGTAGCCGGCTTGATGATGTTGGGTGGATGTATGAAGTTCAACAGCCTTTCGGATGAAGATTTGATACCACAGGGGAAATGACATGCAACATTTGGACGCATCTATTTAAGTAATATCTCATCTAGATACAATTATAGAGGGAAACGCACGGGCAACAGTTATGTTACATTGGCAGGGCTTCCTCTGTAAGCCGATGTTGGTCCAACACACCAGATTGCGAATTGTTGGCATCTGGGCCCATCTTTTGGTTTGTGCCGCAGACTAGAGAGAGGTTGTCTACTAACAATTGCTCACACAAGTACCCCGGACCACGTAGCGTACGACCGGCAACTTGTGCGAATGTCTCAAGGGGGCTTGGTGACATGCTATTGATGCGCATAGTACCGCACCGCACCTCACCTCAGTCGACGGCTTCCCAACCGTTGGCTCGGCTTCCCTGATCTATCCGATGCCCTCACTAGACATCACCCGGTATGACACCCTTTCATTGATGGACCTCACGCTCTGTAACATCTCCTGGATAGCTTGGCTTCGTAGTGTATGGATTATAACTTATTTCAGTGTAAACTTCTGGCCGGCAATCACAGGAGCAGCGGCTGTTGATTTGGAATTTGCTTTGCCACACATGGCACATGCTGGGGAACGTGTTAGCTTGAACCTCTTCCCAAGTACCAACGGGTAAAGAACATACCATTTGCTTTATATGCACATTTCTGGCAGTATGTTCGCCCCTGGTCAACCTTGGTTTTGCAGGTGGTGCAGGAGCTGGAGTACGACGCATACGGGTTCCTGGCAGCTTTGGAGAGGAGTTTACTCTGCCATGGTCAAGTTAGCATTCATTCGATGGCAAGAAGGATTTGGAGGGCAAGAGCCCTGATTTACTTACCTTTCCTATGCCATTGTTTCCCAGAGTCGCTGATTTACTCTTGTCCTTGTCACCGCTCTTGGAGGAGGATCCTGCGGGAGAACCATAGTACATATCACTCCTCTTCTTGACTCCCGGGGTGGCGAGGGTGGTCGACTTGGAGAGCTTCTGGCATTTTGCGCAAACCATTTTGAATATTGAATGAATACGAGTATCTCTTGCTTGTAGTTGGGGCTAAAGAGAACTAGTGAATGATAATACGAGGTGGTAGCGTATGCACTGCACGTACGTAGAGCACTCTGTAAAGGTCGACGGAGGTTTCAACCTGTATGTGTAGCGATAAGATTGCGACGATCTGGGGCTGGGGCGTGAGGCTGAAGGAGCTGCGGGTGCCAAGCCTCTTAAGTAGCGGGCAGGGATTGTTTACAGTACGACCGGAAACGTACGTACGTATTCGAACTCTCCGCAGACCTATTGATATACACTCCCTAAAGAACCTACCTCTCATTACACCGAAAGCTACAGATATACTGCCTACCGGGGCGGCCTGCGACTTACCGCTTTGTACGCGAATTTTTGGACCAAAGGCTTCGCACACATACACATTCTTCCAACCGGGCTGTGCTCCGACGTCTCAAGCTCACTTGTCAATCTCACGACTGGACCCTTTCCTGCGACGATACTTCACGATACAAGCTTCGACGAGACTAGACTGCACCAGACAACGGATAGAAGAGGCCTGCAGTGCCGATACTCATTATTTCTGTTAAGATCACGTAGCGACGATCGTCAATGACATAGCGTGCGCTGCTCTCCTGAGTGTCGCAACACGCTCTTCTCATGAGCATGGCCGGCAAGCCGTCTGCCAGCAATCGGGACGACCTCCTCCTCGACCTAGACGATGAGCGACCAATATACAACGATGGACAGCGTCCACCGATCAACGACGATGACCTTTTGCGCGCCTATACCGCCGACCACGACCCATCAAACCCCCGACCCTCGATATCCTACGATGAGTTCGTGGGGGCGGGGGGAGGACGATCCCCTCCTTCGTCGTCAGGCAGGCAATTGCCCGGCGGGCCTGGTACTATCCCTGGGGCTGGAGGAGGTCCATATGTATCTGGAAGCAGCCAGCGGGTGCATAGCCAGAGTTCGGGGCTAGGAAACTACCAGCGCTATGCGGATGATCTGGACGACTTCCCCGACGAGGACGGGCAGTCGATGTATTACCAACCTGGAGAAGGTGCAGCGGCCGATGGGCAAATGAGGGGCAATGCGAGGAATCGCAATAGTGTGCTCAGCATGGGAGGCGGGCTGATGGGCAGAGCCAAGAGCATGCTGGGAATGAAACCGGAGTATTCGGAAATGGACCTACCCTTGACGGAGGGTGGAGGACGAGCAAACACGGATTCAAGTATACCAAATACCCCCAAGGCGCCTGCAAAGAAATTCGATGTGGGAAAATTCAAGTTTGGGTTTGGCAGAGGAAAGCCAGACCCGTCAACTCTGGGTCCAAGAATCATACACCTGAACAACCCTCCTGCAAATTCCATAAACAAGTATGTGGACAACCACATCTCGACCGCCAAGTACAACGTTGCAAGTTTTATGCCCAAATTCCTATTCGAACAATTTTCAAAATTCGCCAATCTGTTCTTCTTGTTTACTGCCGCATTGCAACAAATACCCAACTTGTCACCCACAAATAAATACACTACCATTGGTCCGTTAATCTTGGTGCTTTCGGTTTCAGCAGGCAAGGAATTAGTAGAAGATTACCGAAGGAAATCGTCAGATAAATCATTGAACAACTCGAAAGCCCGCGTCCTGCGGGGGTCATCGTTTGTCGACCAAAAATGGATCAACGTCGCAGTTGGAGATATAGTGCGTGTGGAGTCCGAAGAGCCATTTCCTGCGGATATTGTGTTGCTGGCGAGCTCTGAGCCGGAAGGGCTGTGCTACATCGAAACCGCCAACCTTGATGGAGAAACCAATCTCAAAATCAAGCAAGCTATTACTGAGACCTGCACTATGATCAGCTCAGCTGAACTTAGTAGGCTCGGTGGAAGATTGCGGTCCGAGCAACCGAATAGTAGTCTATATACATACGAAGCCACCTTAACTATCGCTGCGGGTGGTGGAGAGAAAGAGCTTCCTTTACAACCAGACCAACTTCTCCTCAGAGGAGCTACATTGCGCAACACTCCTTGGATCTACGGTGTCGTTGTTTTTACCGGCCATGAGACGAAGCTAATGCGAAATGCAACTGCTACCCCAATCAAACGAACAGCAGTCGAAAGACAACTAAATATGCTCGTCCTGTTACTGATTGGTATTCTTGTGGCTCTTAGTGTTGTAAGCTCCATCGGGGATATGATCGTTCGCATAAAACATGGTGCAGAGTTGAGCTATCTTGGTTATCCTGCCTCATCTTCGGGCATAGACAAGCTGGCACAGTTCTGGTTCGATATGTCCACGTACTGGGTCCTTTATTCAGCTCTGGTGCCGATTTCACTCTTTGTCACCATTGAAGTCATAAAATATTGGCACGCTATCCTTATCAACGATGACTTGGACATGTACTACGACAAAATGGATACCCCTGCGGTGTGCCGCACCTCCAGTTTGGTTGAAGAGCTAGGCATGGTTGAGTACATATTCTCTGATAAGACGGGCACCTTAACATGCAATCAGATGGAGTTCAAGCAGTGCTCGATCGCAGGCATACAGTACTCGGAGGATGTTCCGGATGACCGACGTGCTACGACCCAGGATGGCATTGAAATTGGAATCCATGACTTCGCCCGCCTTGCGAAGAACCTGGAATCACACGAGTCGAGCCAGGCAATTCACCACTTCCTGACGTTGTTAGCAACTTGTCATACTGTCATACCAGAAAGAACTGAAGAGAAAGGAGGAGCCATCAAATATCAAGCAGCATCACCTGATGAAGGTGCGTTGGTTGAGGGGGCCGTGACGATGGGTTACCAATTTACAGCTCGCAAACCGAAGGCCGTTCAAATCGTCGTCGCGGGACAAAAATATGAATACGAGCTGCTAGCAGTTTGCGAGTTCAATTCTACCCGGAAACGGATGTCTGCTATCTTCCGATGCCCGGATGGAAAAATTAGATGCTACTGTAAAGGTGCTGACACCGTTATCCTTGAGCGACTGGGTCCTAATAATCCTCATATCGAGGCCACCCTCCAACATCTCGAAGAGTACGCTTCTGAAGGCCTTCGGACCTTGTGTCTCGCCATGCGTGAGATCCCAGACCATGAGTTCCAGCAATGGTGGCAGATATTCGATAAGGCACAGACTACGGTGAGTGGTAACCGTGCTGACGAGCTTGACAAAGCCGCAGAACTGTTGGAGAGAGACTTTCATCTTCTTGGCGCAACAGCCATTGAAGACCGCCTCCAAGACGGTGTCCCTGAAACGATTCATACATTGCAAGAAGCAGGCATTAAAGTATGGATCCTTACTGGTGACCGACAAGAGACGGCGATCAACATTGGCATGAGTTGCAAGCTGATCAGCGAAGACATGACGCTTCTGATTGTCAACGAGGAGGATGCAGCCGCAACGAGAGATAACATCCAAAAGAAACTTGAAGCGATACGGACCCAGGCAGATGGCTCCATCGCCATGGATACCCTGGCGCTTGTTATCGACGGAAAGTCGTTGACATATGCCTTAGAGAAGGATCTAGAAAAGGACTTCTTAGACCTCGCCGTCATGTGTAAGGCGGTAATCTGCTGTCGTGTCTCGCCGCTTCAGAAAGCCCTAGTTGTCAAGCTTGTCAAGCGTCATCTCAAAGCCATCTTGCTGGCTATCGGCGATGGCGCAAACGACGTATCGATGATCCAAGCGGCACATATTGGAGTAGGTATAAGTGGCATGGAAGGTCTTCAGGCCGCTCGCAGTGCGGATGTGGCCATTGGTCAATTTAGATATTTGCGGAAGTTGCTTCTCGTTCACGGAGCGTGGAGTTACCAACGGATCAGCAAGGCCATCCTCTACTCTTTCTACAAAAATATTACGCTGTACATGACGCAATTCTACGTAAGTGTTATTAGTCCTTCGAATGTACGCACCGCTAATACTTTTAGTACTCGTTTCAAAACGCCTTCTCTGGAGAGGTCATCTACGAATCATGGACCCTTTCGTTCTACAATATTTTCTTCACTGTTTTCCCACCCTTAGCAATTGGTATCTTCGATCAATTCATCTCGGCGCGCCTGCTAGACAGGTACCCCCAGCTTTACCAGCTCGGACAGAGGAATACATTCTTCAAGGTACACTCATTTTTATCCTGGGTTGGCAATGGCTTCTACCACTCTTTGATCCTATACATTGTATCTGAGGGCATCTGGTTGCGTGACCTTCCCCAAGGGGACGGCAAACTTGCAGGCCACTGGGTCTGGGGTACAGGCCTCTACACAGCAGTCCTCGCCACTGTGCTGGGTAAAGCAGCCCTGGTCACTAATATCTGGACGAAATACCACGTCATCGCAATCCCTGGAAGCATGGTAATCTGGATGGTATTCATTTCGGTGTACGCTACTGTGGCCCCGAAGTTGGGGTTCTCAACGGAATATGAGGGAGTCGTACCTCGATTATTTCCCAGCCCGGTATTCTGGCTACAGGTTCTTGTTCTGCCGGTTCTTTGTCTTTCCCGAGACTTCGCGTGGAAATAGTAAGTTCTTATTCGAGAGTTTCCAAAGGAATGGCTTTTTCTAATCGTTGGAATAGTGCCAAACGGATGTACTATCCACAAACATACCACCACATCCAAGAGATACAAAAATACAACATTCAAGATTATAGACCACGGTATGCTGGTTCTTCCCTACTTTTGGATATCCCTTCTGTTGTAGTTATTTTCAACTAACGTATTTTGGCACAGCATGGAACAATTCCAAAAAGCCATCCGCAAAGTTCGCCAGGTGCAACGTATGCGGAAACAGCGTGGATATGCCTTCTCACAAGCCGACGAATCCCAAACGCGGGTTCTTCAGGCATATGACACGACAAGGGAGAGAGGTCGATATGGAGAGATGGCCAGTTCGAGGCCGGACGGGACATGATCGGGTAATTGCATCATGCATGTATGATTCTTTGAAGCGATATTCTATTGTATTTGGATTTAGGGGTTTGTTTTTATCGGGATACATTTAAGAGGGCAAAAATCCCAGCTAAGGGGTTGTATTTGACTCGAGCTGGGTCCACCCACCCTGTTTTTTTTTGCCAATTGAAGGCCGTAGCTATTCGCTGCTTATATGAAGCTGTACTGTACATTGTTTGAGCGTGGCTAAAGTGAATATATCCAATTATATGAAATTATTAAATTACGACTATTTTGAAGGCCCCATTAAGTCTGGGCTGTAGTAATATGTACACGAAGAAACACGAGATACTTCTAAATACGTTGTTCCCGTTATCATAGCAGGGTGCTAGATCTCCTAAACCCGAAAAAGGGAGCCCAGCTAAACCTTCCATATTCGATACCTCCCCGTATTTAATGACGGGGTTTGTATGGTTTGATGATAAGGCAGCCGCGCTTTAGATAACTGAGGTGGTTCTGATGGTCAAGTTATCCAGTGGAGAGCGTGGGCTTCTGATGCTGGTGTTGATATGAAAGGAGCTGCTTGAAATTGGCCTAGGGTTGATGGCCCGGGTTGGGAAGCTGCTCAAAGGGGATGCTGGCTGCGATAGATGGTGATGGTGTTGAAAATACCGTCGATGATATTGATAACGACAATAAGGTAGTAATCGAAGTGCTTGACCATGGCGATGGCGATGGCGATCAAGTGCCAGTAACACGAATCGTAGCATCAACCATCCGTCTCCTTTTTGATGTAGACGCTCAAGCGGTTTCCTGCTCCACAATATGCATTTTTATCACCCGCACACAGCATCTTACACTCACTGTCCTCCACAATTTCAGACCCAAGTCCAAGTTTGTCTCCACACCAGCACTCACGTCCATACTCTGTGCCGAAGTAGGTGTATGCAGAACATGACTTTGCGCACATGGTGATGGTGTTATTGTCAGAAGGATAGAAGGCAGATGAAAGCGCGCGGGTGTTGGTCGCTTCTGTATAGCATCCAAGGTAGCTATAAGAATCCGCGGATGGAACAATGGTGGGGCCAGTTGGCGTTGCAGAACTGGTCGAGGAAGAGGTTGAGGTGGAGGTAGTGGAAGGTGTTGTGGTAGGTTTTGAAGAGCTAGAAGATGCAGAACTAGTTGTCGAAGTGGTGGATGAGTTTGAAGGTGCTGTTGTCGAGCTAAGAGGCGCGGATGTACTAGGGTTGTTGCTATCGTCGGGATTAGATGCCCCTGTTGAGGAGGTGCTAGATAATAGCGAAGTAGAAGTGCTCGAGGAGCCTGTATGCGTGGTTGTGGTTGAGCTAGAGGCTGCAGCTAAGCTGTATAGCTCGAGTCGGCTACCAGCTCCGCAATATTCAGTCTTGTCTCCTGGACAGAGGAAGTTACAGTCGGATTGGTCCGCGGACTTGGCACTTCCTGCTCCAAGGGAATTACCACAATAGCCTAAGTTCGTCGTTAATGATTATGAATCATAGGGGAAAGTAATATATTCGACTCACATTCTCGCCCATACTCAACCCCAAACATAGTAAACCCACTGCAGAATGCGGCGCATGATTCCAAGGTCATGGCATCATCCGCATAAGTTTTGCTTGACAAGGCACGGCCAGTAGTAGCTTCAGTCCAACATCCTTTAAATTGCCAGTTGCCAATCACCTCTTTGATCTGTGGCCCACCAGTTGGTGTGGGTGTTACAGTAGCACCAGCTGTCGTTGTACCTGGAACAGAAGCATCCGATGTAGTGACTGGTGGGGTAACCGTGCCGTTGCCACGCTGGTATACGTTGAGTCTTTGCCCGGCACCGCAGTATTCAGTTGCATTATCTAATATGTTAGTCTGGGCGTACAGATTCGGAAAGAGATAGCTTACCTTTGCAAGTCATGCTACAATCGGTAGAAGGAGCGGAGGCCGCGGCAGGATTTAAAGCATCACCACACCAGCACTATATCAAAATTAGGCACGCCATATAAGCAGATGGTCCGGTAGGGACTTACCTCTCCACCGTATTCTAATCCAGCATACTTGTAGCTTTTAGCAGAACACTGAGAAACACAGCTTGCGACTGTGGCCGAACTTGGAGTGAACTGGTGTGCCAAAGCCCGACCAGTCGTAGGCTCCTTATAGCAGCCCAGACTTGTGTAGCCACCAACGCCAGGGTTAACAGAGGGGGCGCCTGGAGGTCCGGTGCTTGAATTGCCATCAAACCCCCTCACATCAGAAAATAAGGAGATATAACTTCCACCAGCTCCATCTCCCACGCCATTGCCGCCACATATCTGGTTGATATCGCCAGAACAAGGGTAGCTACATTGTTCCTCGCCGACCTTCTGGACAGGAATCGTTGGTCCTCCCCAGCACTCGCGGTTGTACTGGGTGCCACAGAAAATATAACCTGCTTTAGCGCATGCCGCAATACACATAGCGCCGGTGTTATTGGGGCTGCTGTACAATTGAGACTTCAATTGCCGCCCAGGGTTGTTCTCCTTGAAACAGCCAGTGTACTGGTAATAACCCAGTCCGTTTGGTTGCAAAGGCGGGGCTTGTTCTGAAATTCCAGTGCAGTCGAATTGGATATATTGTTTTCCAAAGTTGGGGTCATTCAAGTTCATAGTCCATTGAGCGGTTCCTGAGTAGGGTTCGATATTCCACTGCTGCTTGGGTACTGAGCAATAGAGAGTTGCAGTCGCATTTTCTCCGGGTGCGAGAGTAGTGCCTTCCGCAAGATCGACTTGATTGTTGGCCCCAATAATACCAGGGACGCCAAATGGTGGTTTCGATACCGTAAGGGAAAGCCTAGCGCTATCAGTTGTCGCATTGTTGGTCAAGCGGATCTTCAAAGAGCGCGTAGTGTTTTCTGTCACGTTGCCAAATGTAAAGTTTCTGCCCTCCTTGTATTGGACCCAGTCTGCACCGTCTGGAGTTTGGAATTCGACAAGAGCGGTTGGGGCTGAGCCAGATGTACCAACGACGTCGAAGACCTTAGTACCGCCATCCGAGGTGACTTTGAGGTAGGCTGCGAAGTTGCCGCTGACAGGAGTATCAAAATTTACCGTGATGGTGGCCTCAGAGTTTCCGAGTATGGTTGAAGGAAGCCCAATGAAAGTGAAGGCGCCTGCTTTGGGCCCCGAAGCAGTGGTGTTGGCAGGGACAAAAGGCCCAGTCTCGCTTTGAAGGGAGTACTGAATGTCGGAAATCGTCAGATCGGAGTTGCCCTTGTTGATGAAAATCACAGATTGGTTGACACCACCGAGTTGGGCTCCGGTGATCACCCCCTGGAAGGCCAAAGTAACAGGACTTATCGCAAGCAAAGGACTAACACTCTGACCATTGCCACGCAAGCTAATAGGGGTAACTGTGCTATAATCATCGACAGAGTTCTCAGTAGTAACAACGATATCGGATGACAACGGCCCAACTGCTTTCGGAACAAAAACAGCTTCAAAACTGAGGGCTTGGCCGGCGGGTACAGTGACAGGAATTGCAGGCAAATCCGTAATATGGAAATTCTTGTCTCCGGTTAAGGTAATATTGGAAATCTTCACAGCAACATTTGCCACACACGTAACTGCCTTTGGTTCCGTCGCAACTGTGAGGTCTGAAACTCCAAAGTCGTGTGGAGAAGAGCAATTAAGCGGAAGGTTGACAGGAGACCCGAATCCATAGATGTATCCTTGAGTTGTGCCCATGTACACGCGTCCATCGCCGAAAACTGGACGTGTGAATTTAGTTGTTCCAGGGACGTTGAACGCTTTGATCATAGTCATCAATCCATTCTCGGGAATAGCGTTGTAAATTCGGAGGTTGTATCCATTGACATCGCTCGTCCAAACAAGACCAGTCCCAGGCTGACCATTGAGGGACGTAACAGTTCCATGGCCCACTCCGAGAACGTAGGCGTTGCTGGTCGGGCTGTCGGCAACCTTGGTAAATGAAGGAACTCCAGCATTACAGGAAAACTTGAAGACGTGTGAGGGATATTGGATGACTGTTGCCAAAGTTAGCTAAGCCGCAACCTGATTTATTGGCCCATCTTGCAAGCTCAGGGCAATCTAGCCCATTCGTCCACATACCATTGATGTAAATGTATCCACCCTCCAATGGATACACACCAGCTCCCGCGTAAACAGAATTCTCGTTTTGGTAAACCTGAATCACATCGTCAAGCTTATTTGGTCCATTCTGGTACCCTCCCAGATCGTCCAGATTCAGCCAATAAGTCTTGCCGCTCTTCCCCGTAACAACGCCGATGCGCTTGATGTCGCCGCAAGAAAATTCGTTTGGCAGTAGTTGAAGCGGGCTGGTACCAAGATCCCTATCCGCACCATCCAATTGGGTTTTCTCCCACGGCATGAAGAAATCAACAACGGTTAGGCTACCATCACCATTAATCGTCATATGTACAGCTGCCTCCTCCAAAGATGTAGGTGGGTTGCGACCATTTACTGGGATACCATCGAGCTGGGAAGCGTATCCATTTCCGGATGCAAAGAACAGGGAACCAGCATCATCTGAAGCCAAACCTCCACCAGACATCCAAACCCCGGCTCCAGGAGTGGTATTTGGAACACCTGCACCTTCTGTTGCGTATCTCTCTACAACGGCTCCTGTCGTTTTGTCCCAGCCCATAATCCATCCAGTAAAGTTGTATTGGACACAGTGAGAGGCGAAGCCTGCGTAGATATATTGCCCGGTATGAAGTAGACCTGGGCGTTGGTGATGTATACCGCCATTAAAGCTACGAATTGGATTATTTCTGGCCACAGTGCCTTCGAGGTCGACCGGAAAGTTTGGTCGTTCACTGAGATCGTTGACATCGATGGCGTGGAAGTAGTAGCGTCCATTTGGCCTTCCTTGGGGCCCATTTCCACCTGCTTGATCCACATAAGTTTTTGCCGTGAGATATAGCGTTTCGGTCTCTGGATCAATGAGACCAGTTGCGGTGACTCCAATTAGAGGGTTGATGTCAACACAGCCATCCAGATCGGCGGTCAAGAATGGGATATGCAGGCTTCTATGAGCAACGATATCGCCCGTCTTTGCATCCAACTTGTAAAGATTATTCTGGGTAGTCGCCACATAGACATACTGTATACCATCAGAAGGAGTGTAAACTAAGGGCTGAGAAAATATCTGTTCAGCCGCGCCGTTGTACAAGCCGGGGAGATGCGTTTTAAAAAGTTGGCCAAATTGAGAGCCTCCCACGATCGATGGATCCATATTATGATTACTTGCTCGAACCGTTAGCACGCTGACTCAGAGGGGCAGCAAGATTGGTGCTTACGTTTGATATCCAGTTCTAGAGTTGTCCCCTCCCCAGGTAATAGTATCAGTGGAAGCGAGCGCATGAACATGGTGGAACAACGAGAGAATAAAAACCAGAAGGACAGCAGGTGATAGGATGCGAGGCGCCATGGTAATGGCAGCTGATGAGGCCATCTTCACCAAAGTGCTTAACGAGTGTAAGGCCAGGAATTATAAATTCGACCAGAACAGATGATGACAACAGGCGGGGAAAATGATCCAAACAATCTAAACACCACTACTTTGTACAACCCCATATCACTTCCATGCCACGCGAGAGAGGGGACTAGGCAGGAGTATATATACAATTATATAGGACTAGTAGGAGATCATGGGGAGCTGATTGGGCAAGTCAAGTGTAATTGCATTTATTAATATCTGGGGAGCCACAGCGCACATGGGCATTCATTCCCAAAGAGATAAGAATTCAACACCTGCTCCATATAGAAAAACCAACGGGACGCGACAGCCCAAGCACGGGGTTAACGAACAATCGGGACGAACTAAAGAATTCAAACATGGGGGGGAGCTCGAGAAAAATCTTGGAAGCCCCTGCTTCGGGCTGGTCGGAAAGCTTTTAGCCTTGGCCGCGGTGCAATCTACGGGCATAATTTCCATTTCGATAACGTCAAGAACCAGACTGCGATTGGTAACACCAGCACTGGAATATTACCAGGGACTGACTTAAGCCCTTAAAAGGCCAAGTCCTTTGGGTACGAGGTGAATTCAATGACCATTAAAAAGATTTCTCATGCAACTTGACGCTCAATTTGACTTGCAGTGAAAAAGTTAGGCCATCGGGACTTACTCCATAGGAGCCAGGAGAGTGACGGCGAGATAACGTCCGCAAAGCAAGCAGCGACCAAACAATAATTCGACTGTTTCTCTTGGCTGTGGGGACTCACGATACGAGGACCCTGTACCTTCGTATCTCCCCTGAGAACGACATATCAAGGCCCAGGGAGCCCATGTAGGAACCTTCAACGGCTTAACTGTTCGCAGCGCCAGGAGGCAAAGCCGCCGAGAGCCCGGAAGCCCGGCCACGCCCATAAAAGCAGCCACAGCCTGGCGTAAAAGCCGTTGTGGCGCCACGTCGACTTTAGAGAACTTCACCTTATTCCTATCGATTCCTATGGCCACCACCTGGCCAGCGGTAGCTAATGGCAGGGGCATTGTTCTGCCCACCAGTTGAACGGACGCTTGCGACAATCCCGGGTCCTAAATGCAGCATCCAGAGTTATACGAAGTGTTGACGAATAGTGGGCCTCGGATGACTTCATCGATGTGAGAAGTATATATTCTGTTGGTTCATATTTTGTAGACCATACCCCGCAAGGAGTAGGAGATTGACCTTCTGTGTTGGGAACCTTGGGAAGGTCGGGATATACTTCGTACGGCACAGTAGCACAAGGCAGAATAGGAAATTGATTGGCGTGGTCTATCGAGGCTGGAATCCGCTGGATGCCCAGGCGCTCATGGGCGTCAACTTCACCAGCGCAAGGAAGAAGTATTTAATAACTAGAGCTCGAAAGTCGGCATTCCAATGCCCACCGTCGATGGGGTGTAGCGGAATATGCGTGTAATGGTGACACGGAGGGTTTAATAAGCTGTCTGCTTCTAGGCCAGGGCGCCAGCAACTGGCGGTAGTGGACATACCAAATCGCAATTGCGAGCCATTGATATCGGGATCTTGGACCGTTCGAGTTCTATTCAGAGAGCTTCATTTTGTTCGTGATTCATCCGTCTACCTCCCAGCTGTTTGGCGGCTGTGCGATTCCTGGAGGGAGCGTTAACCCTCTGGTTTCCAATCGGATTTCCATTGCGCACTTCTGATCCAGTATTGCTACTACTGGGAGAATGAAGAGGATCATATCGATAATGAGGACGATTGTGCAATGAGGGAGATAGAGATGAAAATGAAGGATCACCACGCGTGCTACTCGCTTCCTCCTCTTATCGGTATCGTTATCAGTGCTAAGTCAGCCAAGCGCTGTAGAAAGTTTTTCCGATTAAAATAAGCATCGTCAACCGTCAGCCCTTTGTCGCCCCCTACAAACAAAAACTCAGTCGCGCTATATGTTCGCCATCCCCACATTGCGACGCAGCCAAATCCTGCGGAGCTTCATAAACATCGCCATGCAAGACGCAAAGAAATCATCTGCCAGAAGGCACCCTTACAAAGGTAAGAAGGCCTTCTCATCGACGGCTGCTCCTCGCCATGTCGCGACTCCTGCGACCACGATTTCACGGGTATCAACGCCGCCTCTCATGGCGCCGATCCCGTTGGATACACCGCGCTTTTCAGATCTCGCAAAGGAGAATTTAATCCATCCGGTTGTATTGAAGACCATCACTGAGGATCTCAAGTTCGACCATATGATGCCGGTGCAGGCTGCGACTCTTCACGAGCTCCTGGCAAACCGGATTGATGTTTTGGCACAAGCAAAGACCGGCACGGGCAAGACGATAGCCTTCCTTCTACCAGCTATCCAGACCCTCATCAACAGGAATAGACGACCGGGCTCAGGAACCTCGCTCCTCGTCATTTCGCCAACTCGCGAACTGGCTATGCAAATTGCGAAGGAGGCTACTGCCCTGCTGAAACGGCTCCCACAGTACAAGGTGGGCATTGCTATCGGCGGCACAAACAAAAATTCAGAGGAGAAGATACTCCTGCAAGGTTGCGATATTGTTATTGGTACACCAGGACGGCTTTACGACCACTTGGGCGATGAGCGGATCAGGGATCGTTTCAGGATTCTCGATACTCTTGTCCTCGACGAGGCCGACCGACTTCTCGACATGGGATTCATGAATGCGCTCAAGGATATTGTCAAGTGTCTGCCAGACAAGGTGGCCACCAATAGACAGGGCATGCTTTTCTCTGCAACGATCGCGCCGCACGTCGAAAAGGTGGCACATCTAGTACTGGCCAAGAATTACAAGTTCATCTCTACAATTCCAGAAGGCGAGAAGAATACGCATGACCGTGTTCCACAGCATCTCATCGTCGTTCCCAACTTCGCCGATGTTGCCGCGGCGCTGGTAGGTTCGTTACGAGCGGAAATTGCTCTTGAGGGTGCCAGCACATTCAAAACTATCATCTTTGCACCTACCGCAGCGCTGGTAGATTTCTATGGTGCCATCCTCGAGGCCATGCCCAACATACCCAAGGTTAGCATGCTGCACTCTCGATTAAGTCAAGGCAAGAGGACAAGTGCGACAAACGCCTTCCGTGAAGCAAAGAGCGGGATCCTGGTTGCTACTGATGTGGTTGCGCGGGGAATGGATTTCCCACTTGTTACCAACGTCTTCCAGGTGGGCATACCTGCGGATAAGGAATCATATGTCCATCGGTTAGGACGAACTGCTCGAGCTGGCAAGGAAGGTAGAGGTACCTTCATCGTCACCAGCCATGAAACCTTCTTCCCCCAGTGGACGCTGAAGGAAATCACGTTTGAGAAGACCGAAGCGGACCTCAGCGCTAAGGATGCTGTGAGAGATGCAGCGGAGAGAATGGATAACCAGGCAAGGACCTATCAAGGCTGTAAGTTGAAAATGCTCCTTTTCTGTTTGTCATGTCCATGAGTCCTGAGACCGGGCCTCGGGGTATCACTTCGTCAGTTACTAATCTGTCCACCTTCTAGGGCTCGGATATTACAAAGCCCACACCAAGCCCTTGAACTGGGACACTGCCAGACTCGTTGAGGAGGCCAACAAATTCGCGCTTGAGGGACTGGGTGCTCCGGAAGTGCCCACGATCAGCAAGAGCACTGTTGGCAAGATGGGATTGAAGGGCGTGAGGGGTCTAAATATTGTGGCCGATCCGCCGAAAGTAGGTAGGCCAAAGGGCGGCGCAGGTGGTGGAAGGGGCGGCTCAGGCGGTGGTGGAGAGGGCCGGTCGGTCGGGAACGGCGGGCGAGGCCAACAGTCATGGGGTAGGTAGAGCATTCCGAGGGGAGACCGTCTCCGGGGCGCAGAGGATGATCCCGCGTTGGTTCCCGAAGTGTTTTTCTTTTTTTGAGGTTCTGAAGTTTCGAGGTTCGAGGTTGTATAAAAAATGGCCTTTGTACGATAAAACGAGATACCACAGCGTCGGCGTCTATAGAGGTTGGGTCTAAGTCTAAACAAATGGATTCTTTCACTCGATGATCCACACTCTCTCTTGAGTAATAATGAAGCCGTGTTGGTGAAGTTGCATAATTTTATAAAGAGGAGAACAATGACATACTTGCCAAGCTTTTAAAACGGGTTACTATGTATGACCTCTCTAGCCATCCGGGTTGGACTTACACAGGAGAAATCATGAAGGGTTCTCTTAGTACTTCCCCATCAACAAACAACCATCCATCCTGGTCTGCGCGAGAAATTACGCAACAGCAACAGAATGAATCTCTCTCGATTCCACTCTCTTGCCGGTTGCTCTGCTCTCGTGCAGACACGTCGACATATTACGTTTTCAATTCAACATCCCCCATCCATCCAGGTATAGTACCGGAAGCGGGAAGCTCCTATTCCCCTGTAACCAGGCACATTGGGCAGGGCGTGAGGGAGTTCTGCTCTTGAGCAAATGAGCATTCGCATGAGCCCTGTTAATTCCTTGACGCTTCTGTACCTAGGTACTCGTATGTACCGCGGCATTCCCATCGACGGCCATCCAGGTCCCGACGACCGATCCAACGGGGATTATTCCACGGGAAAAAGGAATGGGTGAGGGAGATCTTGCTTGGTAAGTATGCATCCACTTTGTTATATGTATATGCACGCCGCACGGGAATAGGAGAGGGGGGCGAATTGATTGTTGACTGTCGTTGGCTGGACTTGTGCTCCAATGAATGGGTCGAATGGTAGGTGGTGAGACCACCAACCTTGATGAGCAGATGCTCTCGACTGTCCGCTTCCTACTGCACATCGGGCGAGTTCTTCCTCGTAAGGGCGGTGCAGCAGCGGGACAACCGGCATTGAATTTGTCGGGACTCCTCCTCGGTGGTGTTCATGGGAGTCAGTTCAGTAATACTCACTTACGTAGGCATCGTCCAGCAGCCAATATATTCCGAGAAGTCGTCGGTACGTCGATGACTCGATAACCGTGACATCCATCCGACTTTGGTGCTACGCGCGGAAATATGAGAGGCATATAGGATCCTCCCAGCCGCAGCCAGGCACGAGTACAAGCAGCGGTACTGCGTAACGCTGCTTTGGCTGCTTGCCCGGCGTGAAGCGTGTGAACCGTATGATAGGCCCTGTGGGCGAACTCCATGCTTGCTCCAAAGTTTCATCCGCGTCGTACTCGAGTATGCGGCAGAAATAGAAAGAGCGGGGAGTGGGTCACCTTGTGGTCGAGCTCGTCGTCGCCACTGGGCAGATACGGCAAACTCCACTCGTCTGGTGAGAATATAGATGCATTTTTTTGCTAACGGTTTTCCCTTGCTACTTTCTTACCTACTACTGTACTGTGAAAAATTCTACCGCTCGGTGTAACATCCGCGCCGCTGCTCCGAGTCGTGGGAATGAATGGTGGAAGGTTGAAGCAGCGCGGATTTCTGTACCTGTGTACCTCGTACAAATGAATTTGTTTTTCTCCCCTCTTCATTCATCCGATCTGACCCCGACGCGGATGACGATGGTGGCGCTGTCCGGAATACCCGTAGGCACCTATCTTATCTGATTGCAGGATGTACAGTACTGTATGTACCGTATGTACTATATGTACTGTATGTACCGTATGTACCGTATGTACCGTATGTACCGTATGTACTGTATGTACTGTATGTACTGTATGTACTGTATGTACTGTATGTACTGTATGTACTGTATTGTGCAAAGTACTATAGCAATACTTCTTCGTACCTCGGACGTAGAGTCGTAAGACGGGGGCAGTAGCCGTCCAGGCTGCGAGAGAGCGAGCGCAAGAGACAGAGACACTTTGTTCCACGAGGTCCAGCCCACAGGCTCACAGCTCATGGGAAGGTTTCATTTCCGGGGGTGGCTTCCGTCACCAGGTTCACGCAGGCACACAGGCACGCCGCCACGGGACTCCCAGCGATTCGCTGTCCGCGGTGCTTCGCGAATCGAGCCCGCTGCCTGAAGGTCCTGAAGATGCGACTGTGGTTACCACGCCGTGATGGGCAGGGCGCGATGTGGGGTGGTGGTAGTGCTGGTGGTGGTGGAAGGGGGGCCCTTTCTTCGATTGATGATTGCTGATTGATGCTGGCGGAGCGGAGGACGAGGACGAGCGATGATGCGTACTGTACTCGTACGAAGTCCAGCGTGTGGGCCTGAACCTGAACCTGAACCTAAACCTGAACCCGTACGTGGAACCTGGATCTGGTTCTGGATCTCGGGCCCTCGCGTCCGTTCTGGGAGTCTCCTTGGCTGCTAGGGAAGCTCTAGGAGGCTTAGGGAGCACTTAGGAAGCCTTTAGGGGGCATCGGGGGAGCTTCGAGGTTGCATTATTGAGTGGGTGCAGCGAAAAACGTGCCAGTCAGCCAGTTGCAGTTGGCCGTGGGAGTCGATTGCGGCATGACGAGTTGTGCAAAATCAATATCAAGTGCCCAATAATATCCAGCATCAATACCGAGTACCAGTACCAATACCAATACCAATACCACTAATAATGTCAAGAGTCAAGACCAAGACTCCAAGATCCCAATAATAATACCTTTATGGGTCCCTGTTTCAGCACGTCCTGCAGCCAGCGGCTGCACACACGCAATGGATGACTGGCTGGAATGATGCAATGTCTACGAGTATCTATCGCCCTCGTCCCAAGCGAACTTGATGCTTTGGTAAACATCGTTTCCTACATTACATGACCTACATAGCTTGTACATGTCCCTGTACCTGTACCTGTTCCTGTACCTGTACCTCAAGTCCTTATGAATTAACTTTCCTCTGCCTCTGCCTCTGCCATTGCCTCTCCCTCAACCCCTCATACCCCTCTTCTGCGGTGCAACGTCGAGGACTCTTCAATCGTCGAATCCCTATCCTTCTTCCCCCTCGAGTCCCCCCGCTCAAGTCGTGCTCTGCGGCGAATATAAACCACCACCAGCACCAGCACCACATCGCACGGAAAGCATCAGAAATCACGACTTCACCACCAGCACGCCATCTGTGCCATCGAACTCCGAATTCCCACTCCCTAGGTGGATAACGCCATCGCATAGCACTTTCGGATAAGTCATAAATCGCAACAATCACGAATTCGAAGATCCCTCGAGTACTGCAAAAGTACATAGCACCAAGACCCCGCTCGTTGCAACTCCTCCAGCTGTCGCTTCAATCCATCAAATCCATCAATCCCTCGAGTCAATTCCCCCCAAATCCCCCAAACCCCCAACTCCCCGCCTACTTATCGTCCTACTATTCCGATTATTATCTATCTACCGTTATCTCTCTCTCGATCGCCTCCATCGTCTCCACTGATAAGCTTCACGATTTCTGCTCTAATCGTCTCGCCTGTTCCTCGTCCAACCAAAACCGTCCCTGGCCCACTGCACTGGTCTGCCCTCCGTTCTCGGACTCGCATTCCTTGCGCATCACGCAACGCTCACCCTTCATTTTGATATTACTCACACGTATATATCCCGTGGAAGACCGCCGTGGTTTGATTCTACGTCTATTCTACGTCGATTCGATTCTATTTTATCTGATTTTGATTCGATTTCCTGCTGCGTCGCATCCATCCCCCCTTCCCCCCGCAGCAACTCCGTCGAAGCCGAACGCCAAGGACAGGAACCAGATCCAGAGTTACAGAGAGTCATTCGTCCCTTATCAATCCATCGATATATCAGTCATCCCCCAACTTCACCCACGCCTGACTTGACGATTACTTATTGATTCCACCCCGCCATCGTCGTATCACCTCAGCTCCGGCGATCACGAGCCCGTCCAGAACCATCAGCCACAGCCACAGACCGGACCCCACTTATTTCCCGACTGAGCGCTGAGTATATATCAATCGCTCCCAGCGCGCTGTTGCTCCAGCTCCTCCGTTGCATTCCTCCTGAACACAGGAGACTCACCCTGAACCCATCCATACGTGGGCTTGGTCTGGAGAGATCGCTATTCAGCGGCAAATCCGGCAAGCTGGCGCAGTCACGCCCCCCTCACGCTCACGGCCACTCCCACTCCGGCGCGGGATCCCCTCCCCCCGCCGATAAGAGACACCACTCGCGGCGGAAATCCGGGAGGGACTCGGTCGTGACCGAGAAGAAGTCGTCGCGGCCCTCGCTGTCGACGTCGACGAGGAGGTCCGTCCCGCAATCCACCCATCGAGGCCACCGCTCGCGAGAAGACGACGGCGTTCGTGAAAATGGAGAATCATTCCCACAGTTCTGGTAAGTTTATGCTCTTCTTTACTATTCACTCTCCTGTCCTAGTTCCCTATTCCCTCCAGATAAGACCCCAAGGAGGGGAAGGGGGGAGGGGGCGCGGGCCGGGAAAGTGTGGGGTGCATATTGGGAAGTATGTATGATCCAGAGCTGACGAATGGAACAGCATGACGTGCGAGAAGGAATTCCAACCGGCGCACACCACTTTTCTTTATTGCTCCGAGGCGTAAGTCTTTCCCCCTTTCCCCCTTTTCCCCTGTATTTGTTTTGCCGCATCCAAACAGCAGTTGCAGCACATACAGCAACTATTATTTCCCAGAGCTATCATACTAACTCGATTTCCCGATGCTAGTTGCCGCATCCACGATCAGAACCCCACACCCTTCCCCACGTCCACCTACTCAACATACCGCACTCCAACCTCCCCACCGCTCTCGCCGTACTCGCGGCGTTTCTCCAACCTGCCGTCGCCGGATGAAGGCCCAGATATCATCCCTCGCGCCTCCCCCACGCAATCGCACTCGCGTTCGTACTTCAATTCCGAGCCGTACCCCGCCTCCTATCACTCCCCGCCAAAATACACCTCCTCGCCGCCGTCGGCCAATGCGTACACGAGCGCTCACTCGAGCACCGCGATGGCCAGTCTGCGGGAGCTAGCCACCGCACTACCCAAGACATCCTCCAGGCACGGCGCGCCCGATTCCCCACCCAGGAGTAGTCGCGGGAGCAGCAGTATGAGTCGTACCGGATCCGGCGTCTGGAATTATATCCCCTTTGCGTCGAGTAGTAAGCCTACATCGCCGAGTGCGACGCCGGGCAACTCGTACACGAGTGGATATATCGTGAGCTCGGCGTACGCGGCCCCCCAAGGCACCTACGGCTCAGGGAGCGGGAAATACCGAGAAGATGCGTACAGCTATGGCAAGAGCCACGGCGCCGCATACGGGAATACCGGTGGTATGGGCATGGACCGTCCGTTACCTCCGCGTGGTGGACCAGGTGGATATGGGCATCGACCTCGAAGTATCGATCTGGTGACGCCTGTTTCGGCGGGTTCGCATTAAGCTCCCGATGAATTGGCACTGCCCCCCATTACGATGCCCCATCAACTACTTTCCGACATATATTTTCCGTCCTTATTGTTTTTGCATATTCCGCATCAGACATACGAAGGATTCCGCATCCCCCCACCCACGAAACCCCAATGAACCCAACACACAGGATAACGAAGCACATCCAAACGGCGTTTTGAAAGGGACAGGCATACTAAAAGTTTTTCAGCGATTGTTTTATTTTATTTATTTTATTTTTTACCTCCCATCTCATTGATGAGGAAGATAGGATTTAGGCATTGAGCATCGGGGCATCGGGCATTTTGGGGGTTGTGGGTCATAGAATATATCCATCCCACTTCGAGAGGGGATCTGTTTTCATTGCATACATATTTATATCCACGACAGAGAAATATAATTTAATATGAAACTGATTATAAAGCTTACTCTATATATTTTCTATCCTTTTTACTTTACAGTGTTTACGTGGTATTTTGCGTAGTAGGGTTTATTCCACATGCTCTGTCATATTTCTCTGAAATATTCAATTCCTAAACCTCAGATGTCCGACACTATGGTCAAAGACGTGGTCCGCTCCGAAAGACTTTACTAATAAGTCGAACTTGGCAGCGGAGCAGGAGTCGTGATAAGTTTTGAGGTTAGCACTGCACGCGAGTTAAGTAGCTTAAAGACTGTCTTGCACGTGGAGGGCACTGGAGGCGCTGGTGCTCTTTATAGCTTGGCGAATTTGTAGTATCATCCGGCCCATTGATATGCCACTGAGAATCCCATATACAAAGTCATCTAAAACAAACTCCAAGTGGAGTGGCTAGTATTATGGTACACCTCCTAGAGTTTCTTTTCTCTCGATAGCCAACACCACTCCTCTAATGTAATAGAACTCCCGCTAGAAGTTCCACGTTAATTATAAATAACTCCTTTAAAACCCCCCAAGTCTATATCTCCATCCTTGTGCATTTCCCTCACCCTTATCTTATCTTATTTTTTTAAAACCCCCAAGTCTATCTATCCCTCCTTATGCATTTCCCTCGCTCTTATCTTATCTGATTTTTTTCAAAATCACATGTGTTTGTGCCTACCTAGGAATAGATATCGCCGCATATGCCCTCGGGCTCACCGATGATATCGCACCCATCGTACTACACCGGACGGTTCCCGAATCGGATCATCCCGCATATGCCCATCATGTTCGCCAATCAGGAGATGCATTGAGGGCCTTTCCAATTACTAGGATCTTTTCCTCTTCGGCTTCTTTTATATCCTCAACCTTCAACTCTGGTTGTCTCGACAGAGCGAGGAAGAGATGCCATAAAGTTACGGTGAGGAATTCCACGTCGCATTTTCCAATACCTCCTACAAAACGTCTGTGTAATATATATTCCCGCCCTAGACTATAAGCTTCACCCTTTTTTAATAAATGGACAGGGTGCACGATCCTTTGCAGGGAACCCGAGCCTCGTAACGAGTTTACAATGACGTCCGTTGGTCGACGGGTTTAAACCATGCCTCCGTAGGGCAATTCTCTGATGAGGATCAATTAGGTTTATTACCATCGTCAAAAACACAGCATCACAATATCAGCGGCCCTAATTAATCTCAAAGGCCTTTAAATAAGTTGACTTGGTTAAGTTGTATCAGGTTGAAGTAGGTCCCAAGAAGATGCATGTCACCTAATTTCCTAAGAACACACAGTGCGACCAAGCTGCAGGGTTGCTGACTAGTTCCAAGAGTCCAAGACAACGGTTTTCACGTTTTTAATGTGAGCGCATACCTCGTATGTGCTTACAAGAATGTTTCCCGTATTTTGTAAAGTAATGTTGGGAAAGTGCTGTGCCTTTATTGTACTTTGTACGTTGTGCATTCATCAAAGTTTTGCCGGCGCTGACGGACTGTTTGAAAGGGTATTGAGAGCGGCCGTTTCAGGGACTTAAGCTGTAGTAGGCAGGCGACGACGCCAGGACATCCGTAGAGGACCCCTCTTTTTGTGCTACTACTTGGGTAATAGGTTTGCCTAGAAGTTAATCCACTTCTCTACGAAACACATACGCTTTGTAGGTTGTTCTTTATAGTATACCTACCGCATTTCGTGCATGTCAGAACGTTCTCAGCTTTTAACAACTCTGCTCCGAACGCGCATTAAGGAAGGTGGCCGTCTTGGCATCCGCGGCATCGAATGAAAGTGCCGGATCGATATGAAATGAACAAGGGGTCAGCTGCCAATAAATGCGGGCAACTTCTTATTTCTCACCTTAATATCACTTAGCACGGCCGTTTGCGGCGTTTGGCTTGTATGTATGTCATTTAACCTATAAGCACTACGCCGTTCTGCTATAGCTGAATTTTGCACTATAGCATAGAGAAACAAGTCAAGCTTATTATTGCCAACGAGGGAAAGCCGCACTGTCTCATTAAACTTCATCCCCATGTCTGGCTTAGTGAGCGCGCATCACTTAGTACTGGTAGTTCTGTATTCAAGTACCGGGTGGGCTTGCGGAGTACAAGTCGCTGTGCCTCAACAAAGCATATTTGAACAATGCGATCCCGTCCGACACCAGCAAAAAATGCCCCGTTTTTACTGCGATTGTCATAAACAAATCTCTCGCAACGTGTTGCGATAGGTTGGCTGTCGCCCGTTGCCATCCCGATGGGGGCACGATCGGTGGCGCCTCGATCGTGAGAGATGGTCTCCGCGGCGGCACAGTCGGACGTCCTCCTGCAGATCGAAGGAAAAAGTGTATTACTCCGTGCCCCTTACGAGTAATGAGAAGAATACTCTGACATACAGTATCTCTTTAGCCTACATGTGCAATGGCTCTCAACAAAATATCACGAGTACGAAAGGACTTGGGAAAAAAGTATAAGTAGGCCTTTCATTTCCCTCTCTGAACTGATATTGCTCCAACATCATCAACTCACTCTACTACACTCTTCATCAACCATCAATTCCCACTCTCACTCAAGTTTATTCCCATAAACCACCAACATCCTTCAAAATGCAATTCTTCAAGATCTCCGCCCTTTCCGCACTTTTCGTGCTCGCTGCCGCGAACCCCATTGCCAACCCCGTGGCAATTGCTGAGCCAAACCCAGTTGCCGCCGCTCAGTCACCTGCACAAACCACCGTCGCGCCATGCAGCTTTGGAGCCTGGAGATGTAATGGCAAGCGTATCGTAAGTCCTCTTGTTCAGCTGCGAATTTAAATCATTGGAACAAATGCTGATTGGATTTTCTAATAGGAGCAATGCAACAACGGATGGAAGTTATCCGCCATTTGCGGAGGAAACTGCTACTTTACCAACGGATCCCCTCACTGCTAAATCAAAGGTCAGTTGGTTATATACCTACAGGAGAAAGCTTCGGAACTTGTGCTGACTTTGAGAAACAAAAAGGGCTGAGCCGATATAACCAGCGACGTTTGCAGAGCAACTTGAAGCAGGAAAGCTTCCCGTCGGGTTATGGTTTGGGTGGGGATTGAGAAAAAAAAGAGTTACGAGATTGAAGTCTGGTACTTATGCTACTGGATGGGCTTAGATATTAATTAGACTCACCGTTTGGGAGTTATATAATGGCATAAAGTTTTAATTATTCGCTGGTTCTTCGGATTTGCATTGAGAGAGAGAGACCGTAAGTCCCTTGGCACAACACCCCGCTATTACGGCTATGTCGATAAAAATGTTTTACGAATTGGCAAGGAGTTTCTCAATCGCACATGCATTGAGGTATGCCCTCCGAATAGGTCATTGTCAGGTGCAATTATCCTGTCTTCAAATAATTTGCTTTGAACTCCATACCTAACATGTTCTCGTAGTTTGGTTATGGTGGGCAGCGTCCTTGAAGCCCCTTTTAAAGCAACTAACAGGTTGTACACCACCCAGTAAACCGAAAAGCCCATACTGGTATCTCCTGGCTCCATACTCCGCCAAAGGAAAGACCAACAATGTTCGCATGGCACGTAACTCCTCCGTACGCCACCAACCCAATTCAATTCAATTGAACGCCAACACCTTGTCCTTCCCGCACCCCTTACACTCCATCACAATGGAATAACTATCCTCCGGTCCCCGCGGTCCACATTCATTGCACAACTCCGGCACGATATCCAGTGATCTCGATGGGTGCAGCAAGAGGATCACATAAATATCAGCCTGGAAATCAGGGACCTCATGCGTGATCTGCATAAACCGCGCTCTCATCTTATCGTCCAGCAACATGGATAACTCCGTGACAGCCGCCTCGGCAGCCGCGACACGCAGGCCTGGATGTGTGGGAGTGGTATGCTCATAGATCGTCTTGACGGACCAGAAGTACACCTCCAGGTCGGTGACTTGCTGGTTCAAGTTTTGTCTGTATTTCGACGCGGAGAGGATTTCGAGACCCGGGATCCCGAGACTGATGGCCAGGAGGAAGACTCTGATGTGGAGGGCGAGCGAGAGGCTTGAATCCCCGTCGGTGGTGACATAATTGGCGGTGTAGAGGTATTCTATCGCGTAGCCTACAGCTTGGTGGTCATGGGATGTAAGATCGAGGGTAGGGGGATCCTGAAGGTTGGCTTTCATATTAGAACCTGTTGTTATATGACCAGAGATATACGGGGGATACGCACTTTCAGGGCTTCGATCTCGGCGGCGAGAACATGGGATTGTGAAGACACAATCACTTTATGCGCTTTCCATTGTTGTTCGCCGTGGGTTATCATCAGATCGGAGTATTCCCCTGTTAGGAGAGCTCTGCGCGGTCAAGTCGGCGGGTTAGTCTTTACTCCTCTATAGACCTTTCAGAATAGAGGCAGTACGTACGAATGAAAACCTAGCTTTGAATTGTCGACCGGCATTTTGGGCGGAGAAAGTGGCGGGTTGCTAGGAGGAGTGGAAGACGAGGAACACGGTGGAGAGTCGGTAGTTGCTGAAGCTTCTGCCTTTAGAATCTCTTCGTGCAGTACCCTTGCTCTTGCGTGCTGGTACTCATGGAGGATCTGTTGCTCAGCTTCATCCATATCACGCGCTCTAGAGGAGGCTCGTCGTTTGTTGTGAGAGAAGGAGGATGGTTGGGTGGTGTGCGAGGCGGAAGGGTGAATACGATTCTGCCCGGCTTCAAGACGCGCTCTCTTCATTGAGTCAGTTGAGCGAAGACACAAGTAAAAAGGTAATAGGGCAGCAACAATCTTAGTTGGCTTAATGCTTTGGATTTTCTGCAAAAAGATATATGAATATGGTTTAGAAATTAAGAGGTCTTGCTATCCTTATTAAGAACTTTGTCCTTCCTACTATGATATATACTGGTGGTCGTTCTTGCCTTGCATGAGCCAACACAAAGGACAAACAACGCGAAGCGGGAGAGCTCTGGCAAACATTGCCATCAAACCTAGCTTCACAATCATCCTGTTGGTCATGATAGTGAGCTAATCATATAGCTTTTATATGCTGAAGTATTATACTGACCTGGTTGAATCAGGATGTGTGTTTCCTCTTTCCCCAACTCGATCTTCGTTCTGTCGAGAACAACTACTTATATAGATACCCTGGTGCTATGGCTTAGACACTGTCTTCCGTGTTTAGATTCAAATACCGTCTCCCCAAAAGCAGCAGGTGACGAGTGCCTTGATCTAAAGATTCTGCACTTTCATAATCAAACGCGGCTTCACTAAATCGGTTGCCTTTGCCGCTCTTTGTGGTATTATGTAATTGTTCCCGCCCACTTCAATCGATGTTTGTTTTAGCTTAGTAGCTTGACGGACGGTTGCATGGAATTATGTCCTATCAAATTCAGCATCAGGTAGTATGCGGTGTTATATATTAGAGAGGTAGAGGGCTTGAACTTTTGTTGTGGTATTAAATTTGTTGTGGTATTAATATAAACTCAGGGCTAATGGCAGTGGTCTGGCCCAAGTGGCGAAGAGGGTATAAGTATATGTGGCGTAAATGGCTGAGTCGGAAACCAATTGCCTAGATGGTGGTGACTCTAATTGTATGATCCAAAATCTTTGGGGGGTCTGTCCAGGCGTTTCTACACTTTCGATGCCGGCATCGATGATGACTTCTCGGGATCAGAGGCATCAATCGTCTCAACTCCATAGCTTGGCTTTGGCTCCTCTAAAACAGTGATGGGAGTGGTGCCCTGGCATTGCTTGTCCCCCGAGTCATCAAGCATGACAATATCAAATCGATTTTCGTCATAATGACGATCGAATCTTCGTCGCCATGGTTTATGAAGGACCATAGATAGAGCGCCAAAAAAGACGAACGAGCCGCAAATAGCCCCCCCCACTTCGGGGTAATGGTCGCCGACGGCATCGACACCATCCCAGAACGACCCACTTGAGAAATTCGAAATAAGTGAGAGAAGCTGGATTATACCAATAGCCAGGGCCACCACAACCGTGATGGCCGTCAGGACAATTGAGTAGTATAAGATAGCAATGGTGTCTCGGGCAAGGGAGGTGGAGGTGTAGAGGGTCATCATAAGCGCACCGTCAGTGGTGTCAATCAGGCACATTCCAGCTATAGCATGTCAGTCGGCTAGCCGGGGAAATATAATCTACTAGGGGGTTCATACCTGTAAACAACAGAGGGAAAATAAGAATAAGCCAAATGTCCGTGCCCTTGGCGCCTTGCACCGAGGCAATGCCCAACACGGCGATCTCACTACTAGTATCAAACCCCAATCCAAACAGCACACCAAGAGGATACATTTTCCAGGGGCGGTCAATGAGCCGAAACACCTTTTTGAACAGCCTGACCATGAGGCCCCCACCCTCGAGATTCATCCCAGCGACTACACCTTCGTTTCCTACCACATCCTCCCTATCATCAGCAACCTCCTCCCTCAATATCACCCTCATCCTCTGGATCAACTTGAACAGAATCCAGCCATTGGCCACGGCGAGCAACAGCAAGACTGCAGCGCTCACGCTCGTCCCAATTATTCCACCCACTTTGCTGAAACCCTCGAACCGCTTTTCCAGTGCCCCGCTTGTAGCAGCTACCACTATACATGTTATGACCACGATGGTTGAGTGCCCCAGACTGAACCACATCCCAACGGTGACGGGCTTCGAGCCCGTGGCTACGAGGCGCCGCGTCATAAGGTCAATGGCTGTTATGTGGTCGGCATCAAGGGCATGTCGGAGACCGAGCGTGTATGAAAGGATGGCCGAGGAGGCGAGGGTTGGATGGGAGCGGAGAATTATGGCTACAGCAACCCAGAGAACTGCATTGACTAATACAAGGAGAAATATAACCAGCACAGCGGGGAATGAGAGCAGACGAAGTTGGGGGGGTATGGCGGATGTGAGTCTTTCTCTGAGGCCCCATTGAGGTCGGTGGAGGCAGCGCATGTTCCAGGGTGAAGTCGGGAATAATTGAATTTGAGGGGATTATGGGGGACCGAGGGGAGCTCGAGAAGGCCGGAAGGGTAGAGGAGGTAGAGGAGACTGAGGAAGCTGAGGAGGTTGGGGAGGTTGTAGAATTCATGGAGGTCGCAAAGGTTGCAGAGGTCGCAGAGACGGAGAAGGGTTTAGGCCATTGAGGTCAACCCCGTTATCGTCATAGTGGGGTTGGTGGGGGTTCTGACCGCCGGTTATTGCATTGGCTGGTTTCTGGTTGGCGTATTCGAGTGATGCCCAACGACCACCCTTTCGCTATGTCTTGTTGTGTCCTGCTGTGTTCCTCTTCCCCCATATTCATTCTCCTGCTGCTTTCGTGGCGTTCGTTTTTTCTTTACGGAGTGAAGATGTTTAGATTCGTCGGGAATCTGAAGCTGGCTGGCTATGACACGGTGCGAGGACTTACGAAGTAGATGCACGCAAATAGAGCAAAGCTAGAGCGCTGCAGTGTCAAAAAATAAGAAATATCCCCATGACTCCCTTGGCCCATTTTCATCATTGCAGTGAATTCCTCTTATCCACCAGTGTTTCTCATTTTCGCCCGGAGCTGTCTGCGAGCCAGTCGGCGCGAAGTCTCAACGGTCACTCGGGAAACGAAGCACACCTGGTGTCCACCAGTTCTTGGGAAAAAAGGTAGTAAAAATTTTCTTGGTGGAGGCAAGAAGACGTAAGACGTATCATATCTTCCTTAGGAAGGTCTGATAACATACTAAGTGGTCCCTTCAGAGAGGAGGGGCCGCAACCAAGGAAATGCCAAGTGGTCTTTGGACCCAGAGAATGGGGAGGGCCTGAAATGATGGTGGACCGAGTGGTGCACCACGTCTCCTGGGCATCATTATGAATGAAGCCTTAGCTGAATGTGCAATTGAGAGCGAGTTAGACTGAGTTATTGGCGCTGGACGATCATGAGGGTGAGGATGACGATGAAGCAGCGACTGAGATGAGATTTCGGATAACTTTAAAGGGCCCGGGCCGCGTCGCTCCGTTAAGAATAGCGCGGAAGCACGGGCGCCCTACGCGATATCAACGTCGTTTCTTGCTCGGAGCCGCTAGCTTCCACCTTTGTATGTTGATGATAACCTGATAATCAGCTTAGATTGCCAACGACCCGCTCAATGATGCCCAGCATAGCTTCAGAACTGCATGGTGAACACCTCCAAGCACGCCATGATCCCGAGAAGCCGGTGACCTGATTACGGAGTAAGCGACGTCGACGACATAGGGCGTTTTGTTCATACGTCCACTCCGTATCCTATTCACATCACCCGGGCGGCTATTCGGAATCTACATTGTCTCCAATAAAACGCACCGGGGAACTTCAAGCAGGTACATGTACTGTACTGGAAAGCGAATCATGGCGCTGGTGATATTGGGGGGTTCGACGGGCCGTTTCTAGATGATCGGCATTCACGATTCCCGACATGGCCCTGGGCGCCTTCATTTGGCAAGTTATATCGCTCAATGCCGCTCTCACTTGCTCTCTTTAGGGGGCTCCGCAAGGGCTCTCCCATCTCATCCACGTGTTGTCCGCTCTCAGCTCGAAGGAAGTCCCATCCGTGCCTGCATCTATGGCGGGCAAGACGGTCCTGATTAAAGCCAAGCGCCACTATGCACCCCGCAATTTGAATCGGAAGGTTAAAATCAAGAGATCGATCAGCTCTTCGCATGGCGCTCAAGGCCCCGTCAGTTGATTCGTGGAGTCCCGCAATCAGATAGTATAGTGCCAAGGTGTCTAGTGTGGGCCATTCTACCTTTTTGCCATTCCCTGTTTAAGCATTGGAGTGGGCGGCACTCCCAGTGTGCTGCCGGTCGCTTCTCAAGATAACCATAGGCAGAATCAGCCACTATGGATACTGTGCATTATTCTGACTTTCATATTGGGAGTCTGCACTGGACCTTTGTCGTCCTGGGGTGCTGATTACCAGTGATACTGTCCTTCCAAAGATTCGGATTTTCGTTTTAATGCCCTATCCACAAGCCTCATAGAGGATATATTTCAATATTTCAATTACAATCTCGTCTCGTCGCATTTCCCAGCCCTAAAGGCGTTCTTGGAATCTGCTGTTACTGACTACCTTACTACGGCAGTGGCGTGCTGATCGCGTACCATATGCGTTGTTTCAAGTTATGTGGTCGGGTATTATTTCCCTACCACCCAGGAAACAGCCTGTTCTCCCAGATCATCATTCATCTAGAATCTTATTTGCTGGATCCTTAATTTCATTTGTCGTAATGGGCAGTGCACTCCGGACTTGGGGCTGAAGGGTCAAACGTTCCGCCGGCCGGCTCGATCGTATGCCGTTTTTGATTATTTTACCTCACCCAGTACAAACAATATGTTTGAATGATCACAAGGACCGGATCGCCTATAATTTTCGGCCCTGAATCTCCTGTACCCTTTCAGGCAGAGGAATGTGCCCCGCTCAATGACCGATGTTTGCCCGTTGACATGAGACATATAAGAAAGCATGTCTTGAGTCTTCAGGAGTTTTCTATTTGGCAGCCAACTTTAGATCTCTAGTATTTTCGAGTTTGCCATCAAAATGAGATACTCCATAGGATTTGCAGCCCTCGCGGCTCTGGCCGTCGCAGCCCCAACTGAGACCGAGAAGAATGTTGCAAAGCGCGCCCCAGCTGCAGCATGCTCGACTGCTGTCAAGCTCGCCCCTGGCAGCAACCCCTTCAAAGGTCGCAACTTTTTCGCCAACGATTATTATGCTGGAGAGATCGCTGCCGCTATTGAAACCATGTCCGATGCTTCTCTCAAGGCCAAAGCCGCTCAGGTTGCAAAGGTCGGCAGCTTCCTGTGGATGTAAGTCAAATGATTTGAAGTACAATAGTTTTGTGAAAATTCTGACATTGGTGCCTGTAGCGACACCATCGCTCGTGTCCCATTGGTAGACGAAATCCTTAAGGAGGTTCCTTGCACCGACATTGTTGGTATCGTCATCTATGATCTCCCAGGACGTGATTGTGCTGCCAAGGCCTCCAACGGAGAGCTTAAGTCTGGCGAACTCTCGAGATACAAGTCAGAGTACATTGACCGTGAGTAATGGCATTTTTAGAGAAAGTTACTGCCCGACAGCGTACTAAATTATGCGTAGCAATTGTCAAGGCTATCAAGGCTAACCCAAATGTCGCCATTTCGCTGGTGATCGAGCCCGACTCCCTTCCCAACTTGGTCACCAACTCCAACCTGACCACTTGCATCGCATCTTCCAGTGATTACCAGGATGGAACCGCATACGCATTGAAGCAACTAAACCTTCCCAACGTTGCTATGTACATGGACGCTGGTCACGGTGGATGGCTCGGATGGGACGCTAATCTCCGTTCGTCACAACTTACTCCTCAATATGATGCTAAACTGTACTGATACTTGTGTTAGAGCCCGGTGCCGATATCTTTAACAAGGTCTACAAGGCTGCTGGCTCACCAAAGCAAGTCTTTGGCATTGCCACCAACACCGCAGGCTGGAACGCTTTCTCGGCATCCCCAGGAGAGTTCGCCTCTAGCTCTGATGCCAAGTACAACAAGTGCCAGGATGAGAAGCGTTACGTCGCTGCCATCTCCCCTCTTATCAAGAAGGGAGGCATGCCCGCCCAGGCCATTGTCGATACTGGACGTAACGCCGTGCAAGGGCTTCGCCTGGAATGGGGTGACTGGTGCAACGTTGACGGTGCCGGTTTCGGTGTTCGACCTACCAGCGACACCGGCGACTCGCTCGTCGATGCTTTCGTCTGGATCAAGCCCGGTGGAGAGTCTGATGGAACTAGCGATACCACTGCCAATCGTTATGACTCTTTCTGCGGCCACGCCGATGGTAAGCCCCAGCCCCTTAACTTCCTTACATTATATCACTATATTAACATTATGACTAGCCTTCAAGCCTTCCCCAGAAGCCGGTGCGTGGAGCGAGGCCTACTTCGAGATGCTCATCAATAACGCTAAGCCCGCATTCTCTGGTTAAACAAAATCATATGGAGGAGTTGGTTTGGAAAAGTCGCTTGTTTCCCTCGCGTCTTTTTGGCTTTGGAGAGTGGATGATGTCTCTTCCTCGTATATATTGACAAGATTTGAGTGGTGGACCAACCGAAAAAATTGTATATACATGTTCGATCTATAGTACTTGGAATGCATATAATTGTCGGGTACCTTTGTCGTTCCACTGGTTGAATGTAATACGTATGTATTGTGTTGTCATTTGTGCGCCGAAGCTACTCCCGCTGCTAAAAAATACGCACGCAATTATACTAAACCTACAACGTAAACCCATTATTCGTTCCTAATGTAGCCAACGACTTATAAAGCATGAGCCCTTTTACGAAAACCCGTTCTATGAAACCCTATTCTACGGTCTATTACAAAGCTGGCACTGGGTTTATAAATAGAATACATTTCATACCCTGTTAGAGCTAAACCATGATATATTATACAGTTCTCGGCACCAGATTGGACAGGAAATAAATAATCCTTCCGGCTGTTCATCTTATTGCTACGTTCCTTACTTCCTATTACCTCTCAAGAGTCAACACGCCGGAAATTAGTTATTTGAACACCCACCACCTGTCATGGGAAAATTTTCTTTGTTGCCTCTTTTACATTGTGGCTTTAAGGAGGATCAAAACTGGTCGTGGAATAAATCCCGAGATAGTAATGGCGGTAGGGATAATACGAATAGTGGTCGTTTGAATAAGGCGTTGGCTAGATCTACTGGGTTCTGATAGGGAGATGTCGTATAAGCGCAGTTCAGCCCCTGGCCAGTAAATCTCGTCTGGCATGGAGGATTTAACTTTAACTAGCATACGCTGAGTGCACGGCGTGCTACTCCTCCTCCTTTACAAAATAAGATCGCGCTTGTGGATCGCTCACTTGGAAGGATGCTTTACCTTCTTCCTGGATACTACTCGAACACTTCCATACACACCCCATGTCTCGTGTATTAGCGCCCTTCGCGCCAATGTGCCTACTACTTCGTAGGCATGACGTAAAGGTATTGAGGATTAGGAGCGCTATCACCACATCGTAATACAATATAGTCTATAGGTGTACCGAGCAGCAAGCGGTCCAAACCAAGCTGCGGTGATATTAAAAGCTGGGGGCAGCTAGTTTGAAAATAACTAGTTTTATTGCCTAAGTAAGAACGGTGCGTCACTGCCTGCTCCGAATACTCTCTAGATTTTATAGTTTGAACAATTTAGGTAAGTTTGAACTTATAAATAAAGTGCTGCTCCCGGCTGCGCCGTGTTATCCCGTAAAGCTTGCTGGATCCGCATTTTTGCTTAGCCAGACAGACAATGGTATCTTAGTCTGCTCCTTCTAGAAGAACCGAGAAGACATAGCTTCTACCCGGAAATCCAAAGGTTGTAAGCAACAGGGGGCTGGGTTAGTGGCTTGTGGTGGCTTGTGCATAAACCAACATGGCTTTGTACATAGTACTTGATACACGATGAATCCCTTGTAATTTCTAAGATCAGCTTTAGCAAAAGTGACAAGTCTGCCAGTCTCGAACTTTATATCAGGATATTGGAGTGCTTATAGGTTTAAAAGAAAATGACTTAAATTCACAGATACGAAGTGCAGCTAAACATATCTAGGACACTCGGGTGAGCGCATGAAACTATTAAGGGGACAATAGCCACCTGCTGGATGAATGGTATCTAGGTATATAATTTTATAAGGTAGCAGATCTTCATGCTTGCAGGGGCATGGCTATAGAGGCCGCCACACCTCATTCTACGAGCCATGTCGCCTACAAAGCCTGCCTACCAGCAGCCTCCTCAGAGTTAAATGCGCAGCACCTTCGTCTCCACTATCAAATCCTTCCGCGCGCTAACAAGAACTCTCAAAAACACTTAAGCCTATCCTGAGTTCATACTCGTAACATGCTAGGTAGAAGGATGAAAATATGACAATCGAACGTCAAACGAAACTCCGTTCCTATACAGAGGTACCCAGGTAACAGTAGAGAATATTATAATTGGGAACCTTTAGGATTGCATCAGGATTCGGACTGTACAGCCTCAGCTGGTTTTAGAACTGGACCACGGCGCAGCGCGATCATCTTTCCTAAGCTAGCATATCATTGTAATTGACATAAGGTGAATATGGTAATTTCTCCTCGATATAAAGTCCTCACTCTGGCCCAAGATCCCAGGATTCCTAACTCTCAACCACTTTCATTCTTCTACAGTCTGTCCTTCCTATTCAATTAAACCAATTCCACTCCTTACAACTAGTAGCTGCCAGTTACATTTACAACTCTTCAGAATGCGTTTCTCAAACCAAACCCTCCTCACAGGAGCCACCACTCTACTCTCCTTAGCCAGCTTAGGGAGAGCTGACGGATGCGAAAAAGGGCCTTTTGGAGATAGCCACAAGTTTGGCAAGACAGGTGGTGGGTACTACTGTGATACCGCCTGGGATAAGGGTCTTGTCATCACCGGCCTCGAAGTTTGGGCCAACGAGTGGCATGTTAAAGGCATCCAATGGGCATATTCAGACGGCACCAAATCTGTCGTACGAGGCATGAACGTGGGAGACCGCAACCAAGCTATTACCTGGGGCGCGGGCGACAAGATCACCAGGTTGCAGATGTGGGGGAATTATGCGGGAGACGCTGTTGGGAAAATCGAAATTGAAACCAGCAGCGGCAAGAAACTTAGTCAAGGCTCGGATGTTGGCACCTTTGGGGGTGAACCCGTCCTCACTCACAGCGGCATACTACTTGGCGGACGTGGCTCTTCCAATGACTTTGTGAACGAGCTCGAGATGCTGTTCCTGGCTAGCAATGTTCAAAAAGGGGGAGCCGTCATTACAGCCGTCAAGTTTCAAGATAATCTCGACGACTGGAACAAAAAGATGAAGTGAGCCTTGCCTACCCCTTAATTTCTTAACCAGCATTTGCTCCCAACCAGAACGACTAGCTAACAACTTGAAGGGGTATAGAAACCACGTCACTTGACGCAGCCTACTTCATAAACTCAAACAAAAAAGGCAGCAAACAAAGCTACCAATTCTCGAAATCATTGAGTCGGTCGGTCGGCAAGACTTTGACTCAGCAATACAGTACCACTTTGGGAGCGTCGGTGAGCGTAACAGTTGGGGCTGAGGTGGAAGTCCCACTGTTTAAAGCCAGCGAATCGGTCACAGCCTCCGCGTCGTACTCCTACGAAGCTATGGATTCAACGTCCACAGACACAACTACAACAGGAAGCCTCACCTGGACGCTGGGAGGGGACCTCGAACCTAACCACTGTGTGGAATGCACTGGCTCCGCTATAGGTGGGACGTACGAGAGCGACTATGAGAGCACGGTTACGATAACATTAGCTACCGGCCAGAAATTCAAAATAACACAGCCAGGCCACTTTAATTCGACTAATTGGGCTAAATCTTCCACCGAATGTAAGGATATTCCAATTAAAGACTGCCCTAAAACGGCCACGGAGATAGGAGGGGGGACGAAGCGTGGGGTCGTGTTCATCTCGTAAATCGTGCGACGAATCGACGATTCAGGGCGACGGAGAGTTCGGCGTGCATCAATAGCTTGTATTTATAGCTTTCTTTACCATATGGTACATAACTTTTATCGTCTTTAGTTTATTTATAAGCTAGGAGAGAATTAGACCGAGTTTTATGGAATTGATATATCATTGGCGTCCCATTTGTGCTTAGATCCTTCAATTCGTTCGATTTCGTCGACTGGGGATTGAGGTGAGATAATAACTTGTATTAAGGCTGAAGCCCCTTCTTTAGTCTTGAACCCCATTGCTCTCGGCAGTGACGATATGACTGTTATATTGAGACGATATGCCAGGGTTTTATTGGCAATTCTCATTAAAGGCTCTAATCCCGAGTTCCATGCCGGAGTTTATAAACAGGACCAGGATATCTCGGCAGATCGACTCCCCAATCTAACTTGCGAGCCAAAAACCGCTCCAATTATCCATTTTATATTTCTTATTAATGAATTAGTATAAGTATACAAATATTCCGGGCTGCTCATTTGCCATTAGACAAGGTCCGTCTTGATCGTCTGCCGGGGATAAAACGAGGTTATGGCAGTTTCCAGAGTTACAATTTCGAAGAGGTGTTCGATTTATTACCATGTCTGATTTGTATGCGATGGGGATATTCAAACTAAGTTCGCTGCTTAATTTCTCCGGGTGTAACTTAGTTCTGTTTAGACGCCTATTCGTGACTGAGCTCAAGAGGGGAGCATTAGGCACAAGGAATAGGGATTACGGACGTTTTTTATGCTAAATACCCGTATACATCTTCACATAAAACCTGCAGCTGCGAGTAGATGTTCTCCTATCAAGGTGGATCTAACGAGCAAGGTCTATTCAAGTGCGTTCCTTCTAAACCTAATTTGGCAGTAAGCAAGTCCGACTGTCTCCGACATTCAGGTTTCAATTTGTTTAGTTTCAAATCATAAGGTGTTTATGAGCTATTTCGAACTTGAAAATATTTTAGAGGAAATACTTGCGCAACAATAGACTTAATCTCGAACCAAAACCGAAAAGATACAACTCGTGAAAGATTTAAGTTTCTGTTAATTAAAACGGGCAGTTTACGGTGATTGAAATTATTCGTTTATAAAATCCACAGTGTTGATAATTGAATGCTCTTTCTTCTAAAGAAGCAGCTCAGTTGTACTACTATCAAGATAAATCAAACGGCATAAGACTTTTCTAATACAGCCATATATTTTATATGGATTACACAACGATTTAAGGTCAAGCAACTACCCTTTGGCTAAGACCTATTAATTTTATTTCACATTGAATAAACGATTACTTTTCTACCCCTGCTATTCCCGCATCAGCTGAGTCCGCAAAGGGTATGACGAAGCAGTCTCGATTGAGCGGTTAAGGGTTGGCGATATATGGGGAATATAATCACTTGAGCAAGGCCCTACAAGGGGTCGAGCAAAACTACTTGAACTACATAGTGTTTGTTCATCATTAATCCCAATCAACATCACCTTAGTTCGGGGACGTGGAATTCTCCCCCATCTACTAAGATTTCTAGGCCTTAAAGCCTATACTAAACTCTTAATGAAGATATTATAATTGTCTCAATGCGTGATCTCGCTGAAAACTTTCCACGAATACCCCCCAATATGCATGCTTTTGTATTGCATTTATGGAATAACAAAATAGCACAAGGGGGGCCAAAAATTCAAGAAAGCACTCTGTCAGTAATAAATATTGCAACTCTGCTATTTCCAGACATATCATAAAACTAGATTAGATGGACCAATTGTATCCCACATTGGGCCAATGTTGAAGCCGTTAGAGAGAAACAACGCTACCCCTTGACACCTTTTTCTAGCTATATGTGATCCCCAAGTCGCAGACGGTTGCTGGAAAATCCACACAATTGTCAACTAAACAAATAAAGGCAAAGAAGTGTAAGGAACGGACCACGGGAGAAGAGAAGCATAGAAATGATAAAGTGAAAAGGAGGCATTGGTTGGCTGTTGGATTGAATAGAAATAATGGCACTTGTCGAGTTCATAGATTTTGGAGAATATCCCCTATATATATATAGAAATAAAGTTACCCATGGAGATAGCATACCTATATTTATATACGTAGTTACATTATATATTTTAAGATCTTGACAATGGGGAAATAGGTAGATATTGGTTCATATCAGTGGTGGTGGTGGTGGTGCGCGATTTTCTTCGCAGTCAAAAATGAGGGGGAAATACCGGTTGGTTCGAGAGTTAAAGCATGTTAACGAAGAGAGATGAGAGGATTCGACTGATTGGCAATGGAGAACTACTAAATACTGTCAAACTTGTGAGCATTGATGTTTGATGTGCACCCGTTGAACAACTCAGTAGAAATACGTAGATACATGAGGCCTCGATGCTCATTTTCATTACCAGTTTCATTTCCGTAAAGTCTTCAATGTTGAGCTCCATGATTGCAAAATTTCATGCAAAAGTTTGATTCTTCCCCAGAAGATATATATCTCTAGTTGGTGAAATTGGAATATAATATAGTATTAATATGCTATTGCACTTCTGTTCGCTCTCATACCAATATGCTCAACACCTCGTAGTGCGATTTTATTCTGACCGCCCACCGGAGGCTCTAAGTATACTAAGAGTGCCAAGTCCTAATCGTTTCTGTAAGCAGTCTATGCACTTGCATACGCTTTGTCGTGGCGAGATATTCAAATTGTGGCTTGGATGACCCTTGGTATACCGCCAGTGACAGGCGATCTGAAAGTTTAGCATAATAGAGAAAGGGAATAAAGAGTCTGAAGGAATAACCCGAGGGTAGAGTAATTGGTTGACTATTGGATGCTAGATCTAGCTACAACCGAAAAAGACGAAACCTAAAGCATAGAGAGGTTGCGGGAGCTTGGTGTTACATGCCTGTTGTTTAGTAGTCTTTGGCTATGATTACTTAAGTTAAAGCGCTAAGATATATGAGTTACAAGCAAAATGAAGCAGAAATAGCAGAAACTATATTGCAAATCAAAGCGGACAGGGGTAAAACGAAAGGAATATTTAAGGGACTGTTATAAGCACCTGCATAGCGGGGAGTAAGTCAATAAAAGAGAGAAATTCTTGAAACCTTACCATGAAATGCATTAGATTATGCACTTCCGAATTGTTCACAGCAGGTGGGAACGAAGAATTTGGTAAAGCTAGCGTTTTCCAATCCACACGAATCATGATGACACACACTATCTAACCCGTTCACAACGAAAGTGTAACTAATTCCAAACAGTTGATAACGAGCCACTTGCGTAGCATCGAAATCTTCAACAACCCCCAAAAGCGGATAAATCAGTAGCGATTCCTAAGCGGACACCCCTCAGAGATTCTATCGGAGATTCGAATTCTTTGGAGGGTCCAACCAAAGAAGAACTAGCTGGAAAAGAACATATCCTGCCCCCCAAGAAATCCTTCCGCTTAACACTTCTGCCACTTAACACCAACAACGAATGTAAGGTGGCCGTCGATGGAATCGCTGGTGATTTGACCGGTTGCGGTGCCGCTGCTGGAAGTTAGGCGGACCTGAGAGTTGAGGTTGAGTCCAACGGATGCGCCGCAAGGAGACCAGACAGTGGAGGTGAGATCAGCATTGTCAGAAACCTCATAGTTGCCATCAAGAGGGCCCTTGAAGGTGGTGGAGGTTGTTGTTTGGGAGCTCTCTAGATTTGATATTAGCTTAAAGCACTAGAATATAAATACCGTGGGATACGTGCCTCCAGAGAAGTAGAATGTTGTAGATTGCACCCCGCTGACACCAGCATCAATACCAATATAACCTCTGTAGACAGTGTTGAAAACGCTGTATTGGAAGCCACCGGGATACTTCAGGTTGATGTTAAGCTGGCAATTCTTGCGGTTCTCGGTGATAGCTACACCAGGCCCGAGGGATGCGACATATCTATCAAAGATCAAGGTGAAGCTTTGCGAGACGATGTTAGTTCCATCAAGTTATCCACAGCACGGGTATCTTACGTTTGGCGATCACCGGAAATGTAAGAGCCAACTGAGCCTTGGGGGCAACCGGTTCCACCATAGGTGATTCCTGCAATAGAGACTTGGCTTGGGTCGGGAGTAACGGCGGGGGCGGAGGTTGCTGGCAAAGCATATGCCGTAGCGGCAAGAGCCAATGTCAAAAGCTTAGCAAACATCTTGAAGGTGGATGAAGATATGGTGGTGGTGCTTGAGGCAGGAGATTCTTGTTGAGAGTGAGGTATTGAGATCGATGAGCTTGTGTTGATGATGTAGATGAAGTTGTGGGGTCCGTCCCTATCTATATAGTACCTGAGAACTTGGCAGTTGATACTTGGTGAGGTGACTGTTGCCAATAGCGCGAAGTTGAATTGAGACCTCCCCTGGTAGGACTAGGCAACAGTAACGATCGATCTCGGCCCCAGCCTAAAGCGAAATACGAGATGCCCGCTAGGTCGTTGAGCAGGGGAGCTTATGGTGTTATCAGAGTCGTTCCTATTCCAGAGGAGGGAACTCCCAAAGTCACCAGGTCCGATACACGTTAGGGGAAAGGCGTGTTCAAACCAGCAGACCGGAAACGTGGCTTGCTCCCAGGGGACTGTGACCATAGCTTTATCGGTGCCGCTTGGAGAAACAGGTTCAGAGAAAACTAGGCCTATGGTCGATGGTGCTAACATGTAGTGGCGTGACAGTCTGGGGGTGCCTAAGACATGCTTGAGCATAAGCTAATTCCCCGGTGTAGAGTCCCCGCTTGTATGACGAGTAACGGTAGGTGGCGGTCTGGATGAGGCTTTCTTCCCTTGTCTTCACAACATTAAGGTTATCTGCGAGTACAAGAATAGCAACGATTATCGCAACCACCTCTTCCGGTATCCGAAAAAATGTAGAAATGTAATGTAGGGCAGCGACGTTGTGCCACTGCACTTGCATTCTGAAGGCGAAAATTTCTTGGATCCTTTGCGGGTAATGAAAGCAGGCATCAGGTGGTATATCTTAATATCTGTGGTCTCAAAAATAGACGTTTCTCGTTTATCTAGATTGATAATATAAAGGCTGAATAGGGTTTGCATGGGCAAGCCAGAACAGCCGAGCCGGCACCAAGCGCAACCAATACCACGGCAGACTGTTGCCAAGAAAGGCAGCTACCTGGGACTTCCATTGGAGCATTCTTTCGGAGACGAGATACTCATCTGAACTTGAGGATACCTCGGAACTTCTGATTATTTATCAGCCGCTCCGTGTGGTAATGTAGTAGTGCAGTCGCTCAAGCAAGGAATTTGATCGTTGGTGCTGGGTTAAAGTTATATTTAGAAATTAAAGGAGAAATAGGAAACTAAGAGAAAACTCCAAGCAATTCTGGCCGTAAAACACTAGTGTTCCCGACTATCGTTCATGAGGAGAAGCGATGAATTAGATGAATAAAAAATACATCTCTATCTAGCGCACTGAATGGCAAGAAATGTGGTCTCGACCAGGCCAGGAGACTTCTTAAGGAAGAGGTACCAGGATCTTTACCGAGCTGCCAGCGGGCTTAGTAAAAGTATGGAGGATACACCCACCTAACAGTGCAGATACCTTTACCCCGTTGGGAACATATGCTTGAATGCCCCTGACAGTAGGGTATTAAACAGCCCGAATCGAGAGGCATAATCGGCCATGTGGAATCATGATTATCTGAATATGGCGAAAACTTAAAATTGTGTTGGGGTGTTGCCGCCGGACCGAGTTTTGATATTGGGCGACCGGCGGCGAATTTCCTTGTGTACCGTGTTATTCAGCGGCATGCTACCCTAACAGCTCCCAGCTCCCAGCTCAGCTGACTTCCTGCCATGGCATCAAGGCCTGGTACACACCAATACTCGGCCTATAGGGTCTCTGATGGTTTGGCCGTGTCTTGGGATGACATTGCGTGCAATAGTGGAATGGATTTCAAGAAAACGAACTGGAGAGGGTAGCCTTGCTGGGGTCATACTTGATGAGGCGCTAGTTAAAGCATCAGCGCAGAGATTCCGCATCCTAAGTGGCATATATCCCCGGAAACGTGCCATTGTGGCCTCGCACGTCGGGGATGAGCTCTGTCGCGGACTATTCCTTCCGGACAAAGTCGCCCCGGGGAGCCCGTCTCCAGCAACATCGGAATCAGGGCGGGAACGTCCGGGTTGCGACCCAGCAAAGCTTAACGGGACACCGCATGTGCTACATATCCCGCTACATCCAATGATTGCAGATCAAAGCTGGGTGCCTGGCCAAGACCCAGCGGATGGCCGGCTCCATGTGGAAATTCGGGGGCCAGGCGGCGTTGGTACCTCAAAATACATATCACGTCCAGGCTCCACTTCCAAGTGCATATGCAGGGCGGGACTAAACAGTAAAGGGGTTTATGGAAATCGTTGTTAGCAAGCAGCTTCGTATTGAGAATGTTTACGAATGCTTTCCAAGAGCAACGACGGAAGGAAGAAGAATCAACTCACTAGGCAGCAGAATAACAGAGCACCGGCATCTGGTTGCAGAATGCAGAGAGAAACATGTTTGCAACTGTGGAGGAAGCGGCCCGGCTAACAGATAATTCAGTTGGGAAGAATATCGTTGGAAGTTGGTATGTGGATAGTATTGATGTGATGATGCTGAGAATCAAGATATTGTTGATGGTCTGGTCTTGGAGCCCGGGCCATCAACAACGACCGCTCCTCTCGAGTCGAGGCACGATCTTCGCACCTTCAGGAGTTGAATGCTACAAATAATATATCAAAGGTTGGATATCTTGCGTATTAATGTTCATCATCCAGAAGACTCCAACACCGTTTCACGACTAAGGTCGGATGCAGTACGTTACTTGGTCATACGCGCGGGTTTTTCCAGCACTTCAAGTTGCAATAATAGCCTGGACAGCAGATTTGAGCCATGCCAAATTCGAGAGTTACACTTCCTAATTTGTACACTGTAAGTCAACGCTTTAATATTCCAATAAATAGAATATCGAGCAATTCTAACTGTGAAAAGAGGCAACCGCAATCGACCAAATGAGCATAATTCCACCTACTGATCCGCTGTTTTATAAACAAATTTAAGGAAATAGCGGTCACATACGACCATAGACTGAGGAGAAATGGGCATCCCGTCCGCTCTGCCATACACAAGCTTGCGTATCCTCTGGATAATAGTCTCAATCGTGCCAATAGGCATAGCACGGAATCGTAACATTTTCGTGTCAGTTTAGCGTTAGTAGCGAAAGATTGGCCGCCGTTGCTTAAGTACTCACCCAATGGTTTGTAGTTCGCTTACCGGTTACTCCAACCCAGACCTAAGCGATGGGTTAATTCCAACGATTATTCTTGAATCGTATTCCTCCGTTATCACACTCAATTCTTGTGAACACAACTTCAACCCCTTCAGCATGTACTCTCGTGATGAAACTGTCAATTCTATCCTGAGGTTCTATCAAACGGTTATCCGCCACCCATATTTAAACAACGCCACACTCATTATTCCGCCTGTTAACGGCTGGAACTCGATCAAAATAGAAGGCAAAAACGGAGCAGTCCTAGACTTACTTTGTCACCTCCCATACCTCCGCCCAGAGAATGCATCTGAAGAACTCATTATTCACTCGGAAACCATCCCAATCTGTTACTTGGAGAACCAAGATAGACTGCTATTCTATCCCCTCCCTGCCCACTGCATCTACCTCGCCCGTGCCGAATCGTATCTCGGCACATCTTTGATTCTCGACACTAACGAAGGCACTATAACTGAATTTTGTCAAACAGGATCCCATATTACAATACCTTACGAAGCCTACGAGGCTCTACCTAAAGCAGAGAAATGGAAAGCTCACTGTACAACACCTATCATGGAATTGTTAGACAATTGGACAAAGAGATATGAGGAATTAGTGTGGATGTTAGTACCGAACCCAATTAGTCAACCAGTGACAGGGAGGTTTTATAGTCGTGCTATATCAAGTACTGAGGAGGAACTTATACAAAAAGGGCAATTAGAGCTATGGCATACTCAAGATGATAGGAGTGATGATGATGATACGGAGGAGGATGAGCTTGATATGGAGCAGTTTAAGGCGAGGAAGAGGGAGAGAAAGCATGTAGTGGTAGGTTCAGAAGTTCGGCCTTGTTTTATTAGAGTTGTGAAATCTAATTTGATATGCGCAGGATGTTTATAATACATACCTCCGCTATGGATGGCTATATCACTTCGACAAGGAGGGATGCAAAGCTGAATTGTTAGAGCTAGAGAAGAGGAAGGATGCAGATGAGATGCAGCAAATGGCTGAAGCGAATCCTGATGCAGCACTGTTCGACTGAGAGAGATATTTTTGGTTCTATTAACGCTGAGGGCTGATTATAGGACTTATTGCCTCCTGAACGGGAAAGGTTTATAAATTTCAAGGCGTGGGAAGACGAATACTTCACACACTGTGTTTTGTATTAGACATATAGAGATATCAACGACCATTGTAACCAGGAATAGCAAGCGGGTGAGTTATTCATTTCACACACTACAGTCAGACACAGTCTGTCAGCGCGTTCATACCTGTCGCCTGTGGCTGCATAAGTATCCCCTGAGCACTAGCACCACTCACAGCGGAAGCGCCGGCCACTGGAGTAGCGACAACCTCTACCGTCAAGTGTGTTGTGGATGCTATCGCAGTTGGTACCACTTTAGGATATCCTGTCTCCTTGGGCTGCGCAGCAACTGCTGTGTCGATACCTAAAGCCTCCATCTCTTAATGGCAGTCGGCAGAACTGCATCGCAGGATACCCAACTCTTCCTGCAACTCGGCATCCGTGACACGTCGAGTAGTGTTCCCCTCATCGACTATCCAGGCATCGGGGTCCAAGTCGTGGGAATCCTCATTGCGTTTTCTGAACCCTGCTTGGGCTACATTGTTACCCAGAACATCTGCTGGAATGAGGCCCGGATAATTGGCCTTGCCATACCGCTGAGCATCTTGATAACCAGCGTAATATGGGTCATCTGTGAGCAATGCAAAACCAGGATCTTCTAGAGGCACTTCCGGCCAGCAAGGATTGTTTTGCAGACCCATGACACCGTCCGGATCTACAACATTATGGCCAAAATCAATTCTGACCACGCTGCAGGTGGTTCGCGCATAATAATGAGTGACTCTTCTTTTGAGACCTCCTACTACGCGATCGCTAACGTATCTCTCGTCGCTTCTGTAGACAGGGAGGTTGCCCTATGCGTCGAATCCACAGAAGGTCAGCCCAAAGAGGGAACCAGCACCTCCGTTTTGAAGTCCTGGAGCAAAACGGATGTATTGCTTAGGGCTCAGAGCGCCCTGCCAGAATTCAGCAGGTGGGTATTCGTCGGCCTGGCAATTTACGGCCCTTTGCTGCATGAAGCTGTTGAACCTAGTGCTATATGTTAGCGTTTACATGAACGAGTGCTTAAGGGTCTTCTTACCACTCTGCGTTATGATCGTTATACCACTGGTTTCTCCATGGACGATTCGGATTCCCTCTACTCTGAATAGGACACGTTAAAGTTCTGAAAGCCGGATTTCGGGCAATGACAGAGCTGTAGTGAAGACACGGCTGTGGCCAATCTCCACTACGGCAGGTTGAAACATTCGGGGCTGGCTCGATAGTTGTCGACGCGGTACTCTTGTAGATGGGGGGACCGTCACGCTATGGTCTGCCGCAATTGTTGTCTCTATCCGCTCGTTTGCAGTTAGCAGAGCTTGTAGATAGCGGGCTGTGGCTAGAAGACGGCGGCCTCGTAGAGATGGGCTTCGTCTTAGTTGCCAAGGACAAAGACTTTTCCTTTCCGAAGACTTTGAACTCAGCTTTCCTTCTTTCTCGATGCCCTTAACGCAAAGCTGAATCAGTTTTGGAGTGGCTGCGATCTCAACAGCATCTAAGATCCAACCTGCACATGCATGTGAGCGTCTTTAACAAGCGCGACTATAGCTCTATAGAACTTACTGACAAACGGAATGAGATCTTCGATAAGTTCCAACGGTGCTAGTAGCGTAGGAATAGCAACTCGGCAAAAAGCTTTTGCTGCAATATCGAGTGCCAATTGCTCCGCAGCAACCTCTGCTGATCTTTCGCTGCGTCTGCGTTCGAGATGGGTTCCAAGATCCACACGTGCTCGCCAATCGTTCTGGTACGGAAGGTGATGCTGCCTACTCTGGCATGAGTGCTGTTCTTGGTATACAAAGCGGCGAAGTGACGCTCTATAGTGTTCTAGGCCGCAGAGAGCGAGAACTTATTGTGGTTGATACTTCAACGAGACCACAGGCAAAGCTTGTCAGTGATCCCGCCATCCCCGCACGTGTCAGGGAGCCCATTTCGGCACACACAAGGAATCCCGCTCCAGTGCTCTCTAGCGAGACCAGCGCAAATAGCAAGAATAGCAACTAGTCCAGCAGATTAAGTGAGTCCAAAGGCACTCAGAGCTCCCGTGCATCGCTGATAGAGCCTGAGGAGAATCAGCCCAGCATCGATGAGGTTCTGGGTGCGGGGATCTACTAACTAAACCTAACCTTGCTCAGCATGCTCACCCAGTCACCTGTGGGCGTCCACTGTCGCGGTGCAACGCGTAGTCAACAATGGACCCCCTTTTGGGTGGTCGAGGCAGTCGAGGTGGTCGTGATCACAAAATAAGGGTTGGTGCCGAGTCTGAGCTTGACGCAACGGACCAAACACAAGAAGTAAGCATCAGCATATTTGGTGGTTGTTAACAATACTAAGTGGTTCTGTCGTAGTATGTCATGCGCACGCTTTATCCCGAGGAGTGTTCTAATCTTGTCCTAGGGAATGGGGACATCTTCCGGTACCCAAGACAGAACTTCAGATGCTCAACCCCTGAGCCTAAAAACCTAAAGCCTCCAAGTCAGTTTCTCTTTGGGATTCATCGTAGATTCTCTACTGCCGTACACTTATTTTCCATCGAGGATAAAATCGAACGAGGCTGGCCACAACCTAAATTAGGTACGGAATCAAGATCTCTCTAATGTCTCTGCGAGCGAACGGCATCTAATGACGGTTTAGGCCATATTAATGGCAGATTTGGTGTTTTAGGCGCAAGCTCTCGACGGATTTCCCATCACATATGGCTCTACGTTTCCATTTGCGTGCAGCTTTTGCCCAGATTTCCTGTCGTTGTCACAAATAGTTATGGAGTACTGGGCAAACCAGGGCAAAGAAATGCTCCTATAAACCAAGTATATTACCTACGTATATTAACAACCACTCCTAACATCCTTTTTACTTTTGCTTTTAACCATTTATCCCCAAGAATCACGTTATTACCTATTAGCGGGTATACTCTTCCAAGATGCGTCTAAGACACTATACTACTCTGCATATCCCTTCTTAGTATATATACCACATTAAGCAAATAGCTGTCACATACGACCATAGACTGAGGAGAAATGGGCATCCCGTCCGCTCTGCCATACACAAGCCTCAGATCGGCAGATTAGTAGTTGGGTGGGTGACCACCAGCGAATACCTGCTGTTGTATGTTTTTTGCTTTTTTGTTTTGTTTTGTTAGGCATTTCCCCGTTAGTTCTCGCAATGTCATAGAGATAGATCTAATAGATAAATGATATTAGAAGTTCGTTCATATTGAGGGAGCTTTAGACACGCCGCCGGTATTCAATATCCACCTTCAAGTTCTTACTGTGGCATCTAGTTGTGCAGTATTTAGCTCCGAAGTATCCGTCTCGGCATGCCCAAATTTTACTAAACAATCCCGTACAATATCCACCAGGCAGTTAATAATACCTTGTTCGGATGTCATATATTTCCTTCTTATCCCTACCTACCTACAGTAGGTCACTGGCAAGTCGCTTTCACTTGAGGTGTCAACTCATGTGATGGCTAATTTCATGTGACATTAACAACTAACTAGCATGGGATAAAAAAGCATTACATTAAACATTTACCCACATTAATAAAGTAGTTAAGGGTGCAAAAAAATGCCAAGGATGTCTGTGATCATGAACATGACGATCATGAGGTTCTTTCGGAATTAATCTAGTTCCACGTGACTATCACAGAAATATCTAAAGCGTCATATTCTATTGGAACGGCGAATAAGAGTAAGGAACATAAACTACCGCCAAGTAACTTATTTCTTATTATTAGGTAATTTCATTTATTTACAGAGTGGGGCGTGACGACTACACTTCCAAGTATTTCATCCTTGGATTTGCCCTCCGAACATCTGCCGAACTTCTCGCCGTCTCGGAAATATCTAACATCCATCCCACTTGTCCTTTTACAGCCGACATCTAGATCATTGTGGGTGACAAACCGCGACTACCGTCACGATGCAGAGCTTTAGAACAAATGATAATGTCACGATAAAGTACATTGATACTGGGTTGTTGGGTGGGGGTGAAGACCTTCAGAAGCCTTTGTTGATGCTGGTATGTTCCTTTCCTGTCCCTTACATTTCGCTCCGTACTTTGTTGGGTTTCTTGATTCATAAGTACCTATTACAGCTCTCCAGTATATCATTTATTTTAGTCCTTTTGAGAGCATGCGGCGGTAACTGAGCTGGAGAAACCCTTGGTGGCATTTGTGACCCGTCTTCGTCATAGTTTATGCCAATGTTTTCTCTAGCGATAATTACGCAATGCTTCTCCTTCGTATTGTATTGTCGATCGAGTATTCGACTCACAATCATTGCTTTTCATTTCCTTTGAGAAAGTCTTCACACTCTGAACGTATCACCTACTTTGCGTCAATTAAAAAACGACCATACTACAATTCTTTTTTTACTTCTTTTTTATTTCTTGTCCAATCATTACTATTGTCACGTTTTAGAAATGGCGGATTCTGATATGCAATGAAATATAGATCCACGGTTTCACAGGTTCATCAGCAGTATGGCAGCGCAACATCCCATCCCTCTCCAAGGAGTACAGAGTTATCGCCCCGGATCTTCGAGGGCATGGTGATAGCGATAAGTGTAGACATGGGTACCAAGTCATGAGACTGGCAAAGGATTTAAGAGAACTAGTGCTATTATTTGAAGACCCAGAAGCTGTTGACTCCAAACAAAAGCTTTGGAAGGCAGTTGGAGGCAGCTTAGGGTGCTCGATTCTATGGTGAGTAGCCCCCTTCAATATCTGTACTACCCAACGCTCACACCTGGATGAAGGTGTTACGCCTCCCTCTTTACCACCAACCCCTTCACCCACATGGTATTTGTAGACCAGTCCCCCCTCCAAAACAGCGACCCCACCTCAGGCTGGGATCACCGTTTCTGCAACCGTTCGATGAACAACGCTCTCGCGCTTTCCTCCTTCCAGACAACCCTCGCTCTTTCACCCGCCACCGCTCATAGAGGTACAATTGCTGCATGCCTCTCTTACCTCGCATATCCATTACCAACCGACATACAAACCTCGGCCGAGCGTACCAGCGACGAGGAATTCTTCCTCCGCGAAGCAATGAAAGGTGATCCCTGGTGGTACGGGAAGCTAATGGCGGATCATACCGCGCTGGATTGGCGCCATGCTATCCAGGCATCCTTTGGGCCAGGAAGCGGAAGTACGACGAAGGTGCTTGTGATTGCGAGTACTAGAAGTGGATGTTTTCCCTCTGCAGGGCCGATCACTGTTGCTGGGTTGGTGAATGATGGGGCGGAGGAGAAGAGGGCGAAGAGAGTGGTGGTACATTGGGGCGGGCATTGGCTTTATTGGGAGGGTCCGGAGAGGTTTGCGAGGATGTGTTTGGAGTTTTTTGGGGATTTAGAGGTGGTGGATGCGTGAGCTGATAAATTGAACGACAGGAGATGTCAAACGACAGATTATAAGTTTTGAAAAATTGATTTAGTGGAGTGTTGCGTATAGTATCATAATATCATGAGTCCCAACCCTTTACCTTTCCACATATAGCAGAATCTACCAAGTCCCATTTAGATAAACCCCGATAAATATATACATATCTTACCTCATGTTCTATACGCCGTGAGGGGAGTGTTAATATAAAATATCCACCGCCGCGGGGTATGTCACCAACCAGCCGGATGGGGCGCGGTGTGTGGTGGGTGGTGGATAGGTCTGACTTGAACGGACGAATTACCCAAGGGACAAACTGATTTTCGAGATACACGTGAAGCCAGTGAATAGTCGCAAATTGTAGAAAGAGGGTATCGCAAACGCCGGTACAAGAATTTAAGATAGTGCAGGCGCCTGGAAAAGGTTGTCGCTCTGTGACAAGGGGGGCAATTGCGTTGGGATCATGAGTTGAAGCCTTTGGCGATTTGGAGGTATGCTAGAAACTATAGTCTTAGCCTGAATTTGGGTCCCAAACTATATCCTCAAACATAGCATCGAGGTCAGCGGTTTGGGTGTTATTGTCTAGGTTGTCCTCTCCATCCGGGGCCTTGGTTCCTTCACGTAGCGTTGGGAAGAAAAAAGCAGTCGGTATTCCGCCGGCCCACGTATTTTGTGATGATGCCGGATCTTTGTTAGCATATTTGCCATGTCGGAGGACAAACTGCGTTGGGTAGCTGCTAGAGTCGTTGCCAGATGGGGTATTACTAGAGATATCGAGAAACTCGTTATCTAAATTAAAGAACGCGGACGAGTCTCTAAATATTTTGTCGCCTTGAATGGCGGGTGTCGAAGCCGGTAGAACTTTGCGATTCCCGACAGTAAAATACGGGACATGGGTAGGATTGGAATTGTGCCGTTGAGTATTGTTAGAAGGAGAGGCCACGTTTAAGCAGTTTAAAATACTCGCACCTGGATTTTCCGCCGACGTACTTGGGTTTTGAGTTGCAAATCTTTTCGTGAAGGATCGCGCAATATTAAAGGGCAGCGGAGCTCCTTTACCCTGGGAAAATTGTCCATCGATGAAATTATTATAAATCGGGACATCTTCCGTATCGCATGGGTCGGGTTGGGATCGGTAAATACCCGATACTTCAATATCGAGCTCCAGTTGAGCAGTAAAATGCTTGGTGAGAGTGTGCCTGTCTCCAATCGCTTGCAAAGCAGCTACAAGAAATTCTAGGTTCATCAAACTTTGAGGGTGGGGATCCTGGCCTCCGGCTTTTAGGTCTTGGAGCAAGACGCCCGCAGCAACGAAGAGACAGAAACCCATCCATAAATTCATCTGCGAGTGGAGTTAGCTTGATATAGGGACACGGATGGAAAGTTTTACGTTTGAAGCATCTACGTGGCAAACACGACGCATGATATTGGCGATTTCCTGAGCCGCCATGAGGCTTCGTGCACGACTTTGCTCTGTGACGCTCGAGTCGAGCTTGTTCCGCTCTGCGGTAAGGATTGCGGCCTGGTGAAGACAAACGGTGGAAGCGTGCACGCTCATATGCAGGAAAACGACATTCATGTCTCCAAGCCCTCCCGGCATCCTCAAGTGGTCGGGAAGAAATAAGAAGGTGCTAGATAGCACGTTATCCATTTTTCGATGCCTTCTCCAGAATTCGCCGTTTGAAACGTTTTCGGGGCGTTCATCAGGGCCAATTCGATGTAGGTGCTGAAAATTATGGCCGAAAAGTGCGGCTGACAATATTACTCCGCCAAACGTCGAGATCTTCGGTGCCCCCTGGGAGGTCAAGGCATCTGCTAGTGATATGGTGTCTTGCGCGATACCCTGTTCAAAGGAATTCTCGGATGCCGGGAGATTTGTCAATATCTGAGTATTAGTGAGCATTGTGGTACATGATAGGTGAGCGATGAAAGACCAACCTCTTTCTCGTTAATAATCATCGGCCAGCCAGTTCCTGAGCTTGCCCAGCGATCATTGTGAAATGCAACCCAAAACGTTCTACGGCGTTCTTCTAATTCAATCCAATCTGAAGGAGATGGCAATATCTGTTTGAGATCGGATCTATCTCCGTCTAGACGATGAAGTCCTAGCATCTGAACTAAGCGTGTCATTCGCCCCGTGCTCATCCAAGATCGCGAGAAAAGGGTTCGTTTAGCCTCATAGGAGGATATTAAACCCCATGCCTGCGCATGATATACAGTTACAAAGGTTTCACCATGCCCCTATAACTGGTAAGCACATGCGTGGAATGAGTAGATGTGACTGACCTTCATCTCTGCTGCCTCCAAGTATCTCCTAGCACGGCCGTAGAAGAGATCCTCGTAGCATGAATACTTATCGGACAGAGACGCCGCCATAGTCCACATTGCATATCGAAGGCACACTGGCGGGCGCATGTGTGGAGCCCGGTCGAGCGACGCGAAGTATCGATACTTATGCATTAAGGGCATAGTCTTATGACTTTTTTCAAAATAAATATCATGCCTAAGGGTGATTGGTCATTAGTAGATAGCAATAGCCAAAAGAAAATAGAATGTGAAATACAAAAGTGACTACAAGACATTGTCGATTAGGAGAATACCTCAGAGTTATGCTGAAGGTTTCCACCTGGGTCGTCTTCTCCACTGCTACTATCAGGTAGAGAGAGATCCTTAGGGTATTCGACTCAAAGGCACCTTTCAAGAAATCCAGAAACATATGATGTCCCGACATAGGGCCTCATGAAATAACCAAGAACTTACAGTTCATCTATCATCTGTTGCGGAGGCAACGGCTCCTCTAATCCTAAGCTTATAAGCTCTTGGGATAGAGGATCCTCCATGGGAAAAGACGGCGCGGCCGGCTGAAAGGTAAAGGCCCACTGCTCAATATCCAATGACCCATCAATTGGGATTTGTCCAACAGGAAAATCCGAATCCTCACGAAGAGCATCGGCATCGTCGTCCATTAGGGGAAAAGTAGACGGTTGATTCATATTCCGAATTGGGATTTCGGGAACAAGTTTGGTTTCGACCTCAGCTGCATGATGTTAGTTCTACGTATTCTCGAGAATATGAGCCCAATCGCCATACCAAGTCTTGCCTCCAATTCCTTCATATTGCGTCGTTTGGAACCTGGATTTCTGCGACGCTCTGGATATTCGCATTCGTGACACAGGCGCTCGCAGGTTCCACATTTTGGCTTAATTCGATCACACCGCAGTTTCCGCTTGCGACAAGACACGCATGATATGGTCTTATCGGGAGCTTTGCCACTTGCGCCTGTGGCTGGGCCTGAGCCGCTGTCATTGGAAGCTGAGGGGGATATTGAATGAGTTGTCGAAGCGTGGGGATCTGCCTCAACTTCGACTTCCACTTCGGGCACGTCTCCAAACATTAGGGACACGATAAAGAAAGGGAAGAAGAGCCTCCTAGCGGGAATCGAACAGTTGGTGGTTGCAGGAACAATATGTTTTCAGCAAGTGGACACGATGTGGGAAGTACGTGAAGTAAGATGTACGCAGCCTGTGTGGCAGCCTTGCCTTGACTTGGCCTAGAATTCACGATAAGAAAGCTTATCCCCACGTGATCTCATGTTTGAGAGCTCTGGATCCACTGAGCTTAGCTTATGTAAGGCAATTGGCTTCAGCCTTAAACGACTCAAGAATAAGTCCGGAGCAACTTCCCACCACTGCGTTACAATTACGAGTAATTATATAAAACAAAACAGCGACGACCGATCTGGAGCCTGCAGCTGAATATACTAAGAGGAAATAAATAGTTCCGCCTACTATTCTGCAGACGAAATTCGACGTTAGTCCTTAAAGACATACGAGGATAGCTTACCTACACAGGCATGTTTTTAGCTACGAAGGACTCGGGACCGACACGGGCTTTACTTTGGTCCGACAGGTTCCCTTCGGCGCGGCGCTGCCTTTCGTTTGCCTTTCTTTCCCAGCACGCATAGATTCTGACTCATTATTGTCATTCAGGGCCGAACTGAGACGCCCTGGAAACTACATAATCTTCTTCGTAGTTATAAGTCCTTAGCTAGGTAGCTGCTTCTGCAGTGCAATTCTCCTTTGTTGAACATCATCAATTCCAGTTTCATCACCCCCCAGCGCGCCAAGATTGATACCCAAGTAATCCGGGGCAGTTTTCGCCCTTCCGCTGCCTTATGTCTTCCTCTCAACCAAGAATCGCCATTGTTGGCGGTGGCCCTGCTGGGCTGACCACAGGTCTCCTTCTCCATAAGCGTGGCGTCCCATTCACCATATTCGAGCTTCGCCAGAAGCCGACCGATGAGGAGCTGGCCAAGCCCTCTGGAATGCTCGATCTCCACGAAGAATCTGGCATCGCTGCTCTCAAGGAGTGCGGTCTATTTGACGAAATTCTCCAGATCACCGGCGACTGCTCCGAGGCGCAAAAGGTATCAGACAAGAATGGCAACATCCTCCACACGGACGACGGCGACATAAGCCAGCGCCCTGAGATCTCCCGCCACGCACTCAGCAAGCTCCTTAGCTCTCATATCCCCGCCGACCAGATCAGGTGGGGTTATAAGCTCCTCGCAGCTACCAAATCCATGGCGTCGGGGTCGGGGCTCACTGAAATCCAGCTCGACTTTGGGCCCCGCGGCAAGCAGACCTTTGATCTGGTTATTGGCGCTGATGGAGCCTGGTCCAAGGTCCGGAACCTGCTGTCGGACACCAAGCCATACTACGCAGGCACGCAGAACATCACCCTGACTATCCGGGAGGTCACCAAGAAGTATCCTCATCTATCAGAATTGGTAGGCCTAGGCAGCTTTGCCGCGCTCGGAGACCGTCACGGCGTCATGTCGCAGCGCGGGCCCCAGGACTCGGCGCGCATCTACATCTTCTTAACAATCAAGGACGAGCACTACGCCACTACGCTGGCGGGCCAGACGGCGTTGGCAGCCAAAGAGCGGGTTTTGGGCGACGTCGAACTGCTCAGCACTTGGGGCACTGCCATCAAGGAGCTGGTGACGATCGCGTGCGACGAGGAGGTGGCCGACAATCCGGGCAACGCGGTAGATATCCATCCAATGTACGTGCTTCCGGTTGGCAATGCTTGGGAGCACAAGATCGGTGCCACGGTTATCGGGGATGCAGCACATCTAATGGGTCCCTGGGCCGGCGAGGGAGTCAACCTCGCTATGTGGGATTCGCAGCTGCTGGCCCACGCTATCATCAAGGCGTATGAAACCGAGACCGCCAGGAAGGATGCCGCCTCCTTCCAAAGCGTACTAGATCCGCTGATAGAGGCGTTCGAAGTCGACATGGTAGCGCGCGCTCAGGAGAAGGCAGAGGAATCGTCCAGCAACGGCCAGATGCTGTTTGGGGAGGATGGAGCAACGGCATTTGCAGAATTCTTCCGCCAGGCTTACGCAGGGGCAATCAGCGGCGAAAGCACTTAGACCATAGATATTAGAAGATAACTAGAAGCTCACTAGGCAATAGCCAAGTGTGTGGAGTGTATAATTAGGTATATAACTAAACTAGAAGCTAGACAAAATAATAAATCTTCATATATACTCTCTTAGTACCATCTCTCACATAAACAGCTTTACGCAACATCCTGATGCCTACATTACCCAAATCCATGCGGAGTATATGTCCATGGCTGACACTGCTGCCAGTCGTCATGCTGAGTCATGACAGGAGTCGCAACATCCACCACCGGAGGGTCGGAGGATGGCATTCTCCCACTGTAAATCAGCCCTAACCTAGGCTCCTGATTGGACCGCGCTTGCTTACGAACGGACGAAGAATTTATGTCCGTCGAGACTCTAAAGTCATTCTACCCACCTGCTTTAATCATCTCTAGAACACAAATTTAACTGCCTTTTTCATTCTCCGTTGCTCCGTTTTCGTATCTCGGACGGTCGTTCAGCCAATAGTTAGTTCAAGATGGGTTCGCCTTCCACTTCATCATCGGTGGCCGAGACGCCGTCGTCGTCGAAGGGAGGGCCCGAAGGGGACCAGGCTACGCAGACCAATAAGCAGCCTCCAAAAACGAGCAGGACGAGATTTAAGCCTCAATTATCTTGTACGCTGTGCAGAACTCGAAAGTATGTTCATCTTTAAACTAGGGTGGCTGTCCTTGGCCCCAGTAATCTCCAGGCCACCCCCACTCTCCGTTGTTATCTTCGAGGCACTGCCCATGGTCTATCCCTATATCAATTAGACTTAAAAGAAAGATCTATTGTCGAGATATTGCTCTGTTGGGAGTTTAACTGAAACCCGTTTTAAAAATCATATAATGATCGTCCACTGACCAATCCCAGACTCAAATGTGACAGGAATCTTCCGTGCCAAAATTGTATCAAGCGGGACCTGTCTGCTTCCTGTACCTATGTACATGCCGGATTGCGTCGTGATAAATCTTCGCCAATTCAGAAGTCCACCAGCAACTCCAAAGATGTCCAGAGTCAAATCTCGCATCTCGAACAACTGGTCGTCTCCTTGATGAACAGAAGCAATACGATTGGCAATTCGAGCAGGACTGACGGTTCCCCTTCTAGTTTGGATGAAAATAATCCAAGCCAACAGATACATTCGAGCACTCTAGAGGATCACTGGACTGAAATTAATGCCGTGAAGGAAACTGCCGAATCGATTGGACTGATCAGTATACAAGATGACCAACCAAATTATGTTGGAAGTTCTCACTGGGAAGCTATCCTTGACAACGTTAGATAACTCTTTATGCTCTTATATTGGTCTCCTCAACTTATCCCGGTGTACTAACTATGAAATAATAGATTGCATGCCTCAAGGATGCTCTAGGAAATACCGAGCCGCAGCAAGAGGAAAAGGAGAAAGCCACCGGGCCAGTGCCTATTGGCCCGGATCTACTAGTTGGTTCTGTCAGAAAGGTTTCAAGGACAGAAATAATCGCGGCACTTCCCCCCAAGAGGCTTGCGGATCAGTTGGTCCAGGAATTTTTTTCAACGCCGGATATAGGATGCCGTGAGACCTCCATCCTGCAGCTGCACGAAGACGAATTCTAACAAACTGCGACATAGCTATGATACATCAACCTACATTTCAGAGAAACGTAAGGAATGGCACCGTCTAAATTTGGCCCTACTGACACTAGTTATAGTATGAAAAGTTTTGGGCAGACCCCACTAGCACTCCAATCATATGGATTGGTATGCTCTTTTCCATCTTATGTCTCTCAAGCCAACTTGAATTATTGCTCAACAAGAGCTCATTTGCCGGTTCAACCGACGTTGCGCTTCGCGATCCAGCCGAAATCATGGATATGTACCGCGAGAAAATTGTGCAATGCCTTATCTTGGGAAACTATACCGAGCCTAGTCCTTATACTATCGAGACTCTCTTGCTATACTATGTAACTGAGCACTTTCGATCGATGGATACGCAATTTGGATCGTGGATGGTCTTTGGCCTCATTGTCCGAGCAGGAATGAGACTGGGATTGCATCGTGACGCTTCACATTATCCAAAGATATCGATTCTCCAGGGTGAAATTCAGCGTCGGCTATGGTCATCGATTGTGTATCTCGACATTCAAACGTCTTGCCAAGTAGGCCTTCCGAGAATGATCAAGGAAAATATGTATGACACTCAACCGCCACGAGATCTTTTGGATGAGGACTTGGATGAAAATACTAAGGTTTTGCCACCTTCCCGGCCAAGTAGCGATTTGATCCCATGTGCGTATTTGAACAACAAACATAGGATCACCAAAGTGTTCGGAATGATCGTCGACCAATCAAATTCGATCGATCCTATCCCATATGAGGAGGTTATGAAACTAGACACCCATCTCCACGAAATCTGGCAGCGGACTCCGGAGACTCTGAAGATGCGCAGTGTTGAGGATCTCAACAACGGTCCCATCGAAACGAGAGTACGTAAGTTCACCGCTGATATGATATTCCAGAAATCCCGATGCGTTCTGCACCGAAAATTCTTCATATTATCAAAATCAGACGGCACGTATCCGTATCCTTACTCTATGAAAACCTGCGTCGAAGCCTCAGTCCGAATCTTGCAATGCCAAATATACATGCATAATGAGACACGGCCTGGCGCGCTCCTTCGGGATCAGAAATGGAAGACATCATCTCTCATGGCCCAGGACTTTCTCCTGGCTGCCATGCTCCTCTGCCTGTATTTAGGCCATGGTGTGGCTGTGGAGTCGCTTGAGAAGCAGGTATGCCAAACCGATATACGCGTGAAATGGAGTCGAGAAGCCGTGCTCGACATACTTAATGGATCGTACCAAATATTCGAAGAGACAAAACTCGCATCGAAGGAGGCATTCAAGGCCGCAAATGCGATGAAGGCCATGCTTGCCAAAGTGAGGAATGCTTCCGTGACCACTCCAGTCAGTGAAGCCCGGGAGACAAGTCAGTCAACGGATCCTAGGATGTGTAGCCAGGTATCATCATCTAGTAAGTTCTCAGAGAGTGTCAGTCATTCAGGTTTGATAGCTAACGTTTTGCGCTATGAAAGACCCCACGCCGTCCACCCAATCATTGGAACGTCAATTCTTCGAGGGTCCTAGCCTGCCTTGGATGGAACCGCCCTCATTCGAAACTGGGGGCTTGCCGGCCAATCTAAACACACTCCAGCAGCCCAGCGATATAAACCAAGCCTTGTTTGATACCATGGAATTAGACTGGGTCAGTAGCAACCTTTCCCCCCGTAAATACCGGAATCAAGCTTTCGTCCCCCTTGACTGAACCAATCTCCGCAATATTACTATATTGGCCCTGACGCTAACTCATTTGCATATTCTAGGAAGTCTGGGACAGCCAATTCTACAACAACGGGGTTTCACAAACCCCGCCAGACCTGTTCAATGTCGATGCAAACGTATCGTTCCCCGATCCAAATGCAACATTTATGCAATGGGACCAACAGCTATAGGTGGAGGGCTTGATTGGGTTACCGATTCGTGGAGTTAGCGGATGACAAATGTTTAAAGCTGGGTGGTAGGATATTGGATATAAATATAATTTGGTTGCTCTTCCTGGTCATGTACTGTATATGCTGTTTGGGGGGGGGGTTGGGTCTAGGCCGGTATAAATGGAAGTACCTATAACTCTTCTCTTCCAAAATGGGGACATATCTATAATTATAGGTGCTTTGGTAGGAATACAGAAACTCGTTGCTCTGGTTAATGTTGCCCCGAGTCCGTAATGGTGGTTGCCCTGGGCGGGTAATTGAACCCCAGAGCGAATCAGCTCGGTATCGAAACGCAAGTCCATGTCAGATCGCGGCCATGTACCAAAACCCGATACAAGAGCGATTCACACCCGACACAAGAGCGATTCATACCCGATGCAAAAGCGAGATGAATCCCGAGGCGTGCCGAGCTCCATTCCCTCGAAAAGCTTCATCGGTTATAAGGTACAAGGTAAATGGTACCGTGACCGAGGGGCAGTCCGACATCATACTACGTCTCGTCATACGTGCGTAAGATAATTGTAAGATATGTACAATTTTAGGACAAAGTAGGATGAAACTTTTACACTACATTATCACTAATTTTATGTTTTATATTGAAGCAGAAGATCTATTTATATCACCAGGGGCGAATAAAAATATAAATGCCGAGACTGCTCCCCATCACTAACAGCGACGCTTCGATCGTTCCGTTACCGCACATAATTCGCAGCATGCCTCCCTTGTTTTATGTACGCACCCCGCATCGCCATCACCATCGCTATCGCTAGCGACGGCATTTCGTAGTTGCAGAGGAGCAAGGGAGTTGAGTTATATATTTGTCGAACTATGAGAGAATTTCAAGTCAAATCCGGATACATCGCCGAGACTCATATTTTTATCACATAGGGTTGTGTTCGGATGCGGGGCGTGCTGGCTCGGAACCAGTGTTCCTTCCGGAAGCAGTTATGATGTACTCGAGGGTATTGTGGTGAAGGGTGTGTGGATTCCACGAATTGAGGCTTGAGGGTGAGGGGATGGTTGCGGGGATAGCTTCATTTCGACGGATATAGAGAGGGAATAGATGGTCGGGTGATGAGAGGTGAGCATCGGTGCGGCATTGAAGAGGAGAAATATGAGGGGTATAAGAATGTCGTCTCCTCTAGAGAGATTGATTTCGTCAATACCACGATCGCAGGTGTGCCTTCTTCTTTTACGGGGGTGCGTTGAGTACCTAGGTAAATATTCCAACTACCAGCTACCAGCTATCAGTGTGCAAGATACGCCCCAATGGCTTCCACTTCGCACTTCCGCACTCTCATTGCTTTCCTGCTAGCCACCACGAGCTTTCCATGCTCTTTACTAGCTGCTCCAACGGGCACATACACTGCCCCAGCACCAACCTCACTCCTAGGGTTCAATCCTGCAAATGGAGTTGTGAATGCAGATCCAAAAAATATCAAGTTCACTCTCGCACCAGGACAGACTGACTCGGCCGTCATCGGCGCTCCCCTTGATTTCAACAATGCAAAGAACCCACAGCCAATCCGGGGAAGCAAAGGGGGCACAGATCCAGGACCGCACACAGACAAGTATAGCCAGTTGAACCCGGATAGACTCGCACCGCCGGGAACGGATCACGGCAGTGTCGCCAATGCCCAATGGCCACTGGAATTAAGTCATGCAAAACTCGGGCTTGATAGAGCAGGCTGGTCCCGGGGGCAGAATATAGATAATATCCCGGTAGCGACCGAGATGGCGGGTGTTGATATGAGGTTGGAAGAAGGTGGGTATCGGGAACTTCATTGGCATAAGGCGGCTGAGTGGTCGTATGTGCTGAATGGGAGTGTACGCATCCAGGCGATGAATGAGGATGGGCAGACCTTTGTGGATGATCTTTCGGCAGGGGATGTGTGGTTTTTCCCTCCTGGTGTGCCTCATTCCCTTCAAGCCTTGGAGGGTGGAGTTGAATTTCTGTTGGTTTTCGACGATGGGAGCTTCTCGGAGGACAACACATTCCTAGCTACTGAAGTCTTTGCTCGAAATCCGGTAAGTATGTCTTCGTTACTGCTGCAACACATGCTGACGAAACGTTCAGAAATCAGTGTTGTCCAAGAATTTCAAGGTTCCCATCTCTGCATGGGATAAAATTCCACCAGGCGCGCTATTTATCTTTCCCGGAACGAAAGCGCCGAAGAATATCTCGGCACAGAACGTTACAGGCACAGCCGGAATTGTCCCAACACAGCAGTCGTATTCATACCATCTCTCGAAACAAGAGCCAACCTTTAGTCTCGACGGCGGAAGCATTAAAATCATTGACCCTACAACATTCCCAATTGCAACGAAGTTTTCGGCCGCCGTTGTGACTGTGAAGCCAGGAGCTATTCGCGAGATCCACTGGCATACGACCAGCGATGAGTGGAATTTTTTTATTGCTGGTTCTGCACGGATTGGTATCTATGCTGCGGAAGATGCTGCTCAGACATTCGACTACCATGCCGGAGACTGTGGATATATTCCCAAGGCAATGACACATTATGTAGAGAATGTTGGGAATGACGATGTCGTCTTTATCGAAGTGTTGCAGGCTGATCACTTTTCCGGTGAGTTATTGCAATATGCTTCTTGATTGTGAAGTGCTGACAGTAGATAGATATTTCAGTTGGCCAGTGGGTGGGGTTGACCCCTCCGCAGATTGTTATCGATACCTTGAACTTAACGTCGGAAACTGTTTCATCGTTCAAGAAGGAGAAGCAATATATAGTCCAGGGAGATCCTGTCGCATGATTGCAAGGTCATACCAGCCATGGTAGGAAGGTAATATACATAATTTTCATGGTAGCTGGAGTCTTGGTTTCTTTGACTCTATTTCGAGTTTCTGGTGCAGGTCAAGGATATGATGATTTAAACCAAACATCGTCCTGCTGCTGGTGTAGGTCAAGATTAGATCACTAAGTTAATAATAACACAACGTCGCCAGAACAGCCGGGTAGGCTACAATCAAGTGAAGTTGTTTGGAGACGCCTAAGTCGTCAGCGAATTGCTCAAAGCTATCAATTCTCGACGGAATTCGTTTGACCGAGCTTTGACATCTTTAACTGCTGCAAATGAAAGAGCAGTGGCGCTATTCCCAGCTTCAAAGCTTCCAGGTTGCGATTCGCGGTTCTGGTACCCTTGAATCTCAGCTCCTAAATCGGTTGCATGCTCAGACAACTGGGTAGCAAACTGGCAAAACATGATTGTGTACATTGCTGTTGCTGCAGAAGGGGGAGGCGCGAAGGATCCTATTTGTAGGCGGGGTGGCACCATATTTATTACTTTCTGCCCTGGAGTAAGCGCAACGTTCTTCTGGCGAAAGCATACTTTCATGTGCAAGAGCATCTGTTCCCAGATACCTATGAGCCGAAGATGGCAAGAGATAATGAGGAGGACGGAAGAAAGGTCCGGTGGAGGTTTCTGGGAATCGGGGGGAGTTCCAGGGGCTGAGGCGCCTCTTGAATCGGGCCCATCGAAAGTGTAGATATTGTTCCCGTTAAACCCATCAACATTACTGGTATTTGAGAGGTGTAGGGCAGGAGGGAAGGGTCGCCCAAAAAATATGTTCATAAAACTTGGGTATATATCAATGAGAGTTTGGGTCAGTCTAAGTAAGTCCTCAAGACTGAATTTTGAACAGTCTTTGAATAGTGATTCTGGTGTAGCAGCGTCATGAATTGATTGAGGGGGCATCAATTCAGCATTCTCGTAGAGGTCACTGTTCAGCTGGGAGAGGCGGTGAATCAGGTGGCGACTAGGTGATTCTGGGTGAGCTGTTGTGACGACTGGTCCAATACTGTGTCCGATAGACGGCGGATATTGAGGTGGTTTCATATGATAGCCATTTGAGTCAACGTCGGGTTGTACGATTGGCTCGACCCGGGGGGTCGGGCTGGCCTCCTTCCGTAGTGGCAGCATGCCATTTTCTTTTGAGAGAAGCCATGGAGGGAACTCCGGCATTGAAGGATCGAAATCAAGCGAGGAATGGGAGTTGTGGGATAAATCAAAGTCTCCAAGAGAGCAACCCATATTAACGTCCTCAGAAAGCCAAGGTATTAGCATTGTATCATCTGAGGTGTGCCCATTCTCGAAAAGAGTTCGTCCAAGAAAGTTATCGGAGGTGAGATCTGGGGAGAAATTATGAGATCGTCGCCAAAGTGGGGGGAGTAGTACCTACCAATTTCTTGTAGTTGGCTGGTGGTCCGTTTCCTCTTACCACTCCTAATAGTCTCGAAGTGGCTAGCGGTTGTCGATGGGGTTTTTCCTAGAGTATCTTGGGGCAGCTTCTTTTGCCTGAAGGGACTGAATATGCACGAGGTTCGAGCCTTGCTGCAGCGATCACAAATGTCCTCGCCAGGACGCCTGGGGCAGCGCAGCTTTTGGGAATGGCAACGGTCACAGGCCGAACGACGCCGAATATCATCGGCCATGGTGGAGTGGTGGGTGGACATAGATGAACGCCGGAACACGTGATGTAATAAACTTTAACTGGCACTGGCACCAGCGATTTCGTTTGTAATATCGGCACTGTAGACGCAGGATGCAGGTGCAAGATGGAAAACGCACGTTTCTTGAGATTTAGGGTGATACAGTTAGGTGTCAGCGAGCCGTCTGGAGGTTATCGCAGAGGATGGGCGCCGAGCTTGGCGCGGCCAATTTGCTAGGTGCTTCGAGCCCCCGATATTGATATTTGTAATACGTGTCTATCTTGGCGCTTCTCTAAGAAGGTGTTGTTTTTGTATTCTCAGAAATCGTCGAACATGAATGAGGTCGAGTGTCTAATGGATAACGGAGCGATGATCGTCGTCAGTACTTTCCAGTAGCACCAAGTAATAATTGTCATCGTCGTTCGGCATTCGGTTGTGGCTTGATCACATATCTGGCAGGATTATATCAGCTTCAGCTCTAGCACCTCCCAAGTGACGGGGCGATTGGGATTATGCTAAAAGAATGGCGAGTGGCTCTATCATATTATGAATTCGGCGTTCGACTAGCGAAGACCGAAAGCTAATAATAACACGACTCCCTGACGAAGCAGAGGCTAGGCCACATTGGCACTTACAACATCAACCGTATTATTCTAGACAAGAGTTGGGATTGTTCTAGCAAGAAACACGATGGGCGGTACGAGCCGGTCTTACTTACTTATTGCACGACGCAAATCAGTCATTCGGATCACAACGGGGCGTGTCTTGCATGCCCCAGCCTGGTAGATACGGTGATGGACGAGGTAGGAGTAATTTCTGCCAATAAAACACCCGCCCGATGCGACTACAGCCAGGCTGTTGGTTCTGGTGATCTGCCACGTCGATTGGTTGGGCAGAGGCGCAGGCCTCGAGACAGCCACAACGCGACTGATTTCAGCTAAGGCTCTTCATTTCATAAACATAGAACCCATTGTTCCACTTGCAACCGTGAAGCAATATAATTTTTACACTATCCAGATCTATTGCATCGTAATTTCGAACCCCTCCAGTGCTACCAATGTCGTCGAAACGAGGGGCAGCCGACGAGAATGCCTTAATGGGAGCGGCACCAGCACTACCTACAGCCTTGCGACAAGATCATGCATACCGAGCACGTGGTCTACCGTTGGGCTTCACTGATCAACAGACTATCGAACTAATCTCAAGGCTTTTCAAACTAGACAATAACACTTCTGATCTGCGAATCAGATCGCTTGCCAATGCCGTTACGGGACGTACGATGGTGGCTGTACTGAGCTTCCAAACAATTCCTGTAGAGCTCTCAGGCTGTGGAAACGAGTGGTCTTTTGATATTGGAGGTCTCCTTCAAAATCTTCAAGCCGACGATGGAAACAAATCTCAAATTCGTACTCTCACGGTTGACCACCACTTCCATGGCTTCACGGTGCTCAGTTCCCCATCTCCGCGTGATCATGAAGTCGAGTAAGTTACTTCCCCAATATCAAACAACCTTTACTAAAATTTCAAAGTTGCATTGCAATCTCAGGCTTAGGTGGCCATGCTTTCGGGTCCTTTAAGGAAAAGGGTGGCTCATATATGTGGCTTTGTGACGAGCTCCCAAGCGACCTTGCAACGACTCGAATTATTATCTACGGCTACGAGTCACAGCTGCATGATAGTCAGAGCTTTCAGGATCTTGAGGCTCTTGCTACTACGCTAAGAACGTCGTTGAAGAGCGGCATACTTAGTGCAGAGGTGAGGAGTACACTTACATCATTGTTAATTCGAAGCTGATATTTAGCTGTGAAGTGCAAGCCAGTATTTTTCATTGCTCATAGTTTAGGTGGATTGATTGTCAAGGAGGTGATGATAACCTAGTATTAATAGAAAATAACACAACTAACTATTTGTAGGCCATAATTCAGATGCGTAATGCCCGTGATCACCACCTGGATAGTTCGATTTATGGAGCCCTGTTTTTCGGAGTCCCCAATCAGGGCATGGATATCAAATCACTCATCCCAATGGTAGAAAACCAGGTTAACCAGAACCTCTTACACTCACTTAGTGCCGAATCTCAACTACTCCGAGAACAGCAAAGAGAATTCCCAGAAGCCTTTGACTCTCGCGAGTCAAAAATTGTGTGCTTCTATGAGACAGTTACGTCACCAACAGCAGTCAAGGTGGGCTCTCCTTCGTGGAATACTAGGATATTGCTCCGGCTAATCAAATCGAGTCATAGAGAGGTGATAAATGGTATATGGATGGACCTCGCGCTATTCTTGTCGGCTCGGCATCTGCAACCCATGGTCGTCCTTGGGAGAACGAGGCTCATGATGTCCAAGCCATTAATCGTGATCACTCGCAGCTAGTGAAGTTTAAAGCCAACGATGAAGTCTATGAAAGGGTTCTTGGTACAGTGAAGGATTTCGTCAAGGAAGCTTCTGCAGCGAAAAGGGGGCATGAGGTAGATGCAGGAGAATGTACGTTTTAGCTTTTTAGGGCAAAGTTAACTTCTCAAATGTGTACTAATGCAACATAGTGACTGAAGATGATACCGGTACGTAACTATACCAAAGGCGCCCCCACCTGTCTAATGTATCCCTAGCCTGTCTTAAATCGTTGAACTTCCTTGAAATGGGGTACCGGCAAGAGGAGGTGCTAGATGCACGTGCAGACTCTTGTGGCTGGATCCTTGAACATGAGACTTATCAAAGATGGATTGACGATCCACACGGGCTGTTATGGGTAAAAGGGAAGCCTGGCTCGGGAAAATCGACGTTGATGAAACGGATATTTAAGGAAGATGCAGCACAAGCAGACGTACACTTATCATTCTTCTTCCACCGGCGTGGCGTTCAACTACAGCAGACGTTTACCGGCATGTTACGAACAATGTGTTATCAACTAATATCTCAGTGCGCTCCTGCTCGGGCGATATTCCGCGCTCGTTATAATGACAAAAAGGAATTCGGGCGCTATGGTCAAGATTGGGATTGGCGCGAGGTGGAGCTTAGCCAATTGCTGAAATCTGCTATAGCAGTCGCAACCCAATCCCACGCCATTAGCATTTTCATAGATGCTCTCGACGAGGCCAGTGAGGGCTCGGCAGAATCCATCGTTACCTATATCTATGAGGTGCATGAGGAGTTTCAAAATTCTGCAAGGCGAACCAGCATCTGCTTCTCTTGTCGTCACTACCCTATAGTGAGCTGCAACGCTGGGGTTGAAGTGTGCATGGAAAACCAGAACGAAGACGATATCTCAGCTTGTGTCCATCGAGAGCTTTCGGCGAAGATCCATGAACGTAAACGCCAATCGTGGGCAAATGATCTCAAGCGTCTACAAAACAAAATTGCAAATAGCGCTTGTGGAGTGTTTCTATGGGCAAGTCTTATTGTTCCCCTCGTTGCGAAGGAGTACAACAAGGGAAAGAGTCTTGATCGTGTGCTAGAGATATTGCACAAAGTACCGCGTGACTTGGACTCTATCTATAAGCATATTCTAACGACTCTGATCGATGACGATGATCGGGAAGACTCACTGCATCTGATGCAGTGGATCTGTTTTGCAAAACAGCCCCTCTCACTCACCGAACTTCGCTACGCATTGGCCTTGGATGACTCGGCGATCCATGAGTTTCAGACATGTATTCAAGAATCTGAGGGCTTTGTAGAGGACGATACACAGATGAAGCAGCTGATCACGAGTCTGTCTGGTGGACTGGTCGAAGCTAGACAGCACTACAGCTCGGACCTAGTTCAATTTATTCATCAATCAGTAAATGACTATCTGCTCAAAGGTGGCTTTGCATGGATTGGATTACAAAGTCAGCAAAACATTGTTGGGCAGGGTAACGATCGGCTCACCAGGTCCTGTATCAATTACTTGAAACATGGAGAGGTCTCCGAAGCCGAAAAGCTGAAACTTTTATCGCTATATAACGCCCGAGAAGAAATTCAAACCATGCCATTGCTACAATACGCTGTCAGGAACTGGTTTATACATGCGGAGGCAGCAGAAAGTAGAGGAATTGCCCAGAATTATCTTATCCAAAAATTCAATTGGCCGGATACGCACTGTTTCGATCTCTGGGTTGCCATTTCCCGATGGACTAACCACCCAGATGAACTTAAGCGCCCAGAGCTTTCATCAACGCTATTGCATACTGCAGCAGCTTCAAATCTTGAAAGTATTGTACAAGAACTGCTCGAGACTGGATCATTCTTAGAAAGGGAAGATGCTGAGGGCAATAGACCATTACACTTTGCCGCTCGATTTGGCCACGACAAGATAATCCGGATGTTATTGAAATCCAAGGCAGATATCCAAGCCAAGAATTCTGACGGACGCACAGCTCTCGAGCGTGCAGCTTCCGGAGGACATTGTAGCACTATCGAAATATTGATAAATGGCGGCGCGGATGTGAATTGTTCTACAGGCGAGTCAGGAAATGCATTACACGGTGCTGCACTTTCTGGAAGCCATCTAGCAGTAAGGATGCTAGTCCTAAACGGCGCCAACGTAAATGCTCAAGGTGGAGAATATGGGAGTGCCCTTCAAGCAGCAGCATATAAAGGGAACGAGTCCGTTGTTAAGCTACTCCTCGACCACGGAGCTAATGTGAACGCTCAAGGTGGAGAATACAGGAGCGCCCTTCAAGCAGCAGCATTTAGTGGATTCGAGTCCATTGCTAAGCTACTCCTCGACCATGGAGCTAATGTGAATGCTCAAGGTGGAGAATACAGGAGCGCCCTTCAAGCAGCAGTAGCTACGGAAAACGAGTCCATTACTAAGCTACTCCTCGACCACGGAGCTAATGTGAACGCTCAAGGTG